TTCCCTAACAGCAAGCCCCAAAACAAATAAACGCGCTTGGAGCCACCTGTGCTCAGAGTTCGCTTTTGGATGGTTGCCTTGTAACAAACCATTGGGGCTAAGTTGCGGACTACCCTCCTGCAAATTCACACGGAATATTCTGACACCAGCTTCTGCAGAGTCTGCTATTCCTGAATGGATTGGCAATAAAACGGTCTGAACTTGAACCTTTTACTCAGGGAGTAAGTAGTGCAAAGGACTAGTGTTCAATTTCTCAGGCCCTCATGCCTTTATCCGAGTGATTCCTCGCACCTCCAGAACAAAATGAGCGGTTTAGGCTAGGGTTGAGCCAAACATGTCGCAAGGAAAGCCTCAAGGGGAGATCGCTACAAGGAAGTGAGCCTCCCATCATGGAGGCTGATAATAGAGGGAAGCCCCCACTTCCACGGACAAAGGGCCTAAGGATGGTGGGTGCAACATGCGCTTAAGCCCAACATTGTCCTTCATCCCCCGAACTAATCTGAAAAATGTCGCATCACCTAAGACTTCCTGATATGATTCGATTCCCCTGCAAGTACCAACTTTATGGTTTCAATCCCATGGTTTCCAGGTGGTGCGAAATGGATTTCGCAACCATCCACAGTATGTTTGCAAAATCTGAAGGAAGGAACTCCCAAGTAAAGGACCTTCATGAAGAGCTCGTTTACCCCCGGTCTGCTTAAGCCACCTGGAAAAGATACAATTTTCCAGTAGTGATAAATTCCTTTTCAACCCAACAGGGGCAAATCACAAACATATACATTTCAGCAAATGGAAATTTGGAAGGAGTACCAAGGTCGAAAAGCCGCCCCCTCACCGCGACTCTTCAAATTCCAGGCACCGTTGGCAGCAATGTTCGTCAATGCGTCATTGGCCTCGAAATCGAGGAACAACGCATGGGGCTCTAGGCAAATCTACTGGGCCCTTGTGAATGGACCCTTAATTTGTCCCACTTGCATACTCCTTACCCACCCTCATTCACAAGGGCCCAATAGATTTTGTCCAGACCGGCTGCGTGGATCCGGTGCTCAAAATGGGTTTGGCTCAAAATCATCCTTTGAGCCCAACTTGGCCTGGCCGAACCCAAGGCACCAAACAGGAGACGTTTGGCTTCTGTTTCATGTTGGGTCAGCCTAAGGCAAACGATACATAAGGAGACCCCAGGGGCAAACAACAGAAAGCAAGCCTTGCTTTAACAGGCTGTTGGCACAACTGCCATGCTTTTCTCAAAGCAGGTAAATCCTTGTTGCTGCTTTGTTTAACAGCCAAGAAAACAAGCACCTGGACTCTGCCAGCCACACGCGAGCTGTGCTCCAAACCGTTTTGAAGGTAGAGATCCGGCCCAGGAAAACAGATAAATCCCGAGGCCCTGATACCACTGACGTCTGCGCGTGTTGTTTCTTTTTTACACTTGGCGGAATCTAGCTGTCAGAAACCAAAAACAACATCAATGGGTATGACGTCACAATAAGGGGGCGGAAAACCAAAACATGTTTTTGTTCTTTTTTTGCCTGCACTCTCTCCCTATTGGCTTCCCTGTAAACTAACACCAAAAAGATACCAACTCCAAAAAATGCGCACGCATGGACATAGATTCATAGATGCGTATAATGTGCATAGTATTCATCAATCGTTTTGGGCCGGCTTTTTGGGCAGCTCAATTCAAAGGTGCCTGGTGTCCGATCAAAGCATGGCGAATGAACACAACTAACTCAAATCACAGGGTTAAAGCTTGATCTTCAAGTTTGGTCCCAAACAACAAACAAATCTCAACAGTTAGAAAGGCTGGTGTTGAACAAGTCATGGAGTCATACCAGACTACACATTGGCACTAGAACCTGCGCAGTTGGTTACAAATTATTCGGACGAGTCATTACCCTTCTGTCGGAAGCCTTTCATCATAACCCCTTACCCCTTCTAATGAATGGACCGGACCCTAATAAATACTATCTGTCCAGACTGGCTGAAACAGCCGTGTCCCCAATACTACTTTTAGGGGGAATGGTCCGCATTCATTAGGGGTCCCAAATGGATTCAAGGGAACATGGTCTTCCAAGCCATGCCAAAGAGCCTGGATTCGGAAGCAGGCTACTGCACTCTTTCAAACATACATCCCCCTGCTTGCTTGCCCTGACCCCTGGGCGAAAAGTCTAACCTTTTGTGGGGTCAATGGACAATCTGACCTGTTTCAACCAGGTCCTCCAGTAGAGAGGTTAGAATAAGGGTACTCTTTTTCCTGTAGCCTATTTTAGTAGGAGAACCCTCCCACAAAAAAGGGGTGAGAAAGGGCACTACTGGGGGACCTAGTGGTAGTCTTCCAACACCATCGTCCACAGGAGGGAAGCAAAGCCTTGAGCTCTTTGGATCCCTGAGTTCAACTTGCTCATCTAGCACATGCAAACACTCGTATCAAACGGGTATAAACTTAGCGAGCCATGGCAGCATCGCCAGTCCATACGTGGCGATCTCTCAACTTGCGAAAGTGTTCCTTCTTTGAAGCACATTGAGTTGCGTGATGCTGAAGCACATCGGCCGGCAAGTCGACTCTTTCCCCCCTCGCAATTCGGCCTTCCACCGGTACCCGAACAGCTTAGCCAACTCTAGGCAGGGAATGGCTTGGACCCGCTCATATGGGGTCCCAATGCCCAAATACCGCTGGGAAAACAAATCAGGGATGGGCGAAATTCGTTACAATGGCCAGACCTGGTCCCCGTCCAAGGGAAGCCAACGTGAGTTGTTTGGGCGAAAGCTGTTCAAGCATGTTTGATCCAAGGCTCGCCCAACCCTGAAATCAGCTCATTCGGGCGGTTCGAGATTGATGGCCTCCGCTTTGGCGTAGACCATGTTTTTGCGCATGGTGCTGCTCGCTCGATTGGGAATCAGATCGGCCGCAAACAAAACCGCTACAGCTCCCCAAGTGGAGGTAAGCCCTGTGGAGCAAATGTGAGTTCAAATGTCAAACAAATGCAAAAGAATGGAACGACGATGTTCGTTCCTAATGCACCTGCGTGGCATGTCGCTGCGATTTGTTATTTTCGTGTCTGTCAAGCGCGCTTCCTTTCAATTTGGATTGACTTTCTTGAAGGCACCCTTGTTTGTTGCTTCAAACTTGGTTGCTGCAACGACCCACGTGCAAAAAGCTTAACCTTTTTGGGGTTTAGTAGAAAACCCATTGATTTCAATCAAAAAGTTAAAGTCCCAACATCCAACCCGATAGCAGTCAAGCAAATTACTAAGGGCAAAAGAGAAAGCACCCATTTGGTGGCCTCCTCCCCCTGCATTTTGAGCATCCGCAAGACCGAAGGCAGTGTCCGGAGTTACTGAGGGAGGCGACGGGTAGACGAGAGATGCGACATGAAAACGAGAAGCCTGAACTCATGGCAGACTTGCTCTTTCCACAACTGAGTGCAATTAACTTCACCATCTCTGTGGGAGAGCTTTGCCACCCGTGTTAGCTTCGCTTGCCAACATCTCCAAGTCGCAAGCAGAAAGGAAGGTAAGAAAGGAGCTTCCAAGGTGGATGTGTCAGAACAAACCACCTCTGGCTTACCAGGCTTACGTCTTAGATCTCGAAGAGGCTTCGATAAGGGAAAACCAACAACCGCCGAGCACAACATCCAGCGCGCAAAAGACTAATGGAAAAAGAAAAACGGGGGCTGCAGAGGCAGCCTCTACGTGAAACGTCGCCTTTGAACTCAAAACTGTGATTGGCGGAGGCCGTTCAGCAGCGTTGGCTGAAGTGCCTTATCCGGACCAAACCTCGCACGCGTGTACCGCAGCTCGTTCCAAACCAAACAAAGGATTGAGTCTGGCCAACTTTGCTAGGTGAGGTTAGAATAAGGGCAAATAAGGGTACCCTTTTCCCGGTAGTCTATTTTAGATTATTTTAGTAGGGGGACCCTCCCCCCCAAAAGAAGGGGAGAGAAAGGGCACTGGGGGACCTAGTTTGAATGAGCCTTGAAGCATCCCCAGGATCGAAGTATCGCGTTTTCACCTTTCGAGGTGAGCAGGCGCTCCTGTTTTCCATCTATCGGCCTATCAACTGTTACCCAAATGAGGCTTAAGACCTCACCGTCCTAACGGGCCCATCCCATTTTGCAAGTAAACCATCCACACGACAACCACAACACAACGATAAGTCGACGATAAGCTAGGGGGTTCTTTATTCCCCTACTGACAATATTTAGACGCCGTATAGAAAGCTGGAAGTGTTCAGGCTTTCCGCTTGCGGAAGCGCCCGGCCATTTCAGTGGGCTCGATCCATGGTAAGGCCTGAAGCTTAAACCCTGGTTGAAACATTTTGATCGGGGGGTGTCCATGAATTGTCCCTATTTGGAGGTTCAATCCACTTTTGGAGGGAACACCCTGGCCCACTTCAATGGCTAAGGTGGGCAACATGGGTTAAATGTGCGTTATATAACTGCCACCCAGTTGTCCAGCAACACTGGTTAGAAAAAGAAAACCGTTTTCGGGGTTCATTATATTAAGTGGGGAAGCCAAGCTGGGGCTAGAAAAAGCGAGTCTTGGACAAGTCAGTGGATAAGAACACGTAAGCCCCATGCGTTCATTCAACAGGGTTCCTCATTTGTCCTCTGTAAACATTTAACACAAACGAACGCGGGCTGGTGTGTAAAACACAGCCTGAGAATGACCCTCGAAATGGTGGCTTTGCAGAAATCAAACCCCTCAAACCTTGGACATCTGTACTCCAAACACCAAAAACTTCTGAGTCTGTTTCATTTGTTCTCGCTTCCTGAGTGGACTGGCCAAGCAAAAGTCCAAACTGTCCGTTGGCCACTAAAATGGTCCAAGCCCGCAAAGCGACTTCAGCCCATGAACTCAAAGAGTGAGGAATAGGAGGAGACCCCAGTAAGAGCGCACTGTAAGCTTGGCTGACGTTGGAAGGGGAGCAAAAAATATATTTAGCAGTTAAGTTGAGATTTCCCACTAAACCACAATAAGCAAAAATGTCAAGACTGTTTCCCAACAACCACCATGCAAGGGGCAAACATGGAAACAGAAGGACTCCGGTTCGAGGCAGCGGTGGCGCGAAGGCTGGTCCTTATCGGCAGATGGTAACCGCGCCTCACTCACCAGTCCTTCATGATCTTCTTCCTCGCCGGCTCTTTGCCCCAATGGGAACACAAGATGAGTAAACCTTGTTCACTCCAAAAGTGAAGGTCATCCTCTGAAATGGAACCCCCCCCTGACAGTGGCATAGACATGTTCCACTGCCCTCCTGGGAGGGGGGTGTCTCTCTAAACGAAGGGGGTGCGCCACTCGGGTCGAACGGGTAGAGCTTTCCTTGAATGTCTGATTGATTGAACATGGACTCCTTTTTTGGTTGGTTGAGGTTATCCTGGTGGACGTTGGAAGGGGAGCAAACGTTTATTTGTTAGCAGTGAAGTGGGGATTCCCCACTAAACCACAATAAGCAAAAGTCCTAAAATGATTCCCAACAAAAACCATGTTAAAGGGGAACCCTTCCCAAAAAGAGCTGGAAAAAAGGGGCGGAATCCACTTTGGCTCTAACTCACTTCCTGGGTGCATCAAGGCTGCTTTGGCCTTGATGCAAGTCCAAAATCCCTCATCAAAACATACAATGCTTACCGGTGACGTCTGTGCGCTGTAAAACCAACAAGGACATACACATACACACATACATACACATACACACATACATACACATACACACATGCACACGTACACCTCCACATATGTGCGGCATAGGACAACTAACTGAGCAGCATAGACAGGTACTGGCACCCTCCCAAACCAGTGCTTTCTCCCATGTCCAGGGCACCAACTGCCAAAATGCGGCCCTGTGCGGGGGGGGGGGTGGTCCAGAGTGCCATTGACGCATTCCAACAGAGTTCCCCAAAGGATACATCCCAAAACCTACCCGCTTTACAAACAGATCACCCAAGCCAAGTGGTAAAGGTGACGAGTCGGCCCAAGTTCAGGCAGCCTACAGGTGGACATACTGCAACCCGTTGGCTCCCGGTTCTTTCGGCCGTTCATGTTAGGGACCATGTTAAACATCGCCACCGGAAGGAAATCAAGATTTCTCGAACTCAGCCTGTCAAACTGAAATAACCTTTCAAGCCTAAGGACATTCTTTATCCCACGAGCAAACACGCAACCTAACTGGAGGTTTCTGAAAGGCAATCTCGCGGGACTGAGTCGACGGCAGGGGTTGAAGTGGACTGGAGCGGAGGGGGCAAACTTGTTGGCTCATGTTAGTAGGCCCCAACGATATATCCATGTCACAACCCCCGAGTGCTGTCCAAAAGGCAGGTGCTGGTTGCCCTAAAAGCAAAGCTAGAACCTCAGGGGGTTCCTTTTCAAGGCAAGTTGTCTTTCAGGGGCAGGTTCTGTTTTTGGTTTTGGGAGGGTCCACTAACATGGAGCCTACCAATTGGTCCAGCTCAAGGAACATGATCTTCCAACATCCCCTCCTGTCAGATCGCATGTTAGATGGGAAGAGCCCTGCCAGAGAGCTTAAGCAAGGGGAAATACTGGCCTCATTATTTTACCATGATCAAAGTTACCCCCTAAGAATTTGGTCAAAGGGAAACAACCCCCATGTTCCAAAACTGATAATCCACAGAAAAAGAATAAAAATCATGAGCCCAGCCATATTCTTAGAGTGATAGTGAAATCGATTTCCTTTGAAACAAACAGGGCAAAAAACATATTCAGTTCAGCAAATGAAAAGTGGAAGGAGTACAAGTGCCAGAAATCCGGCCACCATGTCCTTATAGCCTACGGCCCACCTTTTAACCACCCCCCGCGAAGGCGTCGTGCCATTTTCTTCGGAGCGAAGCCAAGCTTTAATAGTAATCCAATAGAAGGGTTGGAATAAGGGTACCCTTTTCACTGTAGTCTATTTTAGGGGAACTCTCCCAACCAAAAAAGGAGGTGAGAAAGGGTATCTAGCTGGGGAACCTAGTCAGCGAAGCCAAGTTTTTTGCAGCCGCAGTGCAGCTTCTCCACAGTGACCCAGGTGATGACCACCTCGGCTCTTTGCAGTGGAGCTCTCCAGCCAGTCTCGCTGACCCCCAAAAAAAAATCAGCTTCACTTCTAAAAACGAACATGAAACCTGAAACGCCCTGATTATTTAGAGGGGTCTCCTTTTGGCGGTCCTCCTTTTTGAAGGCCCAGAAGCCATCGAGACCCTTAGGGTGGCGGACTTCTACGGGCGGCTGTCCCCTAAATAGTACAAAAGTCCCCATGCTCACTTCCGATCAAGTGGATTGGCAAAAAAGGCAGAACTGTTCATCTACCCTGCAGAACCATCTGATCTCGCTCTTCCGAAAGTGAGAGGGGGGTCGGCGGTGGGGTCCCCCAATGCCATTTATCAAGTATTCCCATAGGCATAAATGGAATTGCCGTGGCCACCCCCGCTCCCGCAAGTCCATTGCTAAGCGCGTGGGGGTACCATCTTCTGGCTGACTCTTTTTGTCGGAATCCCTCCAGCCAAGCCCGAAAGAGGGCAAAACCCATTCTTGCGTTCCCAAATCCCACTGGCACGCTGCTTTCAAAAGCAGTGTTTTTCAGCCCCCAACTATCGTCCGTCAAGCATGTTGCTATGTTGGAGATGAGCTCTCTTTTCAATAACCGACGGGGGGAAGGGTCCTTATTATGTTGTTCACCCAAAAGTTAGCGCCCCACATCTTTGTCGGTTTTTCGGCTGCCGGCAACACATAGGCTCTTGAGAAGTCAGCGTCGTCTGTCAAGCATGTTGCTATGTTGGAGACCGCGCGTTTCCTGGGAACCGCATGATGGATTCTCTTTTCAAAAAGCCGACACTGGTTGACACGCGACGTCCAGAAGAGAGTCCAAGAAAGGCAACCAGACAGCGAAAAAAGGACCCAGCACCGAGTGTGTGGAGAAGCAATGCGAGACGCCAGCTGAACGCAGCAAGATGATGAAGGCAAGTGCCAGACGAACGTCTTCTGACACCATGGTTTGGGCACGAGGAGCTACAGCAAAACAAGTTGGCCCAGCACACAAACAAAGAATTCAAGAAGTCTCGCCAGTCTTCCACAGACACACACACACACACACCCCACACACACCGCAAATACTGCAAAGAATGAAGTTCTTGCCAAGCAAAATCGAAGAAGTGATGCAATCATTCCCCCCCCCCACCCCCCCACCCCCCACGCAGCAAAAAAACAACAACCACAAATTACACAAAAAAATGGACTTCGTCCCACGGGCGGCTGTGAGCGGGAACCGTGGGTCGAAGTGACCCACATGCCATGCTCCAACTGGAATTGAGGTTTGGCTTCGCCAACTGTTGTACTATCATCCACGAATCCAGCAAACACGGAGATTCTACAAATGATTTTGGTGGATGTTTGGCCAATTTCCTGTAGACTTTTCCTGGCTCGCTGGTTTTTACGGTGTTACTTGTTGGGTCTGACTCAGAAACCCCCTCCCCGAAGGAATCATCGGTGGGCAGGCCTTTTGGATTCCACATGAATCCATTGAACGCCCCAACAGGACAATTCCCAGGACCGGCCAATTGGTGACCGACACCGGCCAGGGTGTCACCGCATCTAAGGCCGGCGCGAACGGGCATTGCCGCGCGAAGGTCGCTGCGAAGCCCTTGTACAGCGCGAAAGGGCCCTCCTGGCGAAGGCGGAAGCACGGGCGCCGGAGTTCCCAGGCAAAATCACCAACCATTTGGAAGCTCTGTGCCTCTTCAATGGATTGAGGAATCGGACCCCCCCGAAAATTCTGCAAAAGTGTTCGTTTCATTTCCCCTTCAAAGCTACCAAAAACGGGAGCCCCGCAAAACACTCCCAAGGCTGTAGGGTACATGCCTCTCTCATCTCACGAATTCTACGTGGCCTGTGGCTGGGCTCTGAGAACTTCTCGTCAGCTCGCCCTTGCCCGATGGCCAGAATCCCTTGCACAAAAACAATGGGCTGATGAACTGTGGATTAAGAAAGCCAAAGTTGATGACTGTTTGCGGGGGGGGTGTCCCGGGGTGGTCACTCTTGGAGGGGAGCCCTTCCATGGAAGCAGCCGGCACAAAGCCGACAGAGCGGACTCCACCTAACCCAAACTCGGCGAACATCCCAAGGCCCTCCCCAACCTGCTGCACAATGGTGCTCATGGTCTGGACGGTGCTCTTGTACAACCTCGAATTCGGAATCCCTCCGAATTCCCAGGCGGGTGTGTGTGTGTGGACGAAATCCGCTCGCACCACCGTTCAGAACCCCTGCATTACCCCAATGATTTGCTTTGCTTGTAAATACCAAGCAACGTTGCGGTTGCAACTCCACGATGTCCATGGTGCGAAAGAAGCATGCGGAACAAGCCAAACACCCTTCATGCACGGGTACGGGGCCATTCCTTTCGGCAAAAACATTCAGGTCGGGAATAATTAAGACACCCGAGCTCACGTCTTGCACATGTCTGGCCACCAAAATACGTAATGACAAACTTCTTGACCACCAACATGCTCTTCCCTAAACAGCTTGAAGTCCGAAACGGAACTCAGGAACTCCACCCCCCAGCTCACAATGACACGAAATAGGACCTGCTGCTGATTAGCTTCTCTGGTTGGCTTGGACATGGAAATCCTCTCTTTATTAGCCAAAATACGGTGCAATTGTTGCCTGGCAGTATCATGAAAACATGACGCCAACCAAAGGGAACCCAGCCCTGACCGAAGGGAACCTAGTCCTAGCCAAAGGGGTTCCTAACCGAAGGCAACCTAACCATCGAGGCTTGGTCAGGCAAACTTCAACAGCAAAACGGCGAAATGCGCGTGGTTGTGTGTGTGTGTGTCAAAAAAATACTCCACTAAAGGAAATCAAGCGTGCTTGGTCTCGACTTCCCTTCAAACCAACCTGAAAAGAGTATCCTCCCAAAAACGCAAACCCATACTTAGTCAGCCTTGAAATACTCGGTTGCCCAAAGTAGCCAGAAATAAGAGGTTCTTTGGGGCCATGAACAAAACATAGACCAACATAGGAAAACCAAGAGGTCAAAAGGTCGAGTTGAAATATTTGTATCAGTTGTAAACCCAAAAAAACAAAAGAAAACGTCGAAACGTCGGAGGATTTGGAGAAACCCAAGAACTTCCTGCAGGTGTTCCTACGCTTACTCGCTGGACATCGCTGGCTATAAAAAGGAAGCACCAGAAAACCGGGTTCCATACTGTGGATGGTTGCGAAATCCGCTTCGGCACCGTTCAGAAACCCTGGTTCCTGATTTGGTTCCCCAACGCAAATACCAACCAACGTTGTGGTTTCAGCCCATGGCTTCCATACTTGGTGCGATTTCTGGCATCACGCAAGAAATCAGGTACATGTAGAGTCACCCAGTGGTAAGCGTCCTGGGTTATAACCCACTTATAACAGGCTTACTCCACTTAGCGGGCTTTCAAGTAGGTTATATAACCTAGGTTACCGACAACTTACAATCTTGGCCAAACATCCAAGTGGTAAATGGTGGCTTTTAATTTGGTTTCCTTTGAGCCCTGCGAAGCCCAGATCCTAGGCGGTTCGCCGTTCTACTAGGTACCCCTTCGATCCATCTTCCCTCTGGTTCTTATATCAGGGGTTAACGCCTTGGTTGCCATACACGTAAATGGATCCACAGCGCCTGGTTTGTTTCTGGGTGAAATCGAAAACGCATTGGACATTCGATTTCCGGAACCCCTAGCTTTGAAATGAGGCTCACAGTGGCCATGGGACAAATGGGTACTCTTTGTTAATCGATATAGGGAAACCTCCTCAACAAAAGCACCCCACCGTCTGGGGGGAAGAAATCGGAACAAAACACATGTGGGATAAGCAACGGAATCTGCGTTCAACGAAACCTCTATTACTCTATTTGCTGAAGTTGCCACGAAAAAATGATCAACATCCAGAAGTCAAAGGTGCCCTTTAAAACAAAAAGGGGAAACGGGGAAAATAGGCAATACTCTAATAGAAGCACATTGGTTCATAAACAAAAAGGCGCAACGTTCACCCCAGCCCACGGAACGGGTTAACCCACGGGCGAGGGGCAAAGGCTTCCCCTCCTCCGGCCGCTGATTCATGAGCCGCGTCTTCGCCACGTCCACCGGGTTGGACATCACCTCGGAGCCGGGCAACGCGTCGCCGTGCGCCCGCGAACGCGTCCGCGCTCCACCGTGGGATGTTCAACCAACTTAGTCTTGGTTGACGTTGGAAGGGGAGCAAAACAAAATCATATTTTAGCAGTTAAGTGGGGATTTCCCGCTAAACCATAATAAGCAAAACTGCAAAATGTTTCCCAACAAGCTCACTTCAATTCTCACTTCCGTGGATTGGCCAAAAAAGGTAGCCGAGGTTCTTAGTCATACATACCTACAATGGCCCACACCCTAAAAGTGCCCCTCTGCGAGGGAGAAGGTTACAATTAACCGTTATCCACGGATATGAGTCAATTAACGAGCGTTGCACCCCTGCCTGAGCTCAAATATTTTTTCCGGGCCCCACAGCAAACCGCACCCAAGAAGCCCTACTAAGCCTTGCAAGTCGCGAACAGCCTATATAGGAGCTGAAATGCCCAGCGACCTAGACAACTGTTTGTGGGGAAACGAAACCAAACAAAAAGGAAAATGGGTGGGTGGCGTTTAACAACTGGGCCACAAAGCCACAGCTGTGGCCGCTCTGCCCTCGGAAATCGGACCCCCAAACCAAATGGACCGCGCAGACCGTGGGGAGCTCATGCCACGGATGGAAATTCAGAATACTAAACCGAATACATGGGTTTTAGCACGAAGCCCATATATGAATCCAGAAAAAACCCGGCAAACTCTGCAATTCGCCCAAAACCTGAACTCGCTTCCGATCGAGGGGATGGGCTAGGAAAGGTCTAAACTTTTTAGTTGCCACCAAAATGGCCCAAATTACGCATAAAGTCCAGAATGAGTGAAATAAGGACCCTCAAGTTGAGCTGCACGAGAGTCTCGTGCCTCGTGCCCCCCCCCCAAAAAAAGGCGGGCTCGAGTCGAAAAGTAAGCAGTTGTGTGAACCCCTGGTTGAGAGAGATTCACCCACCGGTTATGGCCCAGCCTCCCCTTAGGCTGGTCCAAAATGGCTCATATGCGCCTGGACGAACACAGCTGTTGAACCATCCCTTCACCGGGAAGAAAAACATACTGTGGGTGGACGAAATGCTGCACCACCTAAGGATCCCTGGATTGATGATTCCCTGTAAATATGTCGCGGGTAACGTCAGGTTTCCCAAGCAAACCAGTCTGGTGGTGACGCCTTTAAGTTGTTCGCTTCTCCCTGCAGCCATGGGGTCAGAAAGCAAATCCTAGGCCTGGGATGCTTGGGAAACTTGGGTTCTTTCCCCAGCGGGCCAGCATCCCAGCTGGCCCATATATGGCTCGCCTTCTTTTGAGGGTACCCTTTTTAGATGGTTTAAAAAGTGAATCGACGGGAAACCACCCGCAACATCCGGAGGTTGGTTTGTCCCTTTATTGGATGACTGGATTTCATCCCTACCACTTCGTCCGGTCTTTTTGTTAGCCAACTAGTCAAACAGCACCAAGCAAATTAATTTGCTACTCCATGTCGGGTTAACCGCGTAAATGTGTTACCCCAGTGGATCCCATATAGTCTTATAGTAGAAAAACCAGCCATTTTCCTTTTGGCTTCAAGGGTGATTCTTTTCGTTACGTACTATACAGGTAAATGGATCCACTGGGTTACAACAAAACAGCCGCGTCGCACAAAGTTCGTAAAACCCTTTCAGCTGTCGCTTCCAGACTTTGCCATTCGCCAAGTTGAACTCTTTTGCAGGTCGGGACAATTTGCTCAACACTCCCGAAGCGAGCAGAGGTCTATCACCTTGTCTAGGTTTCATTCGGAAAAGCCACTTGTGAAGACAAAAGATCCAACCCGGGACGATCCGGTTCACTCCGTTGCAAGAATCCATGGCTCGCTTCTTTCTCCATGATACGGGGGACGCCCTAAATATTGCAAGTGAACCAACCACACTCAACCACAAAACCATGGACAACTATGGTACATTGGTTTTTTTCTTGTTCCCCTACTTGCAAAATAGTCTGGTCGCATCCACCGTATCACCGGAAATTCTGCCATCGTTCAGCCTCAACCCAGTTGATTAGGCCGAAGCCCTGGTCTCAGTTGCCCAAAGAAAAGGCTAAACCTTTTGGGGCCATGACTAAAAACGAATCAAAATGGGGAAACCAACAGGTCAACAAGTTGATTCGCTTTGGGCAACTGAGCGTTTGATCCTGATTCTTGGTTGACTTTGGAAGGGGAGCAAAAAAATCAGTTTAGCAGTTAAGTGCGGATTTCAACCACTAAACCACTAAAAGCAAAATGTAAAATGTTTCGCAACCACAACCATGACTGAGCGTTTGATCCTGCTTGGTGGCCTTTGTTTTTACCTTTTGGCTTCCAAGTGGACTCGCAAAACGCGACGTGTCGCACGCTGGGGCCCGCGGCGGAGGCGATGAACGCGGCGCTAAAGGAGGAAGAGAAGTGGAGGCCCACCTTGGCCCCAAGGGGCATCTCCCTGTGCTCGGTGGCTGCCAGCTCTGCTAAAAGTGACTAACTTGTTGGTGGAATTAACGGCAAACCCATTATCCCCTGCTAAAGGTTTAACTTTTAGTGGTTTCAGGGAAAACCAATTGTCCCCTGCTAAAAGTTTAACTTTAGGTGTTATTTTTCAAAACATTAGTTGGCAAAAAGCTAAAGTAACATCCAAGCAAAATGCGACAAAGCTTGAACCGAAACTTCACAACCCGTGCGCTATGGGCTGGCAACAGCCTGGCCTGCTTTTTTGCAGCCGGAAGATGAAACAGAACAAACAACCCCCCCCCCAAACAAAAACACAACACTTGCCAAGAACGGTGAAGAACCGGATAAATGCTGGTGCCGCAGTTTCCAGGCGCTAACTGCACTGAAGGAAACGTTGGGCCATGTTGGGCCCCCCTTGGAACCAAAAGGACAAGCTGGTGCCACTGCTATTCTTCAGTGCGAAGCTTCCCTCTAACCAGCGCAAGAAGAATGGGGGCTCGGGAGGGGGCAAAAGTGAGAAACTGAGAAATGGCTCTCTCTCAGAAACACTTCGACATGTTTGGCCCAGTGGATGAATTTACTTGTATATACAGGTAACTAAGGGAACCACCTTTTTACAATGTACCTACTATAAGGGAAACTGGGATGCACTGGGTAAGGTAAGGTGGTGGTTGATGTTCTGCGTGAGGAGGTTTGGAGCGCCTAGTTGGTCGTGGCTGGTCAGGTCCTGCAAACAACGTCCCCCGAATGGATTTTATCCCAGGCTAACCACTTGCCAACAGTTCCGGGTATGAAATTCGAGAAACCCAGCAGATCCTCCCCTATCCCCAGAAGATGCAGCCATGTTGAAGCGTGGCTCTGTTGCCCCTTGTTCTGGCTACCTGCCCGCTCGCCCCATCTTGAGTGCCCAGCGCCCTCCTTCATTCCAAGATGGTCCTCAGGACCGGAGCGATCACCTACAAACCCCGGGCGGAATCGAAGTCTGGGCTCAGCTGCCCCTTAGGCGCCTTAATGTTAGCCTTGCATTAACAAAATCCTCGATTGATTAGTAGGGGGTGTCCCCTTTCAGAGGGGATTCATCACTTTTGGAGGGGACACCCCCCTAATACTGGGACGGGTCTACTTAGATCCTGGGTCAACATTAGGGAAGGATTGAAAGGCTAATCTTTGGGGGCCACGACTAATGGGTACCAAACAGAAAAACAACTATTTGGCCATGGGTCAAAAGCCAAATCGTACCCCTAGTGAACATCCCAACCCCCACTAAAATAGACTAAAATGGGTGGTACACCTAACGCAAAATGGTGCCATTGGTTTTGACCCACAGCCATTTCAGAGGAGGGCTTCTCTTCCTCGTCAAGCTTCTCTTGGGATTTAATCTGGCTTCAGGCGGCGCCCTTGTTCCAACCCCACAATTTCTCTCCCAAACATTATCTACAAGCTTTCGAACGCTCGGCATTGGACTTTTGAGCTGGTTCTCGGGGAATCAGGGACTCACCCCTTCACACCGTTCCCGTCCAGCAGGGCCTTTTAGCAGAAGTTCTTCTGAACAATACCTTGTGAGCGAAAGACTCGTGTTTTGATTTTTCGCCGGCCTGCCCACCATGAGCAAAACCAAAAAAGCAGAACAATCACAAAGCCCAGATGATATCCACAGCAACCCTAGCTAGCTGCCAACCACTGCAGCACCTATCTGGGCAGAGACCGGGGAGCTTTAACCACACGCCAAGGGCTCATTTGGTGTCCGCTTCCAAGCCTCAAACAAAAACACAAGCCCATTTGGCATTCACCTTGACTCACTTCCTGCGTAAATTGGCCAAAACCAATCCAAATCGTTTATTTACCACATTTTACCACTGAACAGGTCTTCCCTAAATCAACGTAAAGTCCAGAAACTCGGGGAGCAAGTCCGAACAAAACTGACAACACCAAAGAACCGTGAAGGCACCACTCTTGCGGCAGAGCTTCCACGAAGACCTCCTTGCAGGTGTCGTAAGCCGCCAATTGGCCCACCGTGATGATGGTCGCCTCGCGCACTCAGCTTCGGACGTTGTGAAATGACTCCGACCTTGAAACCACGGCACCCTACCTCGAGTAATTCGCCCAACTTCCATTTTGCGTTTTCGCCCCCCTGGACACAAATAGAGGTACTTGCAGTACTCAACCAGAAAAACAAACAAATATTATGAAGCAAATGGAAGCCCAACTCTGACCCCCAAATTGTGTTTAAGCTTTTCCCTATTGCCCCCCCCCATTTCTTTGAGGGGGAAAGGCCTTTTCTAATCACTACGAAGGAGTCCTACACTTGGGGGAAAGGTGTCAAACGATGACACCATCTCCCCATGTTGGCTGTCGTCGCATTTACTTGCACAAGGCAATTGTGCAAGTATCAAGTTGGTGTGACTGCAATCGCCTGGTTAGCATAAAAGGGCATGCCGCACTCCACACGGACTTCAACGCCTTCATGCGAACGTGGACAAACGGAGTAAAACCTTGCTTCGTGAACCATACTGTGGATGAACGGCATCCTGCATCACCTAAGAAGCCCTGGAAGTATCATTTCCCTGGTTTCAACCAGAAAATCACAGTGCCTAAGAGGATTTCGTCCACCCACACTACGGGTACCAAAAAGGGGGTTTGGGTTTCATTGGATAAGCCACAAGCAAAGACACGAAACGTGTCCAACGTCCTGAAACTCACGTGAGCCGTGCATCAATAGCCCCAAACAAATTGGCGATCCTGACCGCCGGTGCCCCCCGACAGTTAGACGTGAGTCGTCTGAGCGCCCTGCACGGTTCATGTTGGGCACCACGCCGGTGCGCCACATGGACATCACCCCCTCCGATTTCGCAATCTTACCGACCTCAGGTCCAAATGACTGAGTTACTCGCTTCCGGTCCTCCAGTAGAGAGGTTAGAATAAGGGTGCCCCTTTGTTTTCTGTAGTCTACTAGTAGGGGAACCCTCCCCCAGAAAAGAAATGGTAAACGGGCACTACTGGGGGACCTAGACTCACATCCGATCAATTAGCCAAACAAAAACAAACAAATCGTCCCAAAAAGTTTGAAGTCCATGAACTCGGGAATTGCATTTTTTAGTTAGGGACGCTTTTATGGCATCATTTAGATTGGGTTTTATGTCATTTTATGTCCACCAGCCACTTTTAGGGTGGTTCATGGTGGTTCCCTATTAAAATTCATGGCCACATGAGGTACGGGGTGTGATTCCCAATGCTCAGTGACTCAGGATATTTGCCCCCCCCCCCCGCCCACAAAATCAAACAAAAAATGCCCCCAAGCTCATGCCACAATGTGGCCCTGAACAGGATTTAATAGCCCTTTGACCCTTGGCAGGGGTGGGCTGATCGCCGATCGCATGTCACGCCGCAGATGGCAAGCTCTTTCTGGACGAGTCCCCGGCCGCGTCGAAGATGTTCTTGTACCCTCGGCCTAAGCTGAACCAAATGTTCCCTAATGTTGACCTGCACGTCTTTTAAACGGCCGCCTGCGCTCCAAGCAAGTGAAATACAAACCGAGCTCAACCGAGCCACTTCAGAAGATTTAGTACAGCATGTCACTTGGAAGAGCATGGAGGCACCATGCAAACCTCTACCTGTTCGACGACCCCCGCCCCTCGGCCCTAGAAGATGCCAGGAAAGCGATGTGTCTGCACCAGAGGCACCATGGTTCAGCCAAGAAGTCGGTGAACCAACTCGTTCAGTGACCCTGGAGAAAAAATGGGAGCCCTTTTTTGGGCTTGGACCTATTGTGAGGCAGCCACAAAAAAAAAGGAAAAAGGGAGCCACTGAACAACTGAGTTCCACAAGAGAGGAGTGTGGAACTGTGATTTAGAGCAAAATGGATATGAACTTCTGTGACTTGAGGTCTGAACTGCGAAACCCCCATACAGCTGAGTTGGTCAACAAATACTTGTTCTCCCAAAAGACATGGGACAATTGAGGGCCTGCGATCCTTCTTCTACATCTTACGTCGCGTTGTGCCCCGTCTGCTCGTGGATTGAGAGTTTGCATGGCCCTCTCCTTTTGGGCGAATAGCCTCTCCAGCACCCCGTGCGAATTGCGCTTTGTAAACTTTGGGCACAGGAACGCTAACGCTCCAGCTCCAGCCTCAAGCCACACAGACAGACTTTTCTTCTTTGCATGTTAGTTGTTTGCAGTGTTCTGATGTGTTCTGCTTGATCATGTGGTGTGCTTGCGAATAACTGGACATTCAAAGTGGGAGTGCAACATACGTTCAGCTGGGGTGTGCTATACGCAAGAGGGGTTCCAAATCGGCAAGCAACTATAGGACAACGAACCATGCGAAGGGAGCCATTCCCACCAACAAAATACCCTCCCTCAGGCGATTCCTTTCAAGCTCAACACATAGAAAGAAGCGGCGCTGGGACTAAGTCTTCCTACTTGGCTTTGGAAGTCAAATGGGTGGATTTCCACGCCAAGGACATTCTGCTTGGGGGGGCGGGGGGGTCATTTTACACCAGCAAGTCAAGAAAACTTGAGAACCGAAAGCTGGACTCTTTGCCAGCTTGCCAAGGCCCAAGCTGCTAGAATGTATCCGGGCAAGATAAAACGACAGCTGGGAAACCGATCCAGCCCAAACAAACCAGGAGCATCGAAATAGCAAGTCTAAATAAACGGAGCATGCGTCCGGGCAGCTCGTAACGGCAGGGCAAACCAGTACAACCCGGAAGCCAAACGAGACCGTCCCCTTTCGTGCCCGTTGACTCAAAGGCAACAGGCAAATTGAGCACTGTCCGTTGGAGGATGCCACTTCAATGAACCAGGGAAGGGGATTGAAACGGCAAACAAACCCAATCAGTGACTAAAGTTCATAACCCTTGGTCTGGGCTTGCAAAAAAAAGAGGACTCTCTTTTATTGGGCAGCCCCCAAAAATGCGAAAAACAAGCAAAAAAACACTTGATCCAATAACCATGAAGTGAACTCGCGGAGCGAATGCGAAAACGGCAGAGCCTTGCTTTGCCAGGGCTGGGGGCATCGCGTTGGTCTGGCGGCAGCTTGCCATCTGCCTGAAGCAGGGGGACTCATGAGACAGTGGATCCACCTCGCACCAGGAAGTGTTGACCGCATATTAATCAACCCAGTCTATTAACCAGGGGGTGTTCCAGAAGCGATGATTCTCCAGGGACACCCCCTATCAATAAACTGGGGCTGATAAATATGAGGTCAACATAATAGGTTGTTTATCCCGGTTTTCATGCAGCTTCATCCATTGGTGCGAAATGGATCTCCAGGTTGCCCAAATCCCATTTGCTGAAACTCGGCTCCGAGCAAGCAAACTAGCCAGAAAAACCATGGGTTTAACCGTTGTGACTTAGAGCTTCCTTGTTCCCTTACTTGCAATATGGGTGTGGCTTTCTGCTGAGTGCACCCGTTTTGGCGGGTTGAAAGAAAATCAACAAACCAACCATTTTCATGATTCCGATTCATATTTCGAGACAAACCCATGCTACACTGCCTGAGTGGATTGGCACAAAAAAGCCACCACCTTTCCTGTTTGTCACCAAACGATCACCCCAAAAGTGAGTAAATCCCGAAACAGAAATGTGGGAGTAGAGACAAACCAGTATGCCAGAACCGCCAACCCGGCCACCCCTCCATTTGCTTAAGTCCCGAGGAAAATAATAAAATCAATCTGAGTCGTGAGTCGTGATATTCAGCTTTTTCCAGCGGGGGAACATAACCAACATATTGGGTCTCTCTTTTCCGACGGTCCGCCTTTGTTGACGGTTTCCAATGGGAAACCTTCCTTGGTGGGTTGAAAAAAGAAGCAAGGAAACCACAAGGACATGCACAAAGTCTGAGGTGACATTTATGTTTGTTGGGCAGGCTTGAAAGGGAGACCACCATAAAGACCACCATCTGGGGGGGGGGGGGGCAAACCTTAAAAGAGACGCACCCAAATATTTCCAGCAGTGAAGTCGATTCCCTTTAAAACCAACAGGGGAAAACAAACAGCATATCTCACTTCCTGGATGGTCCAAAGAAAATCTGAACTTTTTGTTGGCCACTAAAATGGTCCAAACCCCAAAGTGCAAAGGCCAGGAACTGATTTTCAGCAATGGACGGTTCCCAGGACCTTTAGTAGAGAGGTCCTCTTAAGGGTACCCACGTGTTTGTTTTTTTCTTTTTTTTCTGCAGTCTGTTTTAGAAGGCAACCCTTCCAACCAAAAAAGGGGTGAGAAAGGGCACAAATTGCTGGGGGGCCTACTGTGGATGGACAAAATCCTGCACTACTTTGAAACCATGGGAAACCATTGTTTGCTGGTATTTACAAACGAATCATCATTCCAGGGTTTCTTGGGTGGTGCGAAACAACGGCTTCGTAACCTCCCTTCAAAAGCAGTGCGCCATGGCCAGCCATGTTTCAAATGGTTGCAGCATGTATCTTTCAAGGAGCCCTGTTCAAACCCAACGAGTGCGCCATGGCTCGTCCGCCCAGTCACTCGCGCCCTCACTCGCGCCCGCCCCCCCGTCGTTGGTCGCCAAAAGGAGTCGCCTGCATCCGGACCATGGCCAGGTCCCCCGGGTTCCCCGCGAAGGCGCCGGTGGCGCCCGCCACCGCCGCGCAGCCCACCTGCGGCGCCCCCGCCGGGGGGAATCCACCGGCATCCCGCGGGGAAAAAGGCACAAGAACCGGGGGGATTCACCGGGGAAGCCGTGGTTTGGACCGGAGAAATGCGGGTATGTGGAGTCTCCGTGACCCTTCAAAAATGGGGTCAGTACCCAAAATTAAGGCGTCATGACCCCTTTTTCTAGGGGTCATGGAGACTCTAGGTAAAATACGGCAATACCACAAGATCTTGGCCCGGCGAAGTTAGGCTAAACTGGGGCTGTCCGCTTTCGGATCCCCCGCTAAAAGCGAAAAACTGCCTGGCCCATGGTGAAAGTGGAAGCCCAATGGCTGTCTGCTTTCTGGTGCCCTGCTGCTAAACGTGGATAGCTTGTGGGTGAAATTGGACACCCAACCACTGAACCAACTAAAAATAACAACCGAAGGAACCGGATGGCTGGGAAATCGATTTGGCAGGTGAAGCAACCACTGCACCACACAAGGAAAACCGCGGCAAAACATGAAAAGCATGTGTGCGGTGTTTGTTTGTTGCTTATTTCTGGGTGTTAAATGAGGGCTGTGGTGATGTCCCTTTCTGTTCGTTCACTTGATCGGGATGCACAGGTTTTCCCGAGATCAAGGTCAAAGATCCGACAACTGCAGCCGAGCCAAGGGCCTGGAGAAGAACGTCGTGTGCATTTCTATGCCCCTGAGGTTGTTCAATGCTAGGTCCTCCAGATTTGCGAGGTTAGAATAAGGGTGCCCTCTTTTTGTCTATAGTCTATTTTAGTAGGGGAAAGAACCCCCCATAAAAGGGTAAAAGGGCACTACTCAAAAACCTAGTCAAGACCTGCAGGGAGCTCTCTGGAAGACACTGCCAACCTTCAGGCAAGTCCTCGTATCGGCAGTGGCTGCACGCTAACCCAAATATGGCCATGGGTCAAAAGCCAAATCGTACCCCCAGTGAACATCCCAATCCAACCACTAAAAAAGGTTCTAAAATAGGTGGTGAATTCACCTGCCCCAAAATTGGAACTTATTGGTTTTGAACCCTGGCCATCTCGAAACGGCAAGTCTATCGCGGCAAGGCGCAGTCAGCCCCAGCCCGGACCAGAGTCGAACAGCCCGCCCTAGAATCATACCCCCCCCCCCGCCATTTCCGAGATTGTAAACTCACTGGCTGAGTGGATGGCCCAAAACAAGCCCAAACATGCATGAACTCAGGAAGTGAGTCATGGGAAAGGCGGAAGGGCCCAGTCCTCACGGCCTCGGCTTTCAAGCTTCCAGGACTCAACCCCCAAGGCTCCCTGGTGGTCACGGGGTGCCTAAGAGCCTGAGCATGCTTGAGCCTTTGACGGCGAGGCTGGCTGTTCAAAGGCCAGCCAATCGGAAAGCAGCACACCGATAGAACAGAAGGAAGCCGGGAGGACACCAAAAAGCCAGCCAAACATCAGCCTGCTCAAGTTCCGTGGAAGGCCAAAACAATCGCAGTGGTGATAGATTCCCGTATTGGAACTCATCCGTTTTCCAAAAAAACGTCCTTGACCTAAAGGAGTAAGCAAACAAATGGAAGACAAACAAGCGTTTGGGTGCCCCCTCTCAACAAGAAAGAGACCCTCCTGGCCAAGCTTCGCCCAATGCGGAGCTTAGCCGGACTCCGGCCCCGGCCTTCTCGATGGTGGACAAGGGGCGGGTGGATTCCCCGCAGAAGCCCTGCGGATGCCGAGCTGTCTTCGGGGCGGGGGAGTGGGGGGGGAGTGTCCCACATTCCCCCCCCCTTGATGACCCTTTGGAAGGGGTGAGTTGACATTGACATGCCGGGAGTTTCTTTGACTCTCTGCAATGCTGCAATGGAATATCCCTCGAGCTATGTGAGCAATTGCAAAAGGCGATGATCAGATGGTACATAGGGGTCAGGAAGAGCAACAGTAAGTGCCAATCCCCGTGTTTCCCATAGGGTGGGCAAATTCAACATGATTGGTTTACCAGGTTACCACCTCTCAAATGAGAGACTTGTGGCAAATCGTTGGCGCCCTAAAAAGGGCCGGATAAGTAGTAGGCTTGCAACTCATGTCGTATACCGAGTTCAGCTCCTAAAGCCTCTCAATGCCGCAACACATAACCCACCTATTGCACTAATTGAGGCCAGTTCAGCATCCACAAACCTCTTCGAGTGGCTAGCCATGACTTGTGACTCGTTAGCAATCGCCCAGCCTTAAGCATGTCGTACACACCGAAGCGCACCTAAGCTCGCCAAGTGGGGCGACCGCAAGTGACTGGGGTAGAAACCTTAACCCTGCACGTTTGTCTGAGACTTCAAACAGGTACCTTTGACAATTTTACAGGTAAGTACTGAGTACTGGTTGCAATGTATGAACTGATGTTTGCAAACTTGAATCTGTACGCAGATATGCGTGCACGTATGCATGTACGTACGAACGTATGTATGTGTATGAATGAATTATCACTATGTATTTATGTAGTGTAGCGTAGCGTAGCGTAGTGTAGTGTAGCATAATGTAGTGTACCGTAGTGTATTGTAGGATGTATTATCTATGTATGTATGTATGTATGCATGTATGTATGTATGCATGTATGTATGTATGTATGTATGTATGTATGTATGTATGTATGTATGTATGTATGTATGTATGTATGTATGTATGTATGTATGTATGTATGTATGTATGTATGTATGTATGTATGTATGTATGTATGTATGTATGTATGTATGTATGTATGTATGTATGTATGTATGTATGTATGTATGTATGTATGTATGTATGTATGTATGTATGTATGTATGTATGTATGTATGTATGTATGTATGTATGTATGTATGTATGTATGTATGTATCTGCGAAGCGCGTGTGTGCGAGAAAAAAGAAACGCCTTCGAGCAAAGCGCACCACATGTTTGCCGCTGTTCGGAAAAAATAGTTGTTTGGAAAGAAGGTCGTTTTTGTGGAAAGGTAACCTGTCTCGTCTAAGATTTCCGGACTTGTCCGCCCTTTTCCGTTTGTTTCCGCCTTTGTTCCGGGTGGTTCCGCCTTTGTTTGGCTGTCCCAGACACTCTCTACCCACGAAGCTCCAAACAAGGTCGATTTTTGGACACATGCCGTTTCACCAAAAAACAGTTTTGTTTTTGAACAGACCGAACAAAACACACAAACGGCTTCACAGGTATGTATGTAAGTATGTATGCATGCATGTAAGAATGCATGTACGTATGTGCGTATGTGCGTATGTACGTATGTACGTATGTACGTATGTACGTATGTACGTATGTACGTATGTACGTATGTACGTACGTACACGTATGTATGTATGTATGTATGTATGTATGTATGTATGTATGTATGTATGTATGTATGTATGTATGTATGTATGTATGTATGTATGTATGTATGTATGTATGTATGTATTTGCACCTTTTTAAAATACCCTTGGTTGTTCCCCCCCTCCCCAATTTACACAAAGGGCTCCATGCTCACTGATTGGAACAAACACAGTTGCAATTACAGCGGCATCAGCACGACGTCACAAAGTCATGCTGCTCGATTGTCTGAACGTGGGAAAGCAGGGCAGTCCTCGTGCATCCTACCCCCAAATCAACCGTCACAAGCAGCATGGGTACACTCTCTGCATGTCTCCCCCCCCCTTGTAAGTCTTGAGGGAGCTTCAAGTAGGAAGTATCCGCGCATCGGATTCTGATTTGGAATCCCTTCCTTTGATTGACCTAAGGCCAAGGTGCGCCGCTATAGACCAGCTGCCGGCACGCAGAGGCGTCCACGCCTTTGAAGAGGCCCAGAGGCCCCTCGTTCTTCACGATGTGGGGCCCCATCCTCAGGCTGTTCAGGGGCCCGCCAGGAGACCCGTGTCACGGTCTTGTCAAATGGTTGCAGGAACCAAGCAGGCACCTCCCCCCAAATCCAAGGCAGCCTTGAATTTCTAAAGAGAAACCCGCAAAAAAAACAAAACAAGGCAAACAAAACTCTGTCGCGCCAAAGGCCCGCCAAGTCCAGGCCTGAAGGATGTTTCTTACAAGGCGAACACAGGGCAACACCCCCACTGGCCATTGGCAGCTCGACCTGCGGATCTGCGGATCTGCGGCTTGGCCGCTGCAGCATGTTGAGCTTGGTGTCGGTTTGCAGCTGCATCCGCACCTTGCGCGAGCTGAACACCGCCAGACGGCCCACCCGGGCAGGGGGTCCTTTTGCCACCTTTGGTGGAAAAATGATCGAAATTCTTGTAGTGAAGCATTCCTTGTTGAGGGGCTCCCCAATTTTCTCACAGGTGGCAAAAAACTTAGAAGGGGAGCAACAACATTTTCAGAGTTTAGCAGTTAAGTGGTTGGATTTCAAACCCACTCAACCACAAATTACGCCAAACAATGTTTCAAATGTGTCCCAACAACAGCCATGAAGCTTGGCTGAACCCACAAGGCCTCTCACAAAAGGTGGCAAAACAAGACCCCCTCGCGGCACGGGGCCATCCCCCCCGCGCCTTGATGAGATCCAGCGGATGGGCGCAGGCCCCGCCGATCGCGGCGCCTATGGAGCCCTGCACGAAGCCCTGCAGACGCATCGCCGGAGCGCCACGCGCCACGCGGGCGGCAGGGGGTGGCGGTGCTGGTCTTCCGTTTCCGTTGGATCGCCCGTTGTTTCCGTTGAGGGCCCCCAACGGAAAACGGACAACGAATCCACAATTTTCCGTTTTGGGGACCCCCTGGAAAAATGACCAAAGAGCCCACAACGTTGTTGGTGGCTTTAGTTTTTGACACGCCAAGCATGGCATAGCTCCCTACACCTTCCGTTGGTGCTGAAGGTGGCCTTGAAGGGAAACCACCAGGAACACAGAAGCCATTTTGCGGGGTCCCAACCTTAAAAGAGATAACCCAAATATGTCCAGTAGTGATAGTTTCCCTTGACAACCAACGGGGGAAAATAGCAAATAGTAATTTCAGCAAATGAAAGTGGTGTAACAGCGATTTTGCTCCTGAGCTGTTTCGGACCACCCCGAGGCCCCAAGATTGCTTGGCATAGCTTAGGTAGGACAACTCCAGCAGTGCTTTTGCATAAAAACTCGGTGTAGGTGGACAAAACCCGCTTCGTTCCAGTTGGGATGGATACCTACTTGGGTGTTCGGCCAAATGAGCTGTTGGTAACTGGTGATTACGTTTGAGCCCCCGTGCTGTGGACATAACCCTGTCAAACGGCAACCCAGGCTGACCTCTTCCTACTTGGCCAGCCGAACATCCTATGAACGCTGCGCTGGGTTTTGTCCGTCTCAGTGGAACCAGCTAACTTGGTTTTCGTTTTTGGGTGGTTCCCAAGGTTACCTACTATACAGGTAAAATGGATCTACTATGATCTACTTTGTGTCAGTATGACCTAACAACAACGGCATCAACTGGTCGGCCTAAAAACGCCTAAAGATGCCCTGGCTAGCGGAGGTTTGGGGTCTTAACCCTGTTCTTTTTATTGGGTTTTTGAGTGGCCCTAAGTCTTGGTTGACGTTGGAAGTGGAGTACAGACTTTCAGATTCTAGCGGTTAAGTGGTTGGATTTCAACCACTAAACCACAATTTACGCAATAATGGAAAACATGTTTCCCAACAACAACCATGACTACGTTGAGTCGCTCGCCGAACTTCCATGTGCTTAATTCAGCCCCCTGGACACACATAGACATACTTGCAGTAGTGATCAATTCCCTACTGTGGATATCGATGGACGAAATCCTGCACCACCTAAGAAACCCTGGCTTCTGATGATTCCGCTGTAAATGCCAACAAGCAATGGTTTCAACCATGGTTTCCAAGTGGTGCGAGAAGCTGATTTCGCAACCATCCACAGTGAGGTGAGTGGCCATGAAGTTTGGCTGGAATTAGGACCCCAGCAAAAATATAGTTTTTGCCTGGTGAGTGGAAAACAAAAAGCCCCCAAAAAAGCAAAAAAACAAAAAGGGGAGCTAATTCTGGGGAAGGCTGAACCGGGCCTTCCAGATCTTGGTGTTGGCCGCCTTGGTCTGCCCCGCAGGCGTGCGCGGCAGCCGGGCCTCCATGCCCATGTGCGGCGCCTCCGCTCAAAAAGGCGCGGAAAAACTAGGCTGGAAAAATCGGACCCCAGCAAAACAATATCTGTTTTTTCCTTTTCTTTTTTTCCGTCTGGTTAGTGGAAAACAAAGGGACCCCAAAAAGCAAAAAAGTAAAAAGGGGAGCTAGTTCTGGGGAAGAAAAATAACTTGCAATCGGTGCGAGAGTTCCAGGCCAGGCGTTTCGCCCCCTTTTTGTGGGCAACCCTTCTGATGCCCGTTGGCACTTGCGTTCAGATTTCAGCAGTTTAGTGGTTGGATTTCAACCACCAAAACACAATAAGCAAAAATGTAAAGTGTTTCTCAACAACAACCATGATTTGTGGTGTGTTAATGACCCTGGCGTTCCCGGGGCGCAACCACAGCAACCAAAGAGTCTTCAGAAACTGGGCCCGTGTTCAGATCCCCCGCTAAAAGTGACTTTTCGTGGGTTAAAAAAGGAAACCACGCATAAACACCAAAAGGCGAAAAAGCTCCCCGGACCCGGGCCGGGGAGCCCAACCGGGCCAGCGAGAGCCCTGAGACTGGGATCTAACAGAAGCCCCACCGGCTGAACCGGTCCAACACGGCAAACAATTCGATACCCAGCTCGCTTCCTGAGTCGATTGGCCAAAAAACGTCCAAGCTTTTTGCTTACCACCAAAATGGTCCAAACCCAAAAAGTAAAAAGTCCATGAACTCAGGGAGTGAGTCAAACCCAAAATGTTGAAAGGTGTGCTCAGGCGCGCTCAGGCATGCTCAGGCTCTCGTTTTTGTTTGTTTGTTTCCCCCCTCTCTTTTTTCTCTTTCCCTCTCTCTCCCTCTCGCTCAGTCTTTATTTCTTTCTTTATTGATAATCTTTCTTTCTTTCTTTCTTTCTGTATTTCTTTATTTCTTTCTTTCTTTCTTTCTTTCTTTCTTTCTTTCTTTCTTTCTTTCTTTCTTTCTTTCTTTCTTTCTTCTCTCTCTCTCTCTCTCTCTCTCTCTCTGCTCCTTCTCTTGCTCTCTAGTGCAGGGTTCCTTAAAGAATGAATACAACAACTTCCTTTACTTAGGTTGCTCCTTCCTTCGCGAAAGGTCGATCACCGTAGCCGAAGTTATAAGGATCCAAGTTGATTCAGCTGTGTCTTGGTTGTTGGGCGGCCCACCCCGGAAATCTTGGCTGTTGCTTTGGCTTTCGTTTAAGACGTAGTGCCAAGAAACATCAACACGTGAGCCGCACATGGAGTCGACCGGCCCCAGTTGGAGGGGTGTGCCAACATCCCGGTTACGTCGTCCCGTCGCCTCCTTGGCGTCTGAAGCCGCCATCCTGGCGAATGGAAAAGGTCGAGAGGGGTCAAACTGAACTGACGAACCCACCACTCCAAAGGACCAACTGGATGGAGGGCTCACTGGCTTGCCCCTTGAGTTGATCAAGTCACTATTTGCCTTGAATTAGGTTACCAAAAAGGGAAATGGCCCCAAAAAAAACGTTGCCCCTGTCGGTGGCGCTCGCCACTGGCTAAGACATGCCACGGCATAAAAAAGACAGCCCAAAGAACAGCTCAATTGCCCCTTTTGGCCACGAAACCTATATCCTCCAATAGAGAGATTAGAATAAGGGTACCCTTTTTTCCGTAGTCAATTTTAGTAGGGGAACCCTCCTAAGCGAGAAAGGGCACCCAGCTGGGGGACCTAGAAACATAGTGGAACCCCAACCATTGGGGAAACCAAAAGCTCATATCAGCTCCGTTTTGGACGACCGAGAAGAAGGCCACCGCACGTTCGGTTCGTGTTCTATGGCCTTCGGTCCGAGACGGATCCCAGTGAGCTGGCGGGGGGAGAGGTCTTGGGGTTGCGAGCGAAAACAGAGGAAGCTCCACTTGAAACCTTGAGACCCCGTCCACCGAAAGCGGGGGAGGCAAAGTCAAGGTCCCATCCCTGCACACATCCCTTGGCTACAGGAGCAAATGCCTCCTTTCGGTTGCCCAAGCAAAAGGTGTGGCAACATGGGAAGCCTTTGCCTCGCTTCCTGAGTTGATTGGCCAAAAAAAGTCCAAACTTTTTGTTTACCACCAAAATGGTCTTCCCAAAAAGTATAAAGTCCATGAACTCAGGGAGTGAGTTGCCCACTCTGACTCATGACTCATCATTGGCACGCGCTGAAGCCTCGAGTCGTCCAGTTGCAACCCGGTGATTTAAACCCTCGAGGATCCCATGCCCCGCATGGTACTTGGGAAGGTCGCCAGATGTTTTCTGGATGCTTTGGACCAGTCTCTCACCTCTCTCACCCCTTCAAGAGAAGACTTGGCGCATCGTTTGGAACTTGGAGATCGAAGCAGGAACACTCAAAGGTTCTTGGTTGCCCCTGAGGGACAAGGTTGACCTTTTTGGGGCCATGACTAAAATTGGACCAAGCAGAGAAATCCAATTGGTCACAGGGTCGAAATCCTTTGGGCAAGTGAGGGTTCAACTAGAGGGCTTTGGGCCAGGACACGTGTCCCAAAGCCCCCCCCTGGCCTTGTCAAGCGAGGCAGCGACTGCGAATGGGATAAGCCACAAAGCTGCGAGGATCCAAGGCAGATGCGCCGTTGGCCACCAGTGCCAAGTGTCTCCCCAAGGCATTACTCGCTGAAAACCCCTCCAAAGTAATCTCACTTCCTGAGTTGACGGTCCAAAAAAAGGAATTGACCAAACTTGGTTGTTTGCCGCGAATGGTCCAAACCAGCACAGTCCATGAACTCAGGGAGTGAGTAACTAGTCTTGGGATCGTAAATTCAACAGGCGCTGCGGCTGCGTGTCGTTAGCACCTGCATGTCGGGGAAATGAAGCAACACCGCGCCGAGCAACCACTCCCAAACCTAGTGCATGTTTGGTGAATCTTCGTCAGATGATGTTCTGAGGAGTACCCGGGCAGCTAAAACAAGGGGCCCTCACAACAGCGGAAGCTTCCCCTTGCCTTCCTCTACGAAAAAATCGTGTCTGGACGAAGCTTTTCTCCTGGTGGTTTTCATTGAAACTGCACCGTTGAGGGTTCCGAAATAAACATGACCCGCACCCACCAAAAAGGCACTCCCAACCCCTCCCCCTCCCCCCCAAAATGCCAAATCCCAACCCCCCCAAACCCCCCAACCCCCCTACCCCCCTACCATCCCAGGCAAAAAGGGACGAGCCCATGTGTGAAGCAGGTCTCAGGTCACCACTGCGCTCCTCACTTCCGCCACGGGGTCGTGGAGCCCTGAGCGTCTCAAGGAAGGGCTGCTCCCCGCCTTGCTTTTTTTTTTCCGGTGGTTTTTCTAGGGGAAATCCAAAGGAGCACCACCATGTTGGGGACCAAGTAGGGGGTTGAACCAAGGAACCCCTAAGGAACAAGGTGTCTTTCTACCCTAGGTCCTATTTCATGTTCAAGCAGACAATCAGACAACCGGTTGGTGATTTGCATGATGGTTTGGAGTTGGATTTGAACCCCTGGCTCTTGTGGGGTGAATGGAAACCACCCCGAAGCACCTGGGCAATCCAATTCATCAAGTAGAATCAGGTGCCTGTGCAAAAACAACAAAAACAAGCGGCTACATGGATGGGTGTGTGTGTGTGTGTTGGCGAGTTTCAGGGTGCAATTTGGGGCTGGTTTAAGCACAAAAACAAAAGGACACCATTTTGGGCGGTCCCCGCATTTTACATATGACAAAATAAGTCCACCCAGATTCCCTTATGATCATGTCTCAATTGAGCCACTCGTGGAATTTCAGAACCCCCACTCAACCGAAATCCACAGGGGACGCCTTTAACCAAAGGCGCATCCAAACCCTTTTCGGCGTTTAAGTATTCTCAGTTGCTCTGGCGTTGACTATTCTTCGTTGGTCTCAACCACCAAGCAAGGCTTGGTTGACGTTGGAAGGGGAGCAAAGAGCAACAAAAAGCAGTTAAGTGGTTGGATTTCAACCACTCAACCACAATAACTTACCCCTTAAAACTCCAGGCCCTGGGGAAGTTAATCTTTTACAGACATATAGCCCATGTTACCCAAAACGTTGAGAAACGTTTTGTGTTTTTAAGAGGTAAGATAAGCAAAAATGTCAAGACTGTTTCCCAACCACAGCCATGAAGGGGTTTTCCCCTGGGCCGGGCATCTGGACCATCTGTATGATCGGATGCTGAGCGCCTGACGTTCCAGAAGCGCCTCCGTCGCGCGCATCGACACCTCCGACAAACACCGGGAGGAGATGTGCTGCAGGATGTCGATGGCCGACAGACCTCACTGCGCACCGTATGGGTTTGTCGCGTCCAAGGTTTGGTGTTAAAGGGAAACATCCCACATGGAGTGTTTCAAGCGCCCGAAGGCCGGCTAAGGCCGGAGGCCAATTTGTTCATGGGTCTATTGGGGTAGCTGTCTCTGGGATCCCTACCGGGGACGGCAGAGACAGTCGTGAGAATAACCCGACGAAGCCCCCTTGCAAGCAAGCTGTTACCCAATTACTCCCCTGCAAACCGACCAACAAAAAGAACGTCACCAAAAAAGAGATTCCTCTAACAATGGCCTGTTCCATGTTGACCTGTAGGGGGATTCCCAATAAGATCGTGTAACACATTCAAATCTGTGTTTACCAAAAATATATCTATATGCATATCTGTTCCATTCATTCTCGGTTGTACTAACCCATATACGGGTCATATATGGGTTTGTGGGATTGTTTCCCCTTAACCCATTTTGTTGCTCTCCAGCAGCCACTGGACCACTTTGGTGGTGGGAAAGCCGCCTGCTGAAACTTGGGTCGTACAGGAAGCGAAACTCGTTCAACAGAGGAAACCCCCCGCCCCCCCCCCTCCCCCACCAAAAAAGAAGAAGACACACTTAGGCTTAGTGTCATTGCTGTGGGCTTCGTCCGTTAAGAAAAGGTTTAGGAGTCTACGACTCGAGGTCTGTAGATGCGGTCACAGAACAAGGACTCCATGCTGAAACCGCCTCCAAAGTTACCACCCCCAAACAAAATCCGTGGAGGTCCTCTCAGCTCCTTCCGGCCTCTCAGCTCATGCCGGCGCCCACATCGAACGAAACGAAAGGATGAAACGATGAAACGATGAGGGGCCCCCCACGCAGTCGAGAGCTGGTGTGGCTCAGCTTCCGCACCACCTTGGCAAATGCCACATGGCTCAGATGGGCTTTGGTATTCCACCCTAGCAATACTTTTTTTTCACTGGGTCTTGACCCCATTTAGGCGCATTTCCGGAGCAAGCCGTGTTCTTTTGGACCATGGGGCACTTCCCAGGGGTGTAATCCCAGGGTGTAATACAAAAACCCTCAGAATGGCACAGAAGGTGGCCAGAGATTTTCGGAGATGCCCAGTGGATTTCCATGGGAAAAAACATGAAAAAAAGGACCGGCACCCGATTGTTTTTCTTGGTTGAGTTTTTCCAGGGGAACCCTTCACCAAACAAAGTGGAAAAAAGGCACCAGCGGGCAACAAAGTGTTGCCTTCCCGTCTGCAGTAGTGATAGATTGACTCATTGAAACCGACAGGGGCAAAGAATGCCTCTAAAGAACACCCAAAAGGGGGAAAAATATATATGAAGCAAATGGAAGCTTAACTGAAATGAAGAGCCTCCCTTTTTCGAGGGCTTCTACACCATCAGGGGGGGGGGGCTGCAGAAATTTATTCAGGTGGAACAGGCAAACCATGTTCCTGGGATGTTGTTAAAGGTGAAAGGGACAGAATGAACAAAAAACACACACACAAACTGCCACGGAGGTAGCGAAGAGTTTTCAAGACTTGGGTTCCAACTCATCTCTGAAAGGAAGCAATGGAGCAAACCAGATTTGCTTGGCACAGGTACTGGCTTGGCCTCCTACTTTCAAATTGCCCTTGATTCACGCGCGGTCTTGATTGGAGATGTAAATAAGCATATGTTCTCATTTGGCTGCGGCTCAAACAACCGGTACCACAATGGCACCCTGGTAAGTGGAAACATGGACCAAAACCTGCGTAACCCCTCCTGTTTAATTTTGAGCCACAACCCATTTACACTCCAAGCAAGCGTGGAACTTGACGTTCGGGACCTGGTCCCGTTCAACGGGCAATTTTCCAAACCAGGACCATCTACAAGCGTCGAACGGGCCTTGGGCTCTGGAGCTTCGGGTGTGGGGGGGGGGGGGGGGCGAGAAACGGACAGGGGTCACTGAATTTCCCATTTGCTGGCTGTTTCCATTGCAACTGCCATTTTTGGAGGTTCCAAAAAGCGGCACCCTGAAGAAACCCTGCACTTGCACTCAGGATCAAAACAAGGCATGCACACACACCTTGTGGATGTTATTGTTTTCCTTTTCTTTTTCTGGCGATGTCCAGCTTGGTCGAATCGAATGCAGCCAAGCGAGCATGAAAACGTGGTTTGATGGTGGGCGCCTGCCAAAAAGTGGGCCCGGAAAGAATGAAACGTGTCCATCTCGCTTTTCGTGTCTAAGTGAAATCTGAGAACCATTGGCTATTCTCTGGCAGATTCTTGGCTGTTGTTGACCCTTTTTGTGGGTTCAATGGAAAATCCCCTGTTTCCCCAAAAGTTAAAGTCCAAGGATCAAACCAGGCATACAAGATTAGAGTGCCCCTAAGTCAACCCGCAAAAAATGGGACCGCTTTGAATCAGCCAACATGATGTGACTTTCTCAGGTCCACCTAGGAACGCTGAACGCCCGCCGGCCAAAAGCAGCAGCCGCGGCCGGGCTTGCCTTTTTTCCGAACTACGAGGCCCTTCGTTTCACAGCACGGCGTGGCGTGAGGAAATGGCCGTGGCGACCGAATGAACAAACTCAGCTGCCCTAAGGGTCTCGATGCTTTTTGGGCCTTCAAAACTTGTTGTCTGAGGGGTCGGGGTTCTCCATTGGTCGGAATTGTGCATTGGAGGGGTCGTGACCCTTGGGGTGTTTAGAAATGAGCAGGAGCTGGATGCAAATTTTAACACAAACACAAAACTGCAAACAAGAAACTTGGAAGCTTTCTGCCACTGACTTGTTTTAGGCTTTGTTGTTGATGCCCCACCTGTTGATTCCCCATTCGAGTGCGTGCAACAATGATTGATGTGTTCATTATACTCGATTGAACTCCTTAATAGCATTAATTCTGGTTGATATTCTTGGAAAGTGCAGAGAGCTACAAAAGAATTGGTGGACTCCACATGCAGTCGGGGCATCTAACGTATTGTCCAGACAAACTGTCCTTGCTGCTTAAGTGCTCTGGCTCAGCACTCCAAGTGCATGTGCCTGCTGTTGCGCGAACAGTCAAGTTACCCCAAGTGCCAAGCAAAGAACATCACTCCGAAGAAAAAACAAAACAAAGAAGAACAAACACAAGAAGGAAACACCAAAAAAACAAAACACGCGGCCCGGAAAAGAAGGATGAACGAATCATGGCAGCCCCACTTGCACCTGACCTAAAGAACTACTTCGCCCGTTTTTTTCTCCCCGAGCAACACCAAAACCACCGGCTCCGCCCGTTTTTTTTCCCCTCGCTTTCCCCTCGTGTTTTCTCCTCTGGGGCTCGGAGAAGCGGAGCGGATTGGTGCGAGATCAGCTGAGGTGGCGCAGGGCGGCGCTCATCACGTACTCCACCTGAGGCAGAGGCATTGCAACTCGCCGGAGAAACGGCCCCCACTCCGACCCATCCCCCGCCCACGACTCCACGCGACGAGGGCCCCACATGCCCCCACCACCCCTTTCAAAGGCGGCGAGGACTTGGGCGGCGTTCGGATTTTTTTTGTATGAGATAAGCTGGGCGGGAAAAGCAGATGATGGTCTGGATGCCCGCACAAAGCCGCAAAGCTTCTTGGTGAAGCCGAAGGCAAGACTGGCCGGCCCCATGTTGGAATCGCTTGCCTTTTTTAAAGAAAGCCAAAAGGAAACCAAGGACCTGAAGCCATGGGTCCTTCATTTTCAGAAGCACCGATGGGCGTCCTTCAGGTTTCCACTAGGACACAAAGGCCTTCCCATGAAAAGACCCAGAGCTTGGTCCCTCGAGCCGGGGCGCCGTGGCCACATCCAGGGCTGCCAGCGCTTTCTCGCCCTCCGGAGTGGCAGCGCGGCCCATGGTGGCAGCCTCCATCAGGGCCTGGGCTGCCAGAGACGGCGAGGAGGGCGAGGCCGTGTCCTCACCAAAGTTTGTGCGCCCGGACGAGCCGAAGGCCTAGCCTCCAAGCACTGGAAACCCTTTCTTTGGGGCTCCACATGGCTCCACCCAGAGTCTCCATGACCCCTAGAAAACGCTCCAAGTACCCCGGGTCGGGTGCCCCAACTGGTTAATGGGGTACAGCCTCAGAAAAAGGGGCATGACCCCTTAAGTTTGGGTAATGACCCTATTTTTAGAGGGTCATGGAGACTCCAGGAACCTTCAGGGGGAAAGCTTTACTTTGGGGTTATTTCGGGGGTATTGGCTCTATTTTGCCTTTTGGGTAGTGGTTTGGGGCTAGTGGAAACCATCCTAGACGCTTCCCTTCAGGAAATTGATCTTCTAGGAGCCGGGTTTTGATTTTTCCGGGGTTCCTCTGGATTAGTTACAACTCCTTTCGGCTTCCTTAGTCCGTGCTTTTTCATACAAGTTCCCACTCCATTGCAATTCCAGGAAGGCCTGGAGTACGATCAAGGTACTCAATGATTGTTTCGGGATGAGAGAGACGCATCCCAAACCACCCCTTTTCCAGGGTTGTTTTTTTTCCACATGAACCGCCCCTTGAAAAGAGTTTAATGTTGACCCCGGATTACTAAACCCCTATTCATCAATAAAGGGGTGTGTCCCTGGTGTTAGTGATCACTTTTGGCGGGAAACACCCCTCTTTGTTCATCAACAAGGGGTGCCGTTAATCCGGGGTCGACATCACCAGGCGGTTGCTGGTTTACTCCACAAAGAGCGGAGTAGCCACGAAACCAGTTCTGAATCAAGTAAGTATTGGTGAAACATGGTGTTACCTCAATTCATTTGATCTTCCACTTGCTCAAACCCGCTGAAAACAAAAGGCCAGTAGTGATAGATTCCCCTTTAAAGCCAAGGGGAAAATAACAACACCACGACATTCTTAAGCAATGGGAATGTGATGATGATGTGAGTTTGGTCGACCCATGCTCTCTCCAACCTCTCCTTGGGCGGCGGGATGTTCAGCACGCCCCCCTCGTAGAGCTGTCGCCATGCCTCTGCCACCGACATCTGCAGCGCCGGCAGCGGCACCGGCGCCATTTCCGGCACCGAGTTGCCGCCCGCCTGGACCAGGACGACGGCGGTTCTGATACTTCCATTTGCTTAACCCCCCCCCCAAAAAAAAAAAGTCCAGTAGTGATAGATTCCCTTTAAAACCAACAGGGGGAAACAAAAAACATCTTACCCAAATGGAAGGTTACGGTTCCATAGGTGGCCTTTGGGAAAAACTGGATGACCCTCCAAATGGTGGTGAAGGGAACCCACTCCAAAAAACAAGCAACAAAAGAAGAGACCCCCTCAAACTGTGAATTTTACTGGGCCAAGCATAGGTGGCCTTTGTAAAAGTAGATTAATCGAACTAACTTAAAAAGGGCACCTATTGGCGATATTTGGCGATTCTGTTGCGCCACTTATATCCAGCGGATTGTGTGTCCATCGGGAGTAAAAGAGATTGCTCAGAGACCAAACTCATAGAAAATAAGGAGATGGTTGTTCAAACAACGTGTGCCTGGATCCGATCAGGATTGCATGAGATTTGTGTAGGCAACCAGGATCTGCCTCACGGTTCAGGCATAAGCCCAAAGCGGATGCTCAAACACAATATTGATGTTCAAACATGTTAAACATGTGTCAACTTGCTGTTGGCCTTTTTGGGCATGGCGCCAGACCCCCCGCAAAGGAGGGAGGCTGGGACTCTTGTAACTTGCACCAAAGACCCTGGCGAGAAATCGGCACTGCACTGGGTTGTGATCCTGCCCGTAGAGTCTGGAGCGAACTGTTGCGAGCCCCCTCAAATCCGAGTCTAAACTTCACAACACTCGGCATGGTTGCAATCATCTGACTGTTTTTGCAGCCCCCCTGAAAAATAAGAACCAACCAACTAACCACTAAAAAGACTTGATCCAAGAATAGTGAAGTAATGGTCGCTTCAAGGGACATCACCAGTTCTCGCTCACAAGGGGACTTAGAGAGCGGTGCCCAGGGCTGCCAAAGGCCCGATATGACAAAGCCGCGACTCTGTGACCCATGTGTTCAAATCCATGACTACTAGGTCCTGCATTAGTTTGAGGTTAGAATAAGGGTACCAACTTTTCCCTGTAGTCTATTTTAGTAGGGGAACCCTCCCCCGAAAACAAAGGATGAAAGGGCACTACTGGGGGACCTAGACTAGGGGAAATCTCACTTCCTGAGTGGACTGGCCAGTCCGAGCTTTTTGTTGACCACTAACATTGCAGCCAAACCCGAAACAAACAAACAAAAAGTCTGGAGCTGCCCTATGTTGCTGAAGTTTGGGGCCTCAAATTGTTTTGCCCCTTTTGGTCCGCCTTTGATGCGCAGCTCCTCTGATTTGCTTTGCCCTTTTGGTCCCCCCTTTGATGCAACTCCTCATTTTGTCGCCCCTTTTGGTCCCCCGTTGATGCGCACCTCGGGGTGTGCTACGGACTTCGAGGTCCCCAAATTCCGCATGCCAAGCCCCAGGACCGAAAGCTCTGAAGGGAGCCGTGGGTGATGACCCAATTTCTCTCCAGGGTGTTGAGTAGCCTTCTCGGGTAGGTAAACTGAAAACAACAAAAACAAATGTGTAGCAAAAACCAACTATATCTGTATGTGTATGTATTTGTATGTATACACATAGAGTATGTTTTCTTTTTTTGGGGGGGGCTGGTCCCTAAACCGCCCATAGGAGCTGGAGCCCCACATCTCTCGCTCAAACTCTCCCGCCTCAGGTCTGAGCAGGCAGCCCAGGCTGGGGTGCTTCACAGGCACCCAGGCCTCACAATGGAACTCAGGGATCCACTCGCCACCATCCGAACGAACGAACGAATCCGGGTCTCTGAGCACTGAGTGCGCGACCTTTGGGGGGCGGCCAAATGAAAAAGCACAGCAACAATTTGTGCGCGTGTGTGCCGCCATCCCTGCGATAAAGAAAAAAAAACCCTCTAAACTCAGAGCTAAAAGAAAGGGCATGGATCAGAACTGCCACGTTGATAACTTAGAAGACACTTAACGTCTAGAACCTGCGGACGGTGACATTTGTAACCCAGAGGGTCCCATCAGTACCCAATTGTTACGGAGTTGTGTTTGGTTCCTTCGAGGATTCGTCAATTGTAGATTCCTCAAATCCGCAAATATGAGGTACTTGGACCCCCTGGGCAAGGGCCTCAAAACGAGCAGAACCAACTAGGTCCTCCAGTAGAGAGGGTAGAAGAAGGGTACCAACTTCTTTCTGTAGTCTATATTAATACGCGCAGGGCACATAGTCACCCGCACGTTTTTGCGCATGTCCTCGGAGCTCATGTGTCTATTCTCAGGCAGTTTGACAAGAATGCATGTTTCTGGGGTTGTGGGACATCCAGGAAACTAACTCAAGCTAGCTGAATCTCAGGTCGACATGTGCAGTTTTGGACCAAGTCAGCACACATGGCGCTTAGCGGATGTGCTTATCATGTGCCAGTGTGCGTGCAGCTCTGACGTGATGCGCGTCATGGGGGGTGCTTATCACGTGCTAGCGTGCGCGCAGCTCTGATGTGACGCTCGGGAGCGGGTGTGCTTATCATGCGGCAACTAGCGCACAGCTCTGACGTATCATGTCCCAGCATGCGTGCAGTTTTGACGTGATGTGCGTGAGCGAGTGTGCGGTGTCAACGATCGTGCAGCTCTGACTCTGACGTGATGCGCGTGAGCGGCTGTGCTTATCAGTTGTCAACGAGCGTGCAGCTTGGACGTGATGCGTGTGAGCGGCTGTGCTTATCGTGTGGCTAGCGTGCGCGCAGCTCTGACGTGATGCGCGTGAGCGGGTGTGCTTATGTGCAGCTCTGAGGTGATGCGCGTGAGCGGGTGTGCTTATAAGTTGTCAACGATCGTGCAGCTTGGACATGCTGCGCGTGAGCGGCTGTGTCTATCATGTGCCAGAGAGCGTGCAGCTCCGCGCGTGAGCAGGTGTGCTTATCATGCGCGCAGCTCTGATGCGCGTGACAGGGAGTGCTTATCATGTCCCAGCACGCGTGCAGTTTTGACATGATGCGCGTGAGCGGGTGTGCTTATCAATTGTCAACAAGCGTGCAGCTCTGACGTGACGTGCGTTTAGCTCTGACGTGATGCGCGTGAGCGAGCGTGTATGCAGGGATGGAAGCCACTCAGACATGCGGGTGGGTAAAAACCCGGTACCTTTTACTAGGGGAACCCTCCCCCAAAAAAAAGAGTAAAAGGGCACTACTGGGGGACCTAGTCAAAACGAGCAGAACCAACAAATCAACAAAAACTGAGAACAATAACATAAAACCTGACAGGGGCTCTTTCAGCTGTTGGGAAAACAGGGCCTGGGGCTTCCCGAGTCATTCTTTCCAGGGATCTGTCTTTCTAGAAAAGACACCCAGGGAAAACGGCCAGATTTTGAAAGAACGATGCTTGAAAAGAATGGGGAATCATCCCCTAGAACAATTCGAACGATGGTTCGTGTTTTGCGGGACTTGAATGAAACAGAGGCGAACACATATAAAGAGCGCTGGACACTCAGAGGGTGAGCAGTTTTAGACGACTGAGAATAAGTCGAAACCTGAAATAAGGCGCCAAGCTGTTTTCAGGCGCTTCACGGCTTGCCCTTGATTTCACCCCTGAATTGGAAAGCTCGAGCCCTGTGAACTTCTTAGTTACTTCTGTGGATTGGCCAAAGAAAGTAGCTGAAATTTCTTGTTGCCACTAAACCGGTCCAAACCCAAAAAGCGACTTAACGTCCGAAACGGAAGTCAGGGAATGAGATACCCTTTTTCCAATCGTGTAAGTGGACGATCGGGCGCTCCCCCAAAAGAAAGGTAGTCTTGCAAAACCTCTTGATCATCATGGAAGGGAGTACCTGACTTGCTAAAGTCACCAACCGTTTATGCGTCACTCAAATCGCACCCAAAGCCCGAAAAAATTGCTCAAGTCCGAGTTACGGAACTCAGCTAGGTTTAGAGGACAGAGTGAGGGCACCAGTCTATTTAGTAGGGGAACCCTCCACCAAAAAAGTTGGTAAAAGGCACCTAGCTTCGGGGACCTAGTCAGGGAGTGCTCGGAGTGATGTAAAAAAATTGGCAGATGCCAAGTCGCCTCCTCTTGTGCCAAGCGCCGCCACACGCGGGTGGCGTCCCACTCCTCGGATTACCATCCAAAGACCAGGGCACCCGTGGGATTCGCCGTTTGATCCTTTTTGGGTTGAGGAGTTTAATAGTAATGATAATAATGATGATAATCATAAAAAGAAAACAAGGGATTCGGGAAACTTGGGCCCACGACCACTTCAAACATCACCAAAAAGAAGCTCCCCCATGTCGTTTTCCCTTTTAGCAAAGGCGGCTTCTGGGGAATCAGGCAGTTGCATAGCTCAAAATGGCTGCAATTTACCGTCTAATTCTCTCCCCGTTTTACCCCCCATGGGCCATGCTCATGCCATCCTCATGCGGTGCTTCGACCCTCAGGGTTTTAAGGAGTTTTGGTGGACCCCTTTTGTGTAAAGGGAAATGACGAGAAACAACACTGTTTTAGGGCTCCCCTGTTTGAGGAACACCCATCAACAACCCAAGGAGATACGTTGGAGGCGCCAGGGGAATTTTGCTTCCAATTGGCCAAAGCGTCCTTGTTTCAACCCAGCTTGGCTCACATTAGGGGTACACAGAACAAACTAATTTCGGCTTATTAGCCTACCCAAAAAACACAGAGGTTTGGAGACCCACTCTCACTTTGAATCGGCCAAGGTGATGATTAAAGCCACCCCAGGACAGGTTTCCCATTTTTTTCTGATTGGAATCCCTCAACTAAAGGAAAGCTCACTTCCAATTGGTTTAAAAGTGGATGATCGAAACCACCAGAAACAGTACCAGAACCTTGGGAAGAGGCAGGGCCAAATTCCTGGGAAATGGCTACCTGCTACAGTGGTAAGTGGATGCATGGACCACGGCTATAACTTGAAACTAGGGATAGTCTAAGTGGGTGTGAATGTTCATGAGGGACCTTCTGTTGGACCTCCAAATTCGCTGTGTTGGATCGGTTTGGCATGGCAGTAAAGCAACATATGTGTTGCAGCCCCGGCTAAAACCGAACAGACGCAAACCAAACCTTAACAACCAAAAATCATGATCCGACAACAATGCAACAGCCAAAATCGCCAAGCGGCTGCCACTTCCTGAGTTAGTGGGCCAAACCAAGTCCAAACTTTCTGTTTGCCACCAAAATGGTCCAAACCCAAAAAGTTTGAAGTCCATGAACTCAGGAAGTGAGCCCGAAACCATACCACAGGGTTGCTCCAAGCCTAAGTGTAAACGGTTGTACCACCAGACCCCTGGAACATACCCCTTAAGGATAAGACAAAACAACACGGGTAAATTAGGGGTAATTCAGCCCCAATAGCAATCAAGTAAAGGGAGGCCACCCTGAAGACCACTTCTTTTTTGGGGGGGGCCAAACCTTAAAAGAGACGCACCCAAAGATTTCCAGTAGTGCAATCAAGAACACATTTTTTTGATCGATCCCGGGGCGCTGCGAGCAGCACCTCCTCCCCAGGCCGCAGGCTCCGCAGCTTGGGGCTGCGGAAGCAGGGCCGCTGCCTCAGCGCCACCAGCGGCGAGTGGAGCACCACGTGCCTTCCGAGTCGAGCGCGCGCGCGGCGCTCGCGGACGAGCGGCGAGGAAGGCTGAGCCGAGGAGCCCTCGAGGTGGTTGTGGGAGGTTCAAAACCTCTCACTTCCGAGCCAGATTGGCCAGAACAAGTCTTTTAGGTCCTCCAGTAGAGAGTAGAGAGGTTAGATCCAAACAAAAAAGGGTAAAGGGCACTACTGGGGCACCTAGCCAAAAGTGACTAAAGCCCAACCAGCGATTCCATTTCCCCGGGTTTGTGGCAGCCAAGGGACACATAAAACCGAAGGGACACAGGAAGGCGCAGGAAGTGAGGGAAGCTGAAGACACCGCTTCGGACCTTTTGCGGAACTCAGCTGCTGCTTGGGCTCTTGAGGCTTTGGAAACGGCGTGCTAGACCAGCACCCCCCAATGGCTGGCCAATTGCCGGCACATCGACTTTGGGCAAAACCATGTCACTTTTTGCCTAAGTGACTGCAAAAGCAATTTCCTACTAAGTATCACTCATGTGTACTTAGTGCAATTTGTGCAATGATACAAGTGACTTTCCAGGGTCCTTTCGGGGGGGGGGGTTGCAGGCGAAAGGGGAGGCAGGCAAATTTGAGGTTTGGAGGGCCGTCACACCAGCGTGTCCCCCCCCCCACCCCCAACGCGTTGCATGTGCAATGATCATACATGTCAGCCCAACCCCTCAACTGGATCCCCTCTGGTATCCTGAAGTGACGTTTCAACAAAAGTGACCTTTCACTGCACTTTGATGATGGCAACACATCTATGTGACTACAAAACCATTTTGAAGCAAGTGCTGGTCAATTGCCGGCACGTCACCCGGGACGCCAATTGCCGGCTATCGGGGGTGGGAAGGGTCCGGCATGAAACTGTCCGCATCCGGAACAATCTGCAGCCACCTTGTTACATCATCCTCGCACGTATTCATCCCGCTAAGATTAGGTCTTCCCAAAACAACGCTAAAATTTGGTCTTTCCAAAACGTCCATGAACTCAGTAAGTGAATTGAGCATCTACCAAATCGCCTGGCACCCGAGGCTTTGGTCGTGCCCGGCATCGCGGAAGAGCTCGCGGGCGTAGAACCCTCCTCGCGTCGGGCTTTGCCGGTTCACAGATGTCACTTTGGAAGCCTAGTGTGGGTGGACGACATCCATTTCTCGCGCCACCGTAAGGGTCATGACCCCTCTGCACACCCCCGGACCCTCCAATGGAGAACCCCGACCTTTGAGGGGCCCTTGAAAAGAATTAGTGAGGCTCCAAAAACAAGCAAGAGAAATTCAGGGCACCAAAGAAGAATGGCGATTCTCCTTGTAAATGCCAGAAATGGCGTTTCATGGGTTCGGAGTGGTGCAGGATTTCGTCCATCCACAGTAGTACCCTGTAGGGGGTGGTTTGAACATGACGCTTTGGGGAATCACACGCCGCTTTCACGAGGAACGTGGAAATGGACGGGCCCTTGAAGATGACGTCCAAGACCCTCATGACGGGCTTTCGGCCGGCCGAGAGAGAATGCTAGCATGGCAGGCTATACCTTGAGTTCGTTTTCAAGCATCCCCTTCATATCTGTTGCTACGGGGTGGGGATAAAAAACTGACGGTTTTCTGCAGCCCCCTACTTAAAAAGAAAAGTGAACAGAACAACAAAAAAACCAAGAAGAACACACGACTTGCCAAGAACAGTGAAGCCTCACAACCCCATTCCAAACTGGGGGCTGCCTTGACAATGTCAAACTATCCATCCCCTTCGGGCTGCTTCTCGCAGAATGTTCAGCCCCGAAGCACTGCTTAGGCCCTTGTTGCACTTGCCCTCCAAATCCCTTCAAGTCAAAGCTTGAGCTTTTTGGACCCCTTGGTCTTCCCATAAACGGTTGGCTTTGGCGGAGTAGGTTGCTGTGCGTGAAATTTGGATTTTGCAAAATCAACAAATGCTTCCCCTTGCGGCTATTATCGGCTATTTACTCACTTCCTGAGTGGATTGGCCAGCAAAAGTCCACACTTGTTGTTTACAAAAGCGCCACTAGGGCCTCCAGTAGAGAGGTTAGAATAAGGGTACCAACTTTTCCCTGTAGTCTATTTTAGTAGGGGAACCCTCCCCAAAAAAATGTTGAAAGGGCACTACTGGGGGAACTAGTCAAGTCCAGCAACTCAGGGAGGGAGAAAAAGCACCAGTTCTTCATTCCAGAACCGTCCTTTCCGCGCTCCGAAAGCACCACAGGCGGAAGGGCGGCCGCGGGGGGAACCTAGTCTCATCGGGGAACTTGGCAAATGACCACTTCCCTCTAAGTTGTTTGGAGGTTGCGGATGATTTCCCAGTTCCCCTCGGCATAAAGCAGACGCCAAAACCCTTCGACTTTGGGCTTGATACGAAACACCCATAGATATATCCAGACTACACCACCGTACCAACCAAACCCATAACCAACCTGCAAAAGCCCGTCAAATGCACAAAAGCCGGTTTGGGTTCCACGTTAACCTGCTGGAGTAAACTACATCGGATGGTGGAACTTCGAAAATCGTCCTTGGGATGTCATTTGTGACTGGTTCCCTGTGGTTTGCATCAGGGTTGCAAAACATGTCGATGTAGGGATCATCCCTAAAGGCTGCGTTTTGGCATTGCAAAACGTTGCACAGTAGGAAGCTATTGGCTCGAAAGGTGCAGTGTGGTCAACCGAGTCGAATCTCAGGTGAACAGGGATCCTTACATTATACACCTGAACATTGCCTTGTACATGGTGGTTTCCAACTTTATTTTGGTGTTGAAAAACCATGTTTCAAATGGGCAAATTGTATCTTTTAAGGAGCCCTGGTGAAGTTACAACGGTACTTGGAATGCTGCGCCTTGACCCGGGTAAGGAGTCATAAGGCACCATTGGTCAGCTGGAAAGCTCCAGGCAGACTCATCCAACTTCGACTCTCCCCTAAGCGCGGTCCTTCTTTACTCGGTTGCTTTCTGCTCCCCTGCTAAAAGCTTAACTTTTAGTGGTTTAATGGAAAACCCATTAGTTGGCAAAAAGTTAAAGTCCTAACATCCAAGCAACATGCACCAAAGTTTAAGCATCGACATACTAAATTTTTAAAAGGCAACACGGAGGTGACGTTTAAGCTGGAATCTAGCAGCAGAACCCTTCGCTCTCCTGAGGCTAATGTTCTGGACCAAACCTACCCCAATCAAAGTGCAAGCGGAAGCACCGCTTCTCTGGGTGCTGCCGCCACATGTAGCGGCATTGCTTCTGGCGGCGCTGCTTCTGGCGATGACAGTGCAGCTGCTTCAGCAAAAGCTGCTGCTTCTGCAACCTTTGTTTCTTCTGGCTCTTCTACCGATGCTGCCATCGCTTCCAGGTCTTCTACTGGTGCTGCTGTCGGCACTTCTGCCGGCGCTTCCGACTCTTCTGCCGACACTTCTGGCCAGGCTGCTTCTTCCGGCACCTCCTTGGTTGCTGTTGACCCCCCTACAAAAAGTTCTTCACTTTTTGGGGGGTTTAGTATAGAAACCACCTTTATTTCAACCAAAAAGGTGTAAAGTCTAAAGATCCGTTGCCCAATAACAGTCAAGCCTCTAGCAGTGCTGCTGGCATCGCCACTGAGGCTTTTTCGGGTGCTTCTTTGGCCGCCACCTCTGGCTCCTCTTCATCTTCTCTCGGCGCAAACGCTTCAGCCTCTTCGACTTCGGCTTGAGCTTTTACCGGCTCCTGGCGCTGCTCTCCTAGCCAGCTTCCCTCAAAAAAAAGAGGCTCAATTGGATGTTCAGCCAAGCTGATGCTAAAGGACGCCTACTGTGGATGGTTGCGAAATCCGCGAAGGCGCCACCGTTCAGAAACCCTATGATTCGATTCCCCAGCGCAAATGCCAACCAACAATGGTTTCCCATGCTTTCCGTTTGGTGCGAAATGGATTTCGCAATCATCCCCAGTATGAGCGGGCTGCCATCCTGTAAAATGCCTGTGGGTTTTGATTTGCTTTCACCCCATGTACAAATGTTCCGCAGAGTAAGTGGCGCAGGTTGGCCATCCACAAATCATCAATGCGGAATCCCTTTGCGTTGCGCAGTGTGGCAAGCCAAATCCCACCCTCAGCATCTTAGGACCTGAAGCGGACCTTGAGTCCAAACCCTTCCAATGGAGCTCCAATGATCGTGTGGATGGTTGCTATGTCCGCTTCTCGCACCACAAAGGCAACCAAGCTGAAACCATAATGTTGGTATTTCTCACTTCCTGAGTGGACTGGCCAGAACCAGTCAACTGAGTATTTGCCACTAAAATCGTCTTCCCCCAAAAAATGCTGTTTATTTGCCACTTAAATCTTCTTCCCCTCCAAAAACCATGAAGTCCAACTCGGGGGAAGCGACTCAAACCTCAGGCCCAGGGCCCGGCCGGAAAGGTTCAAAGCGTCGAGCGCAAGTTGAGAAAACTTCGAGTTTTCGGCCACGTGTTACCAGCCGAAGCACGTGAAATGTTATTGGAAGGTTTTGGCTTTGGGAGGCAAAAAGAAGCTAGAAGGTTGTGAGTGGGGTTCGATCAATTGAAGCTTGTGAGTGATGGGCTTCGATCAATTGAAGTTATGGATAGGAGCGAACTCTTCGCAACCAGAAAGTCTGACTTCGGCGCTGCGTCAGCATTTCTTGGTTTCGAGGTTTCCTTCAAACCGTTTTGCAAGGGGTAATCCCAGGGACAAAATCAGGATTGCCTTTGAAAACCCCGTGGGTCTGAGTAATAAGGCCCTCACAGGGGCTGAGAGACGTGCTGGATTCATGACTAGGGGGTTCAGAATCAGGGTGCTCGGCCAAGTTAGAAACGTTCACACAGGATTGATAAGCCCCTGGCTGATCAACAACATGGTTTGCATTTTCTACTATTTGGGGAGTAAATGATAAGCCGTCCCTTTGATATTGTAGAAACTTGTTGATCCACCACTCCGGTACCTTCCCAAAGCTCTAAACTGACCTAAAACCGAAGGGCAACCAATGGAAGGCTTCCAACGTCGACACTCGCCGAAGGGTGGCTTCGAGCACACCAGGGTGTTTCTTTCGATTCTTGATGTCTGGACAGGTTGCGAAATCCATTTCGCGCCAACGGAAGGATTCGAGTTTCCTGTAAAACCACACAAACATTATGGTTTCGAGCAGTGCTGTTTATGGATTTCGCAACCATCCACTGCATATATAAAACATGGAAAAAGGGGCCGCGTTTGAGACTCTGCCCCGCCGCCTTGTCCCGCCCGCCCAGTCGGAAAGGGAATGCCACAAAATTGGGCCCAGATTTTGAGAGACAACCCCACCCCCCCTACATAAACAAAACCACACCAACTTCAATATGCGCGGCTTGTTCTTTTTTTAGAGGAGCCCGCAAAATGGCTATGATAATAAAAAGACAATTAAGAAAAAAGGACGAGCCACCCATCGAAACCCTCACTTAGAGCTCGGGATGGGCTTGCCAGCGGCCCCAGACACCCCCCCCCCCCCCATCCCGTCCAGCGCAGATTTCAAGCGACGAAGGAGTGGTGCTGGCAGGTCTAAGGAGCCCAGGTCGGCAATTTTTGCCTCACCACAGAACCTCGGGGCTCGGGGTGGATTGTTATTTAGAGACAGGCACCAATAACCTCCGATCCTTTTAGTTTACCACTAAAATGGTCTAAAGTCTAGGAACTTAGGGAGTGGGTTCCATGGGCCAAGTAAGATTGATGGCTGCTCAAGGACCCTTTTTGAGCAACTCGGGTAAGGCGGCGCTCCACATGTTGCATTCTCCCAGCTGAGAAACCTGCCAAAGCCAAAAATACGGCGGATGCTATGTTGCAAGTAAGGGAGCACGCAAACTCACCTGAAAATGCGGTAAAGTATCCACCGCCCACTCAATTCCTCAGTGGACTTCCATGGTGAGAAAACAAGGGCACCCGTTGCTTTTTGTCGTTGACCTGAAATCCCCTGCGACAACTCACTTCCTCTGTGGATTGGGCCAAAAAGGTTTGAACTGTTTTTGCCACCAAAATGGTCTCCCCAACAAGAAAATAAGTCCAGGAACTCACGGAGTGATTTGACACCCATTCCCAAAAAGCCGCTTTGCGTGCCGAAAACGTGCCCGTGATTCTGATTTGCTAGTCGTCAAGGACAGGAAGCAAGCCTTGGAAACCCCCTCCAAGAGGAAAAAACTTGGTTGCTTTCTGCTCCCCTGCTAAAAGTTTTAACATCTAGTGGTTTAATGGAAAACCCATCAGTTGGTAACAAAGTTGTCCTAACATCCCTTGGCAACATGCACCGACGAATTCGTTGAAGAGGTCCTTTTGAACAAATGATGGGTGTGCCTTTGTTTTGGAGTTGGCACCCTTTTTTGGGGGCTTGTTGAAAGGGGGAACCTTCCAAAGGAGCCACCAAGCGAAGGAGCCAGCAAAATGCACCAAGAAAAAGGTCACTGACTGTCTAAGTTTTCATGGCCAAGCGACAGGTCCAGGAGCAGCTGCAGCGGTTGGTCCGCCATCTGCCGCGCTGTGAGGCCCTGCGGGGACTGGAACCTGGGCCAAAGCTAACGAGAAGCAAGCGGAAGATGGATGCATTGTCCTTAACTAGGTCCTCCAGTAGAGAGGGTAGAATAAGGGTATATAACACACTTTTTCTGTAGTCTATTTTAGTAGGGGAACCCTTCCCCAAAAAAAAGGTAAAAGGGCACTGCTGGGGGACCTAGTTTAGGGTACCGCCCCAAATGATTTCGGCTTTCCTTTTGGCTTTCCTCTTAAAACCAACCCTCAAACGAAAGACACCCCAAATGTTTTAAGGAATTCCCCGTTCTCTTCACCCCTCCCCTTTTCTTTAGAAGCCCCAAAAGGTTGGTCCAGTTTTTCCTGATAAGGACCGCTGAAGAGAATGGGGCAGCTACAGCCAACCCGCGGGGGCAGGTTTGAACGGAAGCCAACGCTTACAAGGCGCCATGGTTGAGGACGTGCATGGGTGGATTGGCCAAAAGTGATGTCCGGTAGTGATAAACTCCCTTTAAAACCAATGTGAAATATTTAACAAGATCTATTTGCAAATGGAATCATTTGTGTGAAACCAAAAGGTTTCCTTCCAAAACAGGGACAAAACGGATTCGGTCAAAGACCAGCCATGGTTGAAACAGGGACAAAACGGATTCGGTCAAAGACCGGCCATGGCTTTTTAACATTCCTTCAGCAACTGCTTGCGACTTCCAAAGTTTTCAGGGGCTAAGGGGCCCTAAAGGTTGCAACCAAACTCGCAACCAGAATCTGACAATCAACCACATTCTTCAAGCGCTCAACTGCCCAAAGGATGCAGAACTGACCTCGGTTGCGAAATCTGCGAAGCCCTGCTAAAAGTGACTAACTTTTAGTGGTTTAATACGGAAAACTCATTAGTTGGCAAAAAGTTAAAGTCCTAACAGCCAAGCAAAATGCACCAAAGTAACCCTTTGATGCTAAGAATGAACCAAAGGCAACCAAAAGGTGAAATGCGAAACCCCCCAATTCCAATCCAACCATCCGGTGCTTCGGCTACTCAAGGGTTAAGGCTAAAAGTGGGGTTGTAGAATTCCCGGTGATACGATACGGATGCCCTAAATCGATGGCAAGTAGCGAAGCCAAGGAGCTCCCCAATTTACCGTGGAAAATGAAAAATATGTCCAGTAGTGAAAACGATTCCCTCTCAAATCCAACAGGGGAAAAAATCTTAAGCAAATGGATATTTAACGTGTTCTACTTCTTTTTTCTATAATTAACTTACTTACAAGAAGTAAGGCCAGCCACTGTACCAGACGGCTTAAACTTTCACGACTTCCTTTGTCAAAGACTTCCCACTGAACCCCAAACTAATCCACAAAGAAATATGACAGCTCGGCCTCATTCAGGGCACATGTACCCCTAATTTGCTCTTATGTTTGGCATATCCTTGACTAGGTCCTCCAGTAGAGAGGTTAGAATAAGGCTACCCTTTTTCTGCAGTCTATTTTAGTAGGGGACCCCTCCCCCAAAAAAGAAACGGTAAAAGGGCACTACTGGGGACCTAGTTGAGGGGTCTGTTCCAGGGCTCTGTGGGTCAGCGCCCCGCCGCAGCGCCGCGCCTTGGGTCCGCTTTGGCCAGGAGCAGCAGCGTCAGGATCTTGGCGCTGCCACAGGCGACCGCCTCAAATCCGAGAAATTGGCGTAGGCGCGGCCTATGAGTCATGGTGAAAACTCTCATGGCCCACAGCCATGGTTTCGCGTACTAGGAATCATCAAATCCATTTGCTTTTTCGCCCTGCGAAAAAGGAAAGGGGCTCATCTGTGCCCACATTTTCGGCTCATCTCCGCCCACACAGAAGTGACTCATCTGCGCCCACATTTTCTGACTCATCTCCGCCCACAGATGCTTTCGCCAGTACTTAGAAGTTGATCCTTTGCAAAAAAGGGGTCAGTTTTAGGATCATCTGCGCCCACACTTTGGGCTCATCCCTGCCCACAGCGAGTTTTAGGGCTTAGGGGTTTAGGGTTTAGGGTTATGTTTTTAGGGTTTAGGGTTTTTAGGGTTTAGGGTTTTTAGGGTTTAGGGTTTAAGGCTTAGGGTTTAGGGTTTTTAGGGTTTAGGGGTTAGGGCTTTCAGGGTTTAGGGTTTAGGGTTTAGGGTTTTTAGGGTTTAGGGGTTTCAGGGTTTAGGATCTTTAGTGTTTAGGGTTAGGGTTTTTAGGGTTAGGGGTTTTTAGGGTTTAGGGTCTTCAGGGTTTAGGATCTTCAGTGTTCAGGGTTTTTAGGGTTAAGGGTTTTTAGGGTTTAGGGTTTTTAGGGTTTAGGGATTTTAGGGTTTAGGGTCTTAGGGTTTAGGGTTTTTAGGGTTTAGGGATTTTAGGGTTTTTAGGGTTTAGGGGTTTCAGGGTTTAGGATCTTTAGTGTTTAGGGTTTTTAGGGTTTAGGATCTTCAGTGTTTAGGGTTTTTAGGGTTAAGGGTTTTCAGGGTTTAGGGCTCTTAGGGTTTAGGGGTTTTTGGGTTTAGGGTCTTCAGGGTTTAGGGTCTTCAGGGTTTAGGATCTTCAGTGTTCAGGGTTTTTAGGGTAAAGGGTTTTTAGGGTTTAGGGTTTTTAGGGTTTAGGGATTTTAGGGTCTTCGGGGTTTAGGATCTTCAGTGTTTAGGGTTTTTAGGGTTAAGGGTTCTTAGGGTTTAGGGTTTTTAGGGTATAGGGTTTTTAGGGTTTAGGGGTTTCAGGGTTTCGGATCTTCAGCGTTTATGGTTTTTAGGGTTAAGGGTTTTTAGGGTTTAGGGTTTTTAGGGTTTAGGGCTTTTAGGGTTTAGGGATTTTAGGGTCTTCAGGGTTTAGGATCTTCAGTGTTTAGGGTTTTTAGGGTTAAGGGTTTTCAGGGTTTAGGGCTCTTAGGGTTTAGGGGTTTTTGGGTTTAGGGTCTTCAGGGTTTAGGATCTTCAGTGTTTACGGTTCTTAGGGTTAAGGGTTTTCAGGGTTTAGGGTTTTTACGGTTTAGGGTTTTTAGGGTTTAGGATCTTTAGCGTTTAGGGTTTTTAGGGTTTAGGGTTTAGGGGTTTAGGGTTTAGGGTTTAGGGTTAGGGTTTAGGGATTTTAGGGTCTTCGGGGTTTAGGATCTTCAGTGTTTAGGGTTTTTAGGGTTAAGGGTTCTTAGGGTTTAGGGTTTTTAGGGTTTAGGGTTTTTAGGGTTTAGGGGTTTCAGGGTTTAGGATCTTCAGTGTTTATGGTTTTTAGGGTTAAGGGTTTTTAGGGTTTAGGGTTTTTAGGGTTTAGGGTTTTTAGGGTTAAGGGTTTTCAGGGTTTAGGGTTTTTAGGGTTTAGGGTTTAGGGGTTTCAGGGTTTAGGATCTTTAGTGTTTAGGGTTTAGGGTTTTTAGGGTTTAGGGTTTTAGGGTTTAGGATCTTCAGTGTTTAAGGATTTTAGGGTTTAGGTTTTTTAAGGGTTCAGTTTTTTTGGGTTGAGGCTTTTTAGGGTTTAGGGTTTTCGGGGTTTAGGATCTTTGACAACACGCCGAATGAAGCTTCTAAAACACATCCTTGATTCCAGGAGCTCCCCTCATTACATTCAGGGACTTTCGGTGAAAGCGAATCAGTCCAGGCTAGCTGCTCTGTAGCTACACTCCTTCACCACACATGGCTTGAGCATGGCACTGAAAGCAAACAAAGATACAAAACACGCAAATGCCGCACCGTACCGCACGTGACCCATAGTAGACACCTATGGCAGTTTCTCAGAATATTCTCTAAGAGCTGTAAAGCCCCAAAACACCTAAGATCATCTGTGCCCACACAATACTTGTGAGTACTGCATTTGTGAAGTTTAGAGCATAGGGGACCGCCATCAATCTGACTCATCTGCGCCCACCACGCGGGTAGAAACGAGCGGATTCCCGCGGGTACAGACGAGTCGCAAAACGCGGGTACAGACGAGGGGCCTACCTGCGAAAAAGATCTCCAAACACCAAAAGGTGCAAAGAACAGATAGTCTCAAAATAATTTTGTAAGGTGACTGAGGATTCTTGCAACCAAGTGAAGGACCATCCCTGTCAACCCCAAGTAGAAAGGTCTTTTGATCACGAAACATATTATGGGTGTGCCTTTTAGAGCCTAGCTTTTTAGGGAAACCAAAATGACACCAAATTGTTTTGGGTATTCGGCGTGACCTTTTCACAGGGAAGGGCTGTGTGGCAAACACTTATCTATTTGTGCAACATCTTTATTTAGGGTATTGTTCCCCAACACTATGGAGTCTCTGCCCAGTTAGGCTCGTTCGGGGAGGGTTCCGGGGTTGTTGGGGATTTGGCTTATTTTGTTGGGCTTGGGCCCGCAATATAGTTGGCACGACCTGCTGCAATGATTGGGAGGGTTGAGTGATCAGAAGTTGACATTGAGGGAGGGATTAAGGATTGCCTTGTAAAACAGAGGAACCTCCTTCTTGGTTGGCTTTCTGGTTGGCTTCCTTCTGCAATGCTAAAATGGGAGTCCCATCTCTATGAAAAGGATCCACCCTGGATGGGGATAGACAAACCCGATGATTACATACTGGGATAGACCACCTGCCAACTGGTGCAGGCTTGTGTCCATCAACAGGCAACACACATGGATTTGTTGATCACTCGTCGTTCCCCTTCATATGTCCGATTTCTTCATTAAAATCAACACATCGGTTGATAACCTTTTCCCTACTAATTGAACAGGGAGCCACCCCTCGTTATGCTGGATGCTAGTTGTCCAGATTATTTCGATGCTGACATTACGGAACCTCCCTTGTTTGCCGGCCAAGCGGACAAACAAAAACCCTCCCCAGGGATATGTTGGGGGTATTCTGTGACCAGGTGCTCCTATTGGCTAAGGGCATGTGTGAGGAGGCCTCCAAAATAGCTGTTTTCTCGTTAGGTTTTTTTTCGGCCATGGTGAGCAGGCTAGCCTCCAAACTCACTCCCTGTGTGGATTGGCAAAACTCACTTGCCCAAAGGACCCAGAACTAAAAGGTTAACCTTTTGGCACCTCCACTAAAAATGGACCAAAATCGGAAAACCAAAAGGTCAAAAGGTCGATTCGCTTTGGACAACTGAGAAAAGAAGCCTGAACTGGATCAACTGTCTGCCGGACAAATACCCCGGGGTGTGCAAAGCATTTTTGCGCGATCCAAGTCTCTTCGAAGATGGGGGGCTCGCCCAGCTCGTCCGGGACATTTGGATTTGCACCGCTCTCTAGGAGCCGGGACACCTCCTAGGGGCTGGAAAAAAATAGCCCCACTTGCCTCACAGTGGGGGCGCTTCAGAGGTGGTGGCCACTTTGCCGGGGGAAATTCAGACCTTGGCATGCGCTCATGGAACGTCGGACTTGGCTGGGTGGCAGTTGCGTTACACCTCCCCCACCCCCCCACCGAACCCAACCCCGCAGCAGTGCCCAGTCGCCCAATCTGCTAGAAAACTGAAGCCGCTTTTGGTGCTGATCAGTCTTGAGACCCTAACCAAACACAGGATTAAGCTGAGTGCCACTAAGGAATATGACATAGACTTATGATAACTCAGTTGTTCAGTGACCCTGGAAAAAAGGAACCCTTTTTGGGGAAGACCATGTTTAGTGGGGCAGTCACCCCCCCCAAAAAACAAGAAGGGGAAAAAGGGGTGCCACAGAACAACTGAGATAAAACTAGGGGTTGATTCCCCCTTCTTTTCAGCCATCGCCCTTTTCAACAACCAGCCATTTCCAGTGTGCTTGGTGGTTTTCTAGAAAGAAGGATCCCTGGAAAGAATGGAAAGGAAGCTACCGCTACCCTCCCTCCAACAATCATAGAAGCTGACAGGAGAGTTTTCAAAGACTACTGTCCTTTTGGGCGCCCCCCTGTCCACTTCCATGATTGTTGGACAGGGGGTAGAACAAACGGACTGTGTCCCCCACTCCCACGTCCTGGGCATCCCCATTCTGTGTGGCCTCCGCCAGAGCCAGCTCCATGGCCCCGCCGGGCGCGGCAAAAATGAGCAAAAATGGATCTCGGTGGCGCATTCTGCGAAGCCCGGCTAAAAGTGACGAACTTTTAGTGGCTTAATACGGAAAACCCATTAGTTGGATCAAAAAGTTAAAGTCAACTAACATCCCTTGGCAAAATGCAGCAAAGGGATGGGGGATGGCGGAGTCCTATCGATTTGTCAGCAAGCCCACTTGGCCCAACTGATGTGTGGGACTGGAATTGCTCGACCCGTCCAGCGCTTGGCCTTTTCTCAACTTGGGGCTTGGTCCGAATCTGGGAGGTTGATGTGCCTAGGGCCTAGGGCCTAGGGCATTTGCTCAATTTGGGAGGTGCAACGTTGCAAGGACTAGCTGTGCTCAACCCAACCGCCTGGCCTCAACAAGCCATACGTCTTTCTCGGGCCCGTTAGGCTACAATAGGCCCGGGTGAAACCAACATATGGGTGCGGTTTTGAGGGCGCCCGTCTTCGGGTTTCGGTTTTCAACAGGGACCACAAGGACACCGTTGTTCATTTTGGCCCATCCGTATTTCAGCCATGCAACTGACACACCCAGAGAGTCCCTATGAAAGGCACGGAAAATCGGCACACCACTAGAACACAAAAATCCCCTGCAAGTTGTCTTGGTGTTGGCTTTAGTGGAAGACTTGGGGAGGGGGGTTCTGGGTTGGTTTCGCCGTCGTTTTCCACAAAGTGGTGCGTGGAGTTTGGCAAAACCGGTTGAACCCTTTTGGGTCGTTGGAGCGCATCCACTGGAGCCAAAAGCTTCGGCATGCTTCGGCCCTTCGGTGTTCAACTGGGCAAAAGGAAGGATTACCCTCCCAACTAACGTGGAGGACAGCGCCCTAAAAGTTGCCATGTTCCTTTTCAAGGGACATGGTCCCTGCCAGGTTCCGGCGGTTAATTGGTGGGAGGGTATATGGCTGCGTAATTAGAAGGGAACACGGAGGCCGAAAAAAGGTTGGCAAGTCTGGCCATGTTGAAAGCTCCTGTAAGCAGATGCTGAGCCGCAAAGAGGTCCTGCAAGACAACCGTTTCCTCTGAAAGCGCCTCTCGTCTAGAAAACGGCTTGGACGTGGCTTTTGTGGATCCACAAACGAATATTACGAGAGTACTCAAAAGATTGCTAAAAAAAGACTAACAAAGGGCAAAACCAAGTAAAGTCCACCAAAAGCGCATCCAAACCGCTTTCTAGATCTCTTGCAGGTTTCATGGCAACATGGGTGGGAAGCCGATTTCTCGCATGCGCCGCCGACCCTCTGAGATCGTGACGCCCATACCGGCCTCATAGCCTGGGGCGGAATAGGCGCAACACTTGGGGAAGGCTCACTAAACGCGCCACCTCCGCACACATCTCGGGAAAGACAAACATAGACCAAAACGCGGGGTGCGCTTCCAGCTCACAGTCAAGAGAATGTGGTGAGAGGTTGGGTTTTCAAAACCCAAAGAAGAGGTCCCACTGCTCAAACATCCCATCAGGCTGCCACTAAAACGGCTAGGCCCACCTGCAAAACATGTTTCACCCAACCAAGGGGCCTCAATGAACCCCGGAAGTTCTACGTCGTCATCCTAAGGGGATGTTCCCTTCCAAAAAGTGATGCACATTCCCACTCAAAACCAACCAGGGCCCGTGATAATCCCAGTTGGTCAGTGACCCTTTTGCAAAAGGGAAGGTTTGCCTTGCACCTCGCATGACGGTATGTTTTTGATCAAGCCCGCGTATTGGGCTGTATGACCGTTTCCGTTTTCGATCATGAGTAAAAAGCAACAAAACATGTCCACATGTTTTTGCCAAAGGCGTATCACCGCACAACATCTCATACAAATTAACAGCCACGTGGTCTTAGGTGAGTATAAACGCACTTCAATCGGACATTCAACTTTAGCTGCGGGGTTCAACCATTCGGTTTCGTAGACGTATAACTATTAGATGTCTATGTCTACTAGTGTCATATCATTTAATGCTGGGTTGCATTCTGGATATGTTTCTCTTCGTTGAAACTCAGATGCCCAGCGGCCATGGGAAAAGAAGGGCCTCCTTTCTTGGATGGTTGACTTTAAAAGGGGAAACCTTCCCCAACAAAAGCGAAAAGGTTGGCACTGGGTCATTCTGTGGGTGGACAAACATTTATTTCGCACCACTTTAAAACCATGGGCAAGCATTGTTCGTTGGTATTCACAGGGAATCGACTCATTCCAGGGTTTCTGAACGGTGGTGCGAAAAGAGGATTTCGCACAGTAGCTCCCCTTCCCCCCCCCCCCAAAAAAAAAAACGGAAAAAGTTGGCACCGCTGGGAAACTGGGTCATAGCTCCAGAATTCATAGCTTGACCCGACGCTCGAACCCAGACTTTGCGGCCGCTCGAACCCAGGCGAGTCGGATCTGGGCGGACGCGGCAGCCACTCTGCACCGCATCTTTGAGCACCATGGATGCCTGCTCCCGCAGCCTCCCGCAGCAAGGATGGCTCGAGTGGATTGGTGAGGAAGGCAACCACATCTGCTTGTTTGCCACTGAAATCTAGGCTTTTTTTCAGGGGAGAGGGTAGAATAAAATAAGTTGGTACCGACTCTTTTTCTGTCGTCGGTTTTTTGGTAGGGGAACCCAGCAACTCAGGAACAACGGAGGAATCCGGAACTTTGGTTTGGCATGGAGGGGGGCCTTTGGCCATCGAGAAGCCAGAGCCAAAGGAAAGCCCTTTAGAAACAACCCCATGAGCAAAGCCTTCTTTCTGCTTACCCAGAGGCTCCAATTCGCTTGATTTAGGGCCTTCAAACAACCTGGTTTTGAGACCTCCCACCTCCAAAGTGGGTGTCGTTTTGGAGGGGCCGGGTCTTCCATTGAAAGCCGAAGCCGATCGGAGCCTCTGCTTAGGAGCAAGCCCTGTGCCAGATCCAACACAGCCTTCCGAAACAGAGAGCCGGTGAAACCGGCGTCTGCCGGTTCTACAGGAAGTCTTCAGGAAGTCCTTGTCTTGGCGAGTACCGCGAAGCTACCGCCAAAATACCAAGGACCATGCATTTTTTTGCCACACCCAAACAGCCAGCACCAATTCAGGAAAATGACACCCAGCAGGCCCGCAAATATTCAGTCCTCTACCACTTGGTGCGAGAAGAGGATTTCGCAACCATCCACGGTATGTCGCAAAAAACGAGCGCCTCCACCAGCTGCTCTCCAAGTGCTTCAGCCTTGGCGAGCAACTATCGATCGGTGCGATAGGCCTTAGGCCCCATCGTTCTTCCAGTATCAAAGTCACCCCCAAATGGTAGCAGGGATTCTTACATTATACACCTGAACATTGCCTTGTAATGGTGGTGTCCCTGTATTTTAGTGGAAAAAGCAACGTTTCAAATGGGCAACATGTATCTTTTTTCAGGAGCCCTGGGTAGGTGTTTGGGGGACACCACCCCCAATTCCTGACCTTGATATCCCCAAACATGGTCAAAAAGCCGAAATGACCCCAGAGGTAGGGAATGAAGTGTTTGGCTAGGTCCTCCAGAGAGGTTAGAATAAGTTGGTGTTGGGGATTAAAGGAAACTATGGGGGATGCTTTATGAGGGTCATTCCAACTTGTTCCCTGCTGAGAACAAGCAAGACAATCGAACAATCGCGACGTGTGTGAAGTACTTGATGGTTCAAGTTAATCCGCTTGCTGCAAGGTTCGCAATGAGTGGGATGTGGAGAAACAAATCCCTCTAAACTCGAATGAAGGTCCAAAAGTCTAAGGATATGGCTGGAAATGGCCAAGTTTTGGCAACCTCCTTTTGGCTTCATGTTCTAGGCAAGGGTCGGGTTGAAAAGACCTTTGGCCAAAATACAGCTGTCCAACGGGGCCCATGATAATACAAATGTGAGGTTTTCCGGGGCGTTCTTCGCAGCTGCAGACGCAAAGGGGTCGATGTGGAGTTCCGGAAAAAGTTGCTGGGGATGGCGCCTTGGCTTGTGTCTTACCTTGTCCTCAGATCCGCTGCCGAAGTTTAACTTGTGGGTCAAATGGAAACTACCACCAAACCCAAAAAGCAAAAATCCTAAGGAAGAAGATGGCTGGGGTCCTGACTTCTCCTTGAATCATCCGGAGAACCCCCCTAAGGAGTTTCACGCCCTACTTGAGTTGCCACCCCCTCCAAGCTTGAAACCCAACTTGAGTTCCCGTAGGGTGCAATGATGCTCCTTCATTCCTTTTGGCTTCCCTTCTTGGACGGGTGTCTCAACCAGGCCAACTTGTAATTGTTGTTGTTTTTTTCTCCCCCCCCTAGTAACCCCCTTTGTTTGCTCCAGCTTTCCTTGCGGAACTGATAGTTTACAAGTTGGCTGGTTGAGACACCCGTCTTCCAGAGCATCTGGCTTTTGTTTATTTGTGCATCCCACATGACATGGCAACCACCGTTGGGGAAAACGATTTTGAGAAACCCTCATGCGGGTGTGTCTTGTTTTTGAGGCAAAGGCTGCCTTCTTCTTGTGGCAAGGGGACCCTAAAAGGAAAACCGACAACTGTTTTTTTGGGGGGTCAAATCCCCAAAAAGACCAGCCATCCAAGTGGCAAGGGCTTAGTCATTGCATCCATTTGCTGTTTCGACCCGGCAAAATCGAGAACATCTTTCCAGCAGTGAAATCGATTCTTTGTGACATCAACAGGGGTGAGATGAAACATGTTGTTCTTGTATACATGGGAAACCACCCCTTACCAAACCACCAATCCAAACCACAACTAAGCCAGGGGCAAATGTGAGCAGGCGTACATGAGTCGTAATCAAACCCCGTTATTAAAATAGTTGAGAAGAACCATGCAAGGACATAAGGCGGCCTGTCTGCCTGTTTCTGGGCTGGGACTGTCTCTTCCTCACCTTCATCTACCCGGGTTTTGATTGTGTCCCACTCTAATTACCAGTGGATCCTCCAAATCAGCTGCTACAGTAGCCCCTCAGGTAGGACCTACAAAAAATTCTCATGGTCGAACGCCCAAAGAAGGCTCACATGATGAACCCTCATACCAGGTAGGACTCATCGAGGGACGCCCAAAGAAGGCTACTGAACTGGGTCCCCCAGACGCATCCTCCGTGCGCTCCTTGTCTATGAGCGCAGGGTGCGGCCTTGGGACGAACGCGGCCGCGGACGCCGAGACCAACGGAACCAGCGGGCCAGAGAAAAGACACGGGCATCCAACTGCTCCAAACGGTTTGTATTTTTTAAAAATTTGGTGGATGGACAAAGCACCAGTGCTTGAGCTCCATGAAGCCGGCCATGAAGCTGAAATTGAGACTTGCTGAAGATTGAGATAAGCCGTCTGGGTCAATGTTTCCGGAAGTGTACGGATTCCCACCTGGGCCAATGTTTGTCCAAGAGTAGGAGACAAGTGATCCCTGTTGTATCCCTGTTGTTGGAAGTTGTTGTTGGCACCGCAGATCTGCATCCCTGCTGGTTTCTATGCCATGTGCTAGCACAAGAAGAGTTACCCTACAACATTATGCTCGAACATGTGTGGAAACGCTGACAAACAGCCCAGACTCAATTTAGAAGCCACCCAGTGAAACACGAATCTGTGCGCTCTTATGGCGCTTTCTCAATGTAGATGGGAAAGCGAGCGCTTTGGCTGCAGAGGTTTGAGGAGTCTCAAGATCACTTACCATCTAGAAAAAAGGTTTGGATGCTCTTGCTGTGGATCTTCTCCCTCTCAGTAGTCTTTTAGTACTCGTTATTTTCTTACGGGAGTGCATCCACAAAAGCCACATTCAAACTGTTTCTAGATTGCAGGGCAGTTTCCCTTTAAACCACCTTTAGCGTCTTGAGTTAAGGATGCTATCCTGTCACTTTAATGGACGCAGTACCATCGCATCCGAAAGGAACAACTGTCAGTTCACACGCGTGATGCGTTTAAGCACAGAGGAAATATCTGAGCCACACGATGCGCGAGGCTCCCCCAAGCACAATTTTCTGCACTGCATGCCAGTCACAGAAACTTCGGGATATCACATAACGCAGCTCTTTGTTGCTGCCGGAACTTCCATTTGCTTATGCCCCCAGAAAAAGAATGATAAAATATGTCTACTGATAGGCTGCCTTTGTTACCAACAAGGAAAAATACAGCATATATTCCTAAGCAAATGGGAGAGAAGACTTGCTAAAACCACAGACACACCGGTGGTGCATTATATAAAATGTCTTTCTTGGCGCAGGTTTGTGCGAGGCTGGCGCGTCCGTCCTGCCTCTGCACGGTCTGTTCAAAGAGCCAAGAAGTGACCAAGGCAACTAGAGTGACTACAGGGATGGGATCGGAGCATCTCGTGGTGTTCCAAAACATACTCTGGAACTAGGCTGGAAAAGTCGGACCCCAGCGAAAATATATATTTTTTGGGAGCGGAAAACAAACAAAACCCAAAAAAGCCAACAAAAAAGGGAGCTACTTCTGGGGAAGGGAAGAGATATCCGTACCTTGCAAACACGAAACAAATCAACTGACGACATTGTTTATCCAATTGCGTTGTGTTCAACATTGTGGCGTTGATGTTTTTTATGACTTGCAACAAAGCGGTGCTCCACACACGAGAACCAAAGTGGAACCCCCATGCCATTATTGCCCCGAACGCTCATCTTTCGCATCTTTGGGGACGTGAAGGGGGGAATAGGTCAATGTCGACAGATTAATCAGTCTGCTGGATTGCTAGGTTCCCCGTAACTGAGACGCCCAGTACGATCAGGTCAATGTTTACCTACCAGAGGCATACATCGGGCCCGAGACTTTCTGTTTTAAGCTTCTGGATGGGCCCATTCACGCCCATTCCCGACACATTGACATGAAGTACCGGAGCTGCCGCTTTCCACATCTTCAGCCGGTTTGGTTGATTTTCACCCCCCCTCCAAAGAAACACACCCACAAAACAAAGAAAGAACGGCACCACCAATGCCCGTCCACCTGGTCCAAACAGCGGATCGCCGTTTGTCCTCGATCCTGCAGTCTAACGCCATCAAAACCGGGCGAAAATCGCAAAAAGGATTCGGAGAGGCTCGCCTGGGCCAGTCAAAAGATGACAGTGGCCTCCCTCCCAATCCTCTCTAGCCAATCCAGCCTGAAAGGATTGAGATCGGAAGGCCAAGTCATCCCTGCCAAAAAATGATATTTTTTTTTCGGGTTCCCCAGTGGGGGAGGTCAGAAATCAAGATGCATCCGCCGTTTGAGCAACATCCAAGACGGTATGGGAACTATCGCACACAACATAAGGACCCGAACGAGCATGTTTGGATGCCAAGGAAACGCGAGAAACTGGCGCCATGCGATCAAAAAGATCCGAACTTCCGAAACCCTTGCGCAATGCCAGCGAAAAGTTTATGGTTCAACGTCTTTCCATGCCCCCAAGTCACCGGATAGGCTCTTTCCAATGAACAATCACAAGCTCCGGAAACTTTGCAAGCCGGAAATGGGGGCAAGAATCCCATCCTCAACTGGAAATCAAGAGGGGCCTGCGGAAAAAATAGTACCACAAAACGATGAGTTTCCTTTTGGTCCCTCTTTAATCCACTAAAATGTGCATATGTCTTACAGAGGAGCCCAAATCCAAATGGGCGCGCTTCCCGAGACTGGCCAAAAAATATCAGAGCTTTCATTTCCCACTCAAGCAACCAAACCCACCAAGTGGCTCAAAACAATCAAGAGCTCAGGGAGTGAGTTGTTTTTTGGGGGGGCTTCCCTGAACTCAACAAGGGAACCCCGACAAAAGATATACTCCAGCATGCCCAAGTCCAAACTTGCGAGCTCACCTCCTCCTTACTAAGAGCTCAGGGCCCGTTTGCGCCAAAAGGCCTTGGGGACGCGAGGCTGCCGTGCCGAAAGCCGAACGCGCGGGCTGTACCCCACAACCACCTGCATCAAACAACTGCCCAGGTGCATGAAATGCCGTACTTTTGTATTTGTGTTTAGGGCCCCCAGGAACAAATGAGAACAGATTTCCAGGGGGAGATTCCCTTTCAAGCCAACAGGGGAAAAACAACACACATTCTTCAGCAAATGGAAGCTTAAAAGGAATGTTTCAAGAGTTGCAAACCAAAAGGAAGTGAATTGGAGGTCTGACTGGGCCCATAATCCCGTTCTGGGCTCGCCAGTGACAGATCTTGATACACATATGTATCTATATATATATATGTATATCAATATATATATATATATATAGATATTGCTTCGATGCCCGGTCGGATCACATGCTTGCCCTTTTAGGGGATTCAGGACTCCTCATTCAGGACGGAGCTTCATGCGCGGGCTTCCCCCGAATGGCTCAGCTTGCCTCGAAGGAATTTGTGAAGCCCTTCTAGGTCCTCCTAGTAGGCTTAGAAAAACTTGCCACCAACTTTTTTTCTTCGGCTTCGTCTATTTTAGGGAACCGAATCTCCCAACCAAAAACGTGGGTGAGCAAGGCACCAGGCCGCTGGGGGAAACCACTTGCCTTTGCTTCAGGCTTCAGGGCTCCGGCTCCGCCCGTTTGGCAAGGAACCCACCGACCAAATAGATCCAGATGCATCTTTGATTCCCTTAGCCTCCATTTAAGTCCCCAGGAAGACACGTAATCTAGTAGTGAAATGGATTCCTTGAAAAACAAATAGATGCAGATAATCATTGATGCCCCAGCCTCCAGTTGATTAAGTCCTCAGGAAAAATGCTAAAACATGTCCAAGTACCTTTAAAAACCAACACGGGAAAATAACAATATTCATTTCAGCAAATGGGAGCGCGTTGGGGTCTCCCAAAAAAACTCCGGGCTTCTTCGGACCAACTTTGGCTTTTGCAGATGGATGTCGGACTGCGCATTTCGATTGCGGCAGGCGCCCAACAGGCGCTCCGTCCCTTCCCGTGGAAGATGTCATTCCAGAGATCGTCATTCCAGAGTTTCTTAGGTGGTGCTCGCTCACCCCTCATCATTGTCGGATTAGTGGTAAAGCCATGTGGGCCCCAGAATGGTTGGTTTCCTTTTGGTTCAAAAAAAGACACACCCATTTGTTTCCAAAACTGGCCTCAGATCCCCTAAAAAAGGAACGTTTGGTGGGTTTCTCTGGACACCCAACCTCACCCAACATCACCCAAGACAAAAAACCCTCAGGACGGCTCCAGAAGGGAGAGAGGCCCGTCGCTCAGATTCTGGAGCCGCGCAGGCGCAGTGGTGCCACGTCCGCCTGCGAGTCAAGCTGCGTAGGCTTTCTGAAAGCTACCGAACAGACTCAGAGTCACCATCAAAACTATGGATGGACGAAATCCGTTCGCACCACTTTGAACCCATGGGACACCATTGTTTGTTGGTGAGTGGAAAACAAAGGGCCCCCCCCAAAAAGCAAAAAAAAAGCAAAAAAAAAAGCAAAAAGGGGAGGCTACTGCTGGGGAAGAAAGCTCGGGTGTCCGATTCGCAAAGTTATTCGCCAGTTGCTCAGTCTTGGGGTTCTGAAGCTGAGTCGAGCTTCCGTATGAGCGTCTGCTTCTTATGGAGCCTTTCTACAAGTCCCCGTGCAGCTCTATATATAAGCCTGCTTCCGAACTTCCTTCCAGTGCGATTTTTTTGCCAGGTTGGTTCAAAAGGGTTACGACCTAGGAATCAATCATCAGGAAAGCCTGGAAAAGGGAGCCCAACTATGCCCAATTTGTTAAGCCCTCACTGTGGGTGGACCAAATCCATTTCTTCTGCACCACTTGAATCCATGAAAAGCCACTGTTTGGTTGGCATTTGCAGGGGGGATCGAATCAGAAACCAGGGTTTCGAACGGTGCGAACGGAATTTCTCCATCCACAGTGCCCTCTCCCTCCCCCAGGCCTCCAGATTTTGAGGGGGGAAGACCCCAGACACCAGGTAAATCGAACAGCGAGCTTCACTTACCTCTTTGGTCTTGGCTCACCTTCCTTCCGCCCTCAGCTGTCGTGAGAACCCTGATATGTTTCCCCTCCCAGACGCTGGCTCCGGCCAATGGAAGACCCAGACCCCCAGAGGGGGCTCTCAAAACCTGGCCGTAAGGCCCAAAATCCATCGAATCGGAGCGTCTGGCCTCCGGTGGCTTCCAAGTGCTGCGAGATTTATCTGGACTTCGCCGGCCCATCCCGCCCGGTAGGTTTTGGTGGATTTCTCCGCTGGAGCCCAAAAATGTGTCCATGAAGCTAGGTCCTCCAGTAAATATGGGTACCTCTTTTTTGTTCTTCTTCTTTTTCTTTTTTTTTCTCTGTTGTCTATTTTAGTAGGGGAACCCTCACCAAAAGAAGGGTGAAAGGGCACTACTGTGGGACCTAGGAAGGCACCCCGTCTGCGCTCAGCACGCCTTGCCGTTTCTTTGTGGCTCCACCCAGGGGAAAAAACCCACAAGACCCAAGAAGCAAGATAAAGCCACCTAGTCAAATAGTAGGGGTTCCGGGTTTAAACACGATCTAAACACCTACTGCGGATGGACAAAATCCATTTCGCACCACTCAACCGGAACTTTCTGCGGAATCGAATCATTCCAGGGTTTCTGAACTTCCTTGATGCACACTATCATGTTGCCAACATTCTGTTGGTCTCTTTGGCCAAAACAAGGCGCATTTTTCCGAAACCGTTTGATCAAAGACCAATCTACAGGGCTGACCTGACTACTAGGTCCTCCAGTAGAGAGGTTAGAATAAGGGTGCCCTTTTGTCTGTAGTCTATTTTTGTAGGGGAACCCTCCCCCAACAAAAAGTGAGAAAGGGCACTACTGGGGGACCTGGACTAAAAGGTCGGACCCGGTTGAGTCGCTTTGGTTGCAAGGAAATGTTTTATTTGAGCGTGGCTGTCCTCAGATCTGCTAAAAGCAAATAGCTTTTAGTGAGTTAAATGGAAATCCGACCACTACACCCTAAGAACCCTACACCCAAATTCCAATGCCCGTCGAAAGCGAAGCCGGGAATCCGGGAGCAAAATGTTCGCATTCCAAAGCTGAAACCTGACTTGGATTTCCATTCAAAGGGACATTTGCCATGGTGAGCTCGTTCACCTCCCCAAAACAGTGAGCTCCCAAGAAGGTGACCCCTCTAGGTTCTCCAGCGGTTAGAAGAAGGGCGCCAGCTTTTTTTCTGTAGTCTATTGTAGTAGGGGAACCCTCCCCTGAAAAAGTGGCAAAAAACGGTGAGAAAACGGTGACTACTGGGGGACCATATGGCTTTCGCTCCTTACCCCCGGCACATCGGCGGAGCCGGGCTCGAGCCTTGGGCTTGACCTCCTTCGCCCCGGGCTCCCAGCGCAAGGCCCTCAGCGCCTTGGCCTGGCGCCGATCGCTGATGCGGCGCAAGCGGGGATCGCTGGCGGCGCTTGCTGGCGTCGGGGCGTATGGAGGGCCAGTGCTGGGGGGCTCGGAAAAGCTGCGAAACCCTAGGGGTAATACAAACCTTGGATCACCATTCGGTCACCAAAAGTGAGGAACAAATACCAACGGTTCAAAGCCCATAATTCATATATATATATATATATGAATGTAGCTATGTGTAATTACTATATGGAACTGAATAGCCATAGGTGTCCTTTTTTCGTAAACAGCCAGGGACCTGGTAGATGATTGAAGCACGTAAACCAGGGCCCTCGGCCCTCTATGTTTTTCAGCCAAACCAAACAAGAAGGACACCTATGCAAGTGCTTTTTTCACACGGCTGGGCGGGGGCTAGGGCTAGGGCCATATTTGTTTTCATGGAGGCTTGGGGGGTGAGAGGGATCGGAGGGGAGGGGAGAGAGCCCAAGTAAGCCGTTAATACGGCCTTAAGAAAAAAGAAAGGAAAAACAACTTAATACTAGGGGCTTATTTGGGCTCCCCTCCCCTCTCCCTTCCCCCAGTCCCCAGATTCTGGCTCACGTGTTTTCCCCATTTTGAGACATACTCAACTCGGCCCGCGCTGTAGTCTACGTGGCGCAGCGGAGCGGCTGGAAAGCGGAAGCCCTAATTTTGGTTCACCAATGGAGGCTACCAACTGAAGAGGCTTCCCCCGAATACAGGGAAAAGGGTGTGCCTTAAATAGGGCACCAGAACTGGTACTCAGTTTCCCGTTTGGGCGGTTCCCTTTTTTTTAAGAGTTGAACTCGATCCAAAGGTGAGCGTTGGACAAATATACAAGAAGAAGCCAGGAATATCTGATAAATAGCTGATAAGAGAGACAAAGAGAAACCGGCATGTAAAAGATATGAATAATTAATATGAAAAGAAAGAGCAGGATAAACAGTAATACAATAGACCAAAAGATAATAATACAATAAGATAATAAAGAAAAGAAAGGAACAAGAAAACAATTATCTTTCATATGCCCTCTCTTGGCTTTGGTGTTACAGCTATTAGATGAGGAATGAGGAAGGGAATTACACTAAAGAAGAATCCAGATAATTCCAGGTAAGATAGAGTGGGTTTATTCTTCCTCTGTATCTGTCTTTTTTGTCTTTACTTTTTATTCCTTTTACTTTCATTTCCTTTCTCTTCTTGAATTCTTCCTTTGTCAGCCAACATGATGCCCAAGATCCACCAAGGGGTCCGGGACTCATGAACACATCCACACCAATTTGGCCATGGGTCAAAATCCAAATCGAACCCCCACTGAACATCCCAATCCAACCACTAGAATAGACTACAATCATAGGTGTCCTTTTAGGGGGAATAGATGGCCCTGGTAGATGATTGAACCACCAGGTAAAGCAGGGCCACCTATTTTTCTGCCAAAACAGCCAAAAAGCACACCTATGACTACAATGGGTGGTGAATTCACCTACCAACCAAAATGGGATCCCATTGGTTTTGACCCACAGCCATTTCTTTCCAAAAGCCCAAGGCCCACCAGCCAAGTTGCCACTTCCTCCTCGGTGCTGCCCAGCTTCTTGCGTGCCAGCCCTGCCTGCGAGACTGCGAGGAGGGTGATCAGCGATTTCTTGGTTCACTTTGGGTATCAAACATTTTGTTTGGGAAGCCCAAGTGTTCCTTCGTTGCTGTTGACCCCTCTGCAACAAGTTTAACTTTTTGTGGGTTTAGTGGAAAACCCAGAAAAACCCCTTGATATCCAAACTAGAGGACGATTGGCCCGAAAGCATTTTTCCACTGGCGCTCATCCAGCCGCGGAGACACCTTTTTACATCGCTGCGGCGAGCGTGTCTGCGCGCGGCGATGCTCAGTGTGTATGGTCACATGAGAGCTCCATCTCATCACCCTACTTTCCTCTCGAACTGCGCCGCGCGATTTCTCACGAAAGTGGTCTGCGCAAGCTGCATTGTTCCAGGCTGCTGCGCGCAAGTTGCTCTCTGCAAGCTGCTGCACGCTGCTGCACGCAAGTGCTCTGTGCAAGTTGCTCTGCGCAAGTGCTCTGAGCAAGTTGCTCTGCGCAAGTGCTCTGCGCCAGTTGCTCCGTGCAAGCGCTTTGCGCATGTGCTCTGTGCAAGTTGGTCTGTGCAAGTTGCTCTGCGCAAGTGCTTTGTGCAGTTGCTCTGTGCAAGTTGCTCTGCGCAAGTTGCTCTGCGCAAGTGACTCTGCGCAAGTTGCTCTGCGCAGAAGAACTGCCGGAGCTGTGGGAATGTACTTCGCATACTATTTTTGTACTTAAAAGCTGCGAATTTCCAGCCGGAGCTGCGGGGGTGTGCTCCGCGTACTACGTTTGTACTTTAAAGTTGCGTGGGAGCACGCTCCGCATACTACGTCTGTACGTAAAAGTTGCGATTTTCCAGCCGGAGCTGCAGGAGTACGGTCCGCGTACTACGTTGCGATTTTCAAGCCGGAGCTGCGGGGGTGTGCTCCGCGTACTTCGTTTGCACCTAAAAGTTGCGATTTTCCAGCCTGAGCTGCGGGAGCATGCTCCGCACACTACGTCTGTACTTAAAAGTTACGATTTTCCAGCCGGAGCTGCAGGAGCACGCTCCGCGTACTACGTTTGTACTTAAAGGCTGCGATTTTCAAGCCGGAGCTGCCGCGGACCAGGGGGGAATCGAACCCGCGACCGCGGGATTGCGAAAGCAGGCGCGCAAACCACGAGACAACTTCCAAAGGCCGTTTCGCGAGCAAGAATATTGCACGGCGCCACAGCGAGAGCGCTTCGACACGCACAATCTCCGCAGAGGGTTCGCCGAGACTAAAAAAATTCGCACGGCGCCACAGCGAGAGCGCTTCGACACGCACGATCTCCGCAGAGGGTCGCGCGCGCACCGCAGAAATCGTAAAAAGTCCTCAGTTTTTGAACCTCGACCACGCGAATCTCCGCAGAGGGTCGCGCGCGGCCAGCAGAAATCGTAAAAAGTCCTCAGTTATTGAACCTCGACCACGCGAATCTCCGCAGAGGGTCTTGCGGGCATGTTAGAAATCGTAAAAAGTCCTCAGTTTTTGAACCTCGACCACACGAATCTCCGCAGAGGGTCGCGCGCGGCCAGCAGAAATCGTAAAAAGTCCTCAGTTTTTGAACCTCGACCACGCGAATCCCCGCAGAGGGTCGCAATCCCGAGCGACGATCAAACTCCCGCCCCGGCGCCTTAGAAACCTAAACTAACTTACATAGCTGCTAACGCCGAAGCTCTAAGCTCTACCTAACCTTGGCTCTATGTAACTTGGCTCTATGTAACTTGGCTCTATGTAACTTGGCTCTATGTAACTTGGCTCTATGTAACTTGGCTCTATGTAACTTGGCTCTATGTACTTGGCTCTATGTAACTTGGCTCTATGTAACTTGGCTCTATGTAACTTGGCTCTATGTAACTTGGCTCTATGTAACTTGGCTCTATGTAACTTGGCTCTATGTAACTTGGCTCTATGTAACTTGGCTCTATGTAACTTGGCTCTATGTAACTTGGCTCTATGTAACTTGGCTCTATGTAAACTTGGCTCTATGTAACTTGGCTCTATGTAACTTGGCCCTATGTAACTCTATGTAACTTGGCTCTATGTAACTTGGCTCTATGTAACTTGGCTCTATGTAACTTGTCCAAGGGCTCCGCACGGAAGAGCCCTTCGCGATGCTTTCGGGAAAAATAAAGTCTAAAGATCCAACCCACTAGCAGTCAAGATTCCATGTACCCGCATAGGTAACCAAGGGCATGGAGCCACCCTTCAGAAACTAGAAGGATCACTTTTCGGGCAAACCCTTCGTTTCAAAACCCTCGATGTCAAAACAATTTGGCATACCTAACCCACTCCGTGATTTTGAAACCGCCTTTGGGGAAGCATGGGGCCATAGTTGTCTTCTTGGTAAAATAGATAGCCCTGGACAATGGAATGAAACCAGTCTAAATCAGTGGAACCCATCTTTACCTAGTTCAACATAACAAGGACGCCTATGATAGGGAACCCGGCCTTCCCCCAAAAAAAGCAAACCGTTTAAACCACTCTAGGACCTTAGGGGAAGCATAGGCCACCAGGCGAAGAACTTTTTGCGGTGCCCGTGTAAAGCGGACCAAAACGATCCCCACGGCTCCGCGCGGCTTCGAACCTTCCATTTGGTTAAGGCCCCCGGACAAAATATGTCCAGTAGTGAGAAGTTCCTTTTCAAGCCAGCAAGAGAAACTATGTTTACATATATATATACATATGTATATATATATATACATGTATTTATTTATACTCTCTTAAGCAAGCCAACAAGAGGAAACAACAACCTAAGCCCGTGCCAGCACTTCGCTCGCTCCGCTCCGCTCTCGATCCGCTCGCCTCCTGCGCGGCAAGGACCACCGCGGTGGCCACCTTCAGCCCCACCTCGCGGATCCGCGCCGTGCAGGGCAGCACCGACTCGGACTGGCAGGACGCGCCGGAAAGGCGGGCGCTGGCAGGCGGAAAGGCGGAAAGGCGCGGGCGGAAGCGTGACGGGAGCCCAAGGACCGGAAGGTCTCAACCCGATGGCACTGCCAAATGGTCTAAAATGGTGCCTAGAATGGTCTAAAATGGCCTAAACCTGCACTGTTGGTTTGGTATTAAAATGGTCTTTAGACCTGCAAAATGACGAAAGTTTAACCACAAGCTCAGGAAGTGAGTGTAAAGAAATGGTGGATCGATTGTTTGGGTACAGTTACAATTGTTTGGGGTTGGTTTGTCACCCCCTGAGGCAAGGCCCCAAAACATACCTTGTTGGGAACTACCGACCGTGTTTAAAAGTTTATTTGGAGGTGTGACTTTGGGTCTAGCCAGATGGCCATGCTAGCTTAAGTATAGGATTGCAGAGCCTGCTAAATTGTGCCTTTTGGGGGTATTGGGCGGTCCACGATTGGACAAATCCCGAACTTGGAGTTTCCTTTTGGGTTTCCCTTTGCTCAGTTGCCTCGGATGGGATCCAGAAATGGCAGGTTTACCTTTCGGGGTGACGAAATATGGACCAAGCCAGGCAAAACAGAAGGCTACAAGGTCGATTTGCTTTGGACATTTAGGGAGCCCTGGACGCGACAGACAAAGAGCAACGACCTGAGGCTGTCTTTTGAAGGCATTTTGGGGGGGTTGAAAGGGAAAACAACAGGAAGGCCACTGTTGGAGCTCCACTAAGTAGTTTGACACGTACCCACCTGTGAAACTGGTCCCCTCCTTTCCCCCAACCGCAAGCTCTGGGGCCGCCGAAAACAAAATCCGGACTGCTTGGAGCTGGGCTCCAAGGCCCTCGGGTCCCGCGTGGAGCGGCGCAGGGTATACCAAGTGGCCAGGGTTCCCAACCGCTTGCCACCCACTGTCCGTTCCACCGCATGGTTGCCCAAATTCAGCTGTAGACTAGGTGACAACCCACTTGGAAGTCCCCTAGTGAAGATGACCCTGCTATTAGCCGGTTATACCCAAAGGTGGGCAACCACGTACCAACTTGGCCGAACATCCAAGTATCGCGCCAAATGTTCAGAACTCTCCTGTGGTTCGGGCCTCTTTTCGCTGAGCTTGGAATTTGCGGGCAAAAATCTGCTTGGTGAAGGGAAGCCACTGCGCGTGCAACCTCTGAAGGGAGGCTCCAGAGGTCAAGCCAAACTCTCTCCAGATTCTTGGGAATCTCAGTTGATACTTCTGTTGGCCCTTTGAAGGAGGGGTGGGTTCCAACTGAAAGTGGTTCAAAGGCCACTGAGTTGCCATGAGTTGCTTTAAGAAAATGCCAAGAAGTTTCTATTCCTGCCGCACTAGCCCATACCGCCGAGATCTGCCAACCCCCTTCTGGGCAGAGGATGTGGAAGGAACAACGCTCACTTCCTGAGTGGATTGGCCAAACGGCCGGGACTTGCCACGAGACTCATCTTTCCAACAAGTCCTTTGCAAGTCCAGGAGCTTAGGGAGCATGCCTTAAGACGGGCCATTTAGCAAAAGGGCACGTTTCGTGTTTTTTTGCCCCGAAAAAGACCCTGACTAAGACCTCACAAATGCCCCACCTCCCAGCCCCTTATACTAACTGTACCTCCCTGAAGGGTGTTCCGGCCGCTTCCGACTGAACAATCTGACCATAATTGTCTCTTGGCCCATTACATCTACAAATTCTACATGTCCAAAACTGAAACAAGGCAGATAAGGCAGCATAAGGTCAAGAACCCTATCACGGAGCTCGATTCGCCTCCAGCTGAGCTCGCCAAACAAGTGGGCCGCTCATACTCTTCCATCTGATCATCAGCCCTTAAAAAATAAATAAACATACGTATATTTGCAGTAGTGAAATCAATGTTCCGTTTTTAGACTACCCCAAGGTAGACTTAAACCCAGGGTTTTCAATTCTCTTTTGGGAAATCCACCACCCCGTTTAAGTCGACTTTTGCGGTAGTCAAACAACGGAACCCTGGCTCATAGTAGTGAAATCGATCCCCTTTAAAAACAACAAGGGAAACTATATAAAATATTCATTTCAGCGAATGGACGTACTGCTCATTACGCGACCGCTTTGGCCGAGGCCTTCCGGTCATCCTCGTCCAGGGAGTGGGCCACTGCCTCTGCGGCCGTCATGAAGAGCTCGTCTGGGATGGTCGTGGCCTCGCAGCACCTGGCTGTGGGTGCCAATAGGGCAACCCCAAAACAGGGCTGTGGGAAATGGAACCCACTTCTGTGATACAACAAGAAGGGCTTCCCAAAGACTAACCCTCCAGATAAATGGGGAGATTCCCTTGCATCACAGAAGTGGGGATAACCCCCTTGATCCCACAACCCTGGAAAGTGGAAACATGGACCAAAATCTGCGGTGTTTTGTTGGTTTAATTTTGACCCACACTTATTAGGAGGCGCGACCCGGCGAAAAGCTTTCTGGGTGTTTCACAGGGGCACCGGGGGTTTTGACCCATAGCCAAATGTGACTTTTGATTCACACATGGATACTAAAGGTTAAGGTCCCAAGTAAACCAGAGAACCAGCTACCAAAATAGCTGACGCAGAAGGATAATTTTGACTTTTGGTTTCTTCCCCATTCGCGAGGAAGGCAGCGACAGAATAGCAAACATGGTGCCACTCCGTTTGGGGAACCATGTGCTGCAACCTGAGTGGATTCGATTCGCCAACAAGAGATGAACATATCATGATGGAACAAAATGCTGACAATAGTGTTGATAATGTTGTTCAGAATGATGAAAATATGGCAGAAGATGATGCAAATGTGTCGCCAAACCCTCTGTACACCACTGAAGTGGTCCAAGCCCAAACAGTGACCAAGGTCCAGGAACTCAGGGAGTGTCAGCCAGGGTCCTCCACTAGAGAGCTTAGAATAAGCGTGCCCTTTTTCTCTATGTTAGTAGGGGAACCCTCCCCCAGAAGCTGGTCAAAGGGCACTACTGGGGGACCATTGCGGTTGTCTTGGATTTTGCCAGGGCGCACAGCTCCGAAGGACATACCAGGGAAGATGAAGAAGTTGTTCACCTGCACATCGCTCCGCGAGGAAAAACATCAGCACGCGCAGAAGCCAGCATCAAGTCAAGCTGAAACCCGTAGAGTCCGTCTACTTAAAACCATGGAAAGGGAGCTCTCCAATTTCCCGTAATTTCACCCATGGTTTTTTTGTTGGTGGGTGTGGCTCCCCCCCCTCCCCCACCCCCCGACCCCCCCACCCCCAACCCCCCCACCCCCACCCCCCACCCCCCACCCCCCTTCCCCCACCCCCACCCCCCTCCCCCACCCCTCTCCCCCACCACCCCCCCCACCCCCCACCCCCCCCCCCCGCCTGGCCAGGGCACTTGGTGCCTGAAGCATTGGCCACGCAGTCGAAGCGCGTCCCCGACCCAAAGATGGCGCGGCCCTCCGAGAAGCGATAGCAGTCCTGCCGCCATTTTTCACCTCGAGCCTCCCATCGGGCGTGGGCCCAAAAAACAAGCCGCCGAAGGTTTGGATTCGCCAGAAAAAAACGAGGTCTTCTCAACAAGTTGTTTAAACGTCCACGAGCTCAGGCACTTGTGACTTAGCACGAAAACATGGTCTTTTCCAAACAGTTTAAAGTTCTTGAACTCAGGAAGTGTTGATGTCCCCCTGGTGTTTCAACCAAAACCGCTATTACTCGTTTGCCCGGCGTTTCTTCCTTTTGCTCATATGAATGTGTGTGTTTTGACTATTGTGATGTTCTCTTGTTGCACTACTGGAAATATGTTTTTTTTTCAGCCTTACACTACTTGGTGGTTTGGATTTGGTGCAGAGGGTGAATGGCAAACCACCCTTCGGGCTCCAAACCACCAACTGGAGGGAAGCTCAGCTGTTGCCCATATTTTCCCGGCAAAATAAACACGCTCTATTCAAAAGAATGCGATATTCTGCAATAGACACCCCATTTTTACCTGGAGATCAAACATTAGCTACGTTTGGTTAAGGTTCACAATGCTTTCTTTGCTTGGGTGCTCGGCCAAGTAAGCTGTTAAAAACCTAGGCAACACCCCACTTACTTTGGTCCCCTGCTCAGTGGAGTTCACTCTGTTCGTGGATGAGAACCCAGGTGGGTAACCACTAGCTTGGCGAATCGAACATCCAATCATGAAGCCAGCCAGGCAGAACCACTAAAACTGTGTGCTGATGGTGCTGCTCACATGGGCAGTCCAAGAGGTGAAACCACCAGCGGCGCTCGGTTCGCCCCCCCCCCCCCCCTCCCCGAAAAAAATCCCACATGGGCAAAAACAAAAAAAACGGAGAGAGAGAGAGAGAGAGAGAGAGAGCTGTTACCTCTCATATGCTCCAGGGTGGTCATCATAACTATGAGTTGATTTGCGGGTCAATATATATTTTGTTTGTTTTTGTTCCCCCCGAGCTCTTCGAGCACTGTTAAGTCTGACTCGCTCATCAAAACTTCTACATGAGCGAGTAAGGAAGGTAACTAATAAACTTTGCTCTAGAAAGGTAGGGTAACAAAGAGTCATTCTGGAGTCATATCACTTTCATTATCTCTTGGATGGCTTGCAATGGTGAATCTCAGCATGGACGGTATCTCATCAACAAATATCACAGTAATGAATTCCCAAATTGTCTAGCATCTTATCCTTGGATTCGTGATGTGTCCATTCACCCTTGTATAGTAGCTGTCAATTGATGGGTGAGATTCTGGAGCTGATATCACTTGGCCATTTAGTTGACCAAGGCTCCCAACTCTTCTTCAATTCCTGAGTTCATGGGCCAAGCAAAGCAACCAAACTTCTTGTTTGCCACAAAAACTGTCCAAACCCCAAAAGTGACTAAAGTTCAAAAACCTCAGGCAGGCAATGAGAGAATCCCAACTCGCCTTGCACAAAAAACAACAACAACAAAAACACAACACAACTGAGCCAGGCCAACTGTTCCGACTCCCAACGCGATCATCCAAGGGATCGATCCACTCCTCCGCGGTGAGTTCCGCCTGACCTCACTTGCCCGAAGGCCTGGAACGCAAAATGTAACCACTTGAGGGGACCCACAAAAAGTTGGCTTCTTCCGACTTGTTTTTCCCCAAACAAGAGCTATCCTCAGAGCCATGTGTGTCCTTTTTGTTCAGCTTAGTTGGGAAATCAAGGGCCCTGACATGAATCACCTCAGAGCACACCCACCCAACCACCCTACTGTGGACGAAGTCCTGACCTGGAAACCATGAGAAACAGTTGTTGGTTGGTATTTACGGGGGAATCATCATTTAAGGCTGTGGGACAACAATAGGTACCAAAATCGGCTTCCCCGGTAAATGAAACCAAGGACTAAAACCTGCTGTCCCCTGGTGGTTTGATTTTGACCCATACCCATGTTACGTTTCAGGCTCTGTATATCCGACAAATGCACCATTTGGTGCCGTGACCATGGGAAAACAAACAAATTGCCTTTTGACGGAAAAATCAAAAAGGTCAGATCACGAAAAGGTTACCCTTTGAACATGGGAAAACCCAAAAGCTCAGGTTTTGGTCCATTCGCCTTGATTGCAGCTGAGTGACTCTTAGGGTTGGACAAGGCGAAGATCACCGGGCGGCGCTTCTCCGCTTCCGAGGATTTCTCGTCCTGGACGCTGACCATGGCCTTCACCACGTCCTCCAAGCAAACGTGTGCGGCCACTCGCTTTCTTAAGCCCCCGAAATTGGAAAAAATGAAACATATATCCAGTAGTGCAATCGATTCCTTTAAACACCAAGCAGCAAACACCTAACTACTCCGGGATGAGAAAACACATGAAACATATGTCCAGTCGTGCAATCAATTCCTTTAAACACCAAGCAGCAAACACCTAACTACTCCGGGCTTAGAACAAAATGGAACATGTGTCCAGTAGTGCAATCAATTCCTTTAAACGCCAAGCAGCAAACAACTAACTACTCCGGGATGAGAAAAAGATGGAGCATATGTCCAGTAGTGCAATCGATTCCTTTAAACACCAAGCAGCAACTACCTAACTACTCCGGGCTTAGAACAAACTGGAACATATATCCAGTAGTGCAATCAATTCCTTTAAACACCAAGCAGCAAACACCTAACTACTCCGGGCTTAGAACAAAATGGAACATATATCCAGTCGTGCAATCAATTCCTTTAAACACCAAGCAGCAAACACCTAACTACTCCGGGCTTAGAAAAAAAGGAACATGTGTCCAGAAGTGCAATCAATTCCTTTCAACACGAAGAAGAAACCAACCAACTACTCCGGGCTTAGAAAAAGAGGAAAATATGTCCAGTCGTGCAATCAATTCCTTTAAACACCAAGCAGCAAACACCTAACTACTCCGGGATGAAAAAAACATGGAACATATGTCCAGTAGTGCAATCAATTCCTTTAAATACCAAGCAGCAACCACCTAACTACTCCGGGCTTAGAACAAAATGGAACATATGTCCAGTAGTGCAATCAATTCCTTTAAACACCAAGCAGCAAACACCTAACTACTCCGGGATGAAAAAACATGGAACATATGTCCAGTAGTGCAATCAATTCCTTTAAACACCAAGCAGCAACCACCTAACTACTCCGGGCTTAGAACAAAATGGAACATATATCCAGTCGTGCAATCATCCTTTAAACACCAAGCAGCAAACACCTAACTACTCCGGGATGAGAAAACACATGAAACATATGTCCAGTCGTGCAATCAATTCCTTTAAACACCAAGCAGCAAACACCTAACTACTCCGGGCTTAGAACAAAATGGAACATATATCCAGTCGTGCAACCAATTCCTTTAAACACCAAGCAGCAAACACCTAACTACTCCGGGCTTAGAACAAAATGGAACATATGTCCAGTAGTGCAATCAATTCCTTTAAACACCAAGCAGCAAACACCTAACTACTCCGGGCTTAGAACAAAATGGAATATATGTCCAGTAGTGCAATCAATTCCTTTAAACACCAAGCAGCAAAAACCTAACTACTCCGGGCTTAGAAAAAAAGGAACATGCGTCCAGAAGTGCAATCAATTCCTTTCAACACGAAGAAGAAACCAACCAACTACTCCGGGCTTAGAAAAAAAGGAACATGTGTCCAGTAGTGCAATCAATTCCATTTAACACCAAGAAGAAAACAACTAATTAGTCATTTCAGCAAATGCAAGTTTAGGCATCACCAGCAGGATTTCACCTGCGCTCACTTCCCAAGGATGAACTAACCATAAGTGGTAAACAGCAGAGCTAAAGCAACTTGGGGATGTGGATGGGTGTGAGTCACACAGAAATCGCACCGAATGGTTGAAACCAGAAATTCATGGAAAGGCAGCCGGGGGTCCGGATCCGGGATGCATCAAAAAATAACCTGCTTTGCAAGGCTTTGCATCCTTGAAAACAGCTGGAAAACTGGGATGTGCTCAGATCCCCTACCAAAAGTTGAACTTTTAGTGGATTGACCGGAAACTAATTTCCACCAAACCCTACAAGCTAAAAGCCGAAGAGGATGGCTGGGAACCACCAAGTAAAGGTGACCTTGTAAACATCCTGGCGACCCGAAGTGTTTCGATACAAATCAGCACCAATTGTCTAAGAAAACAGTTACAGGAACAGGGGTCACTGCAATTTCCTCTTCGAAAGTTGCAATATACCAGTGGTGTCCATGAGAACTGCAACTTTTGGAGGGAAATGGAGCGACCTCTTTAGGAGACGCCACTAGAGTCACAATCAAAGCCTGGTACAAAAATGGTGAACCCAGAACGGCCGAAACTATTTCCGGCTGGGACTGCCGCTTAGACGACCCGCTTCAGCTTCGCAAGTCTCTCCTGGGTGAAGCAGTTGGGCGCTCTGCCCACCGCACCCACCAGGATGTCGGGCTTGTGGTGCTTGATGATGGAGACCAGGTCTGTGTGGTCATAGCCCTTCCTCCGTACACGGATTTTTCGGAGGGGTGTGGGGGGAGGGGTGGGGGGTGGGGGGTGCCCCAGGGCGATCATCATTTAGGCAGACTAACCCCAGTTGGCCCAGTTGCGCGCATGGTTTTGAGATTTAACTTGCTTATTGGGTTGATTAAATATCCTGTCTCAGCCACTTGGTATTGCCAATGTAGCCATTGTTTCATCAACCGCTTCCCCTTGGTTGAAATCAATGCAGCCACACCATGCCCCATGCTTACCATATCACTTTGATAAGGATAATGAAGACAAACCACCTTACGCAAAACGGCCAGGGATATTCAGGGAAGCCTGAAGAAGGGCATTTGAGATTAAGCCTCTTTGGCTTCTTGTTGAAAACCACCCGCAAGAGCACACTCCACAAACATGCACAGCTATACAAATAGTTCCTCAAAGGGTGATTCAGAAACCAGCTGCGCATAAAAAGATCTTCTACTAGGTCCTCCAGTAGAGAGGTTAGAATAAGAGTGCCCTTTTTTTCTGTAGTTTATTTTAGTAGGGGAACCCTCCCCTACCTAGTCTAAAGCAGCTGGCAAAAGCAAATCTTCAACTGAGCATCACCCAAAGCCCATTGACTTTTGCTTCTGGTGTGTCTGGAAATTGTGGAAGCTCCAAAATGGCCATGGTGTGCTTCTGGTGTCCCAAAAAAACTCACCTCTCATTTGTCTGGACATTTTTTACAAATATGTCGAGCAAGTAGTGAAATTGATTCCCTTTGAAACAACGGAAAAAACACATTCATTTCAACCGATGGAAGCCGGAAAAACGGGTGTTGCGACCATGCCCACCTACAAAAAAGCCCCGGACACCGCGAAACAAAAAGACGAAACAAAAACCACACGCGCACACACACACACACAGACGCCCAAGACATTCCCGAGCCAAGCGGCGGCTCGCCCTCTTGCGCCACAAACTTCTGCTGCTCGTTGCGGTAGGTGCCCCCCGACTCCGAGGCCCAGATCACGCCTCCGCGAGCCGCGAGGTGAGCCGCATGCGGCGAGTGGTCTTAGACCGGGCGCTTGGGTGAAGATTCTCAACCACTGCTCGCGGGTGGGTTTTCCATGGGGCCCAAGGAGCCGGGGGTATCCAAATATTTGCCTTTAAACAGGGAGCTAGAAGTTCTGTAAGGGACAACTCATTCTGGCTCATCCCAAGCCTGTAAAACTCAGTTGCAACCAAAGCGAATCCACCGGATCAATCGACCTTGTAGCTTCCTCTTCCTTTCTTTTTTGGTTCGTAGGCCCCAAGATGTGATCCATACTTCTGAGCCCCATCCGGGAATGAAAATCTGCTCACTCCCCAAGTTCCTGGACTTCGAACTTCCTAAGACAGTTTCATCGGACAAAAACTTGGCGAGCCCAACCATCCGGTTCCTGAGCCTTTTAGCCTTTTAGTGCTTAGTGCTAAAAGTTAAACTAGCGGGGGATCTGAGGGCAGCCCAGAAAGGTTGAGTTGCTTTTTGCTGGGCCAACCCACTCGATCGGAAGTGAGACTCAGAACATCCATTCCCATTCAACCTCCCAACTCGCCGGGGACACACTGAATTCTTGGTTTCTAAACCTTCTCCGTCTTCCCCCTCCCCCCCCCCAGAGAAAAACACACAAAAACAGAAACTCGCTAGTTTCTTGGCCGTCTCCATCTTCCCCCTCAAACTCGGCGCCGAGTTCGACAGACCTTTCTGGAGCGAGCCCCAGTTTTGGGGCGCAGACTTGGCGTACAGCTACGTGGCTTACACATGGTCGCGCCTTCGTTGAAAACCCTTCTTGCACGGCTTTTAAACAAAGAAAAGGGACTATCGCTATTTCGGGTTCGTCAACTACTAAAAACGCACACACAAACACTCACACACATGTTTTTACAAGGGGTTAGCCCAACCCTGCCCCTAAGCCGAGGCGACTTACGAGCGACGAAAGGTTTTCGCCAGATGTGTTTGTGGGCTGGGACCCCTTGGAGGGGGAGTAACCTCTGTTTGAAACATGATTAAACAACAACTATTGCTTCAACCTCCGTTTGCATGCTTATCCAGGGGTTGGTTCTCAGTTTTTTTGGGAGACCTCAGGAGATTGCTCCGATCAAAACCTTTGAAGCGCGGGTCCCGCCCTCATATTTGTTGGTAGGCTGGATCGATGGCCTCCCCAAAAAAAGGGGAAAATACTCCCTGTTGCTGTCCCCAACAGCCCCAGAACCCTCCGTTTGAACCCTCCCTGTAAGCTTCCCCAAACCACCCCAGAACCTATAATGGGCCTATCCACCTCATGGCTTGCAGCTGTTGGGGAAAAAGCAAGGACCATCCCCATTTGGTAAAGATGCTGGGGTTCAAGTTCAAATCGGCTCCAAACCACCAAGTAGCGGGAAGCTGTGGATCCATAACCCGAGAAAAACAAACAAATACCTCCCTAAAAGCTGCCCCAAGCCACCCCAGACCTTATCTGGGCCTATTGACCCCATACTAGGCAGAGACCAAATCCATAGCTTCCAGCTGCTGGTGAAAACATCTTCGACGTGGCTGGATCCATGCCACCTTTCTGAAAAACAAACACCAAAACGCGCCTCCCAATTAAGGGGAAGCTGAGTAGCTGGATCCATGCCCCGTTCTTGCAAAAAAGCAAACCACCCAAAACGCGCGCGGCTTTTTGCATTTGGGTTGGGACTCTGAGCTCCCATAGGTGTCCTTTCTTTCCGTAAATAGATGGCCCTGGTAGATGATTGCACCACCAGGTACACCAGGAATCGCCCTTTTCCTTTTTCGTCAAGCCAACCAAAAAGGGACAGGACACCAATTTCTGAGCTCCGGCACGGATGGATCCCCGCATTAGGTTTTAGTCTTTGGTTCCATTTCCCCAAGGTCCATTTGGGTCCATTTCTTTTTGAGCCGCAGCCAGGGCGACGCTCCGCATCCGCATCCCCGGATGGATCCGGATGGATCCCCGCTCCCCGCCTCGGGAGTTGGTCACGAGGACCTGGGCCTTGGGCATCTTGGCCGCGCTGATGATGAGCTGCGCGGAGCCCAGGTTCGCGGAGCCCGCGCCGTGGAAGAGCACGCGGAGGCCCTGAGAGAAGGGACCCAGGGGAGGGGCAGGTGAGTGGGGGGGGCAGGTGGGAGGTGGGGGGAGGTGGGGGGAGGTGGGGGGAGGTGGGGGGAGGTGGGGGGAGGTGGGGGGAGGTGGGGGGAGGTCAAGAAAACGGGTCTTTTGGAAGGCCATCGAGGACTCCCCTTCCCTCAGTTGGAGGCGGGGATTTGCGCAGGGTGAGTTTTTTTGTTGGTGTATGTATTGTTATATTGCTACTCTTGTTATTGTCATCATTGTTGTTGGGCTGGAAAAATATGTTTCCGTCCTGGGGGCTTAAGTAACTTCAGTAAGCAAATGGAAGGTACTGGCACGAGGCATTGCTGCTGAAAGTCCTCTGTGGGGTTTTGTTTCCACGGTGGCAAAGCTCACCCCCAAAAATCGGCGCCGGAAATTCCAGAGGAAGTTTAGCAACCCCATCAGCTGGTTGCTTGAGCTAGAGCTGGTTGCTTGGACTTGCTTACGAAGTGGCTAAAAGCGGAACGTTCTCTGGTTGAAACCGGGCTCACCGCTCAGCCAAAACCAATGAAAGGGCTGGGCTAGTTGATGTGTTGTGTATCGCTCAACCAACGGGAAACTCACCTAAGAGAACACAAAACGTTTACCAAACCCAAGACCCCATCCTATTAAAAACAGAGTCAAAGCTCGACTACAGCCACCACAAAACGGGTACCCTCAACAACCACAGGCTACTTGCGTGTTCGTTGCCAAGTAAGCTGTGTGCAACCTTTCGGACACAACCCACTTATTTCGCTCCCCCCAAAAAATGAATTTGACCCTGGTGGGCTACAACTCAAACATCCAAGTGCCCTCATGAAACCAGGTAGAACCACCTACATTCACTGCCAATGGGGGGGTGCTGACGGTGCTGCTCAAATGGGCAGTAACCCCGTGGGTAGTAACCACTGACGAACTTGGCGGTAGGAGAAAAAGGGGACAATTCTACAAACATGTTGTTTTCTGCAAATGGAGGGTTATGAACCCAGGTGGGTAACCACTAACTTGGCGAATCGAAGATCCCAGGAGACCAACATTTCCCCACCAAGCGGCGCGCAGCTCCTCCAGCAAATTGGTCGCGGAGGGGTTCTGGAGCCTGGCAAAAAAGCAAGCTTCCCAAAAGAACCTGATAGTGTGGCTGGCGTCAAATATTTCAAGATGAACCGTGAAACCACCCCTCGCCCCCCACCCTTCATCCTCTCCTCCCCTCCCTCCCCTTCCCTCCCCCTCCCTCCCGCCCCCTCCCTCCCGCCCCCTCCATCCCCCTCCTTCCCCTCCCTCAACAAAAGCAGCCGGCCACTTCCTCTTTTAGGATCCAAGGCACTTGATGCCCCCGAGCACCGCTGCCACGGTGACGGAAGCGGTGCCCTGGATGTCGTCGTTGTATGTGAGGAACCGGTCCCCTGGCAGAAGAACTCGTGGTATATCGCTGTCCTTTTTCAAGGGGGCGTATATTTCTAGGGGGGCCTTCCACTTCCTTTCTTTCCAGCGATCCGGATCTTTTCAGCAAGCAAAAACCCAGGGGAAACCGATCCGGTTTCTGAAAAGAGAACTATTGACAAGAATGGAAAAGGAATCAACCCATGGAATATGTGTATATATTGCACCCTAGAATCAACCCATGGAATGGAAAAGGAAAATCCACCCCAGAATCTATCGCTGTCCTTTTTCAACCGGGTGGGGTGGGGTTTGTGGTTTGGGGGTGGGGTTTTGGGGGGGGAGGTTCTCTTTCGGCGCTGGTGAAGAAACGACTGGTGCTCGGGGAAGTTGATCTTCGGCTTGCTTACCACTAGACAACTCGAGGGCAGTCAATAGTGCAACTCGAGTATTGCTGGTTCTCAGCAAGGCAGTTGGAATGACCACAAATACTTACTCCTACTCCAAGCCCTGGGGAAGTTCTCATCTTTTACACACTTTTTTAGCCCATGTTACCCCAGAAAGTTGAGAGAAGTTTTGTGTTTTTAAGAGGCAAGGTTATTTGGAGACAGGCACCAAGAACGTCCGATCTTTTGGTTCACCACTCAAGTTGCCCAAGCCCAACATTATCAAGTTCAGAAACTCGGGGAGTGAGACTCATAGGGGGTGTCTTTTTCAGGGCACTCTTTTGGTTTAAAGGGAAACCAAGCGGAACCTGATAATTTTTGGAGGTCCCTCTATGTTGACACATCTCCATATAACTTAGCAGGTTCTAACTATAGGTGGGCTAACCCCGGTTGCTCCAGGCATACCCATGGTTTATAATAAAACTGGTTTAAATAGTGAATGGTGGACCCCTTTTCTTTTCGGTTGGCGGTTAAAGGGAAACCAACAGAAACAACCCATCGCCCCCGCCATGTCGGGGTGCTTTTTCCCAGGCTCCCAGTGGATTTCACTTAGACAAAAAGCAATTTTACTTGGTAGTTGACTTTGGCAACTTTGCTTGGTAGTTGACTTCAAAGGGAAACCCCTCCAAAAAAACAAAAGAAAGCAGCTGTCTGGTTTTTGAGGGTTCCGGTTGTGGGGCAGCTTGAAAAGGACACCAAACGAATTCACTTTGCCCTACGTAGAAATCAGGAACCCTTTTTGGCTCGACGGAGTAACGCAGTTGAGCGACCCGCGTATTTGTGTGTTTTAAAAGCGGAGAAACCGTTTTGGGATCGACCTCAAACGGCTACAAAGCCATACTTGGGTCCTTCGACTCGCCAGCTTACAGTAAGTGCATAGAATCTTGGGTTATAACTTGGTTGCTTTCTGCTCCCCTCTTAAATGTGACTAACTTTTAGTGGTGTAATACGGAAAACCCAAAAAAGTTGGCAAAAGGTTATTCAGTCCTAACATCCCTTGGCAACATGCACCAGGTTATAACCTAGTTCTGCCAAAATCAAACCCGGGGAAGTGGAGTTTTGGAGGTTAGGGAAGTCCCAAGGCGCGCGGAGATCTGATGGACAATCGAATGCCGACACCTTTTTTGGTCCAAGTTTCTCCCCATGGTGTGCGTTAACCCATGACGCACCCGAGCATATGTATGTGGATGGTACTTGCCCTAACTTGCAACCAGGCGAACTGCACTTGGGGCACTTAAAAGTAGGTTATAACATCCCAGGTTAATCAAAACTTGCCAAATGGGCGGCTGGAACACCCAAGTACGTGGCATCCCCCACAGCCCCCGAACCCGAGGAAACCACTCCAAAGCCTATCTGGGAGACCTCCAAGCTTCCGCCTCACCAGGAACGTTTGACTTGCCCACGAAAGTTGACCCAGGATCTAAGTAGAACCCGTCCCATTGGGGGGTGTTCCCTCCAAAAGTGGTCTGCATCCCCACTAAAAGGAGACACCCCCCTATTGATCAACCAGGGGTTTGCTAATCCGGGGCTTCTCAATCCCGGGGCTAACATTAATATGGTCCCCCTCAAAGTTTCAAGTCCAGGAACTCGGAAAAGTGAGTTTCACTGTCGGGAACAACGGCGAGGCTTGCTGTTTGCTGTTTGGCCCCGCGTGCAATGCAATCTCCGCCAGCGCTGCGATACTCTGCGAGTAGTGGGAAGGCGTCGTTGGTGTTGAAGTCCTGCAAAAGAAACAGGGCGCGTTGGCCGCTTCCTGAGTGGATTGGCAACCCAAACAATTAACTGAACTTTTGTTTGATACGAACATGGACTTCACAAAGGTCTAAAATTCACGAACTCAGGGAGTGGCCCATATAATCATGGAAACCAGCTACAAGAAACCCTACAAAGAATTCGCCAAGTACCTGGAGTTGTGTTGCCTAAAACCTGTTGACTTTTGACCCCATAGTATACACGTTATGCCTGACAATAACCTTGATCACGCTAAGTAGTAGAACCAACTGCTATCCTTGATCATACGAGGAAGCAGAACCAACTGCTTTCATGTTCCTAACCACAACTCCTGGTAGCTCCTTAGCTCTGCTCCCTCTATAAAGGCAAAGTTGGATACCGCTAGCTCCGCCTCCGGAACTGCTCCCTTCCTTTTGCCCCTCAAAGGGGCAACGGGTTAATCACCTTAGGGTTGTGGGTGTAGCGGAACATGCCTTGATTTCCACAAAGTTAGAGTCTAAAGATCCGTACCCCAAGATTTAAAAAACAAAAGCAAACGAGGAAAAAAAAACAAAGTTAAAGCCTTAAGATCCGTACCCCAAGATGAAAACAAAGTCTGGTTGCTCAGGTTTTGGGCGCCTGCCTCGAACTGCAGGAGGCAGCCTTGACCGAAGAGGTCCCGGGCGGCGGTCATAAACTCCTCGGACGTGAGAAGCTGCGACCGGACGTCCGGTCGTTAAAAAAGGCCCTCCGAGCATGACGTCAGCATGACGTCATGGGCGCTGGGGAGGAGGGAGGAGAGGGGGGAGGGAGCCCAAATAAGCCCTAAATAAGCACTTAATAAGGCATTATTTGAGGCTTATTTGGGCTCCCTCCCCCCCACCCTCATGATGACGGGGTCAATGAGTGCCATCCTTGTCGTCTTGTTAGATGTCGTGTTTCCGACCCACCGCGGTTTGGTTTGCGCAGCGGAAGTGCAGCAATCGGCGGCCGTCGCGAATTCTCTCTTGCAGGTGAATCGACCGGATCTGACCTGTCGCTTTTCCATTTTGGGTCCTTAGTCAAGGGCCCAAGGAGAAGCGATCATTTTGAGAAAGGCTGCTGAAAATGTTGGTTGCTGGCGAGATCCCTCTAAGAGATCTTCACTGTTGTGGGTTCAATTCGGAACATCAACTCCCCTGCAGGGCAGAACCCAGAGCGGAGCGAAAGCTGCTAGTTCCAAACCACTCTGGAGATCCGAGAATAGCTGGGAGCCCAAAAAGGCGTAAGGGGACACCTATGCCTTTCCCTTTAAAACCACCCCAAAAAGAGTACCTCAAGACACGAAGTGAGTCAAATCACGGGTTGGGGTGGGACCCCGGCCCAGCCGAGACGGCACTGAATTCACCACCATCTGCGATCGTGGAGGAAATCACCCGTTCCGTTTTCATTGTTGCCCATTGAAGAAGGAAGGCCAGCCTCTAGACCAATATATTTTTTCCATGGCTATGTGTGTTCCCTCTGAGCCTGAGTATTCTAAAAAGTGGCCACTGCAAAAAACAACTTAATAACAACCACAGGCAGAATCATAAGAACAAATAATTCTCACGATGGCACTGGTCGTAGAAATGCAAAATAAAAGTGAAAACACTAGGCTGGAAATAGAACAGCAAAACCATCTCTTCTTTGCCTGGTTAGTGGAAAACAAAGGGAACCCCCCCCCCAAAAAAAAGAAGGGAACTAATTATGTGGAAGAGCAATGACCAGAAACTTCCCGAAACCAAAACCGCCCTCCTCTCACCGAGCTTCTCCAATCAGAGACTCCTCGCCATAGTAGGCCGAGTTCACCTCGCGTTTTCGGGAATCGGATCCGCAGATCCGCTCGTGAGGTCGCAAGACGCGCGACCAAAGAAATGAACGGATGCCCCAGAGTTCGTGTTGCTTGTGACACCACCCAACAAACAAGAACAAGAGAGCCTTCTTGCGCTCTTTTTGCAAGTAAGCCAAGCACACCCCACCAAGAAAAAACATAAGTCGAAACTGCAGAAACAAATGGGGGTGGGGTTGCCGGCCTTGTCCCTCTACTTGTGGTATTTAGGGTAGCCAGTGTCTCTACCCGTTGGAAATCCTAGTTCACAGGAAACGTTGCTCAGGTGTGGGGTGTTCAGAGTTGCTTGCCACGAAAAAGCCTAAAGTCCATGAACTCAGGAAAGGCCAAGTCTGGTTCCGGGTGAAGCGGAGGATTTGGGACGTTTGCCGTGGCCCAAATTGTCCGCCTGCGTCCCTTTGGCGGTGTGCTTCACGCGTTCCTGCTTCAGCCCGTGGTACAGCGGATGGTCGCGAATGGCTTGCCTGGAATCGCCGGAAGCTGCGTACCAAATGGAAACCAAGGAAAATTCATGGAACGCGGCAAAGGCGGACCCTCAATATCCTGTTGTTCTTTTTAGATTGCCTCTGAACTACCGGAAACCCTTGGTTCTAGCGCAGAACTGCTCCTTCTAGGGAACCCAAGAACCAGATCAAATGGCGCTGGGAATGATCATGCGCCCCGAGAAGACTCATCTAATAGTGGAATGTCCGGCCCTGTCCTAGGAGTAAGGGAACAATGGAACCCCAAACATACCCGTCCTGCTACTAATATGTCGCCATGGCAACATGGGAGGGAGGGCACCCTAATTCATACACTATAGTTTTGTCGTTGAGTGTTGTTGGTTTACTTGCAAAATTTAGGGCATCCGCCATAGGTTAGACCTCGGGGGAGAGGTGTGGGTTCCTCAATGCCATTGTTCGAGTGTTGAAGGAGAAAAGGAACTACGCATTGGAATTCCTCACTTCCTGAGTGGATGGACCAACAAGCAGTCCAAACTTTTTGATTACCACTAAAATGGTCCCAGCCAAAAAGTATAAAGTCCGTGAACTCAGGAAGTGAGATTCTAGGGTTCACAACCCGTCTGCAAAGGGGGTGGAGGTCTTGCCGCAACCCTCTGAAGCGTCAGCTATCCAATCCACGACCTCGAACTCCAAATCAGCTGCTCAAGGACGTCAAGTCTCCGCTCAGTGGGTTATAACAAGGCTTACTAAACACTTACAAATTCCCTACCAACCATCATCTTCCCTCTAATTGGTGGTTTGGAGCCGAATCAGTGGTTTAGTGGCCCAGGGAAGATTTCCCATTAGCCTCTACAAAAGCCAGTGGTTCGTGTCCAAATCCAAAGCACCAATTCAATCCACCAACTAAGGGTTAACTTGCCTGACTCGCTGAAGCATGGAAAAAACACCTGAGGGGCATAAGGCCAACGCTTGGACGCGCGCGTTGACATGAACCCTACCCAGTCAATCCAAGTTGCCACTTTGTTGGCAACCAGCCATGTTCCTTCTCTTACGTACCAGATAGAGGCGTCTTAATCGAGCCACATTTGCCAAACAGTCAGAAATCTGGAACCGCTGTCACAGCCCCAAGAAACAAATAAACATGAAACAACAAATGCATGCACACACACACACACATGTGTATATATGTATATACATATAGATGTGGATTGCATGTTTAGATATAGGGATGATTCCTTTCTCTAACAATTTTAAAGTAAGTGGCAAGCTCCTTTCATTTCCAGTGCTCCTTTCAGGGTTTCCATTTTGCGCCACCCTCCCCGCCCAACCCCCCCCCCCCCCCGGCTTCGGCTTGGCGGTGTTGGTGTGTGGCGCGAAGTCATCGCAGCCCGCGTCGATGATCACCGGGATGGTCTTATTGGGGTCGAAGCCTCCACCTAAGGCCGGGCTGAACTCAGAACTCAGTTGCGGGACCTGAGAAAATGGAGCGGCTGAAACGTGGGCCAGGTAAGCCACTCAAACGTGGCTACGGCATGGCTACCTCGAAGACACTGCATAGTTTCCCAGTGAGAGAGGTGACCTGGACGTTTATGACCCCTTTCTCTCACTAAAACGTGGGTAAGGTATGCCTGATAGGAATTACATCATCGTTGCGCCTTTAGCTCAGCCCTAGGACCCAACATTAAACAAATAAATAACCGAAGCCATTCGCGGATCTTGCATTCTGACGCATAACCCATTTGGCGACTGTGGATGGACGAAATCCTGCACCACCCAAGAAAACCTGGAATGTTGATTCCCCTGTAAATACCGACAAACACTGAATCCTATGGTTTCAAAGTGGTGGTGCGAAATGGATTTCGTCCATCAACTGTAGCGTGGTGTCTGCCCGATTGAGTTCGCTAATTTTGTGTGCTTGTTGCTTCTTTCGACACGCGGAAACGCAACAAATGACTCTCCCCGAGGCTAGGGACAGGCATGTTTCATGGGGCCCCCCACTCGTTCAGCCTCCTAAAGGGGCTTGATGGGTATGACGCGACCACCAGAAAAGTGACAAAGACAATATGAACAAATGACAATACGTCACTGGAATGGCGATTGTGCTTCCCTTGCACAAGACATGATTGACATCGTTTCCCATAATCACTTCCTGAGTTGAGTGAGTAATGCAAAGTGCCATGCACCAGCACTGCACGGAGGGGCAACTGGAGGTTCCCTTCGAGCATGGTTTGGGTGGGGCAACCCGAGGGGTTCAAGTCATTGCTGCTCTTTGGTCTGACTTTAACCCCCGCTGGCTTTTCCATCAAACCTACAAGGCTAGGAGGTAAGAACCCAGAAATGGGTCAAAGCACCTCCTTCCAGGGAAAATCGGAGAGGTTCCAGCAGCTAAAGCTAAGGTTCCGGCAGACGGTGTACAAGTCCTCGGCGTCAGGTGGTTGGTTTCCTGCTTGCTTTGTTGTTACTGGCCAACACATGCCCCAAACAACGAGCAAACCCATTTTGGGTCTCAATGTCAATCGTCAATCGCTTGGGCCCTGTGGCTGACTTCCTGAGTGGTGCAAAAAGTCTAAACTTTGTTGTTTACGACTAACATCGTCCCAAAAAGTGCCTAGAGTCCCAAACGGAACTCGGGAAGTGAGTCGGTGGACATCAACATTGGCCAATCAGGACAAACTAAAGCGTCCCATGGCCAAAGGCTGCCAACTACTGTGATTCGATTTTGACTTGCTGAGTGGATGGCCCCAGAAAAAGTCCAAACTTTATATTTGCTACTAAAATGGTCTTCCCGAAGAGTCTTAAAGTTCATGAACTCGGGAGGTGAGAATCGTGGCTGCGATTGAGCCCCCATTTAGCTGAGCCTTCGGGTTCACCGATGTAGACATGTGTTTCAATTGCGGGCGAAAGAAGCTGAGGTACATGTGGACGTTCTTTCACAAGGATGCAAAGGTTTGAGGTTTCATTCCTGCACTTGGACAGCCTAATCCCGGGTCAACATTATCAGTGCCCATGTTTGGTGATCGACCTTTTCCAATAAAGGGACATGGATATGGCTGGAAAAGAAGACCAATGCAACAGGGTTCCTTATATATATATATATCTACATATGTGTCGGGGGAGGGGGGGTTGAACAAAGTCTGGTCATGAGTGAGGGTTTAAACTTACCACAACCGAAGGGTCCATTTAGATCAAACTCCAAAGTATCCGTTTATGTGGCTTGATACTTGATAGAAATCAGGGAAGCCTTGGTCGGTCGCATGAAGACGGCTTCCATGACGAGGATGGACGGAATATGACTAAATCTTGCACCACCTCAAAAACTATGGTTGCTGATGATTCCCCTGTAAATACCAACAAGCGCTGGTTTCCCATGGCTTCCACTGGCAGTACGAAATGGAAAGCTGCACCTTTCACCTTGCTGTACTCCTTGGTGGTGCCCGGAAGTTTGGACGGGTACGTTCCTCAGAAAAACCAACCAAACCACTCCAAAGCACTCACGAAAGGGTAGCTGGAACTTGTTGTAAACTCACTTCCTGAGTGGATTGGCAAAACAAGGTAATTAACCAAACTTATTTAGTTTCCGGACCTCGGGAAGTCCGTCTGGGGTTTGATTCCTTGTTGGCCCCACCCCGCGCCTCTCCCCCCCTCCACGGCCCCCCCCCCCGGAACTCTCCGAAGCCCCAGCCCCGGATCCGAGGCGCTAACTTGCCGATGGGGATCCCCATGCCCCACACCCCGAGGTCCCCAAGGCCCAAGATCCGGCCGCCGTCCGAAAAGACCTCCAGGACCGGCGGCTTCAGGCCGCTTCGCGCGGAGGGGGGGGGGAGTTGGGGGAAGGGGCCGTGGGTTTGCGGTTGGGGGTTGGGGTGGTTGGTTTAGCTTTGGGTTGGGTTTGGAGTGGCTTTTCTTGGACTTGGGCAGGTGTCATGGGTTCAGCCTGCATGCTATAAGGGCTTCAAGTGAGGGCCTTGCTTGAGCTGAAATCGATGTGGGGCGGGGGTTGAAGTCGGTGAGCACCCCTGATAAGTGACATTGCCCGTCTTGTTGTTGACCAATTGTTTGGGGGTTTTGTGGAAAACCCCTTGATTTCAAGCAAAAAGTTGAAGTCTAAGGATCGGTTACTCAATAGCCATGAAGCCGTATCCATCCAAAGTGTACATCCATCCATCCTCTGCTTAACTCTCCCCGAATTGGTGGCTTGACTTGTTTGGCTTCAGGCGTTCAAATCCAGAAGCCAATCCAAACAACCTGTGGGGGGTTTGGAGCATGGTTGACTATTTGTGCGTCTTTTTCTTGACAACCCCCCTCAACAAACGGTGCTTTTCTCTTTGGCTCCGCTTTCAACAACCCAATCTTTAGGGTGTCCTAACAAGCCCAAACACCCATTTTGAGACACATCCAAATCCTAAGATCTATGGCTCCCTCGAACCCCGAGGTCCCAGCGATGCACTGGCACTCTGGCTTGCCGTCAGCGCCCTTGGGCAGCATGGCGTCCTCAGCTAGCCGACCAGCGTCCCATTTTTTGCAATTTACCGTGGTTTTGTGGTTGAGTGCGGGTGGTGTACTTGCAAACGTGCATCTGTTTTCTTTGGAAGCCGCCAAGCAAACACAATGGGTGCCCTGGACTCCATTTGAAGCTGGGGAAACTTGAGGTTGAGCCTGACTAGATCAGCCCAAAAGTCCGAACTATTTGCTGTGAAGTCCAGACGCCTGGGAAGTGCCAACAACAGCACAATGTATGAGGCAGGGCCTTTCTGCTGGGCTGTCCGCTTTCAGATCCCCTGCTAAAAGTCTAGCTTTTAGTGGCTTAAATGAAGACTACCGCGGTTTTCCCCTTCAAACATCACGAAGGAAAGCTCACCTTAGGACCTCAGATTCAACCTCAACGTGCTGAAACGAGACATATGTGTCTGTCATTTTTGAGGGTACCTGTTTGTTGGCGATCACCAAAGTGGCTAACCGCTTACCAGCTTGGCCGACAATATCGAGTCGTTTAAAAACCAAAACCCATGAGGCGAGCGTCCGCGTACTCCTTCAACACGGCTCGGACATTCCCGCGGTCGGTGAGGGACACGTAGCCTTCCCGCGGTCGGTCAAGCACAGGGGGCATAGAGCAGAGCCCCATGAAAACCAACCCACGGCACAAACATACTGTGGATGGACGCAATCCTGCACCACCTAAGAAACCCTGGAATGATGATTCCCCTGTAAATGCCCACAAACATTGTTTTCCCATGGCTTCAAAGTGGTGCAGGATTTCGTCCATCCACAGTATGAGCTGCAACCTATTACCGTCTCGATTCCTCAGAAGCCGCAGTCGAAAGGTGATCGTGCTTTGGAACCTTCCTGAAAAAATCGATCAACAATCACCAATGGATCACTGCTTGGGGGTTTGGATTTGTGCTTCGGAGGTGTTCCAAGGGTTGTTTCCCAGTTGCTCTCAACAAGAACCAGGGGCCAGCATCCCAAACCACCAATCCACACCACCAACTGAGAAGAATGCCTAAGTTGGCTGCCTAAGATTCAAATCGGTTCTGAAGAGGACGAGCAAGCAGACTTTTATCCCGGCAACAGGCCAGCAAATCAAGAAGCTGGCACAACAACCAGCCAAATAAGACCACTCGACAAAGCAGCCAACCAAACATCTAACTGAGCGAAAGAGCCGACAGCCAACCAAGGCGAGCAAACGCCCCAGTGCCGAATCAACAAACCAGCAAACAAGAAAAAACAACACACATGCCGACATGCCACTCAACTCAGTCGCCCCTTAGAGACCAGAAAGTAAAGGTGATCCCCTTCTGGGGCCATGACCAAACAGGGTAACAGGGGACGCCAAAAAGTCATGTGTTCCCCCTTTTTGGTTGGTTGATTTTCCAGCCCAGCCCCTCCAAAAACAGCTGAAACACGTCCATTTGCATAAGTCCCGTGGACAAACACAAAAATCTGTCCTGTAGTGATATCGATTCCCTTTAAAATCAACAGAGGACAATCAAATTCAAAATTCATTTCAGTGGAATAATTTTGTTTGGCACCTTTACGGCAGGTCCCTCTGGGCCAAGGCACAGCCCCTGGGCAAGACGGGCAAGGTCCCGAACTTCTGACACGCCTTGCCGGCGAACTGACCGCGAGGCAACGCCGAGCTGAAAGTCAGCTTACCCCTCTTCATGTTTGTTGGTTCGATGCATTTTGTGCCCTCAATCAGCCACATTTTGAGACCCCAAAACCCATCCTGGGGTGTCCAATGGAGGGTCTGGGTCTTCCATTGGAAGCACCAGAAGCGTCTGGTAACAGGGAGCGGCAAAAAACAACATATTTTGCTACCATACCAATGGTTGTGAAGCCCATGGTGCATTGGGCATTGGAACGTTCAAGGGCAAACCACAAGAAAACAACCATCATGTTGGGGGTGCCCGGACAAAGAGACACCCCATCTGTTCAGGTACCTCTTAGTTGGTGGGTTTGGAGCCCAGGCGGTTTGGATTTGGATTTGAACCCCTGGTGTGGTTTGAGGCGGCAGCCGGAACACCACTAAACTATCGGGCTCCAAACCACCAATCCGTAGAAGGCTGAGACAGGAGTTGCAAAGCCAACGAAACAAGTCAAGGCTGGCCAATCGTAGCGGCCGGGTTCAACAAAAACAGGCCCCATTGATTTTCGCAATGAAGTAGGGGTCTGGAATGAAGGAAACAAACCATCCCCTTTTTTGCTTGCTTGAGTGAAAGCTAAGGACGGTGGTCAGAAAACAAGCTAAAGCGAGACCCACTGACTTTGGGGTCTACACAGGTCTTAAGTAGGGCTTTCCCAATGGAGTATTCAACCGAAGGACCCGGTCATTCGTGAGCCCATGTTGAACCTCGCTCAATTGAGCTGAAAAGTTGTGAGGCTTTTGTGCGTGTGAAGACTGTAAAGCGAAATTTGGCCCCAGGTTGGACAAATGCCACTTCCCAGTGGCAATCAGTGACCTGAAGGGTAGAGCATGCTTTGTTTTTGTTTGTTTATGGGTGCCACTGAACAGCAACCTGCTTGCCGAGCACGAGGCCGCTCCATGAGGAATGCCGGGAATCGCTGGGCCGCTCGAATCGCGGGCGTCCGACGCGGGCGTCCGACGCCTCGCCCACCGTGGGGGTGTAAACGATGGGCATCAGGAAGGATGGCTCGGCCAGCAGCAAGCGGTAGAACAGGTCGGAGTCCTGGCAATCTATGGGGGATTGACTAAGTTCTGATGCTGAATGGGGGATTGGAAAAAGTGAGACAAATACAAACGATTCAAAATCCAGCAGTGATATTAACGTAGCCCTATGTAACTACAAATAACGCCCCTGCTTCTTTATCGATTTGGAGGGTTTCTATGACTCCTCCAGATTCAACCGACGTTAACAATACGGTGGGTTCGCCCCTTTGATGCACTGATGGGGAAAAAGGGAAACAGATGGGTCTGTCGATTTTTTGGAGCTCCTGCTTGGCTTGTCTTAAAGGGAACACAAAAGTGTAAAACCGCCCGCCATTTGAGGTGAATTAGGTCGTGTGAGGTCGTTATAATTCACCCAGACCCGATAGGGATCCTTATAGTGCAGCATCCGCAGGTAGGCATAGGACCAGATCAGGTGCCCAAGGCTCTCAAAGCCCCGCACCTCCTCCAAGGCCTCAAACCAATCGCCGCCGGCCGCACTTTGGTTTCCCTTTGGGTTTCCCTGGTAACCAAAATGTTTCTTGGGTTTGCCTTGGGAAACCAAGCCTTGGGATTGTCTTGGTTTCTTGGGTTTGCCTCATGTTTCTTGGGTTTGCCTTCAGCTTTTGTTTGGATTCCCAAGCCAATCTGCTTCCCAACCACCAGTGTTCGCGGTTCAGGTGTCATCCGGTTGCCGGCGCCTCGAAGTGGTCTGTTCAACCCCCCCTTATTTCCCCCCCCTGGAAAGGGGGGGAAGCTCGTCGGAAAACTCCACTGAAAACTCCCCAAGCCTGGTCTCGTACCCCCCCTCATGGGGGTGGGTGGGGGGTAGGAAGACTACTCACAAAATTCCAGGGCCACAGGCCATAGGTAGTTAAGAGCTTTGTGCCCCTTGCGGTTTCCGTGCCCAAACATAATTCGCCTCTCCTAACTGGGTCGCCAACCTATGCCTTTTCTTGGATTGAACATATAGGAGCAGAAAATCCCCGCCCCACAACTGACAGATTCGCTTGAGACCCCCCCCTTTTCCGGCAAAAACAAAGAACGCCTGCATGACACTCCAACCCATGTCATCAAATTGTGCAGCCCATCTTTTTTGCAACCCACCATACTGTGGATGGGCGCGAAATCCATTTCGCACCACCGTTCAGAAACCTTGGAATGATCATTCATTCCCCCCAAAGTGAATACAAATCAATGGTTTCAACCATGGTTTCTCAAAATGGTGTAGGATTTCGTTCATCCACAAGATATTGCCCAAAAACGCCCATGACTTCCATTTGCTTTTTCGCCCCCTGGAACAAATGCGAACATATGTCCAGTGAAATCAATCCCCTTTAAACCATCAAGGAAACATGCAACATCATATTAAACACAATACAAGGGAAACTACAAGATAACACATATTTTTCTCAGCAAATGGTAGAAATGGCCATGGGTCGGGACCCCGTACCCCCAGTGAACATCCCAATCCCCACTAACATCGAGTAAAATGGGTAGCGCACCTACCCCAACATGAGATCCCATTGGTGTTGACCCACGGCCAAATGACCAAAGCAAAAACCACTCGAGCCCATCATTGTCCCTTCCGATTCCGAGTGGCCTCCTCGACAGTACTGGCCTGGCATGCCTGGTCCAAGATCTGCAGCACATGCCGCACGCTGCCCTGGCATTGGAATCCATCGATCCGTGTGAGACGGCAAAGGTCATCATAACAACCAGCTGTTTCTTCCAGCTGTGTTGGTGTTCTTGTTTTGAGAAAAAAGGATGGGCCTGCCTGTGCCTCCCAATCCCCTCGGCCCCCTGAAGGAGCCTTGCTAGCAGTAAGGTCCAAACTTCCGCAGACCAAAGCCCACAAAGGCCATGGTAAGTGCCGCTTGTCCGCTGGATCTCATCGGAAACCCCCCCTCCAACAGTTGGCATGGCGGCACAAAAGCGACAAATGCGTATGTCTTTGCAGCCCGGTAAGAATGATCAGAACCAACAACAACGAAAAACCCAAGAAAACCGTGCGACGGTGAAGACCCCAAGTTGAGGCCTCAAATAGAATGTCGAAGAATACCGAGCAAAACTAAGCAAACGTACCGTTTGCGAGCAAACTATGGTCCAATAATTTAAATCGTGACAAAAGTCCACTTCAACTCAGGGAGTGATTTTTGGAACCCAAAAAAGGAACCAGAACCAGAAACTGGCTGCATCGTCTTCTTTTCTACGGCGGCCCCTGCTTCAGGTTTCCTCAGCCATCTGAAGATCAGGAGGAATGAGGTGATGTCGCATGCTTTGTTTTTTGTTGGATTGGGGGGGGGGGGGGAGTGGGTACGCGAGAAAAGACAGGGGCTGTCTGGATTTCCCCTTGGGTTGATCAACTTGGTGGTTTCCCTTGAAACCGCCACTTTTGGAGGCCCCGTGAAAGGTAAATGTCTCGAAACCCCTGAAAGAAGCACGCACATGTTTTTTTGAAGCCCTAGTAAATGGAAACAAGAACCAAATCCATCCTGTCCATATCCTGTGGTGGTGGAACATTTTACCTACTAAAGCCAGTGGTGTTCTTGTGGTGTCATTTTCATGCATGCCCACCACCTTCCTTCGGGCCGGATCAATCTCTCCGGTTGCATCAAACGCGGGGCGCATCAGAGTCTCAAACGCTCCGCGTGCCTGAGAGTTCCAGGCTGGCACCCCCATCTCCGCCACTTTCTTGGGCAGGGATAGCTTTCGGCCGCTCATGCTGATGCCTGGCGCAGGCTCTTGGAGCTGGATGCAGTCATGGGGGCGAGAGTGGGGGGCGGGAGGGAACCCAAACAAGCACGTACGTGTTGAGCCCTTAATAAGGCCCTATTAAGGCTTATTTGTGCTCCCCACCGCCTCCTCTCCCCCCTAGCCCCCATGATGCAAACGAGTCTTTAACTTGCTGAGATTCGGAAATCGCACCACTTCGATTCAGTGGTTGAAACAGTATTTACAGGCGAGTGAATGTTGATTCCAGGGTTTCTAGGTGGTGCGAAATGGATTTCATCCATCCACAGCATCGGGCTGGTCAAAAAGAGGTTTGGCCTTAGCCCCTATGGAGAAGATGGCGCCTGGCCAATGAGCTCACAGTGTGAAAGTACATGGCACAATTCCAACCCATCTCGGTAAAATGTCATCCCCTTTACCAAAATACAGCGACTTGATTCCGCCATCCATTTGCACCCGGTTTTTTTTTGCAGGATGGGGTGATGAAAACGCCCCTCGTGCAAAAGCCATGGGTTGAACTGTGTTCATTTGCCGCGCCGGGAGGAGCCTTCTGTCTGCCTGGAGTCTTTGAGCGGTTGGATGCCCTGTGAAGCGAAACAAGCGCTGCTCTGTGCATGGCTGAGCCCACTTTCTGTGATTTCTCCTGGGTATCACAGGAAGTGACCCCAACACCCAGGTTCCACTCCACCCTCCTGCCATACTCAGCAACGAACGCAAGTGGTTGCGTATGAGCGAAACTACGCGCAGTCTGAGTGCGCACGGTTCAAGAAAGGAGCCGAAACAAGCACACCCGTCCTTGGTGTTGGATGTGAAGGCCCCACGCAACAAGCAAACAAGAATGTTGCTGGAAAACTGGGCTGCGTCCGACCAAACCCAATCATCCGACCACCTCCGTTTTTGGTGGTTTGCAAAGGCAAGCAAAAGAAACCAATGCGCCCACGTAGAGTCTGAAGTCACTGCATATTTATAAAAATGAAGGATGCTTTGCCCCCCCCCCATTTCCCCCATCCCCCCCTCCCCCCCCTGGTGATCTGTTGTTTTCACAGGGCAGCCACGGCCAACCCAAAGACAACGACATATTTTGGTGGGGGCATTTTTGCGATGTTTGAGACATAACCGGTTCATCTCTCAAAGGATGGGGGGGGACCGGGCCCCAACGGCCCGCTTGAAAGTTTTGAAGCCAACCGAAAGGAGAGGGGCCAGCCCAAAAACCAAGATATATCCCCAGCCAAGTGACCCTGGCTTCTAGATGCCATCTTCAGCTGGGAACCCGGAGGCACCAGGGAAAGGAAGCCCAGATCGACAGGTCCGACAGGACGCCGGCGAAGCCCAGATCGGCCGCGCCTCACCTCGGTTGCCTTGTCGGACTTTTGGGAACTTTGAGCCTTCTGGGGGAAGCGGGGAAGCGGCGCGGTCGGGTCCAAGGCAGCGCCCAAGGCAGCTGCCAAGGCAGCGCCCATGCCCCAGCGCCCGTGCCCAAGGCAGCACCCAAGGCAGCGCCCAAGGCAGCACCCAAGGCAGCACCCAAGCCCAAGGCAACACCCAAGCCCAAGCCTGCCCCCACGGCAGCGCCCGAGCCCGAGGCACAGTTAGTCTTCTCAAACATGGCTTGGTCTGCTACAACTTTGCTTTGATCACTTGCGCCACCTACCAGCCCAAAGGTCCCTTCCAGGCGAGGGGGGGGTAAAAAGCCTTGGGAAATCATCGAGGCTTGCAGCCTGAACGCCAAGCAAACATGGCCCAGCATGTTTTCAGCCACAGCCTCGGTCAGCCAACGCAGCTCCAGGCTGCCAAACTTCCGTTCCTTTCCATTGGCTCTCAAAGAAACATTTCTCGCTCCTGACCGCTTCCTTGTAAACAAGCAAGAGGCAACTCGCCCAAAAATCGCTCATGGGCCTGTCTACATGCATATGGACCCACATTTGGGTGGCCCCCCTTCGGCTTCCAAGGCAGCTATGTCAACAGGAACAATTCTAGTTGAACACGCTGCAGTTGATCTAGGACAAGGGTCACTGGGTCTCCCATTCAAAAGTTGATCAAGTTACTGCTCGTGTCCATCGAAACCATCGCCGCCTTTGGAGGTTCCCTTTACAGGGAAACCGGACAACCCTGTACGACCACATGAAAAAACCGGCTCAGCGAGCCAGATTCTCGCTTCCCGGGCGGATGGCCCAAAAGATAAGTCCAAACTTCTTGCTTGCCACTAAAATGGCCAAACCCAAGCAGTGACCAAAGTCCCTGAACTCAGGGAGTTATGTTGACCCCATACCCATCAATCCCACTGTATAAGCAGGCGGTGTCCCTGGGTTGAGTGGGGGAATCGGATATAAATAAACTCGGTTGCTTTCTGCTCCCCTGCTAAAAGTGACTAACTTTTAGTGGTTTAGTACGGAAAACCCATTAGTTGGCAAAAAGTTAAAGTCCTAACATCCCTTGGCAAAATGCCCCAAAGTAAAGTGAGGTTGATTATTCTGGGGTCAACATTCAAGGAATGGAATCACCGAATGACCTTTAACTTATAAACCATCCAACTGGGGGGTGTCCTGTAAGGGGACCAAGGCCTGGGTTGAGCCAATTCTCATTCCCTATCGCACCGGCGAGCAAGTCAACTCCCCCGCCTTTGGACAGCGAACTCCAAAAAAAAAAGCGACTGCACTTCCCATTTCCCCCATCCCCCGGGCGTCCCAGCAAGCCCAGCTTCACTGACTCGGCGAGGCAGATGGTTCGGGGCGTTTCGGTTCAGAGAGCGAGCGAGCGCGGGGGATAGGCCGGGGGCTTGCTACGGGAAGTTGCCCCCTTGTTATTTTCTTTTTGTGGCGGGGGGAGGGGATGTGTGTGTGTGTGCTTTTCCCGGCAATATATTTTTGGGTGCGCCTTGTCTGGCAGAAAAAAGGGGACCTGCAAATGGGTGTCCTTTTTGACAGGAGATCAAAAGGAAAGCCAGCGTTTTGGCGGCTCCCTTAACAAACAACCCGCGTACGACTGCCCACTTAATTGCAACAGAACTTGTTTGTGCGGCCAAGCAATGACTTGCTCAGGATCTTTCCAGCATAGGTGACATGTTGAAAAACTAGGATGCCCTGGTAATCTGATTGGAATCCACCAATCTAAACCAGTGGAACCCATCGATTTCAAACCAACACCTAACCAAAAAGATCTAACATGCACCTATGCCTACCATGTCCTTGTAGACCTGGCGGCTCCTGAGCCGCTCCCTGCTTGGCAAATTTAAGGATAGCCCCCCTTCGCTCCAGCCAGCTTTTTCACCCAGAACCCCTGCTTAGTTCTACGGGGTGTTTCCCTACAGAACCCCTGTTTCGTGTTTTGGGGGTGTTTGTTATACTGTGTTCTGAATCGAAACGCATTTCACCAAAAAACCACCCCAAGACAACCAACCCAAAAAAGTGACACCTATGCCTACCGGAGAGGCCCCATGTGTCCCCTGGTGCTAGAGAGAGGCCCCCTGTTTGGAAGCGAAATTTCACGCGCCAGATTGTCTCCCTTCTCTGATTGGGGTTGGGGGGGGCTATCCCCAGGATAAGCCTTTAAGGCTTAAAGGGGTTCAGAAGAAGGGAGTTACGCCCCCTCCCAGTCTGCCCCGGGTCCATGACTCACGTGTCAAGTAAAGGTGTCTATTGTGGAGGGTAGCGTTTTTCTTTGGCTTTCAAGGGAACCGACCACAAAGCTGCTTCATTCTGAGAGGTCCCCCCTCGGGTCCATGACTAAGCAGGGATCCTTACATTCTACACCTGAACATTGGCTTGTAAATGGTGGTTTCCAACTTTATTTTGGTGTTGAAAAAGCCATGTTTCAAACGGTTGCAAAATGGCCATCTTTTAAGGAGCCCTAAGAAATGCCTTCGTCGCTCTGCGGAGCCCACCACCGCAGACCGCAGATCGTCGTTCAGCTGGCCCAAGCCTGGCGAATCCAGCGCCAGCTGCAGAGCAGCCAAGCGGACAGCTTGGCGACACGCGGCACCCAGGCAACCCGTGAGTCGGAATCAACACTCGTGCTCCTTAAATGGTTGGCTTCTGGGTTTCTTCAACACCCAAGGGGTCCAACATTTTGAGAAACACTTAATTACTTGAGTCGCAATCAAAACCCGGTAATAAAATGGCCTACCAGATCAGGCGAACACCGGAGAAAACAGCATCAGTATTGGAGTTTCAGCAAGTTTTAAGATGTTGGATCGTAACATCAAGGGGCTAAGCTACACAACAACGTGTTTCTTGCAGCTTCAGCAAGTGTTAAGTCATGACACTGAACAGAGCTAAAATGGGCTAAAAGGTGTCACACTTAGCCGACAAGCCGTTTTCTGTCGCCAACTTGCAGTCACAAACCAAAGGGAGAGTCACATCGCCGAAAATCACGTTTCCTGCTTAAGGTTGACCCCCGATTCAGAAACCGGTTCTATAGGGGTTGTTCCCCTCCAAAAGTCATGAACCCCCACTCAAAGGGACCGCCGGAGGTTTATCAATCTGAAGTTCCCACTATCAAGGCAAGAAGCACGCCACCAAGAAACTCCCGTTGAGCAATACCTTTCCCGCCATGTGGTCAAAGATCTTTTTAAGCCATTTTCTGTTGACCGCTGTAATACGATCACGAAGAAAGAGGCCGTAGAATTGAAAAGTGCATGTGCCTTGTACATGTTGCTAGTTTGGTCTGTGTTGTGTTGCTTCCCCACACATCCCCACCCCATCCCCATCCCCTCCCCTCCCACCCCACCCCATACCCTCCCACCCCACTCCATACCCTCCCACCCCACCCCATCCCCTCCCACCCCACCCACTGACAAAGCACTTTTCCATCTCACATCTAGCCGTTCATCAAGTCCCAGAGTCCCACCAGCCGCTCGCGCGTGGCGTCCAGCTTGCTGAGCGGCGAGAAGCGGAGCTTCATGAGGATGTGGTTGAAGCCCAGCTCCCTCATCTCCTGGGCCAAGTTGGGCGAAATCGACAGGGTGTGCAGCAGCAGCACCGCATTCACCACGCAGTCGGTTTGCTCGCTGTCCGGCGCATCAAATCCGTGATGTTCCACAATTCCATGGAGCTCCTGGATGATGGCTGGCAGGGAGGGTCCGATCTCTTCTCGAAAGTCGCTGGCCTTCAAGCTTCCACCATAGCCTCAGTTGTGCAGTGACCCTGGAGAACAAAAAAGGGGAACCCTTTTTGGGGAAGACCATTTCTAGTGGGTTTCAGCCGAAAAAAAAAAAGGAAAAAAAAGACTCCTTTGTTGGGAAGGCCATTTTTAGCGGGTTTCAGCCACAAAAAAAGAAGAAGAAAAAAATCAACGGGAAAAAAGGGGATGCCACTGAAGCAATCTGAGTCGCAGATCTGCCGCAAGGCGAACATCATCTTGGACCTCAGACGGCTGCCAGGCGGCGAGGACATGTGGAGCTGAATGAGCCGCTGCAGCACCTTGCCGTCCGAGAAGCTCTCCCAAATCCTTGGTGGACGTTGGAAAGGTTGGGGAGCAAACAAATCAGATTTTAGCAGCTAAGTGGATTCCAAATCCTTGGTGGACGGTGGGTTTGGGGAGCAAAAAATTCGGATTTCAACCAGGAAGGGGAGCAAAAACTAACTTGCTCAAAGAACGTAAACCCTTGGACGTTGGGTTTGGAAAGGGAGCAAAAAAAAAAAAAAAGATTTGAGCAGCAAAGTGGATTTGGATTTCAACCAGGAAGGGGAGCAAAAACTCGCTTGCTCGAAGAACCTTCACCTTTTGGGACCTTTGCTAAAAATGGGTACCAAATCAGGGAAACCACAAGGTCAAAAGGTCGGCCTGGAGCAACTGAGATGTTTTTTGTTTTTCAGATTTTAGCAGTTAAGTGGTTGGATTTCAACCACTCAACCACAACAAGCAAAAATGTAAAATGTGTCCCAACAACAACCATGAATCTCCTTCTCGGAGCACAGCTGGCCGAGAGTGCAGGCCACCTCGGCCAGGATCTGGTGCTTACTTGGAGTCAACGGCATCTGCAGAAGCTGCGTCAGCTCCCCCACCACGCCGAAGCTGTTCAAAGCCTGACGATGCGCCGTGGACCTGGTCAGGTTGGTGGTCAGCATCAGGGTGTAGTAGAGCAGGTCATTGTCCCGAACGCACAAATGCCTTGCAATGATCTGCGGAGCCTCCATCTTGATCAGTATGTCTTTGACCAGCTCATGGTTGGCAGTCATGTTCACCAGGGTTACAGTGGCGTGTGTCTTGAGGTGGATGTTGCGCTGTTGCAGGGCGGCACTCAGCGCAGGCACAAGCACCGCCACATGCATCGGCCCAGAGCATGCTGAGATGATTTCGCGGCAAATGGCCGCCTTCAGGTCAATGGAGGACATGGAACTCACCAGCAGCACCGCCAGGAATTCGGAAAACTCCAAGCTCATTCTCTCCTCCCCCTTTGGCGGCTTCAACTGCTTCGCCAGCCAGCCAAATTCCAGGAGCGCCTGCATGGCGCGATCATTGAACTCATAGGTCTGGAAAAATTCGGGGTGGAGGAGGAGATGCTTGATCTCGTGTGGCTGCCACTTCTGGGTCATGTCCTGGGGTCTCACGTGCAACATAAACAGCAAAGCCTCGTGGATCTTCGCCCGGTTCGGCTTGGCAGCCAGCACAGCATCGCAAACATCTGCCAGCGAGAAGTTGCGAAAGATCACCCCATCGAGACAGTAGGTGAAGTACCGGGCCACTCGCGCCCACCAGGCGTTTCTTGCTTCGTCGAAGTCGCCAGACGTACCACTCTCCTCGCCGCCTGGCATGCTTCTGGCTGTCTGCTGGGCGGCTTCCAAAGGACTCACCAGGAGCGGAATATCCTCACCCACTTCGTCCAGCAAATTCGGGCAAGACAACTGGTACTCCTCCTTCAGCACCTTCATACATGCCTTCAGGAACACACGAGCCTCTCTCTCGCAGGATGGCCTCATTCCCAAAGACTGCTCCGTCCAAGCCAGCGCACTCTCTGGCAGCAGAAGCGTGTCCAGCTTTGCCTGGATGAAGTCTCGATACATCTGCTGCGGCACTGTGCAGTTGGGCGTGTCCGGCATAGTGCAGTCCGCAATCCAACGAGCTTCATGCAGCAAAAGAGCCTCTTCCACCTGGCCTTCATCCACCGCCCAGCGCGGGCTCGTCACCCGAATGATGAAGTCCTGCGCAGAGTCTGCCAAGGGAGGCACGTACTGGCGCCGCAGGAGGATCACTGCCATAACACTCTCTTCAGATCTGAGCGCCAGTTCCCAGCCACTCCAGGCACAAATGTCATTCATGAGGTTCCTGGGCCCGTGTTCGATCCCCCGCTAAAAGTGACTGACTCTTAGTGGGACAAACTCGGAAACTACTGTGGATGGACGAATTCCTGCACCACTTGGAAACCACGGGAAACATTTTTTGTGGGTATTCACAGGGGAATCATCATTCTAGGGTTTCTTGTGTGGTGCAGGATTTCGTCCATCCACAGTACCACTAAACCTAACAAGCTAAGGGCCAAAGGGGATGGCTGGCCACCAAGGTTCATCCTCTTGTGATAGCCACAGCTGGACGTGATGACGACGCGGCTCAGGGGTAGTGTCAATGACCTCAGTTCAGTGACCCTGGAAAAAGGAGTTGGGAACCCTCTTTGAGAAAATGTTCTTTTTTGGGGAAGACAAAAGGGATCCCATTTTTGGGGAAGACCCTTTTTAGTGGGTTTCAGCCACCACAAACCAAAAACGGGGGAACAGGACAAATAATTGGTGCGTCAAAAAAAAAATGACAAAAGGCTTGGTGCCACTTTTTTCGAAGTGAGTGGCTCCTTGTACTCCAGCGCGGACCAGCGGATGTGATTCTGATCCGCGGCCTCCAAGTCCACGATGGCCACGGGCTCCTGGACTTTGATCTCCAGCGCCAGCTGCCGCTCGTCCAAGAAGTGGCCTCCGTGGTCCTAATGCTCCGTTGGGATGGACAAAGGGGGGAAAAAAGGGGGCACCGCAGGTTTTGGTCATTTTCTTTAAAAAATAAACATAAAATAAAACATATCATATTTCTTGAGTTTAGAGGGGAACCCTTCAAAAAAGAAAGAGGGAAACAAGAAGGCGCCACTGGGCAACGGAGTCCTGGTCTTTGTAGCTCTGAGGAACAAAGAATCTATAGCCATGATGGAGCACCTGCTTGCATCCGTTGAAGGGCTTCACCGTCAACGAGATCGTCTGCTTGCTTTCGCCTCTCTCCCCGCGCAGCGACTGCTTGGTCAAGTGCAAGTGCCGAACCTGGCCGAAACGAAAGACGTAGTCCGTGTTCCAGGCCACCTGGATTCTCTGAGCCAAGGCGTGCCTGTTGTCGCAGGAAACAAAGAGCTTCTCGCTCTTCCAAGCCAGAGCCCCAGATTCACTCAGAAGCAGAAGCAGGTCCGTGGCATTGTCCTCATCCTCCACCATTGACCGGATAAAGGCGAAGAAGATTTTGCCGCCCTCTTCGGTCGGATAGAGCCCGCCAAGATTTCGGCGGATCAGGTAGAGGGCATGTTTGCCCACTGCCATGAAACACTTCACATTGTGTTCAGCTGCACTGAAGTTCACCAGTTCAAAGTAACGCAACTGCGTCTTTGCGCGAACTGCGAGCGCTTGTAATGCAACAGGGTCCGCCGACATCCACGAATTGCGTGCGCTCAACAGGGTCCGCCGACATCTAGATCATCTGCCGCCTTCTTTGGGCCGGCTACGAGCCATGGATTATTTTTGTCGGGATCAACCAAAAAAAAGAACTTGCAAAGCCCACGGAACTTGCCCCAAGTGGTGTCAGTTGTCAGTGGAATTTGCGCCAAGTGGTTCCAGCTCCGAGTGGTGTCAATTTGCTCCAAGACTTTGTTTCAGTTTGGTCTGGGTGTGTCAGTTGTCTTGCTCCAAGTGGTTCCAGCTCAACGCAGGCAGACCACAAGTTTGAAGCTGCACACATCCGCTGGCCCTTCCATCTTTTGCCTGAGATGCCTCTGAATCTCAAACTTGCTGCCGCGATAGGTAGGCAATGAGAATTGGAATGAAACCAGGGGTTCCCTGAAAGAAAACCATTGGGATGGTAAAAGGAGGAATAAAAAATGTAAAAAGACAAGTTAAACAAAAGGTACAAAAAAGGGGCAAAGAAAAGGGTTAGACAAAAAAGGTCAAAACAAATGTGTAACAAAAAGGGGCATTCCCTCATTCCCTGCCTATCGCACGAGCAAGAAAATGCCTTCAAAACATCAGTTGGTCAGCTGATCTGAGCTCGCAGGCTGTGTCGCGCATGGCAAGTCACCCGACATCTGTGCCACTAGTATATGGCCAGGACTGCATCACTTACGGAATTGGCATCACAAACAGGGTTCACTGGATTTCCCCTTTGAGTTGATCCATTTTCTGGCGGGTCCACCCAAAGTGTCACTTTTGGAGGTACCAAACCTCAGAAAATGAGAAAAGCACATCACCCTGGTGGCATTTTTTCCTCTCTCCGAGCTCATCCGCGCGCTCATCCGTCGGCGTCACTTTGCGAGGCCGTGGGACGTGAGAAGCTCCTGTACGAGATGAAGGCCTTGTTGATCCGCGAGCTCCTCAGGCCGAGCTCCAGTGGGCGTGAGCAACACACGAAATCTAAGACCAATGCCTCAGCGGCTTCCAAATGAATTTTCGCCCCCTGGAAAAATAACAATATGGGGCAAAATTCCGCACCCCCAGTGAACATCCCAACCCCCACTAAAATAGACTTAAATGGGCGGTGCACCTACCCCAAAATGGTACCATTGGTTTTGACCCAGCCATATATCCAGTAGTGAAATCGATTCCCTCTAAAATCCAACAGGGGAAATATGAAAAACATATGGACATGGATGCTGGTGGGTTTTGTCGGGGAGGCGTTCTTTGCACGTGTGTCATTTTGATGAACCTGAAGACAAAGCCAGTCTAATTTAAATACTTTGGATGGAAGCTGCTTTTAGCAACTGACATGGGTTGGAATCTGCAGTTGCTAAAACAATGTTGGGGAGGACACAGACAATCCGGCTGACACCGAAGTCAAACTGATCCGTAAGTTGGTTTTGCTAGACAAAGGGGGTCTTTCTTTCAATGACTTTGTCAATGACTGACAGGTGTCACGCGAAAAGACATCCGTAAGGATAACGGCAAATCAGAACAACAAAAAATGACTAGCTTATGTTAAATCAAAACAACAACACAAAGGTGCATGCCCGTTTTCACAGGACTAGGGCGTAAGCCTTGAACTCTTCCATTGAGTTGCCTGTTCAACAAACGTTGCCACAAATGAAATCAACCGGGGGGCCGCTATGGCCCCCAACATCCCACGAACCCACTCTTCCACTTCAGGATTAAAATCTAGCATTAAAGAGGAGGCAACCTGCCCCGTCACGTGCACCATGTTGCATTCACACGCCACTCGATGTCACGAGGCCCCCCTTCCCATCCAAACCACCAACCCGAACCACCAGCCCAACCCAATCCACCAATCCAAGCGTGTTTCCTGCAGCCCCCACTAAACATCAACAGACCCCAAAAAAACAAAAAACAACTCGAATCATGCCAACTAACATGGAAGTGCAAAAAGGCCCTTTCCAAAAGGAAACTATTCTTTCTACGGTGGTCTGCGCACAAACCCATGATAGTTGGCGGGAGGGTAGAAACTTGTCAACCACAGTGAAGTAGAAAGCCTCCCACCCCGAAACCACTAAAAATCTAGAGGCCCAAAAAACAACAACAGCCAGACACACGCGAACAACCGTGAAGTAGAAAGCCTCCCACCCCGAAACCGCCAAAGAAAAGTCCCATCGCATCGATGGCTCCTGGGTCCGCGGGAAGGAGGCCTCCGCCAAGCGGTGCAGCAAGTCTGAAGCGCCAGTGCTCAAGCCGCCTGGCGCAAGCCGTCCCCGAGTCCGGTTTTAACCATAGGTGACCGGACTTGAAAAATCCATGGGTTTCCCTATGATAAACCCGTCTGAACCGGCGCCATGGTACTTTTAAGCATAACCTAAAAAGGAAACACCTACGGTCTTAACTCGTCTTCACTTTACAAGGAAAGTGGAACCCGACATGAGGTTGAATCGCTCACAACTCAGGTCACCCTGGAAGCGGGACGCCCATGCCCAATGAGTCAACCAACAATATTTAAATGGGCATGCTCGACTCGACCGACGGATCGGCTAGATGCACCCAACAAATGCATACCAAACAACAAGAATCACACAAGCTTCGGCAAATGGGTGTGGGACAATATTCTGGTGTGGAACAATGCGGACGTCTGGAACGAGTCAGTTCCGTAAGGTTGGTTGTTCCGGACCTCTGTGAAGACATGTGGGGAGTCCTCAAGCACACGCTCATTTAGTGTAAGATGGATAGATGGATGGATGAGTGGGTGGAGTGTGTGCATGTGGACTTGGTGGCAAATTGCTTCGCTGTGCCTGGCACACGTCTGGAACGGGTCTGGAACGGGGTCTGGAACGGTTACGCGAGTGGCTTGCACTTGGGAATGCTAGCAAGCAGCATGTAAACATGGTCGCTTCAACAATGTGACGACCGAGAGCGGTATCGAACCGTTTCCGTATCATATCCAACAGATTGCGGCGGGGTTGACCCTTAACATTGACAGGCCGTTCCAAAACACATCTGTCAACAGGACCGCTGAATTCCATCCAAGCCCCAATGATGACAAGCCACGCAGCCCTAACCACCAAAGCTCGACAAGCAAAACCCATCGTTAGCACCTCAGGCTTCTCTCGAACACCAGCTTTAACGCGTAGCATTTGGCAAAGCAAGGGGGGAGTCAATAACCTACTAAATCACCTGACCGTCTGAATCAATACTCTAAACTAGACATAAATATCTACATATGTACAATTATATATACATACAAGGTCTGGAACGGAAGGTCTGGATCATGTTTCTCGGCAAGGTCTGGAACGGAGGTCTGGATCGCATGTGGGTTCCGGACCCTGTTCCGGACCTTATAAATTGACTCGCAGTCAAATGACTAAATTTCAGTCAGACACCGATTTGAATCAATGAAATCACGAAGGCGTTTGCATATTGACGGGGGGGGGGGGGGAGCACGTCATTGAAGTTCACTCTTGAGGTTGTTGCTCATTGCAAAGCAACCCATGGCAAGTTCAATCGCAACGCAGGTAACCCTCAATTTGTTGATCTTAATTAAATTGCGGTGCTTGGTGTAGCCCAGTCATCCAAACGCCGGGTTCATCCACCGGCGGCTGATCTGCAACCCGCTCCATTTTAGAGATGTCGATAACTTTCTGTTGGTAAAACAAGTTAGGTAATCGCCATTCTTGGCAGTTCAAAGGGCCCCTGCCCTTCCAAAAGCAGGAAACATGACGGAAAAAAAGGGGGGAAAAAGGCCCAGGGCAGTGGTAAAAAGGTGGGCAAATGGCCCCCAATTTGGCTCAAAGGAGGTCGCGCAAACCATTTGGTCGGGGCACCTTCTGTTTGACCTGATTGTTCAAGGGGTTTTCCCCTGCGCGTAAAACAAACACACGGGATTGTAATATCATGCGGAAAAACTACCGGGCAGTTCTGAGATCCTCTGCTAAAAGTGACTAACTTTTAGTGGGTTGAATGGACAACCAACCACAAAACCAACTAAACACCACTAAAAAACCAAGGAACCGCAAGAAAACACAAACACCTATTCAAAAAATGAAAAACAAAAACGACCCCGCGGGGTCGACGTGGCAACATGGCACCTTCAAGGTGGCTCCCCAATACCTCCACCCGGCGAATGCCGTAGCCTCAAATCAGAACAACGCGACAGAAACAGCATGCGATCGTTCAACGAGCGCCTCGTTTGGATTTCACTTTCTGAGTGGACTGAACTTTTCATGTACCACTAATGGTCTTCCCAAAAAGTCTAAAATTCGTTCAGACTTCGATTATTATCCTCGCTTCCTGAGTGGATGAGCCAAAATGAGCCTGAAGTCTCTTCATTTACCACTCAAATGGTCCAAACCCAAAAAGTATAAAACGTCCATGGACGGAAGTGAGACATAGGTATCCCATTGAATGGAGCCTTCTTATAGCTGAGGTTGTTTGATCTCTAATGTGGCCCTATGGTTTTAAAGAGGGGATTATAAAGTGTTGACACAAGTTCATCCTACCTTGAGGGGAGGGGGAAGGGGGGGTGGAGAAGTTCCGAATTCCATTTTACGAGTTCCAAAGGGACTCTTCGACTTTAAACCATCCCAGGCAATTCCAATTCTGAAGGGATGGTGGGATCTCAGAGGAAAACCTGAGCAGCGCTCAAAACCCATTGGCCTACCAAGTGGAACCACCTACATGGCCAGTAGGAATCGGTTTTCTGACACGGGCACGGGCTGGCCCAGAACCACTGTTTTGGGTCGCCCTGCGCTTGGCTCAGCACGCACAGAATCTTCAAATTCTGGTCCAGGGCCTAGACTAGGTCCTCCAGTAGAGAGTTTAGAATAAGGGTACCAACTTTTTTCTGTAGTCTACTTTAGCAGGGGTACCCTCCCCCAAAAAAGGGTGAGAAAGGGCACTACTGACAGGATGCCTTAATGCTAAAGGCAAACACAGTTGGATTCTTGCTGTGGATGGAAACTTTGCACCACCTAAGCATTCCTGGAATGATGATTCCCCTGCAAATACCAACCAACAATGGTTTCTTATGGATTTCTTCCGTCTACAGTGGTAGAGGGCATTCCCTCGACCCACTGCGAACCAGGTTTACGCAGAGGTTTGAAAGGAAGGTTCACGCTCGTTTTGCCGCTCAAACTCACGTTTTCCGAGCCGTATGGGTGTTTCGCACAATAGGGACCCCATAAAAATGGGCTGATGTCATGTGGTTTCCCTTACGCAACATGCCCTTAAAGTCCCAAGCTTGCCTGCTACCAGCCGCCCATTCGAATCGCAAAAAATGAAAATAAAAATCCGAGCGGCTCTTCTTCAGGCCGAAGCAATCCGGGCACGGATTGTCCAGCTCGAGGCGTACCAGTCCTTGGCAAGATGTGGGAAGACCTGGGGCCCAAGCCCTTAAAGGGTTGGGGTCCTAGAAGTGTTCTGGGTTCTGAGAACCCGGTTTTGGGGAATGGACTTGACCAGCAAGAGGAAACCACCCAAGTCTTACAGATGGACTCCCTATGTTTGCTTCGAAAAAACAAAATCTCGGCTCACTTCCTCAGTGTGGAGTGGACCACAATTGGTGTACCGCTGCAAAACCAAAAGGATGACAACACTTCCCCTTGGGGCTCGAAATCACCGGTTGCACCCGGACACCTGGTACCCAAGAGGAAACATCATCGAGCTCACAAACCGCTTTTCTGAGGTCGCTCCGGTGCGCAGGCTTCATGATAACTCCAAGCTAAGTAAGCTTCCATCTGCTTAAGTCCCCTGGTGAAATGAACAACTATGTCCAGTAGTGGTCGCTCTCTTTTGGTTTCTCTTCAAAAACCATCCAAAACAGGGTATCCCCCACGAAAACAAATATCAACCAAGCTTTCTTCAGCAATTGGATGGCGAGGAAGAACTCCTGGCTCCTCCAGCAGAGAGGTCAGAATGAGGGTACCAACTTTCTTTTCTGTAGTAGTAGGGGAACCCAAAAACCCAAAACAGTTGGTGAGAAAGGGCACCTAGCTGGGGGACCTAGACTCCCAACCTTTCAAAGGCGGCCCCCCAAAAAAGCGTGTTTTTTCTGTTCAATGGTTGGCAGTCCCAAAATAGATTTGGACTTCCCCTTTTGTTGCGGTCTCCTTTTGGTTTCACCTTTCCCTTTAAACCAAAACGTCTGTGCCGTAAAGTTTTCGGTATTGGATGGCGAGGGAGAGTTCTCGTAACCCTTCCTGTGAGGAGAGCACCCCCCGCCGTCCCGTTTTCGGCTCGCTTCCGAGCCATAGGTGTCCTTTTCGGGCAAATAGATGGCCCTGGTAGATGATGAACCACCAGGTAAACCAGGCATCGCCATCGAATTTTCAGCCAAAACAACCAAAAAAGGACACCCATGGTTGCTTTCTGCTCCCTGAAAAACAAACTCAAACATGCCAGTAGTAACAGATTCCCCTCTAAACCCAACCAGGGGAAAAAAAAACAATCAAATACAACATTCTTAAGCAAATCATGGTCCTCCAGTAGAGAGGTTAGAATAAGGGTACCCTTTTTTCTGTAGTCTATTTTAGTAGGGCCCCGAACCCTCCCCAAAAAAAAGAAACGGTAAAAGGGCACTAATGGGAAACCTCGGTTGCTTTCTGCTCCCCTGCTAAAAGTTTAACTTCTCGAGGTTCAATGGAAACCCATTAGTTGGCAAAAAGTTGGATAGTCCTAACATCCCTTGGCAAAATGCACCAAAGTGGACCCTGGATGCGGCCAAGCTGTAAAACACCCCCTCCATCTGGATGTGTGTCTTCGTCTTTTGGTGCCCTTTTTGGGCTGGGGAAGGGAAAACAGCGGTAACAGGGCACCTAGCTGCGAAACCTCATTCAGAATGTAAGTGATGGAAGTGATGAGCTTAAGCAAATCAGATTCCCCTCTAAACCCAACCCGGGCAAAAACAAAAAAACATGATTAAGCAAATGGAAGTGATGAGCTCCGAGCGGCTGGTGGGCTCCTTCCACCCCTTGAGCTCCGTCCAGCCGTTGAAGTCCGCGTCGCAGCTGCGGCGGCCCCGCTCCACCCATGCCGCGGGAGAAGCCTCCTGGGGGGGGCGTTTTCCTTAAGGGTGGGTCATTTCTTGGAACCACACCACCCCCCCTCCTTAAAAAGAAGAAGAACGGAACCCTCCCCCCCCATTCCCCCAACCCCCCCCGCCAAAAAAAAAAGAGTGAAAGAACCCCCCAAAAAAGAAAAAGAACAGAAACACATGATTGTCCTTGTGGCCCCCCCTTCAAAAACCAACCCAAAAAAGGGAAAGGGAGCAGACGCCTAGGCGAACCAACACCGAAGGCATTCATCTCAACGGTAACCACCACTCAGTTGCCCAGAGGATGGGACCCAGAAAAAAGGTGATACCGTGGATGGTTGCGAAATCCTCATTTCGCACCGCTTTGAAGCCATGGGAAGCCATTCCAGGACTTCTTAGGTGGTGCAGATTTCGTCCACCCACAGTAGGACCATTGTAGGTCACCTCTACTCAAAATGGGAACCCACAAAATATCGAGAACCGGATCAGGTCGGATCAGCTCGATCCGCTGGGCAAGTGAGACAAGGAAACCGAGAATTTGGAGAACAAAGTTTCAACAACACCAAGAATCAAAAGGATACCGAGTCAATCATTTGGGCGTGGGGCAAAATTAAACCGCCAGGGGACCGCAGGTGCAGGTTGTAGTCCAAGTTTCTATTTACCAGGGCAACCCATTTTGGGTACATATGTTTGATCCACAGTCATTTGAGACAGATCGAAACCAGGAGTTGTCCCACCCACGGTCCCATTGTCTACGTTGCAACGTACCCGCATCTGGTGTTCGATGAGTGAACTGACCACGCAACGACCCCAAAAGGGTACCCAGCGCACCTTTGCAGGGTTGTGTCAACCTGTTTTTAACATTTGAGCACCTGCTTCAGTTTAAGCACCCGCTGCTTGAACAGCGTACAAGCGTCCTTATCTTGCTGGTGCGATAGCTGAGGGAATGAGTTGGAATGAACCCAGGCTTTGGTGATCAAGGAAACCACCAGCTGGATGTTTTTCTCGGGGTCATTCCAATTCACATTCCCTGCCTATCGAACCAGCAAGTGATGCCTCCTTGCATTTCTCCTTTAAAGGACTCCCACCCCGCTTGCCCATCCCCACCAGCGTCCTGCGACAGGACCTTGAGGCTGCTTTTCTTCCCATAATCCCCTCAGGCGGACCAGGCCCCGGTTGACGGATTTTGAACTTCTTACGGGAGGTTTGCAAGCCGAACTATTCCTCTTGTCGGACCCCTTTTGAGGAAGCACCTCCAAGGTTGATAAGCCAACGCAAAGGTATCCAAACTTGTTGCCAACTGCAATGGTCCAAATCCAAGTGACTCAAGTCGCAACATGCACTCAGGAATGGAAGTGCCCGTTGACCCCTTACGAGACCAACACCTGCCAACAGGTTTTGGGGCCAAGGGGGTGCGAAACGGCCGGAAACTGAGGGCTGGGCCCCACCACTTCACGCGGACCTGGTGCCTGAGTGGCCGCAAGTCAAAAGTTTCATGTCGTCGCAACCAGCAACGAACGAACGAGCGACTCCGGGTCTCTGAGCACTGAGTGCGCGACCTTTAGGGAGTTTGGGGGTGGCCAAATACAAAGCGCAGCAACCAGCAACCTCAAATGGGGGTAGGCCCTGCCATGTTTGAGGGAAATATCTGCAGAAAGACAAAGACTGCAAGCCCTTTTTGGGGTCGACCGTGCTTGAACTCCCACATACTCCCACACAAAAATGGGAGGAGTACTTTTGAAAACCTGAGGTTGAGCCTTTTCACAGCAAACAAACGGGAGCAGGAGCAGCAAGTAGGTCAGCCACAGTTCAAACTCATCAGCTGCTTTGCCCAAAATGCAAAAAATGCGAAAGCATCGAGACACCCACAGAGTTCCACACAATTCGGTCGGGAGGCCTAAACAAAAAGAAACCACAAGCAAAAGCACGGAAATCGCGCCAGGCAAACAAGCTCTAAACAATGAAAACGCCAGAGCAGCAACACAACGAAGCACTAGTCAAGCAAACATGCTCTAAACAATTCACAGTGATGCAAAAACACACCACGCGCCACACCACAACGCACGTCGCGCCAAGCAAACAAGCTCTAAATGAGCCAAACACAAAACTACCATGTCAGGCAGCCAAATTCTGAAGAAAGCAAACATTCTAAGGGTTGCTTCCCCATTCTTTCAAGGGATCCTTCTTTGTAGAAAACCACAAAACACAGTGGAAAACAAGCTGGTTGTTGAAAAGAACGATGGTTATAAAAGACTGGGACATCAACCCCTAGAAACCCAGGCTGGAAAAATCGGACCCCGGCATTTTAAAAAAAAAGCCGGGTGAGTGGAAAACAAAGGGAAAACTCAAAATAAACCCAAAAAAAAAAAACGCAAAAAGGGGAGCTGCTTCTGGGGAAGAAGCATGGCTTGGGCAAGCTGCACCTGGCTCAGCGTCTGCAGATCGATGTCCAGCCACTGAGGCTCCGCCTCCTCTGGAAACCTCAGACCCGATGCAGAAGCCAAGCAAACCTAGTGGGTTGGCGAAATCCGCTTCTCGCACCACTTTAAGACCATGGAGAATAACATGTTGGTTGGTACTTACGGGGGAGTCGACTCATTCCAGGGATTCTTAGGTGGTGCAGGATTTCGTCCACTGTAAGGCATCTCACTTGCGTGGGCTGTCCTCACATCCCCTTCTAAAAGCTTAACTCTTAGTGGGTTGAATGGACAGACTTGGCCAAGCAAAGTCCAAACTGTTTGTGACCCCAAATGGTCCAAACCCATCGTGACCATAGGTTTCCTTTTGGGGGAAATAGATGGCCCTGGTAGATGAGCAAACCACCTGGTAAACCAGGGCCATCTATTCTTTTGCAAAATCAACCAAAAAGGACACCTATGATCGTGACTCAATCCCAGCTGAACCCAGGGAGTAAGTTGCAGAAGGAACAAACTCCTACAGCCCAACCGGAAATCATGAGGCTTTCTGCTTACGCACCATTTTCCGTTTACTCACCAAAGAAACAAGCACATTGGTAGCGGCTCGCCCTTATGGATGTGCTGACATAGGCGTCCTTTTTGGAAAATAGATGGCCCTGGTAGATGATTGAACCACCAGATAAACCAGGGCGTCCTATTTATGAAACAGAAGAACCAAAAAGGACACCTACTGTGGGTGGACGAAATCCTGCACCACTTGGAAACCATGGGGACCCATTCTTTGTTGGTATTTACAGGGGAGTCATCATTCCAGGGTTTCTGTAGGTGGTGCGATATGGAATTCGTCCATCCAGCAAGGCAGCCCACTTGCGTGGGCTGTCCTCACATCCCCCGCTGAAAGCTGAACTTCTAGTGGGTTGAATGGAGTAATTTGGCCAAGCAAAGTCCAAACTGTTTGCTAACCCAGATGGTCCAACCCCAGCGTGACTAATCGATCCATCTCGATCTCCACGGCGCCACTCCGAGTCGGTGCCGTCCACCACGTTCTTTGCGCGATCCGACCCGGCGCTGGCGCGCACCGGGCGGTTCAGCGACAGGTCGCGGCCGCCTGAGCGACACACCGAAGATCATCCCCCCTCCCACTTGGATCCCTGCGGGGGTTAGCGAAGGCATGCGTTTGTTTTGTGTGTATCGCTCTTTCTTTTTGTAGTATAGTTGTATGAAACACAAGGTACATTCACTTTTTCTTGGTACGCAAGCAAATCATCAAAGGAAAACATCCTCAAACACATGAATTTTAATGGATTTCCTGGTCAAGCTCGTTTTGGAGGACGCTGTTGACACTTTATGAGACCGCGTAGTCGCCTTTAGAAGAAGGGAAAGCCATTGATGTATCCCAGCAGCAGGATCTTCCTGTGGGTGCTTCTTTTAGGGATTCCTAAGGATGCTTGACAGGTTTTGGCCGGCTTCTGGTCGATTCTTCTCAACACCATCATTCACCCGGGTACTGCGGCTCCCTTAAAGCCTCAAGCAACCATGTATTTCTATCTTCGTCCACTCACGCAGCTGCCTGTTAGCCTCCGATGGCTGCTGGCGCCCCATCTGTCACCCAGAATCCCGAAACTTGACTGCGACCTATGCTTGGATGCCCAACGCATGAGTTGGCGCCCAGCGCACAGGTCGTTTTTCTTGAGTGAAGCAATGATGGCTTGCTCCCGAATCCCTGGCACCAAAAGCCAACCAATTCGCACTTGCCCAAAGAATCTGGAATTCAAAGGTTAATCTGTTGGGCCCTTGACTAAACAATGTTAAACAGGGGACGCTAAAAGGTCAGCCCTGGTCGATTCGCTTTGTATGTGAGGACAACTTGGCCCACAGAAAAAGGACAATGCTGTTTCACTCACTTCCTGAGTTGATGGGCTAAACAGTTGCAACAAAAGTGTGTTCCTGTTCCATTCAACTTGTCTTCGCGAAAAGTGGGCCTTCGAGAGGGTTCCTAAGGCCAAATAAAATGAGCCCTGGGTCACGGGGGAGTCAAAGGAGCTCTGAATGATCCTAGGTCCTCCAGATTTGAGAGGTTAGAATAAGGCTGCCAACTTTTGTGTTTTTTGTCTATTTTAGTAGGGGGACCCTCCCAACCACAAAAAAAGGTGAGAAAGGGCACTACTAGGGAAACTAGATACTGTTACCGTGCTTTCCCCAGGCATTACTTGCTTTCCACAGGCCTTGAGTATTGTTGACCCCAAATTTTATGGAAAAACCTGTGCGGGGTGCCCCTTTTAGTGGTTGGATTCATTTGCTTAAGCCCGCTGGAGAGAAAACATTTGCAGTAGTGATAGGTTTCCATCTAAAACCAACAAGGGAACATCAAAGACATATTCAATTCAGCTCAAAGACATACTCACTTCTGCATTTGGAAGTACTCCAAAAAAACAACAAGGGAAACACATAACTAACAAAACATACTCACTTCAGCAAGCGGAAGAACAGTACTTGCTAGACCCGCTTCGCGAGCGCCCCAAGCGCCCCATCCGGGCCTTTCCACGGGCCCGCCACCGCGTTTGCCTCCGCCCGCTCCGCGCGCTGCAGCAGCGGCGCTGTCAAAGCGCCGGAGTCGAGTCCTCTGACGACCTGCGAGAGAAGCCAAGAGGAGCCATGGTCAAAACCTAGAGGAGCACGCCGGGTGGTCTCAAACTAGGGGAAGTCCCTGGAATCCCCGAAAAAATGTGGTTTTGCTCTTGGCGTCCTTCTTACAACCAACCGAAGAGGGGCCCATCCCAAAAAGGACGCACCCATGAATATGGCATCTTGGCAAAAGACACACACCCGCATGAGCTATGGTCAGAACTTGATAGGCCGATTGGGCCATGGTTCCACTAACAGGAATCATTGCATTATGTTGCAATGGGTATTAACTCGGTTGACGTTGGAAGGGGAGCAACAATTCATTTTTTGGCAGTTAAGTGGTTGGATTTCAACCACTAAACCAGAATAGGCAAAAATGGGAAACATGTTTCCCAACAACCATGAAGACCAGGCGGATGACCGAGCCCTTGTCAGCTTTGTCAAAGGAACCACTCTTTATCACAACAAGCAACGGCTGTTTATCATTTATCGGGGATCCCCCAGAAGTGGCCTTTTTGTTTTTCCAGTTACTGAGTGATTTTGACATGATTCGAGTTAGGCCCAGTTATAGAATGTATATTTTATTGTTTGCTTCACTTTGAGTCACTGGTAAAATTTAAAATGTATCCTAAGTCTACCCCAGTTGACATCAAGTGTTCAATGTTGATTGAGTTCTCCTTTGGGTGGCTTCCGGTTGAAGATTGGAAAATCGAAGAACATTGCCACAGGAAATGCTACGGGAAGTTGGGAAGTTCGCCAACTGCAACAAACATGGTCCTTTGGCTAGTTTCCGGAATAGTTTCCTCTAGCTGTTCAGTAAACATGTGACATTCAATAGCCACTTCAGTTCCGAAATCTTTGTCACAAATGAATAAGTAAAATGATTCAGAGCAAGAAAACCAAGGAACATACCAATCCCCTACCTACTGCTCAAGCTTGAAAGGCGAAAAGGGGCAACCCATGGGCAACCCCTCCAAACAAAAGTGCAGGTGGTATCCCCAACAGCCCCCAACATCTCCCCCGGATACCTCCGGAACTCTCCCGGGTATGCGCTGCAAACTGCAGAGCTGATTTAGGCAAAGACCAAACTCCGAGCTCTTCAGCTGAGAAAGGCACAAACAGTTTCAACCAGTCAAACAACCCTCACAGCCCAACAGCCCGCCAGCCCAACAACCAAACAACCCAACAGCCAGCCAACAGCCCAACAGCCCAACAGCCCATCAGCCCAGTTAACGATTTGAAGCCACCAATCCAAATCTGGGCAAATGGACAGCCCGCTCCGTAAGGAATCCTCATGGCCATAACCCAAACTCTGATATCCCTTAGGGACATCTGGAAATAAAAAAATTGGGGCCATGACTAAAATGAGTACCAAATCAGAAAAACCCAAAAGGTTAAAAGGCGAAAAGGTTTCGGACGGCAATGGACCTCTTACTCAAGTCATGTGTATCGAAGCGGGACTCAGGACTCCAACTTGGAACCATTTGCCTTCTACAGATTCTACGTGTTGGACGTCATGGTACGGGAGCTGGCAAAATTCTCTTCTGACATGTATCTTCAAACTAAGTCCCCTGGAACCATTCCGAATGCCGAAAAGGCGCTGGAATCACGTCCGCCCAAGCCTCGGCACGGTGCAAAGATTCACTGGTAAAAAGCAACCAAGGATTGCCCTCCCAACAACCGGCTCTGCGCAAATCCTTTCTTTTGAGAGGGCAATAACTCCATATAGAATAAGGACCGCCAGTGAAACCACCATGTTTTCGGCGCCGCATTTGCAGACTAGGTCCTCCAGATTTGAGAGGTTAGAATAAGTTGGTACCAACTTTTCTCGTTTTTGTCTATCTTAGTAGGGAGTTTCCCTCCCCCCAAGAAGGGGCTGAGAAGGGGCACCAACTGCTGGGGGACCTAGCAGAGCTCGGCTGAGAGAGCGCGCTCTCTCGCTCTCCCGGCTGCGGATGGTTGCGGATGGACTCGGAGGCGCGAACCCTTTTGGTTTGTCGAAAGAGCTCGGATGGCTCAGTTGCCCCTGAAGGACCTGGAACTTGTGGGAGCGGCCCCAAAAAGAACCAACCCCCAAGCCTCAGGAACCAAAGGTTCAACTCCAAATCCAAACCAGCAATTCGCTCAGTCGCCCCTTGGGGACCGGGAACTAAAAGCTGATCGCCATTTTTTTTGGACTAAGGAAAGGCTGACCTTGAGCCAAGGTCTAACTCAATTCACCCTATAAGAACCAAAAAGTGATCACCATCTTGGGGCCATAAATATGGGTGCCAAAATGAAAAGAACAAAAGCCAAAAGGTCAGATCTGGTGGATTCGCTTTGAAGAACTGAGTAGAGCTTGAATGGCGGCATTGCTACTCAGATGCAGATACAGTTTCTATTGGTTTTGAGCAATTTCCTCAGCAATTGATCTTGAGGCTTCCGGTAACAAACTCATCGACCTACCTCCATCCCAAACACACCTCCAGTCTTGGTCCCTTAGGCTCCCGAGGTTTCCCGGCTTAAACGCTAAGAGGAAACGTTTCACGGAGAATTGCGCCAAGTGACGTTTAAGCTTGCAGACCTTCAAACTTGCAGGGAAACACTTGCTGAACATAAGTGTTTGTGTGTGCTTGCCTTTTGAGCGTGCACTTTCCACCTTTGGGAAGCAATTGAAACACCGAAATCTGCTCTTGGGGGCCGAAGCCTTGTTTGTGACACATGCCCAGAAGGCACACATTTCGGGTCCCCTTTCACCAAAGGAAAGCCACAGTTTGAACAACAATCATGGAGGATAGGGCTCAAAGGAAAACCAAACGCAATTTTTGTAGCGGGCTGACAACATCAGTTGATGGGCCCCAAACCAAATGAACCAAATTTCAGGTTTGCCGCTATAGTTGTCCAAGCTCAAAAAGTTTAAAGTCCAACTCTGGAAGTGAGGTTAGGGCTCAAAGGAAACCCAAAATGCATCTTTGCGGGGTCTCTTGACAGATTACGTCCATTTGCGTGCTTAAGCCCCTGGCAAAACTGAAAGTATGTCCAGTAGTGAAATCGATTCCCTGTAAGAGAGAACATAAAAAATCCTTCAGCAAAAAGCAAATGGAAGATCAGACGCCCCTGCCGAGCGACGCAGAGGTTGAAGGCGCACTCGCCCACAGCATCCAGCAGGAGCTGCAGCTGCAAATCTCTGGGCGCCAGCCTCGTTGAGGCTGGTGGACGGAGGGGTTCCGAACACCCCATGAAAATTGGATCACTTCCCGCGTGGAAAATGGCCGTGGCTCAAAAAGCGGTGCCAAATTGGAACCCTGGTAAGTGGAAACATGGACCAAAACCTGCGGTTTGCCCCTCCTGTCTAATTTTGAGCCACACCCAAATGGCCTTCTCGAATAGTTTAAAGTTTACTAGGTCCTCCAGATTTGAGAGGTTGGAATAAGGCCCCCCGTTTTCTGTAGTCTATTAGGGGAACCCTCCCCCCAAAAAAGGGTAGAAGGGCACCACTGGGGGACCTAGTTTGGGAACTCAAGAAGAGAGTTGGGTTTAAACATCATGTCTTGGACCAAGTGAAGGTAAGTTTCTGCTTGGGTTACTGTAATGTTTCGGGGGGAATAGCCAGTGGAAGGTTCCGGTCTCAAACACCCCAATTGCAAATCAAATCTGGTTTTCAAAATACTCCATGTGCGCAAACATAAATTGATTTCTATCCAAAACACGTGTCTTTCTAGTGAATGTTGACCCTATATTGGCCAGGTAGTGGACACCATCTTGGAACCCTGCAAATAAAAAAACAAAAAAACAAACAGTGAATATCTTTATATAGACCACCTCCATTTGCTGAAGTCACCTGGAACAACAGAATCATGTTTTCAGTAGTGATAGATTCCATTTTAAACCCACGGGGGAAATATGTCTAAAAAAAAAGCTACTTAAACAACTGGAAGACCAGTCACTTCCAAAAACCACCAGGATCACCAAGCACTCCGCTGGTCTAAGGGCTGGGGCCCCGGCTGGGCCGCGAGCCGCAGCGCCTCGCTGGGCCCGAAGCACTCGGAGAGCGCTTGCTCCGCCACCTCGGCGCTCGCGGACGCGAAGTGGCTGTGGCTTTTTGACGTGGCTGTCCCCAAAACTCCTAGGTCCTCGACACTGGTGGCAGGCGCAAAGAGGGCCACCAGTTCTTGATGGCTAGTTGATAACCTAGGTCCTCCAAGTTAGTACCCAATCTTTTTTCTGTAGTCGATTTTTGTGGAAGCTTCCCCCAAAAAAGGGGTGAGAAAGGGCACCTAGCTGGGGGACCTAGAATCGAAGTCGCTGCGAAATCATGGCCTCATTATTTTGCCATTTTCAAAGTCACCCCCGGTTCAGTGGTGGGTTCAAGGGAAACAACCCCATGTTCTGACTTTCATTAGTGCCAGAAACTGTCAAGAAACATGACCCCAGAAATCGGTAGCGAAATCGGTGGCCGCTAAGGGACCCAGAAATAACCGGGAGTTTCCCGAACAAAGGAAACCACCCGTTGGATGGTTGACAGGGCTTATTCCATTTTTCATTCCCTGCGTGTCGCACCAGCAAGTATTGAATACTGTGGATAGTTTCAACATCACTGTGGTTTGGGTGTGGGTCAAAAATCGGGTAACCCCAAAATGGAAACAAGGACTAAAACCTGCAAACAAGGACTAAAACCTGCGGTCTCCTGGTGATTCAATTTTCACTCATACCCGTTTCTCTTCAAACTACTCAAACAGGTAGTTCAAAAAAGTTTAAAAGAAACGCCTCAAAAATATGGGAGCACAACAACGCCAAATGATGGAAAGTTAAGAACACCACTTGGGATGTAACAAATTCTGAACACAAAGGAACAATCACATATGAGAATGACAAGGAAAGGAACCTCTTTTTTTGGTGGAAAAAAGGGAAACCACAAGGAAAACACCAGGAAAACCACCCGGAATAGGTTTCCTCCTGCTTCCATTCAGTGAGGTTGCAGTCCCAGTGGCTGGTATGACCCCCGCATTCTCACAGACGGGGCCTCAGTGGTTCAGGCGCGGCATCCGTCCAGAACATCAGCTTCCCTCATTGGTGGTTTGGAGCCCTGTGGTTTAAATTTGGATTCGAACCCCTGCCTTTTGTAGAGGGCCGAAAGCCTGGTAGGTTTGTGCCAGTAGGGTGCAGAATCCTGGAATCCTGCACCCGTTGGTAGGTTTGTGCCTGTGCCGGTGAATCCATCCAAACTGAAGCGAATTGGATTGTGCATGTTTCCTCACTGCTTTGGGAGACTAGCTGAAGCCTTCAGCCCGTCATTAAAGGGATGCCGATCGCTCCCTTGATGTCCGAGACCGCTGTCAATGCCAGCCATTGATCACTACTTGCTGAATCTTGGCTCTGAATCCCAACGCGCTGTTTGAGGCTACCTCCAAATGAGGCCAAAAGGAAAACCCGGGCAACGCTGGAACACTCGAACCGGGAAATCCACGCATACCAGCTGGAGCCCTCTCTCAGAGTTTTGCTTCTCTGGAGGCTTTCCCGAGGCCCGTTGCGGGTGGCGAATTTCGGGTTTTTCGGTAAGGTGACCGAGCAGATTCGCAGTTGTGGTTGGGCCAAGCCAGTGTTCCAACATGAAAACACACAAACATTGGATCCCTAGATGGACCAAAGCCAACCCCATGCTTCGTCCCTGAGATCCCCCGCTAAAAGTTTAACTTTTAGTGGGCAAAATAATAAGGAACCGGATGGCTGGGAGCCACCAAGCATCCGGATGGGTTTCCGAATCACTGTGTCCATCTCTCAAGGTGTGCGGCCAGGCTGACCCCAGTCCTTGAGGTGACGAGCTACGCGCTTCAAACCAGGCAGTGGAAGTTGGCTGTCTTTGTTGTGAGGCTCGGTTCCCAATTTTTTTCTGTTGTGGCAACGGGAACCTGCAGGACAACAACTAGTTTGGAGAGTCCAACCTCCGAAAAAACACCCAATGGAAGAAATGACATTTCTTGTCCGGACCCAAAACCAGGTTATGTAGGGGGGCATACTGTTGCCCTAATCATCGCAAGGCACAGGTTTCACAACCCTTGACAAGGGAACAAAATAACAACTGACTGTTTTTGCAGCCCCAAAAAAACAAAAATAAAGAGAACCCAAACAGTGAAGCGGGTCTTGCCACACCACTGCACATCTCCGGTTTTCCGCGCTCCGGAGTATCTGCTCAGCATCGCCTCTCTGGGTTGCAGCTGAAAAGCAGTTGGGAGATGAATATGTGTTTGCGTCTCTCTGTTGGTTGCTTCGCTTTGCTTAAGTCCCTTGCAAAAAATATATCTCCCCTTTGAGACCAACAGGGGCAAATAAGCAATCTTCTGAAACGCAAATGGAAGCTAGCCTGTACTCCACAAGTGAGCGGACCCCAAACCATGTGAAGAACAATCAACACCCTCGATGGGTTCTGACAGGATCTACGCGGGGCCGTCCTTTCAGGTGCTTGAACTGTGTCAAGCCTGAGACTGTCCTCTCGCCGAAGCAACGCCCCAAAAACTCCGAAGAAAAATGAAACACCGCAGAAGGTCGATTCGCTTCGTGCAAGTTGAGTTACTACAGAAGTCTGTGATGATATTTCGGTTGACTCACATGTGGTTTCGCACTATCAACTTGCCTAAGTGCAGGTAAAGTCGTGGCTTGAGCTTGTGGATTGGGGAGTTGAAAGCCGGATTGCACAACCAAGAGGACCCCCGCAACTAACCCAAGGAAAGGATTAAGCATGGTCTTTGAAGAGCCTGGCTTGGAAGCAAACACAGATCTACTGCTTAAGCAGCGCTTTAGCCACAAAGTAGGCAAAGATAGCTCTCGATGCCAGATTAAAACAACGACTTTCGACTCACTTCATCCTCTGTGAATTTGCCAAACACTTTCGGAACATTTTGTGTACCACTCAAGTGGTGGTTTCTCAAACAGTATAAAATACACATACTTGGGAAATGAATAGACTGTGGGCCAAAGCAGGAACCTCCAAACGGAAATAGATCAGTTACCCCTGACTCTCGGTGCAAAAACAATACAATCTTTGATTGCCCAGGATTCTTCAGCAGACCCCCTTTAAACGCAACATGAGTTGAAACACATCCCAATGGTTGCCATTGCTCACACCTAGTGTCACGGGAAAAGTCCGAGGGAAGTGAGTCAAAACCCTTCCCTTTGGGAAGGCCAATGTCGAGCTGAGCCCGGCAGCCCTGCCACGCAGCACGTGTTTGCCAACCACTTCTGTCGGTCGGTTCAAGAGCTGTTGCACTTGCCACCGCATGGTCAAATTGTCAGGTGGGAAGGTTAGACATTCCCTTAGTGGGGAAAACTTAGAAATCCCCCATGTCCCCCCCCTAATGTGGAGAGTTTAACTGGACCTATCACTTCAATGGCACAAGCCAATCCAACCAAGCTTTTCTAGGCCTCAGGGTGGTCCGTACCCCCTCTGTTGGACAAGTTTGGCAAAAGAGCCTTGCTTTTAGGTTGGGGGGTGTCTTCAAAGCCACCCTCGCAACAAACGTTGGTAGACTACTTTTCTGTTGGTAAGCTAAGCGGGGTGGTGTGCTCACTTCCGTGTTTCTTGGGAGAAGTAGTAGTAGTAGTAGTAGTAGTAGTAGTAGTAGTAGTAGTAGTAGTAGTAGTAGTAGTAGTAGGAGTAGGAGTAGGAGTAGTCGTAGTAGAAGCAGTAGGAGTAGTAGTTGTAGTAGTGGCAGCAAGTTCAGCAGCAGCTGCAGTAGTGCTGCGGTGGCATCAACGAGCCATGCCCAGCAATTTCCGAGACTCAGAGGCTCAGGGCAACGACGGAATTCTTTCTCGGTAGCTCCTGGCAAGAAAGCCGGCTATTCCCAGTGCAAATTGCAATTCACCCAGTGGCCAGAGAGAAAAAAAGGTGGGCCACCCATTGTTAGTTGATGGGAAACCTCCACCATCTCCACCCAAAAGCCACAAGTCTTTTTAGGGGGTGGAATCCATGCAGCGTTGCCAAACCGACCGGAACGGTTTGCAGGCCCACGAACCGTGGCTCTGCAAGCCGAACTCCTGACGCGATGTTTGGGGTGCAATTTTGGGCCATTGGAGCGTATCCATTCAGCTTCTCCCCAAGTGGCTGGTTTCGAGCCGAATTGGTGTTTTGGAGGAGTGGTTGGGGGTTGGTTTTCCACCCCCCCCTACAAAAACCAGAGGGTTCAGATCCTCAAAAATGCAAACCAGAGGGTTCAGATCGAGCCACGATCCCCATTTGACTGGAACAAAAACACACTACCCAGCAGACCATGTTATTTCGCAACCCAAGGACCTTGCGGCTTGTCTTTGAACAGCACAGCCTTGAGGGCGCAACCTTTCCTAAGGTGGTTGCAAAAGTGATTATATACGCCTGCATAGAACTCCCATCAGGCAGAGGATCTGACCCTTCTAAAATTGCGTTGTCTTGTCAGGTCAGAAGCAAGAACTCCTTGAAATTGGCTTCCTTGTCCCCATACCCAACCAGGTTCCGGGTTCTGACACGAGTCCAGATATTGAGTTCTGAAGGGGTTCTCAGGTTCTCACCTTGGGCCCAAAAATGCTCCAAGGGGCCGCCGCCGCGTCCCGCCGGACCCAAGAAACTCTCCTCCTCACGCTCGACTTGCGTCCGCAGGAAGTTGCGGACCGTCTTCTCGGGCGGCGCCGGACGCCTTCTGGGTCTCTTCTCCTGACGCTTCGAAAATAAAAACCCTCCGTTCCATAAATGGCTGCGGCTCAAAAACATGTACCAAAATGGCACCCTGGCAAAGTGGGACCAAAGACTAAAACTTGCGTAACCGCACCCAAATGGCTACCTCCTCCGGATTTGAGAGGTTAGAATAAGTTGGTACCAACTTTGTTCTGTAGTCTATTTTAGTAGGGGGACCCTCCCCCAAAAAATGTGAAAGGGCACTACTGGGAGACCTAGATGGAATCTCAGGGGTCGAAAATCCACCCCTCCCACCAATTCCATTTAAGAGGGTGGGTCAGTCCGGTTCCATTTTCCTAGTCCTCACAAAAGGAACGGCCACCCCTGGTTGCTCCCCGGATTAGTGAACCTCTGGTTGAGTATAGAGGGATATAGAGGGGTGTCCCCTTTGCGTGGTTGGATTCAGACCACTTTTGGAGGGGCCCCCACCCTCCCCAATGATTTAATCCTTATACTCCAAAGAACCCAGAAATGAAAGGTTAACCTTTTGAAGCAGTGACGAAAAGCGGACCGAACAATGGAAACCAACTGGTTGAAAAGACAGCTTTCTCGCTTCCTGAGCGGATTGGCCGGAAAAAGTCTAAACTTTTTGCCTACCACTTGCCAAAAAAATGGTCCCAAACAGTTGTTGAAGTCCAGGAACTTGTGGAGTGAGCGGTGGGCCGAGCGTAATATTGTGCCAGGAGTAATAAACCCGTCCCGCTATTATGGGGGTGTTCCCTCCAAAAGTGATGAATCAATCCCCACTAAAAAGGGGCACCCCCCCTATGAATCAACCAGGGGTGTATTAATCCGGGGTTAACATTAAAGTTGACCCCAAAATAATCAACCACACTATATATGAATTTGGGGGAGTTCGGAATCATCACTTTTGGCTTTTGGCCCCGGGGTTCACATGAAATTCTTCAGGCAAGGCTCCGGCTCTTCCACGGCCTCGCACTGCGCGCTCAGCGCGCCGCCCATGGCACGGAAGCCGGGTCCGAGGGTCCGAAAATCCGATCCCTTCGCGGCGCTTGGGCACAAGCCGCGTGAGCCGAGGCCTTGCGACCTGGAGGCGCAGGGCCAGCCGACGTGCAAGCCTTAATTCACCTATACCCAGCTCCGATCGGCTTCGGCTTTCAATGGAAGACCCGGCCCCTCCAAAACGACACCCCGCTTCGGTGTTTGGGACCCGGTCTCAAAACCTGGCTGGTTGAAGGCCCTAAATCAATCGGGAGCCTTTGGGTATTATCAATTTGTTGCTCATCAGCTTAGAGGGCCAGAAGGTAAGATGATTACCAACTTGTCCAAAGGGAAATTCCGAGCCTGGACCCTCAAACTATCTTTAAAAATGATATTGCAACCCAACATTGTGGGGTGAATTCAATTTCTTTTGTAGTAGTTTGAGGGTCCAGGAACCCAAACTAGCTGGTTCTCAGCAGGGAATGAGACTTGGAATGACCCCACAGACCATCCCTTGCCGCTTCCTTAAAGGGAATTGGGTATGTGTCAAAATCAAACCCACCATGGGACCACAGGTTCATTCCATGTCTCCATTTACCAGGGAACCCCCATTTTGGGTACATGTTGTTGACCCACTGCCAATTCTCAAAGGGTTCATTCCCCCAACACCCGGACCCACCCCACCTACCCACCCCACCCCCACCCCCACACCCAGCAGCACAGGTCTCTCGGGTCCCCGGGCCAAGCTCCTTCTGCCAGGTCCTCTGGATCTTGTCCTCGGATTCGAATCCGAAGCCCCGACTCGCGGCTCGCGGCTCGCGGCTTCGGTGCCGCCTGAATTGGTGACCCTGGCACCATGAGGTTATCATTCCTTCCATTTGCTTAAGCCCCCTGGAAAAAAAATCCAGTAGCGAAAACGATTCCCTTTAAACCTAGCAAGGGAAAATAATAATAAAAAACAAGTTAAGCAACTGGATGATTCTCGAAAACACCCTCGAAGTCGAAGTGGTGACCATTGAAACGGGGTCCTAAAGCTTCACATCGAACCGCAAGCTTGGATTCTGAGTTGAGACTTGCAGCTGCAGAGTTCACGCCGCAGCTTCAAATCCGAGCCTTCGGACCCGAAAACTACGTTTTGCCGAAGCTCGAAACAAAAAAGAAGTGTGATTGCTCAGGTTGCTTCACCTTCCTGGAGGTTTTCTTCTGACCCCTAGGAAAAGGGCTGAGTCGTAAGCCCTGAACATTTTGGGTCACCCTACGCCAGGAGACTCCAGGTACCTTCGACCTCACGGGGCTGGCACGAGGCGCATCCACGGCGGATCCGACCTTTTTTATTTGTTCTTGTTTTTTCTGGTTGGTTGACTCGAAAAAAGAACCTTTCCCAAGAAAAAAGGGAGAAACAAAAAACGGGGCACCACTGGGCAACTGGGCCAAAAGTCTCAACCTGATGGAAGTGCTGCATGGTGCCCAGTAGGGGTCTGCAAAGTACAACCAAGACAAATATTGTCTTGGTTTCTTCTCTCTTTTTTTATATGGGATTGAGCAAAAACAAACCTCAGCATCTCACTTCCTCAGTGGCCCAAAAAAAGTCCAAGTTGGTTCTGCACAATTAATATTATCTTCCCAATTGGTAAGTCCATGAACTCAAGGCATCCGAGAGAGATGGAGCCAAGCGGCATGCATGCGAGACTGGTTCCATCCTCCTGAGCACTCAGGTGCTGGCTTTTGCTAGCCGAACTGGTTGACTCCCTGCGAGTTGCGTTTCGTAGGGGGCTGCCCGTTCAGGTGGTTTCCCTCTACAACAGCCAGGTGAGCGGATGTGGGTGGTCAAAGCGTGGTTTCCCATTTACCCCCTCTACAAAAGGCAGGGGGTAATTCCCCAAACCACCAATTGGGGGAAACCTGGCCGTGATTTCTTTGAAACAACCACTTGGGGAGTAACCTTGAACATGTGGCAAAATCACATTGTCTTTAAAATCCGCAAGCTTATCCGCAATGGGGAGTGCCCCTTTTGCCCTTTCCTTTGTTATGGAGGACGCCTGCAGGTGTAACCAGGGTCTCCTTCTGCCTTGCCACATGGCAGGAGGCAACCATTCCAATGGTCCAAAGGTCCGCAACCAAAACGCCCAATGGAACCTGCCCAGACCTGAAAATCAAAGGTGATCGCCTTTTGGAACCTTGACGAAATGCTACACGAACCGAAGCTTAACAGGTCGGTTCCTTCGCTTAGGGCAGCTGAGAAAGGCCATGTTCTTGGTTTGCCTTGGTGCCTTACTTGCGTGTGGGCCACGTTAGGAAACCAAAAGCGAAAGGTCGATTCGCTTTGGGAAACGTGACATGCATCGGCCCCTTTGGGCGACCAAACATGCCATATATCCAGAGGCAACTCACAGGGAGACTGTGGGGCAAACGGACATGCTGGCATTGTTCGCTGTCCTCGGTGCATGTCCAACTGGTTGTGTTGCTCTTGTCACTTTCTGAGAGGATTGGCCAGAAAAGGCCCACACTTTCGGTTTACCAAAATTATAATTGTCTTCCCAACAAGTGCTTCATTTTGTATGGTAGCAGAGAACTTCGTTGTTTGTTTTTTTTTGCAGCGTCCTACTAAACATGAACAGAAGCAACAAACACCTCACCACCTAAACACATGATCCAACAACAGGGAAAACAAGTTGTTTAACAGGGATCCTTGCATTATACACCTGAACATTGCCTTGTAAATGGTGGTGTCCATTTATCTTGGTGGAAAAAAACAACATGTTTCAAATGGTTGCAAAATGGAGATCTTTTAAGGAGCCCTGTAGAAAGTCCAAGAAGTCACAAAGTGAGTCCTTCGGCGTCCTTCTTTAGAACGCAGAGACCCGACTATGGGCTTCGCCAGGCGGCCATTGTCGTTCTCCAAGCACCACCTCCAGTCGCGAAAGGCGAAAAAAAAACCGCGAAACCAAGCCCCGTTTGGGGCGTTGGGGTTACTTCAAACGGAACCCATGAAGAATGCCATTATTTCGGAGGTTCCCGAGAAAAAAAAACAAACACTTAGAGGGGGAGGCTTTGTTTGGGTGCGACTTCACCTGAGGAAACCTCTTCTTCGTGGTTTTTTAAGCGAGCCCACGAGGAAACCCGCAAACACATCAGTGAGACCCGAGGGTGAATAATCACAGTCTCGCATACAATAATCACTAACGAACCTGTGAATGGCTAGCAGGCAATGCATCTAATGCACTCTCCCATTTTCGTGGTTGCTGGTGAGACCCCTCTGCAAATTGGCTTAAATGTTTGGTGGGTTCAATGAACACCAACTTGATTTCCCAACAAGTGAAAGTCAAAAGATTCCACCCAATAGCAAGCATCCGGTTTTGAGGCACCAAAAGGACGCCCAGGGCTGTTTGGCACTGCAACTGAACAAGCACAGCCCTTTGCCTAGCAGCGTCTCAGCAGGATTCATCAAGCCACAGCCAACAAATGCAACCATGGGTCAAAAGCCACCCTTAGTGAACATCCCAATCCCCACTGAAATAGACTGCACCTACCCCAAAATGGTACCATTGGTTTTGACCTGCAGCCAAACCTGTACCAACTGGTTTGCATAAACCGCGCCGCACCGCCGCGAAATGCCCGAAAAGAGGAACTTAGAGGGTCCTAAGTACCCCCATCTCCGCGGCTTTGGGCTTGGTTCGGGCAAGTTAGTAAGTTCCCCTGGGTCATAACCCACAAATAAACAGGTTTACCCCACTTCGGGGGACTAAAGACTGAAAAAGTGGGTCATAAATCTAGGCCAACAACAAGCTCGCCTGGCGAATCGAACGGATTTCAACTAGCAAGAAACCCCTCTGGGCCACCAACGCCCGTCCCTGCGTCGCCTTCCCTCGGGTGCGCGCCAAATCATGGCGCAGTGGCCCGGTTGGCCGACGGGCATGGCCGGCACGCCAAAGGCCTGGCCAGAAATCGAAGAGCGCATTCAAGGAATGCCCAGGGAGAGGGGGGTTCTTGGAATGAGGGAATGACCCCTACAAATAATCTGTGGTGGTGTCCTTTATGTCTTGATAATCCAACTGGTCGTGTCTTTTATGGGGACCCCTGGGTTCATTCCCAGGCTCCCTACTGAGCGCCAGCAAGGTTTGGAGGCAGGGAGGTGAGAAAACCCACGTCCATACTGCATGGCAAGCGTATGTTCAATGCCTCCAAAACCTTCTGGCGGATTGCCCTGCTGGGGTTGGGAACCAACAAGAAGGTCTCACTTCCACTAGTGGGTTGTGCAACATGTGTACCTGAACTTGGACTGTTCACCACTGAAATGGTCCAAACCCCCAAAGAGTGGCTCAAGCCAAACCCAACAAGAGGCGAAAGTCCGAAACACAACTGACTCCAGCTGAGTGGTTGGGAACCCACATTGGGTTCCAAAGGAAAAGCCTGAACAGTTGGCTAAAATTGAGTCATGGAACCTGGGAGCTGGCCCTTGTTGAGTTTAGGTCAGTAGTTGGGACGTCTGACTTTTGAATGCCCGCAAAGGGGAATGTGCCTTTTGCAACGCCTTGCAAGACATGAGGCAACGGAGGCCCCAAATGTGATTGTTAAAGTCAAAGCCAGCGCCAACAAGTATCGCTCACACTGAAGAAGAAGGACACCTGCAGGTGCGTTGAACAGTGGCCCAGCGTGGATTTCGGACTTCCCTTGGCTTTGCTCCAAACCTGTTGCCTATGTTTTGCACAGGCAGGTAGTTGTGCTTGGTTTCCTCCCTAGTTTCCTGCTATTCCAAGCTGCATCCAGAATGTACCCTCCCTACAGCTTAGCACGGAACCGAAAGCGCCATCCGTTGTAGAGGAGCATCCCTTTATTTTTGGGAAATGGACCCCCTTCTTGGGACCCATGCTAAGTTGTAGGACAGTGAGTCAATTACTACCCCGTAATCACATTCGCCAAGGAAGATGCAAGGTACACAGCACCAAACATTGACCCAAACTATCCGGTGGATCCGAGGCGCTTCATTCGCGAGCGCTTCCCCTAAACAAAAAAAAGTGTATATGTCCTGTAGAAAAAGATTCCATTTAGCCCCCCCCTCGAGAAATGAGAACATATTTAAACAAAACAACAGGGGAGAGTAACAACAATTGGGCTTGTCTCAATATGAGGGGACCCAAAATGTGTGGTTACCTTGTTTCTCTTTTAGCCCATCCAAAAAGGGTTGGTGTCCCTTTGAACCAACAGGGGAAATCACCACATCTTCTTGAACAATGAGAACATACTTCCAGTAGTGCAATCGATTCCCTCCAATTGAAACCAACAAGGCAACACTAACGATCAACAATGTTCATTTCAGCAAATGAACGTTCAACATCTGTTTTGATGGGTATGCCTGTTTCACGGTTGCGAAACCCCATTTAGTCACAAACAAGCCAGCTAATGGAAGAAACCACCCAACTTCAGCAACTCAGTTGTTGAGTGACCCTGGAGAATAAAAAGGGACCCCTTTATAAAGGGGCAGTCACCAAAAAATAAGAGGAAAGAAGATTCGCCACTGAACAACCGAGTACTTGGCATCCCTTCTTTCCAGGGATCCTTTCTAGAAAACCACCAAACACTTCGGGGAAACGGATCCGGCGTTTGAACAGAAGGATGGCTAGGAATGGAATTGGAATCAACCCCTAGAAACTTCCGCCACGACTCGCTGGAAGCTCCTGGCAGCAGCTGGCGCCGAACTTGGACACCGCCCCGCAGACGCCTCAGGACTCGGGGCCGCAGCTTTTGGATCCATGCGTCAAACGGCGGCGCCGTTAAGGGTGGCTTCTTTTCGTTCTTTTGAGAGGGAAGACCCACCACCCCACCCCATCCCATCCCACCCCACCCCACCCCACCCCACCCCACCCCACCCCACCCCTCCCCACCCCATCCCACCCCACCCCATCCCTTCCCTCCCCACTTTTTACCGAGACGTCGTCTCTCGACGTCGGCGGGGAACTCCGCCTCCGTAGGCCAGGATCCTGGGCATCGTGGCCTTGTTCCCGTCGTAGAACCCAAGGCCCTCGTGGACGCTGACGCCTTGGTCCTCGGGCGGCCGCGAACCGAGGTCCGATGTCCCAGACCTCCGAGTGGGAACTTCCATTCAGCAACTTCCATGTGCGTTCTCGCCCCCTGGAAGAAAAATGAGCACATATGGCCAGTAGTGAAATTGATTCCCTCTGAAAACCAACAGGGGAAAATACAACAAATTCCTTTCAGCAAATCTAGGTCCACCAGTAGAGAGGTTAGAATAAGTTGGTACTAACTTTTTTCTGCCGATTTCAGCAGGGAAACCCTCCCCCAAAAAAAGGGGAGAGAAAGGGCACTACTGGGGGACCTAGCAACTCCGAAAGGCTCTTGGGTTAGAAGCAAATCTAAAGATGCCGAATCCCAGCTCTCTTCGTCCGGCTCCCTTCCGACCAACAGCTAGAAAAGGCCCTTCGCAAACCCAAACGCACTGCAAGTAAATCAAACACAAATAGACACTGTGCTGGAAGTAAAGCAAACACAAACCATGGGTTGGTGTTGTAGGGCTTTGTCGCATCCGCACGTGAAAGACCAGCCATCGGAAAATCAGTTGGATGCCAGTGGATGCCACAACCCCCCAGCCATGAAAAGAATGGGAGTCTGGTCCAAAGGGCCCAGGAATATGAGGTTCATTAGCTTTTGACACTTGGTTGACGTTGGGTTTGGGGAGCAATAACTTTCAGATTTTAGCAGTTAAGTGGATTTGGATTTCAACCACTAAACCAGACCAAACAGAAATGCAAAATGTTTCCCAACAACAACCATGACTAAGGGTTGCCATGCCTCAAATGGACCAACAAGGGGAAGCTTTGGTTTTGAAGGGGGCCACCCCGATAAGGTGCAAGCTGCGTTGTGAAGCTTGTACTTGACCATGCGAGCAGACTGGCCGATCACATCCGGCTTCTTGTACTGCTGGTCCACATGGTCGCGGGACCTTCGTCAAGTCTGAACTGTTACCGCTAAAATGGCCGTCCCAATACTCAGTTGTTCAGTGACCCTGGAAAAAAAGGGAATTCGGGGAAGACCATTTTGTGGGGCAGTCATAAAAAAAAGAGGAAAAAAGGGGTGCCACTGAACAACTGACAATACGCATATAGGGTAGAAACTGCAAACATAAGAACCAAGGTCATTGTTTTTTGACTGCTTCTGGCAGTTATCAAAATCGGAAAATGGGGTTGTTTCCCTTTAACCCACCACTTAAGGGTGACTTTGATCATTGTACAATTAATTATGCGGGCAACAGAAGCTTGACCTTTTGACACCTTGGCTGAGAACGAGTGGGCCCAACACTGGAACACAAGTCATCAAACTGATTCGCTTTGGGCAAGCGAGCGCTTGCTTAGCACCCGAAAAGAAATAGGCTAAAGTTAGAACTCACCCACAACTCACTTCGTGATTGGCCAGAAAAAAAAACAGCCAAACTGTTTGTTTGCCGCTAAAGTGGTCCAAGCCCCAAAAGTGACTCAAGTCCATGAGTGGCATAATCAAAACGCGGTATGAACAAAAAGCGTAAATAATTAAGAAGGCGGATATCCACAGCTATTTCTGCTTGGGATCCCTTACTAACCTTCATCTACCCGAATCGGTTTTCAGCACGTGGCTCATGAACTCAGGGAGTGAGACAAAGGTTGGCTCACTGGACAGGCGAAAAAATGGCCGTGGGTCAAAAATATGTACCCAACATGGGAACCCTGGTAAATGCAAACATGGATTCAACCTGTGGTCCCATGGAGGTTTCATTTTGACCTACAGCCAAATCCCATCGACACAGTCGACTCGACTCGATCCGACTCCCAAGTGCCCAGACCACGCCAAGTCCTGATCGGAGTGCCAGCTGCCCAAGACATAGCGGAAGTGCCAAGACTTCAGCGCCTGCGAGGTGCCGAACCTTTCCCATCGACGTTGCTTGGTTGACGTTGGGTTTGGGGAGCAAACACTTTCAGATTTTAGCAGTGAAGTGGATTTGGATTTCAACCACTAAACCACAATAAGCAAAATGGAGAAAATGTTTCCCAACGACAACCATGGTTGTTTGCTTCGCTTTTTGGCTTGGCTTTTGCTTTGCGTTGGTTTTTGGTTTTTGGTTAGCTTTGCTTTGGTCTTTGGTTGGGGTGTGGCTTCTTTGGGTTTGGTTTTGAACTAGTTTGCCTTGCTTGGTTGGGGATTCTTTGTTTGGTGCGTTCCAAGTCTCATTCCCTACCCATCGCACCAGCAAGAAAGATAGTGGATCCCTTACTCAGTGCCCTGGATGGGACTTGGCAAAAAAAAGGTGACAACCTTTGGTTTGGTTGGGTTGTCTCAGTTGCCCAAAGGGGTTGGGTTGTCTCAGTTGCCCCAAACAAACGGACCTGGAAATATGAGTCCATGACTGAACATGGGTACCAAAACGAACCCAAAAGGACAAAAGGTCGAATCGCTTTGGCCAACTGAGTTGTGGTTTCTTTAGGTTTGGCTTCTTGAACTGCTTTGCTTTGGTTTGGGAGCCGTGGTTTGATTTGGGTGTATGCGTTTGTGTTTTCCTTGCCGAACTTCAGGAGGCAGGCAACAAAGTTGAAGCACGTGCCCGGAATAAACAAGAGGACAGTGCCAAGTGGGTTAGCTTCCGAAATCCAATGGCCCACAGGAAACCACTGGATCTGTTTGCAAAGGGCAGCATGGATGTGGACCGGGACCTGCTGAACATTCAGGGCATCCCAGTTTGCTGCGCAGACGAAGTGATGAGTCCTGTTTGGTATACTCTCTTGTGGGTAATTGGGGGGAGCTGCCCCTAAGGGAAATCATCACGTTTGGAGGGGAACACCCCCTAGTAATAAACTGGGGTTGACAAATATGGGGTCAACATTGCCCCTATTTAACCCTTCCTTAAAATCGCGATGCCCCCTTGGGGTATGGTCCACGATGGTGACAAGGGTTTCATACAATTTCAGGATAACCCCCCCCCCCCTCGCAAATTAACGGAAAGATTCCTCCAAGGAGGGATTTCCGGGCTCCACGTTATTCCCAAACCTGAATATTTCGAAACGGATCCAAGTCAAGGACCAAACTGGGATTTAAATTCTCGGTTGCTTTCTGCTCCCCTGCTAAAAGTTTAACTTTTAGTAGTTTAATGGAAAACCCATTAGTTGGCAAAAAGTTAAAGTCCTAACATCCCTTGGCAAAATGCACCAAAGGTTTGTTTCATCCAGATCGCTCGCCTTGAACTCGGGAAACCACTTGGAGCACGCCGCAGCAGTACAAAAGCTCTGGTACCGCTGGAGCATGTCCTTGGGAACGGGGCATGGACGGGAGGAAGCATCCGCAAACAGCAACGGACAATTACCGAGTACCCCCAAGTGGATACCACAAGTATAACTTGGCAGTCACAGTTGCAAGGGAAAATCATCGGGTAAACCCAATGTATTGGGGACCCTTGGATTCACATGGCTCAATTTTGAGGGTGTCGATGGCCTTGAGACTTTCAAGACTCTGATGCAGCTCCATCTTGGGCTTCGGCCGGAAAGCCCCGCAAACCCCTCCAGACCCAATGTGACCAACAGGAGGCGCCACTATGGTACTCACCCTTTCCCACTCACCTTCAGCCCTGCGCTTTGACGCCCGCTCGACGAATAGAACTAAATTGCAGCAAACAACTGAAACACCACAACAGCAAAGCAACAGCTGTGCTTTACGATTGACGATGCCCCTCAGCATGTCCACGGGCACGTTCTTGGGTCACCGGTGATACCAAGAATAGACTTCCCCCCGTGTTGGATCCCCGTATAAATTGAACTCAACTCGGAAGCGAGTCTGTTCATCCTCAGTGAAACATTCTGTGGATGGATGAAATCCTGTCCTTGGAAACCATGGTTGAAACCCTTGTTGATTGGCAATTGCAGGAGAATCATCAAACACTAGGGTTTCTGAACGGTGGCGCGAAATGGATTTCGTCCATCCACAATAGCAACCAACAGTTCATCTCTCCCCGCCACTTCTCTTTGGCGACGTGTCGATGGAGCCTTCTGCAAAGACGGTGTCCCACCTCAACCGCGCGCGGGTGATGGGAAAACGGCCGGGGTGGACCAAACAAACAACAACCCCAACATTTCAGAAGCAGTGAATCGTGTGTTGGGCGCGCCGCTCAACAAAAGAGGAACTCCCAAACATTGTGTTGAAAAAGAGGGTGCTCTGAAGCAAATTGCCCAACTGCTGGGCACGGCCACTTGTCTACCAAAAAGGCCTGAGCAACAGCGGCAGTACCGGATTTTTCAATATACCTGATACCCTGAGTTCCGCCACCGTGGGTCACATTTCGTCGCAACCAAAAGCTCATTGCTTTGGTCGCTGCGAGTTGCTCAGAGCCCAAAACCCAAAACAAATCTAGGTCCTCCAGTAGAGAGGTTAGAATAAGTTGGTGCCTTTTTTTCTGTAGGTCTATTTTAGTAGGGGAACCCTCCCAACCAACAAAGGGTAAAGGGGCACTGCTGAGGGGCCTAGGAATTGCTCGAGAAGACAGGTGCCTTTCTCAGGCCACTCGTTTTACCAACCCGAAGCGGTGAGCTGATCTTTCACTTGCTTTGTCACCCCCCGGGGGGAAAAAAAAACAAAAAACAAAAAAAACATATTTCCAGTCGTGAAACCCGATTTCCTTAAGCAACAGGGAAAGAAGACACTTGCATCAACTGGAAGCCCAGGTTTTTGCCAGAGCCAAGCTGCTCGACTTGGAAGTCGGAAGCCCCAGGACTAGATCCGTCTTCCATTTGCCTTCCCCTGGAACAAATAAAGAACGTGCCCGGTGAGAACGAATCCCTTTACAACAGGGGGAAACAAACACATCTACTCAAACAAAGAATGTGTCCAGTGGTGATAGGTTCCCTGAAAAATGTATATATATATATATATTTATATATATTAAAAAAAAAAAAAAAAAAAAAAAAAAAAAACGCATCTACTTAAGTGAAGCGCTTGTCGCTCAGGACTTGATCCACCACAAAGAAGGACTCGGTTTTGGGTGCGGTTTGGCTTTGCGCTGGTTGCATTTCTGTCGTGGACGTCCTGGGGCGATGGGGGGCCTACCCTGGATCCCATGATGAACCAAGGAGCGCCCGCACGCATCTTAACGCCTCAAGGGCTACACCAGGGCAGTAGATGGCACGAATTCCTGCATTTGGCTAAGGGAATGACAACTTTCACTCAACTGGGGCAGGGGCATTGCGCCATGTACTTTCGCCTTGCAGGTCTTACCCTAGGTTTCCTCTTTGCACATAACCCTGCTGAAAGGAACTCTGGTTAAACTGCTGATAACCCTACGGATGCCCCCGAAATATTGCAACACATTGCAAGTAGTGCACGGGAGTTCCCGAATTTACTGTCATGTCCCATGATCCCATATTTTGAGGGTCATGGAGACTCCAGGTATATAAGCCTCAAGTGGGTTGGGGTTTCCAGGGAAGCCCAGCAGTACTCAGTTGTTCAGTGACCCTGGAAAAAAAGGGAACCCTTTTTGGGGCTTGGACAATTTTTAGTGGGGCAGTCAACCAAAGAAGGGAAAAAGGCAACTGAGGGACTAGGCTTCTACTGGACCTAGGCTTCCCTTAGACCCCACAGGCTCCCAGGCATCTCTTCGCCCTCCGCGATGCACAAGGCATAAGCCGCCGCCAGTTGCAGCTGCCAGCCCCCGTCCAGCAGACTTGGCTCCGCCAGCAGCAGCCTGGCCGGACGCTGGTCACCTCCGTTTGGCTGAAATCGTCCCCTGGAAAAAAAAGCTACGAATTTTAATGGGGAACCTCCTGAAAAGTGGCTGGTGGACATAAATCCCCACCTAAATGATCAAAGGGTCCCTGACTAAAATTCATTCCCGTATGTCCGGTGGTGATAGATTCCATTTAACATCAACAGGGAGAACAGGTTCTTCAACATGAGGAAACATACGTGCCCCGGAAAACATGAGAAAACACCGCGGATGGTTGCGAAACCCCTTCGCAACACTTGATATGTGGTTTAACCATGTTGATCCCACAATTCACAGCAAGTTCTCATGTTTCATCCCTCCCACTGGCACAGGATTTTGTCCATCCACAGCTTGTCCAGCAGTGAAAACGACTTTCTTTGCAACAGGGGAACATAGAACATATCGGTCAAGATCATCATTACTAGACCTCTGGATAAAAACAAAAACCTTTGTGATACCAATTGGCCCACCACCTCGCCACCTTGACTCACTTATCACAGAAACTGGCACCAAAGCCCGACGTCCGACCGAAACGTCCCACGTGACGTTTCGGACTCACTGCCATCTCGCGCGCGGCCTGCAGAGCTGCATCGTGGCTTGGCGCCAGTCGCGGCAGCCCCCGCCCAAGAGCAGGGCCTACCGCACCGAGACGCCGAAGCTCTATGGGAAGGTCAGGTAAGCAGAACCCGGAAGTTCCAGAAATCCCCTGATTAACCACACCCCGATTTTTTCCATCAAAGGGGTGTCCCCCCAAATTTCAGCAGGACTGCTCTTTAGGGACCCAGAAACAAGATTCATCTGTTGGGGCCATGACTAAAACTCGGTTGCGTGGTTTAATTCGGAAAACCCCCAAAAATGGAAAAAGCTATCAGGTCCTAACATCCCTTGGCAAAATGCACCAAAGACAAGGAATTATACAGAAAGTCTTCAGGAAGGTCTTGGTGAGTACCGCTAAACTACCGCTGAAATACTAAGGACAAGCACGGCATTCCAATGCCACACCCCGAAATAAAAGGTGATCACCTTTTGGGGCCACGAAAGCTGGGGAGCAGAAAAGGGGAAACCAAACCTACCCTTTTGGGGCCATGACAAAGAATGGGAACCCAAACGTTGGGGAAATTCTAAGGTCGATTGATCCGGTCGATTCGCTTGGGCCTGTTTTGAACCTTTCGCTCGGATCAGCACCAGCAAGTCACCTGAAAACAGGCTGTGGTGCTCCACACCAGGGGAACCCTAAACAGGGATCCTTACATTATACACCTGCTTGCAAATGGTGGTGTCCCTTTATTTTGGTGTTGAAAACACAATATTTCAAATGGGCAAAACGTATCTTTTAAGGAGCCCTGCTAAAATGGGGCTGCCCTGATATATGGAAGGGGCCAAAACCTGCGGTCTGGTGGTTTAATCTTGACCACCCACTTCCCCCTGGCAAGGAGCACTTCTTGGCTAACAATTGTAGCCTGTTGGGACTGCAAGCCTATGACAAATCTACCAAAGAAATCCTCATTTGGCCATGGGGCCTAACCTATGGCTCCTTTTTGGGGCGGATGAACATCCATTTGATTTCCACCTATTTTGATGTTCACCAGGGGTTTCCTTTGTTGTGACCCACAGCCATTTGAGCGTGTCCTGTTTGGCCCCTGGTTGATGGTTGCAAAGCAAAATCCAATGGCAAGGGTCCCGCCAATTTCCAGAAGCTAGTGCGGAATCAAGCATTTCCAGCAACAAGGTAAACGCTGAAACCAAAAAACATTCCCCGCGTGGACAAAATCCGTTCAACCATCATCTCACCAGAAACCTGGCCTGCAAGTCAAAAACAAAAAAACATTTGCTCCAAACGCGCCCTCTTCGCTGTCCAGAGGTCCGACACTTGTGGGGTCGCGTTCAACCCGGCAAACCGAACCTCACGCCCGATCGAGTGCATCGCCCGATCGCGTAACCAAACTGCAAAAGGTACCGTGAAATGGCCCAAGCCAAACAAGCGACCAAGTCCGAAACGGAAAACTCAGAAATGAGATTCATACTGTGTCTCCCCCATCCCTTCCATTTGCTTAAGAACATGTTTCATTGTCCCTTGTTGGGTTTAAGGGGCATCTATCACTACTGGAAATACTGTGCATGGACAAAATGCTACACCACCTACGAAACCCTGGAAAGATGATTTGTAAATACCAACAATGCATGGTTTTCCATGGATTCAAAGTGGTGCAGGATTTCGTCCACCCACAGTATCATACCCCTTTCAGAGTGCTCCCGCCATTGAGTTTCAGTCAAGGGGTGCTTGTACATACCCCTTGTACATACCCCTTGTACATACCCCTTGGACAAATAAACCCAAAAGGCCTGCTGATGTTCATACCCCTCTCCTCAAAAGGGGCATATACCCCTTAAGCGGGTTGAAAACCACGGAAGCCGAGGAACCGGTATGAACAAGGAACCGGTATGTACTTCCGCCCTTTGATACACAGGAGGATTCAAAACAGTTGACATTTTGGAGCCATAAATATCGAGACGTCAGGGAAACCAAAATTGGTCGGAAAAGTCGCTCGCTTTGAAGCGAACAGGGATCCTGAGATTATACACCTGATCATTGCCTTGCAAATGGTGGTGTCCCTTTATTTTGGTGTTGAAAAAACAACTATGTTTCATTTGTTTTGCAAAATTGAGATCTTTTCAGGAGCTCTGGCGAATAGCTGGGGGAAACCGCCTCGATGGCTTCAGGGCATCGCAGTAGAGGACCTGAGTGCTCACTCTCGGGTTCTCAACTTCCCCAACATGGCCGTGGGTCAAGAATAGGGTAACCCCAAAATGGAACAAGGCCTTGGAAAAGGAAACATGGATTAAAAGCTGCGGTACCCTGGTGGTTTAATTTTGACCGCCACATCATGGAACCCTTTCTCTCACTTCCGATCGAGTGGATTGGCCAAAAAAAGCCCGAACTGTTTGTTTGCCACAAAAAAATGTGTTCCGAATTAAAAAAAAAAAAACGAAGAAGAGCAAAGTCCAGAAACTCGGGAAGTGAGAAAATCATCCTCAAACTATTCAACGAAAAGCGTAGCTTTCTGTTGGGCAGTGCGCACGTGGTCAGTCAAAAAGTTGTACAGCTTGGCGCTCCGACCAAACAGCAGTCAAAACAACGGCTGCTAAAAGTTTCCACTGCCCCCAAACCACTACCCCAAGGCAACTACGGAGCGTACCCTTGTAGAGAGGAGCTACATATATGTACATATGTGTAAAAATCTCAATCTCTGTAGCCTCGCAGCTGCAATCGTGCTTCAGGGGCCCTTCTAACAGGTGGAAAGAACCTTCGACTCGCCCTTCACAGGAAGCAGGGAGCGTCCAAGCGTCCACCTAAAAGGATGCAACTCAAGTGACTTTGAAAAAGCATGGTAAGGCTGATTCTTTGGGCCAAAATGTTGTTGTGTTCTTCTCGATATATTTGTTTGTTTCCTCTTGGCCTTGTCTTTGGGCTGGTTAAATGAGACATTTTGGTGTTTCTCCAAAAGACAATTGGCCGCTACAAACGCCTTCCTTTCCGCAAAAACGGTTGCCCCAAGCTGAAAAGCCCCTTGATTGACCCCCATAACTCCATGTAAGGCCCAACAATCAACTGCCCAATTGGATGGTTTGAAGGGACAAAACACCAAGAGGAAACGCACAATTTCGAGAAGAACCGCCATCTTGGCCCAAAGAATCCGCTTTACGGGGGTTCACTGTCATTCTTGGTTGCATCTTCTTAGTTGTATCATTACCCAAAACAAGGCGAACACCGAAATGTGGCTCTGGGTCAAAAATATGTACCCCAAATGGAACCCTGGTGAGTGGACATATGAACCAAAATCTGGTTTTTCTGGTGGCTTAATTTTGACCCACACCCATGTCACATTTAAGGAACCTCCAAAAAAAGGCGATTCCTTCGGGCCCCCGCCCAGGTCGGGCAGGGCGGAGGAGGGCAAAGCCATCCTCTCACCGCGGCCTCGGGAGGAAGAGGCACCGTGCCTTGCCTAAAGTTTGGCTCGCGTCCGATCGAGTGGATTGTCCAAAGACAAAGTAGTGAACTGTCTATTTGCCACTGAAATGGTCCAAACCCCAACAAGTCACACACCACGAATTCAGGGAGTGGAAAAGTCTCAACATGTTTTGTTTACCACTGAAATTGGTCTACCCAAAAAGTTTAAAGTCCCGGAACTCAGGAAGTGAGTTGGCCCCGTGTTTCAATCCCAAGTGGATCCGAGGCAAGTCCTTCTAGTAGGTAAACCCTCGCCATTGTTATTTTGGTGTTGAAAGGGTGGTCTTCTTGGGTACCGACTATACAAGTATGTGGATTCACTGGGTGCATATGCAATGATGTGAATAGTCGTTTGCATATATGTACAAGACAAGCTAAATTACAAACTAATCAATTGTTTAAACATATGTAGACAGTTCTAGAGCTAGTTTCAGTTTAGTAAAACAACATATTTAAGCCAGCACACGGTGAATTTCAGAAAAAGGGGCATTCCCCCAAACTGTTCTATGTATATATATATATAATTATATATCCGTGCAACAAGTGCCACTCACGTGAAATTGGTTTAAATTAAACCCTTGTCGTGTCCCCCCAAAAGCCGAAGCGGCTCATGCCCTTACGCTGGTTGCCCAGAATCCATGCGGGGGCCATGACCGTCCGTCCCTCCCAACCCACAAAAGGGACATCGGCTCCAAAATCAGGTGAGGATTTCCAATATGACAGGGCTGTCCTGAGTTGACTGCATTTTCTGAGAAAACTGCGCTTTGCGCTTTCCGAAACGATCAAGACACCTCCCAGCAAAAGTGTCCAGTCGAGTTCATGGGCAAAGCGAAACCTTCATTTGCTTAAGTCGCCTGCAACCAAAAACGGACATATGCCCAGTAGCGACAGGCTCCGTTTGAAACCAACAGGGGAAATCAGGGGGAAACATACTCTCAAGCAAACAAAAGGACATGACTCTCGGGCCTTTCCGCCAAGTCATGTCTCGAGACAGAAGGCCAGCACTCCGCCCACTCCGCCCGCTTCGACCGAGTCACCCATGCTGCCAAAGCAGGGCAGCCTAAGCGCAGGCTCGGGTTGGTGTGCTTTGGGTGTAGCTCGCCGAAGGTCAAACAGATCTGGAGACCCTGCAAGTCCAAAACCCAACAAAAAAGGTCCCCAAGTCAAGGACCTACATATTCTGCATGTTTTTTGTTGATTTTTTGGTATGTAAATCATGTGATATATATATATATATATACATATATATATATATATATGTGTTATCCCTTACAAGCGTGGAAGCAACCCAAAAGGGGGGTCCACTTCTCTGAAGAGGAGATTTCTCTATTAAATGGATGGGTGTTGTGGTTCCGTTCATCTGTAGGGGGGTGAACAAATTGGTAAGCTTGTTTAAAACTTCCAGGTCAGCTCATTCATGTCTAAACGCGGTGGCACTGATGGAAACATGGGGCCAAGCATTCAAACGGAAGTTACGGTGGATACTTTCGCATACTGCAAGTGAACCAACCACACCCACCCACAAAACCATGACACATTACTGGAAATTAGGGAGTTCCCTTGTTCATTCACTTGGAGGAACGCGATCCGGGCGGCCAGTTAGCAAAGGCAAAGATCGGCTCGTCCTCTTCCTCCTCTCGGCGTGGCGCCCCCCACTCCTGGCGATGTGAAGTGGCAGACTGGCAGAATGCACAGCGTTGCAGCTGAAACCATGCCTGCGACAAGTTGACAACCCTTGGCAGTTGCAAAAAAGAACATGGTTTCTCCCCCCCCCGCCTGACTAACAAATCACAGAACAAACAAACAAAACAACTTGCAAAGAACAGTGAAGACAAGTTGAAGCCACGCACTCGTCCGACCAACCAACCACCCGACCGACCGACCAACTAGCCAGCCAACCTATGCAAGCCGAAAAACCTAAACCCAAACCAAACCTAAACTCAGAACCAGCCGTCCCCTAGGGGCAATCAACAAAACTAACTGAGTGGACTGGCCCAAACTCTACTGCGGATGGTTGCGAAATCCATTTCGCACCACCTAAAAAAAACTGGTTTCTGATGTTTCACCTGTAAATACCAACAAACCATGGTTTCCCATGGTTTCAAAGTGCTGCAGGATTTTTGTCCATCCACGGTACCAGGGTCTTCAACGGTCCAACCTGTCTCAACTTGGAGGCCCGTGGCCCCCCAAGTGAAAGTCACAGTGTTCGCTGGCGCGGAATGGAAGCCAGAGGTGGTGTGGAAGCCCCAAAGGTTGAATTTGGCTTTGGGCACGAAACCAGCCGAGTGCCAACTGCGTGCTAACTGCGTCATTTCATAAGATTCCCCCCCCCCCACACAAGCACCAAGCTCACCTTGTCGCTACAAATGTGACATGGATGGGCAAAATCCACTTCGCACCAGTTGCGATGGATGAAGCCCTGTAAATACTGGAGCGTCTACCAAGCGGTGCGGAGTGTTGTTTTGGCATCCACAGTACTACTCACTTGCCCAACGGTTGAACCTTGGGGTCACGACTCAAAAGAGCCAAAATGGGGAAACCAACAGGTCAAAAGGTCGGCTTTGCGCAAGTCAGAAGTCAAGGCAGCAATTGAAAAAGCAGGGGGTCCATGCTTGGAGACTCCGGTGTTTTTCTTGTTGAATCACAAAAATGAGAATCCAAAATGAGGATGTTCAAAAGAAACACAGCTGGTGTAAATTCAAAGAACAAATACCGGTTCCGTGCTTGGATCATCGAATCTCCTCCGCGCCGAGGCGAGAAAGCAAGGCCCACTGGAAGATTGAGCTCTGCCTCGGTCGCTCAATCGAAATCGACGCGGGGCTTAAGCCGAACATCCCTCTTTTGGATCCAGGGCTTACCAGGAAGGTGTCACCCTAAAACTGGAAAAGACATCCATGTTGGCGAAGAATCAGATGGGTATGGGTCAAAGATCCAGGGCTTACCAGAAAGGTGTCACCCTGAACCTGGAAAAGACATCCGTTTTGCATGGCGAAGAATCAGATAGCACACTCAGACAGGTAACCAGGTATGGTTAGCGACGTTAGCACACATTTCATCATTTCAAACGGGTTGGAGGGTCACAATTGGGGGCCAATGTGCCATCTGAGTGTTACTCACTACAGGTCGCAGGCGTAAAAACAAACACATACAAGAGTCAGTAGTCTGAAACCAGACCTGGTTTCAACTTAAAATTCACCTCAGCTGACATCTAATTCGTCACTACTGTGGACGGACGAATCCCTTTCGCACCACCAAAGAAAGCCTGGAAGGATGATTCCCCTGCAAACACCAACAAACAATCGTTTCAACTATGGGTTCAGTGGTGCGAGACGCGGATTTCGCAACCATCCGCGGGTATGAGCTTAAACTCGACATACCCAAATCTGGCTAAAGACCAACCTTGGACCAATAAGAAAATATCTTGCCTTGGGTGTGTGACAAGTAATCGGCCCCTTGGGTGTGCATCTTTATTGCCCAACCCCCAACATAGCTGGGTTCTCCTTTCCGTTTGCATCTAAAACCACCAGCCAAGGGGTAGCCTCAGAAAAAGACACCCCCCACTTCGCACCCAAACAGTGAAAAGCTGGGTTTGGGGGAAGGGGCAAAATTTGGGTATTCCTGCTGCTTAGCTTTAATCCCCTGCAAAACAGACTATTCTCCAGTAGTGATAGGTTCCCTGTAAAACCAAAAAGGGAAACAACAACAAAATACATCCGCAACCGGAAGGGCTTGGGGTTCTGCGTGCTGCGTGCTGCGCGCGCGCCGCGTGTGCCTGGCCCGAGCTCGAGCGCCCGGCAACTCAGCCGTCATCGTGGAGGAGACGATGGCATTCCGGAGCTGCCGGCTGAGGGCCTCCAGATTCCATCAGACATCTAAGCGCAAGTTTGGGGTACTGGGTGATCGATTCGCCAAGTTGGTAAATTGATGGTAACTTAGGTTATAACCCACCTGTAAGTCCAAGTGGGGCTGACGTTGGAAGAGCAAAAAAACATTTTGTCTCGCAGTCAAGTGGTTGGATTTCAACCATTCACACACAATAACAACATGCAAAATGTTTCCAACCCTGATGGGGCCCCCAGGTCCAGTTGTTGTCTTCCTGCCAATTCCAATTGGTTAATCTTTTGGTGAACATGATTTACATGGAGATCCATTCCAAAAGAGGATCCTTGCAAAGCAACTCCGGGCCGTAATCGCTCCCTCCCCATTTTCTCAGGGACTTGGAGCTGTACATGGATTTCGACCACCCCCCTTTTCCCAAGTCAGGTTGTGACGGGCGGCCCCAAGTCCAGGTCTCTTGCGGGACTAAAAGAATGACTCACTTCCCATGGAGGGGGTTGGTCAGAAAAGGTCACCGAACTTTGGGGAATGCCACTAAAAAGAGACATACCCCAAAAGTGACGAAAGTCCAGGACCTCAGAAAGCGAGAAACATGAATGGAACTGTGCATGGAAAGGGGCGAGAGAATCACGAATGGTCGAGGTGGCTAGCCGAAAGACCGTTTTTCTGCGCCTGGCCCTGAATATCCAAGACATCATGGTGTTTGTTGCCCAAGAATTGCATAGGGTCAGGTCACTGACAGTCACGCCGCCCTCATCCGCCCAGCTGCAAATGACTGCACCCAAGCCACTCATTCCCCGGCTTGCCAAATGATCCAAATGTATGGTCACATCACTTTTCAAAATCGCCAGGTGTCCCGCCTACCGTATATGCGTGCATAGATTCTTCGCATGTTGGTACTGAAGGTCCGGCTTTATTGAAAAATGCTACAAACTTAGCAGCTTCGGGGAAACGCTATCGATCAGGCATGCGTTTTGGGCTCCTGGGAGTATGGTTGTCCACGCTTTTAAATGTACTTTCCACGCTATTAAACGTACTTTCCACGCTAAAAAACGTACTTTCCACGGTTTGTCCATGGTTGTCCACGATTAAACAATCAACAAACAACTCGCGATCAGACTCTGTGGAGCTGTGGACAAGAAGCGGAAAAGCACGCACGGGCATGTGAGTGACAATCCAGATTGACACAGTATGGTGACGGCGTGTGATTACAACGGGATGAAGCGACTTTACAACATACTTAGCTCATTTCACAAAAGGCAGCAAAAAAGTTCTTCAACCTCTCACTGCACAGAAGAGCGCGGGGATGTCAGGAGCCAGCCGTCTCAAGTTGGCCAAGTTTGTCTAGACTTACTTCTAGTGGTCGAGGAACATTACTTTTGTAGCCTTTCGTTTTTTTTAATGGCCGAGGCTATTTAGGGAATAGTCGAGGAAGCATAGGGTAAACCTGAAAAAAAAACTGTCTGAGTTCCGACAGCGCAACAAATACGCCAGGGGAGTATCTTTAAAGAATCCCTGGAGATGGGAATTAGGATGGTGCTATTATATGGGGAGTTCGGAAGAAACATCCACTGTCGGTTTCCTTTCGGGACCTGGACACATACTGTGGATGGACACCACTTGGAAACCGAAACCATTGTTGGTTAACGTCATCCAGCCCCAGTATGGGCTATTTAGCACCCAGGAATCCATGATGATCGATACCTAGGGTCTCCTCACAGCCCCCGATTCTGAGCTTTGCTGTCAATAATACCTTGGAGAATGAGCTGAAGAAGAAAAAAAGATTGGACACCCAAAGGTGACCCTTCGTGCCGGATTCGCAGATCGCTTCTCAATTCGACAAGCAGCTGTCAATGTCAAGGTTTCAGGGACAAACTTAATACATGACAACAAACAAAAGCAGTTTGGCTCCCCCAAGGGATTCACTTACCAGTATAGTATAGTAGTTAACTAAGGGAACCACCCTTTGAAACCAAATATAAAATGGTTGGTTCCCTACTTTAATGGCATCCCTCGACCATATCGACCCGCATCGATTTCTTTTTCGAGCCTCCGCAGACACGGAGGGTCGCAGCACGCCGAAAGGCTGGAGCCTGCGACGACCGGTGCGATTCGATAGGTGGGGAACGACCTTCCGGGTGTTGGGAATGGTCCAGGTCCCTCCCACACAGGCTATGTGCCCCAAAAAATGGGTCGTTCTTGTTGGTTTCCCTTTGCACCAACCCCAAAAACTTGCTGGTGCGATAGGAAGGGAATGACAATGAGCCCGAGTGTTGGGAATGAACCGGTTTTGGGGATTCGCTTAAAGGAAACCACTGTTGGATGGGTTGTCGGGGTCATTCCATTTCTCTTTCCCAGCTGAGCACCAGCAATAAAAGTTGAACCTGGACTTGTTTTTGAACATGCCCAGCGCGTCCAGTCTCCAGAGTATATAGCGAGCCAGGGAAATTTTGATGCAAAACCTAGAGGTAGCCATGGGCCATACCTGGTTGATCAATAAGGGTTCTTCCATCTAAGTTAAGATTTACAATTTGGGAAGAGCACACCCATTCTTGTCTCCGGGTCAGGCGCGTTGGGGGACCAACCCTAGGGATGCCTGCGCAGCAATTTTGCAGTTGCTTTGTTGGCAAGAGCATCCATGCCAGGATTCATGGCTGGCCTTGCAATTGTCAGTTGGAATGTCATGGCTGGTTGACCTGAAAGAAGAACAGCCCTTGCACGTCACGGTGTGTCTGGTTGGTTCTTGGCAACGTTCGCCCATACCAACCATAGGTTTCCTTTTAACAGATTCGGAACTTGTACCTCCCCAAATACGGCAACATATCCTTAACAGGGCCGCCATGTGCCACCCGGAAAAAGCCCAGGTCGGCTTCATGAGCACCAGGGCGTAGGTTGCATTCAGGCAGCCCGGTTTCAAAGGTCAACTCCAGGCTTGCGCCTCATTCTTTGCAACACTCGTGGCTTCAGGGTTTGCTGGTGGTTTCCATTGAAACGATCGCCATTGGAGAATCCAAAATGAGAAATGGAGGAAACCCCAGTGCTTCCCCTGCTTCGTTGTTTGCGAATATGGCCGCCCTTTGCGACCCCAACGCTGTTTTAGGGCCCATACACCACAAGGAACAATGCATGGAGATAACGAAACATAAACAGGTTTGAGGTTCCGGTAGCAGAGGTCCGCTCTACATGAACCATCTCTTATCTGGCCCGATTGGACATCCATCCTTTATAAAGAGCCTGACTAAACCATATATGGCTCACATTGGTTGCTGTTGACCCCATCCGCAAAAGTTTAACATTTTGTGGGTCCAATTTGGAGAATCCAACTGTTTCAACCAAAAAGTTTAAGTCGAAAGATCCAAACCAAATAGCCATAAAGTCACTTGCATGAAGGTGATCGATCGCCTTTGGGACGCAAGGACTTTGCTCGGAAAACCCCAGGCTCAGCCCCGGGAGCACATGAGGCCATTGTGATTACAAGCCTCCCACCCAATAGCAAGTCGGAGTGTGGTGGGAAATAACAGGCTCCGGGGCGAAACGATTTCCTTTTGGAGGCCGTTTTGGGTCCCAAGTCTCCGTCCTGCGGATCCGCGCTGCTTTGTCTTCCTGCGACCCGACCCCCCCCAAAAAAAAACACAAAAAACGAAGGAGAGCCCCAAGGAGTTTTCTGGCGAGGGCGGTCGGAATGTAGAAACCCCGTCTTCTAGTAATTGAACAGTACCCTGATCCTCCACAAGCGTACCTGCAGTTTTTTTTCCGTTTAAGGTGCCCTGTGTGCAGGTTCCCTGTCGTTTTTTGGTTTTTTTTTGCGGGGTCCGGAAGGGCACGCCGTGCTCCATGCCGTAAGGAATCAGACCTTAAGAAAGACCCCAACCAGGTCTTCGATGATTTCTTCTGGATGGGGACGCCAAGCTGCACACACTACGGTAACTCAAAAACCCAGCAATTCCAGCGCTGCACGGGGGAGCTAGTTTGCCCACATGAGTCTGCACGAATTGCTCGATTCAAAGCATGGACGGGGCCTCGTTCTTCGGCCCGATTTGGAAGCCCACGACCTTTCAGTTGCCTTCTGCTCCCCTGCTAAAAATTTTTGTTTAAGGGTTTAATTGAGAAACCCATTCGTTGGCAAAAAGCTGAAGTCATAACATCCAAGCAACATGCACCAGCATTTCACATCTGGTGCCTGAGGTCCCCAACTTCCGTTCGAAAAAGGCGTCATTTTGACCAGCCCCTGAGCCCCAGCCCTTTCCAGTCGTGCGGCTTCAGCGAGGCAACCGAAAACACGGCTGCAAAGAGAAGTTCAACTTGGAGACCCAGTTGCCCAGTGATCCCCAGTGCTTCCTTTAACAGGGATCCTTACATTATACACCTGAACATTGCCTTGTAAATGGAGGTGTCCCTCTATTTTGGTGGAAAAAGCCATGTTTCAAATGGGCAACATGTATCTTTTCAGGAGCCCTGTTTAAAACCCCGGTCGCCAAGGGAACCCTTCAAAAAACCAAAACGACACGGGCTGGTTCTCTTGTGGCGAAACGCCTAAACTGAGCAGCAGATGTCAGAAATGTCGCAAGACCCAAACCTCCAGCGACAAACAACATCTGCATCCTGTGGGTAGTTGGCTTTGCCCAACCTGCTCGTGTCATCATGGGAGGCCCCCCCAAATGGTGTCCCCCCAAAGAAAAAACGACTGGCCAAAAACAAAAACACAACACAAAGTGGTTGTGTGTCAAACTACGGGATCCCTCAAACAAATGTGTTTTGTTTGTTGCTTCCATTTAAGCCACCTGCAAAAAGGTAGTGGCCCCACGATTTTGCCAAAGCCGCCCCGCTCAGTAAACTCAAAGCCAGCAACCAGTTTCCGATTTTGGCCCCGGGAGCAGTTCAAATTATGGAAACAGGGGAGCAATCAACCCCGGTTTGCTACTAGGGGGGGTTTGCTGGTTCGTGTTGAAAAGGTGCACTTCCCCAAGTGAAGAGGTTCCCTGCAACATGGGACACCCCCATAAGCCCCCATATCAAATATCCGCACAAGGAACCCAACATGTAGACCCTATTTCAGGTTGGTGAATGAAATCCACCACCTTTCGCCCCCCCCCCCAAAAAAAAAAAAACGTGTTCCGGCGGTCGTCTTTCCCCCTCGCCTCGAAGTCTGCGCGCCGCTGGCTCCGCACCTCTCGGAGCTGCGCGCTGGCGTCCATGGCGCCGCGTCGAAGTCTACGTTGGGCGAGGCCCAGGGCTTTTCCCCGAAATTTCCTCCGGTTGGCTACAAATCAGCAGGGCTCCCCTAGATTTCACCATACAAATCAGCCTTGGGGCCAAAGAAGCAAAAAGGAGTGGGTTGATTGGGGTGGTGAAAAAGGAATGTGGGGAACCCTGAGCTGGACACCCAAAGAAGCACAGCTGGGACATGTGTGCATGTGCCGAAACTGTGCCGAAGAGTTGCCGCCCATGGGAAAGGGGATGCTAAAAGGCTCTGGCGGAAGGTGCGCAACTGCCGGTGGAATTTGCGCTTCACGACCGCCTGGCCAAGGCCCTGCTTGAACCGAGAGGCATCGATCAAATGACCAAGTGATTCCACAAGGAGGCACCCTTTGCCCTCCCTCCCGCGTGACAAAGTTCGAGCAAAGGGGGCCCCTGTCGGAAATACAGACTTGAGCTACGAGCCACTTTCTCCAAATCCACAGCAGACGCCCTTCTTTCGGATGAGACCGCAGCTGTCGGTTTTGTTTTCCTGGAGGGCTCGAGATCTGTGCCATGGCATTGAACCTTCGAACAACGTTCCACGCGTGTCCTTCACCCCTGCAAGGACCTGGGTGACGTTCTTGTAACAACCATTATATATTTTGCATTTACCACGAAAGCGGTCCAAACCCCAAAAATATAAAGTCCGGGAAATCAGGAAGTAAGAAAAACAACCGGGTCAACCAGCGCCATCACCCGAAAAAAACAACAACAAAAGACACACCCATGCCGCTGGTCGCGTCTCCCTGGCGCCTTTGGCGATGGCGCAGCCGGAAGCAAAGCCCAGCCGGTCCTCTCGCTTCGACTGTTCGCTGAAACTTGTCCTCCAAAAATCAAGCTGAAAGCCCAAGCTGAGAAGTGCCTTGCACCAGTCAGCTCCACCAGGTGTTTGAGTCTACTTTTGAGGGTGTTCCAAGCACTGGACATCACAGCCAACTAATCGCGGGGCAGCATGTGGGGTTGCCCCGCGCTCGGCTCGCCGCCGGACGCATATGTTTTTGGCTTCAGGTTGGATGAATCGCCGCCTGCAAGAGGAGACACCAGCTGAAACCAAGTGCCCTCCAGGCCAAATGAGCCCCGCAACACGAAAGCAACGAACCTTCCTCCCACTAACAGAAGGCATTTGTGGGGGGGATGCCCGGAAGGTTACTTTTGTTCAAGGCACCCTCTGTCAGGTGCCATGGGAACATGGAAGGGAGAGTAGTTGGTGAGGAGAACTTCAAAGAACCCCAAAGGCGGCAAGGCCACGTCTGGGCAGGGGATAGCTATGTCCAGTGCTCCAAGAAAGCTGCTTGTAGCTGCACGTCTCGGACATCCGCCCTCATACCTCCTTCTCCTGCATACCTGCGAATTCGTTGCGCCGCGCATATGCCTTTCATAAAACTGCCCCCTCTTTCCAAAGTGTTCGGGGCGTGCTGCGCAGGGCCGAGGGCCACACTTCCTTGGTAGATTGGCCAAAAAGTCCAGACGTGTTCTATGCCAGCCACGAAAATCAAAACTGGACTTGGCATGCTTTCTCGGTTGTTTTCTGCTCCCCTGCTAAAAGTTTATCTTTTAGTGGTTTAATGGAAAACCCATTAGTTGGCAAAAAGTAAAAGTCCTAACATCCAAGCAAAATGCACCAAAGTTTTGTCGAGTATAATGTTGACCCCTAATAAAATAGCCCCACGACATTCATGACTCAGGGGTGGCCCGCTGGAAGGAAAGTATCCCGCCACGTCACTAAAACTTAAGGACCCCCGCTACTGATATCTTTTTTGCCTGGTTAGTAGAAAACAAAGGGGACCCAAAAAAACGTTAAAAAAGGGGAGCTAATTTTGGGGAAGAAAAGAGGACCCTTGACAACCAATCACTTAGACTTGGAGTTGGTTAAAGGATACATCCAAAACAATCCGTACAAAGGGGATCCCCTTCACTCGGTAAAGCTAGAAACAAGTGCTTGTTTGGTTTTCCGCGGGTCGAAATTGGAGCGCAGGAAGTCAGCAAGCTGTTCTTGGTGGCCATTGATCCCCGAACAATCACCGTTTGCAGCTTGGGAAGATCACAAAACAAGCAAGCTAAAGTGAACTCACGCAGGCGACCTGGAAATACAAGGTGCAGTCTTTTTGTTGGAAAAAGACGAGATGACCAACTCAGAGAGTTGACAAAAGGTTGGATCCGGTCGATTCGCCGAAAGGGCTGAGTTAAAGATTCCCTGGCAAACTGTATTCAAGTGGTGCTACGGTGGATGCCGTAAAAACAAAAGCATGTAAATCAACCACGCCAAAGCCATGTTGGTAAATTCGGGGAGTTCCAACTTGTTCCCCTTCCATGCCAAAAAATCTACCGTAGCTCCCCCCCCCCCTCCCCCCCTTTCTCCGGGCACCTGAAACCCGCCCCCCGCTTCATCGCGCGCGTGGACGGCGAAATCGACGGCGACATCGCGGTGAAAGGCGCCGAGTCAGAGGCGTGCCTGGCGTTGACTTCGGAGGCGTAGACTCGGCCCAGGTATTGCGAGCGGACGCCGGCAACCTTCCTGAAGCCCTGAAAGCAGAATCCCCGGAGCTGTCAGCTGGGGAAACAGTATGGGATCGTTCCTTACTTAAAGGGGCAGGGGACTCAAAAAGTGGGCTAAGTAATAACCATGGTTCTCACCCACTTACCATGGCTGTATGTCTTCTAAGCGGGAAAAAGCCATGGTTGTTACCCGCCTACCAAATACCCTGCCCCTTTATGCAGTGACAGGGGAAATAGCGCCTATTTTTACCTGGATGTTCGGGCCAAGTTAGGAGTTAAGTTGTTAGGAAGCACTCGGTAGTAAGGGTGTATATTCAAAGGGAAACAAAAATGAAACCAACGAGATCTTGGGTCGCCTAAAGAAAGGCACATCAGTATATGGTGGGGCTTGATTTTACGCTTTGCCAACCCTCCTATAGATTCCCGCCACAAGAAAACAAAAGAACGGCTACCAGGATCTTCAAGCCTCAAAGTTTGACAAGTAAGTCAAGTGAAACCATCGAAAGCCTAAATTGTTCTGGGTGCCAATAGCAAGCCTGGAGCAATTATAAATTATATTCCTGTTGTCTTCTCAAAACAAATCCCCTAACTGGTAGTTTGAGGGCCCCCCCCCCCCGCCCCCCGGAGAGAACAAAATCGGAAAATAGTCACCTTAAGTGACCCAATCTTTAGCACCCAGCCTTGAACGCGGATCTGGCCTATTTGCCCACGAAGGCGGAGAGCAGAAGATGCGAAAACTCAGCGATGGTCAGATAGTCTCCGCAGTAAATCCTTGCTTGCGACCAGCGGCAAAACCCATTTGGCTGTGGGACAAAAATGGGTACCCAAAATGGCTTGCACTGGTAAATGGAACCCATGACTAAAACAGGGCGTTGTGTCTTCTTCTTTTTTTCTGTGTTTTTCTTTTCTTTTTTTCTGGGGGTTCATTTTGACCCCTACCCATTTCGCTGATTTCACAGGGTTCCGGAACGGCAAGAACACAAGGCCGAGAGCGGCACGTTGTGCCAATGAGGCAAGAACCGGATTTATCATGCCGTGGGAAAGCTGAAACAAAGCCAATCATATGTTTAAGGGTTGATTCCTTTTCCATTCTTTCCAACCATCGTTGTTTCGACAGCCGGACGTTTCCCCAGGTTTCTGGAGGTTTTCTAGAAAGAAGTTTTTCCTGCAAAAAAAAGGGAAGGTAGCACTAGAATATGAAACGGGGCTGGACTGGGACTCATGGGGGAGAGAAAACAGCATGAGGGAACAAAAAGGAATTGTGGCAGCATTCTGCTATGTCCATGTCATTTCTCACTCTTGATCAAGTGGAGCCAGAAAAAGTCCAGGAACTTTCTATTTAACCTCGAACGAATTAACGTGGAACGTGACAGGGACCCTCTCCCTTTAAAAGGAAACTGGTCTTCCAGGACTTTTCCTGTCAGGTTTCATGTTGCTTTTGATTGGTGAGAGAGTATCACTAAAATCGTTTTCCCAAATGACTAAAGACTCAGGGAGTGAGTGTTACCAAAGGCAGCTGGTCGCATTTCTCCGCGGGACTGGGACTGAAAGGCATGGCACCCATGGGAAAACCGAAAAGCTCAGATCCGGTCCATCCAATTGACTGAGAAGTATCAGGCCCAGAGCGTTGGGCGTGGAGTGGCGCACCTTGACAGCTCCTTGGACATCATGGGCGTTCCTCCGCGACGTAGGGCAACATCAGCCTGGTCGTGGGGAAATTTCTGGTGGGGCGGGGGAGGGGAGGCTAGGTCCTCCAGCAGAGAGGTTAGAATAAGGGTACCCGTTTTTTCTGTAGTCCACTTTAGTTGGGGAAACCTCCCCAAAAAAAGGGTAAAAGGGCACTACTGGGGGATGGCGTGGCCGGATTTTTTGGGCTTTTGGGCACATCCAGTGTCCAGAATCCCAGGTCCCTGCAAATGAGTGGAAGCTAACCTTTGAGCATGAGACAAGGCACTTAGGCAAAAGGCATTTAGGTGTGGTCTCATTTTGGGGAAGTTTCATGGGGGGGGCGGATTCTTGTTGGTTTCCCGCCAAATACAATTGGCATCAGAAGTGCGAGACCAAAAGCCATGCTAGAAACTACGCAAGTGGGCCGTCGCCATGATTCCTTTCACGGATCACTTCTCCTGGTTGTCTAATGCTCAGGGCTGGAAGCCATCCCAGGTAACCCCAAGTAAAAGGAGGCCGTTGGAAACTATGTCTAAACTCACAATTCAAGGGCATCCCAACAGCCAAGCCCAGTACAAAAAAATATTTTGACCACGCACTTGACATAGACTTTAACCCATTGGGAGGCTTCAATCACCAAAGATCCCGTATTTTTTAACCCCGCCTTCTTGATAGGGGATGTTCCCCTCCAAAAGTGATCTGAACACGCATATATATATATATATATGTATATGGACCCCTCCCCTGGTGCCTAGGTTTTGCTTGAGTTCAGTCATTTGTTCAGGTAATTTTGCACAAACTTGGGCACCAAGGAAGGGGATGTGCCACAATTCTACAATTAAGAATTCTGGACCCAAGATTGCTGGGAGACGTTCAATGTGACAATCTGGAATTCAAGATTCAAGACTTCAAAACAATCTTTTTCTGGAATCCTGGAATATTGAATATGGCGTCCCAAAAAAAACAAAAAAACAATCAACACAAAAAACAACAAGCACCTAAAATATATGGGATTCAAGATTCAATATTCAAGATTTCCAGAAAATGTTTATTTTGAATCTTGAATCTTACATTTTAAACAAAATAAAACATCTGGGATTCCAGATTCAAGATGTCAAAATAATATTTGTCTGGGAATCTTGAATCTTGAATCTTGAATCCCAGAATGTTTTCTTTATTTTTTGATTCCTGGTTTGTCTCAATACTCTCGGTGTTCAATAAGATTGTCGGAAAAGCTTTCCGTGAAATATATCAATCTCGAATATTCAATCCAGCGGTAAAATACGTTCGATTTTTTAGAACAACTTGATCATTTCTTGGTTTGACCAGGATGGATGATTCTCAGGAAAGTTGTTGTTTGTGCAATCCTCGATATTGAATCCTCAATCCAGTCAGAAAGCACTTTCAAGTGTGACCCCAAATGTTGTTTGGGTTTGGCCAGGATTGACAATTCTCAGGATAGTGTTCAGTGTAATAGTGTAATGTTCAATCTTGTGTTTTTCCCATCCAGTGGTAAAATACTCTCAAGTGCTTAGCGATCTAGTGGAAACACTTTCAAGTTATATATTAGTTAAAGACAAACTTTCAAATGCTTTTGACCCCCTGCAGAAAAGTTGATCACTTTTTGGGGGGTTTAGTAGATAGCACCAACCCAATAGCAGTCAAGTGACACCACCTCCTCCCGCAGCGAGGCGTTCACCGCCGCCGGCGCCGCCAAGATCCGGCGGCAGATCTGCCGCGCCGCGGGCGGCATGCGGAGCCACAGCGCCAGCGGCAGCACCGGGCGCGGGGTGAAGTGGTCCGTCCGCGCGCGCCTGGCCCGGTGAAACCATACGCTCTAGGTGTCCTGTTTGCGGAAAAAATCGTGGAGCCTAGCAAACAAACGCATCAGATCTTTTTCGGAATCTTCTTTTGCGCGACCTCCGTTCTCAGGGTAATTGAGAAATTCACAAGGATGGACCAACTGATGTGCTGGCACAAGCCCAATCTGTCAGCATACTGTGGATGGTTGCGAAATCCGCTTCTCGCACCACCGTTCAGAAACCCTGGTTTCTGATGGTTCACCTTTAAATGCCAACAGGCTGTGGTTTCAACCATGGTTTCCCAAGTGGTGCAGGATTTCGTTCATCCACAGTAGGTGTCCTTTTTGGGAAAATAGATGGCCCTCATAGTTCCCCCACCCCCACGCCTCCCCAACCTCCCCGACCCCTCCCACCCACCCCCCGGCCCGCTCCTTGCCGCATCCGCGTACCACATCGACAGGAACTCGGCGGAGGGCAGAAATCTCGGCTCGCGGCCCAGATTTGGAGAGCCCCCGTGCCAGAGCCGCATGTCCCGCAAGATGACGTCCTGAGCTTCGAATGTTCTTGAGCTTGGGTCATGTTTTTAGGTGTTTAATTAGGTTTTCAAAGCTTTCTTCTGTTTTCTTCTTTTTTATGTTCTGAGGTTTTGGGTTTGTTTGGTCCTCTTCATGTCCAGTCGAGAGCTGCAAGATAAAGTGACTTAGAGCATACCCTTCTTCGTTTTAAAGGGAAGGGACGAAAAGGCAGGCCCCCCTGTTTTGACACACAGGCGATGGGCTCTACCATTAGGTGGAGGGGGCTGAGGGCTCAAGCGCCGGCCGGGATGGCTGCAATCCAAGTGTCCCCCGGGCTTAGGGGACAAAGGTGGACAAAGGACAAGTTCTGCTGCGCCACCAGAAAGTCCTCCTGGCACGGAGCAAGGAGCTGGGGGCTCCCACCAGTTAGAAAAAAACATATGGCGTAGTTGTTGGTTTTTTTTTAGAGGGGCCCCCTACATATTATGCAAATGTTCCTACAAATCAAAAGCCTTTTTTAAGGGATTGCCAAGTAAAGGACCTTTTTCTCTTGATGCCCCAAAAAAGCAAGGTGTGGTATTCCTGTTGGTTTCCTTTACAAAAAGGGGGAATACTAAAAGACACATTTCCACACGCCTGGAAGAAGCTGAAAATATGATTGGTCCTTTTAGTCTTTGTTTAAGACACACCCAAAGAGGGGTACCATGACGAAAAACAAGCCGCCCGTATGATGCGTTCTGTGTGCGTGTGTGTTCCTCTTTGCAACCGGACCGCTCCCCAACTTCTGGAGTCCGTCTTGACTCAGGCCTTGAGGCGTGCCTTGAGGCGTTCTTTTTTCAAGCAGATCGAAGCGCTTTTCTTGAGACCACATGTCTTGGCACAACAACTCGGCAAATGTGTGTCATGTTTTTTGGGGGGGCCCAGAAAAAAGACGAGACATGGACCAAAAGGGGAGAGCTAAAGGAGTCGAAGGAAGGGCTGCTTTGGGTGAGCTCGCCCGTGTCCCCGGAGCCATGGCAATACGAAAGCCGCGCTCAATGCGCGCATCCATTGAAAAAGTAAATCAAATTCTGAAAATGACCCGACTGATTAGATCCAAAGGGTAAATCCCAAGAATGTTGAACACCCTCAAGATGCAAGCACTTTAAGGGACAAGAAACGACTCCGAATGCCCACCGTTGCAGCTATCCCTGGGATTCAAACCACCATTAAAACAATGGGGGCTCATACAACCAGCATTGTGTACCTAAGGATTGTCATCATCCAAATTGGGTCAACCTTTCTTTTATTGGGGGTTGAACCCTAGGGCTATGTTTCCCCTTACACTGGCTCTCGAAGCGAGCCAGTAAGGGCCCACACCCCAGGTCCCGGTACCACACCCCGAGTTGCTGTCGTTGAGTCCCCAGATTTCTACAGCTACCTTCCATGTCCATTCTGAACCCAGGGATCCGAATCTTTCCAGAAAACCTCCAGAAACTGTTAAACCCGGGGTTTGAAAAGGGATCCGGTTTTTGAAAGGAAGGATGATTGAAAAGAATGGAACAGGAATCAGCCCCTGGAAGATTCCATCAGTTGACGCTTCGAGGGAGCCCTTGCAGACGTGAAGCCCTCGGTCGAAGAGTCCTTTTGCAGGTGGGTGGCATAGCCCCAGTCCTTCGCCAGTCCTGCCAAACGTCCAACCCCCAAGTGGCTGACGTGCGCAGAGGCGGATAGGGACCCGGAAAGATGCAAGGTGAATCTTGTTTTGGGCTCCTGACTCAAAATGGGAACCCAAAAAGGGGGTCATTTCAGGTCGACTCGCTTTTGCTAGTGAGGTGGTAGCAAAAAAAGGCCATCCGTCTTGGAAGTTGACTCACTTGACCCGGCTTGGCCAGAAGAGCAACTCGAGCCATGAGTCCCTATGTCGTGGAAGGACGCTTACGGGTGAGCTAGCGCTTTGCTTACGCGACCCATGCTTTGGCTTGTGCGGCAGTCAGCGAGCATGGCAAGCTTACGCGTTGCTTGCGCGTCGGCGCTATCAGCGTTTCCCCTCAAGAATTACTTATGCGGGCTCTTTTTCTATGCAGCCGCCACTCTGAGAAAGTTGATGTTCTTTTCGGGGTCTTCGCTTTGCGTTCTTGCACTTGGGATTGGCAAACAACTTTCCCTGACTTCGTGTTGCCACCACCGCAAATCAAGGAACAGCTTCTGTGGTATCATAACTCACGCGGGCAAGTGGGCAGCTTTCGCAAACCTCACGTGCCTGCTTGCGCCTGTTTGCGCGCCCTGGACCCTTACCCTTGCTGAACCTGCTGTGCGATAAGCCTTGTCTTGCATTTGCCTTTTCGCCCCCTGGAAAAATATATTATATCCTGTAGTGAAATCGATTCCCTTTAAAACCATGGGCACAAGAACAAAAGCATTCCTTTCAGCAAATGAGACCACACATGGGATTGTCTCAAAATGACGCGGCCCCCCAAATTAGTGATTTTCTTCTTAAGCTTCCATTTGCTTAAGCCCCCTGGAAAAAAATAACATTATTTTCCAGTAGTGATAGATTCCTTGAAAACCAACAAGGGAAAATATAAAATATTCTTAAGCAAATGGAAGTAAGCAAATGGAAGCCTGCTGGTTTGGGGAAATTGCCTGCGGCTAAGCCCCCGGAATCCGGCAACTTGTTTGCAAGCTGTCACGAAGCAGAGCTTACGCATACAAAAGAGCTTATACCGTGCAGGGTTTTGCTTACGGCTGTGGCCTTCCCACGGGAAATGCAGAGAGCTGCTCAGAAGTCCAACCTTTTTGCTCACCATTTAGATGGTGTCTTCCCAAGAATGTTGAAGTCCAGCAACTCTCTCCAGGAGTGACTACAAAAGAGAAGAACAGCTCCCCAAAAAGGACAAAGGAGAGGAAACCACCCCAGAACTTCGGCGGCGTTGCCTCCAAACAAAAACACCCTGGCCCCCTAGCTTCTAGAACCACTCCTTGCCAAGCTTTACAAAGGCTCTACAAGAGGGAGGGACCGGGGGATGAGAAAGATGCTCGAATGTGGAAGCTTCAAAAAAGCCACAGGAGTTGCCTCAATAAACAACAAAATACAAAGTCCATCCTAACTCCATCCTAACTCCATCCGTAAAGGCAGCTCACCCTAGATGTGGGCCCAGGCGATGCTTGAAACCAAACAATTGGAATTTAAATTGTTGAACGTTCAACCCGAAACCCAGGATATAGATATGTTAGATGCGTTCGTGTTAAACATGTTAACAGGAATAAAGGGCAAAGTTACAGTGGAAACTTGGTCCCAAACGTTGACCCATATACTGATTTCGAGGAATCATTCCGCAGATTCGCCGAACAAAGACTGAACTGTTTATCTTCAATGATCCAAACCCAAAAAAGTGAAACTCAGGTCCGTTTCACGAAACCCATAATGGAGTAAGAAGAAAAGGACCCAGAACTCAGGGAGCAAGAAAAGTGGACAGTAACTCCTCACTTCCTGTGTAGATTGGTCAGAAAAGTCTAAACTGTTTGTTTACCACAGAAATGGCCACCAAACCTCGAGTGAGACAAGGGGAATTTTCCACTTCCCACTCCCCGTCGCCCCATTCGACTCCGCCACTCACTTCCTGAGTGGATTGGCCTAAAAAAGTAACCAAACTGTGCTTTGTTTTTACCACTAAGATGGCATACCCGGCCTGCCATAGGCATCCGCTGGGTGTACGGCACCAGCCTCAGCGGCCCATCGCGGCAGCCGATCTCCGAGACCACGAAGTTCGCCACGATGGCCGCCGGGGAGTCCTGGCGTTTGGGACGAGCGAAACGCCGCGAAGCGGCCCATGCTCCTTCGGCAGTCGCCGACCACTTTTGTCTTGGCCTCATAAACTGGCAAACCACAAAACAAGGGGTATCCGGGTACCCCTCAACAAGAGGCCACGACCAAATTATGCACACATTCAAGAGAAGGTGGGAGGTGAGAATTGGCACCCCAGGGGGTTACAAGCTTAGTTGGGCGGTATATACTTGGTTGCTGTTGACCCACCTGCAAAAAGTTTAACTTTTTGGGGGTTTAGTAGAAAACACCATTATTTTCCAAAAAGTTAAAGTCTAAAGATCCAACCCAATAGCAGTCGAGTATACGCATGCGTACCTCTGAGAACCATACCGGGACGTGCCCTTGATTGGTGGCTTCAAATTCGTCACCTTTTGTTCGCCCAAAGGGGTTGGGGTGACGCTAGGGAAATGATTCGGCCCTGACTTCCGGAATCAGGGCTCCCGGAGGTGAAGGGCAAAGATCAGTCCAGGAAATTCACGGCGACGGCGAAATATCAAAGCGACAGGTGCAGTGTCCTGAACATACATCTCCTCCAGCTGCAGATCCACATGTAAGCCTTAGCAAAACAAGGACACCATTAGCCATGTTTCTTCCCTGGCCTGAAACATAAGACTCTTGGAGCCCCCATGTTGGGTTTCAAAAACCCAACATGCAGGGGAGTAAATCCCTAGCTCCATCCAAGAAATAAACTAAAAAAGAAAAGAAACACAAAACAACAACCACCAAAAACGTTTAATCTGATTAAGGAATACTGGGAACCTCTCCTAACGGGCCGAATCTATCGATTCGATCTCTCACGCCGGACCGATGATCCGAGGGCTGCACGCTGGTGTGAGTCCGTGTCGCCCAGCACAAAGTCCCCGCCCCCGCCCACGGCCATGAACTCTGCGCCGAACGCCTCCTGCGATGCGCGGATTTTGAGAACCAAAACCCAGGGACAAACCGGGCCCCTACTGTATGAATAAATTGCTTTCAGGAATTAAAAATACATAATTTTTTGTCTCAAAATGGCGTGGCCCCCCAAAATTATTGTCTTAAGCTTCCATTTGCTTCTTCGCCCCTGGAAGAAATGAGACATATTTCCAGTAGTGAAATCGATTCCCTTTAAAACCAACAAGGGAAAATGTAACATATTCTGAAGCAAATGGAAGCCACTAAACCCAGTGACACCCCCCCAACCATGGGTTTTCTGTATGAATAAACTGGTTGGTTTTGTGACCCGGTTCCTTTAAGATGCCGGGGTGCCAGAGCTCCCTGCGCAAATTTCCGGTAGTTTGCAGGAGGGTAACCTTTGATTTCTGGGTCCCTTTAATTGCTCTTTTTAGGGCACCCCAAATGGCCAAATGGTTGTTTGTGGTTTTCATTTTGCTTGCCTGAAACAACCCGCGAAAAAAAAGGGGCCCCCTCCCCCAGGCGATTCCATGGAAGCTGCCAGAACCTCTTTGGAAGACTTGCTTCCATTTGCAGTGGCTTTTGAAGGTGGGAAAACCACTATTTTGGTAGGTTCCCTGGAAAAAAATAAAGGACACGCATAGCTAAACGGTTCAGAAAGGGGCCGCGGCCGACTTGAGTCAAGCGCGTCGACTCGAAGTCGTCGAAGCGAAGGCGTCTCCTGGAGGACTGGCAACAGCCAGGGTTGGCTCAGGAGCTGGGCCCAGGCCGCGTGGTGCACCATGTGGTGGGAGCTGGAGGCCCCGCCCCAGGAGTACCTGGCGACTTAAAAATGCAAAGGGACCCATTTTTGGTGGGTGGGTCAGTGGGTTGTATTGGGTTGAGTTGAGTAGGGTTGGGTTGGGTTGGGGTGGGTGGGTCGACACTAAAAAGTCAATCCATTTTGAGGAAGCCCAACTTGCACTTCAATTCACTTTCCCAGTTCACCGTCTTGGGTGGGTGGGGCTGGGTGAGGCTGGGTGCGGGTGGGTGGGGAAAAATCCACCACAAGGCTCCAGGAACTGCAGCGGAGATTAAAAGAGTACCAAAAAAGTAGTCAAGAAGAAGCCACAAGGGGGGAAGAACAGGGGACATCCACCAAAAAAAATCTAAGACAAATCCAAACCGGTTTCTAGAACAAAGAGAGCTATCTAACTGTGGCACGGAGGTCCTGTGGGAAATCATGTTTGCAGGCTTCCCAGAAGGAATTTCAGGGGAAATGCCCCCCTTTTTTATGGTTGGTTATTGAAAAGAACGATGGTGGAAAATAAGCACACATGGAATCACCCCCTAGAATCAATCGCTGGTTGCCTACTTCAAGGGTCGCTATCCAAGTCCCTCCCTTTAAAACAAGCACCAAACGGGTACCCCCACAGGGCTAGGTCCTCCAGTAGAGAGGTTAGAATAAGGGTACGTTTTTTTGTAGTCTATTTTAGTAGGGGAACCCTCCCAACCAAAAAAGGGGTGAGAAAGTTGGCACGCTGGGATACAGGGTTTTGACCCACAGCCATATCCTACAAGGGGTGGACCCACAGCAACAAGTGGACGCACAAATCGCATCTCCTCGCCGGCCTCCGTGGGCCCCGGTTGCCCAGGTGCTGGGGGTCTTTCGCCAGCAAGGAAGCCGAGGCGGCCTCGAAGCAGAGCGATTCATTCAGACCAATGGGTAGCAGCCAACCGATTCACTCAAAAACATGAATCGTCTGCATAGGGGAACCCAAAAAACCCAAAACAAAAAAAACACATGGTGAGAAAGGGCACCAATTGCTGGGGGACCTAGCCTTTTAAAACCCACAGGGGAAAATGGAAAGGACTCCTTCCATTTGCGGTTTCGCCCCCTGGAAAGAATGAGCAAACATGTCCGGTAGTGATAGATTCCCTTTAAAAACCAACAGGGCTTTTATAGAAATGATATTCCTAAACAAATGGAAGCCAACGAATCGCCATTCAAAGGGTTGGGTTGCAGGAACAAATCTACAGGAAAACAGCTGATTTAGGCTCACTTCTTGAGTGAACGGCGCACAACAAGTAACACATCTACAGCGAAAAAGCGGATTTAGGCCCACTTCTTCAGTGAATGGGTCCCCAAAAAAGTCCAGGAACTTGCTGTTTACCAAAATGGCCTGCCCAAACGAGTTTTTGAACTGCAGGAACTCAGGAAGTGAGTCGGGTGTTTGGGGACCATTTCCTGTGGATTTTCCTGTCATCATTTGGAGCCGTCTTCCAGGTCCAAATTGGCAGAAATTGGCCTGGCCCTAAAAGTCCAATCGGGGCTTGGAATGCAGAACCCCGGGCCCGGTCAAGCTTCCCACACAACCAAGTGCATCAAAGGGGGGTCAAAAGAACATAGTTTGAGGTCCCCAATTTCTTTTCTTTTTTTAACCTTAGGGAAACGGCATGTTACACTTCCATTTGCTTTTTCGCCCGCCCCCTGGAAAAATATGAGAACATATGATTCCCTCTAAAATCCCACAGGGGTTTTATAAACAAAAATATTCATTTCAGCAAATGGAAGAAACTCGGCTTTCCAGTAAGTGAAATCGACTCCCTTTAAAACCCACAGGTGAAGATGGACAAACAATTGGTAGACCTGGAAGAAGATCTAGATAAACAGATCGTATCAACTCAAGATGCAGTAAAACAAATGTCTAAAAAGTTGTGGATGGATTTTATGAATCAAACACTTATCACTCGGATAGACTAACAGATATGGGTATGTCTCAAAATTAAAGAGCTGGGGTTTCGCGGGTTCTAGTTTTTGGGTCCATTTACCAAGGTGCCCTTTTAGTACTACTTTTTAGAGCCACAGCCATATATACCCAAAACGTCCGGCAGTCCCCAAGCACCAAGCGCCCCTCATCCCCTCCGCACTCCACCGCACCTCGGCGGCCCGCCGCAGCAGCTGCCGCTGCAGCGGCGGCAGGGCGCCCCGCAGCACCGCCCAGCCCTCCCTCCGCAGCTGCGCCGCCGCGTCCGCCGCCGCCTCCGAGGCCTCGGAAGCCGCGGCGAGTGCAGCTAAAATGCTGGTCGAAGCAGGTCATGGAAACAGAAAGGACCTTGAAAAAAGGGAAACAACACCGGCTGGTGCTTGGTACCAAGCTCAAGTTTCCAGATTTGCTTGTTGGTGTGTGGCAAGATGGCCATCCATTTCCTGCAAAACAGTTGCAACAAAGTTATACTCAAAAGTTTAGATTGCCTGTCTCACTCACGGTTCCATCTTCGAACCTCCTTGGAACAGATGAACACGATTTCTTGGCGTCCCATTTTCTGAGACGCAGTAAGCAAATGATGAAGTGAAGCTAATCCAAAAAGTGTTTAATCAAAAGTGAGTTACTGCACGTGTGATCGATTCCTGAAAGCCGGCCAGCTAGCCAGATCAAAACGAGTCGCAATCAAATCATGGTACTAATCGACCTAAGAGTATGCAAATAAAGAATGAAGCGGGCGGCCGCACCTATTTCTAGTTGGGACTGTATCCTGCTACCCCACCTTTGACTCAAATGTCGATAGCTCACATGGAATCCAACAGAAGGGAGTAATCAAGCTTGCGCCTATAGTTTTGTCCATTCAAAACACACCATGATTACCCTCTAAATGCCTAGTGCAAAGATCACTCAAAAGAGGTTTCGAGGAACCCTCAACATGTTACTCTTAGAGACCCAGTGAATCAGTTCATTTCTGAGCTGTCTCCGGCTGTGGATTCGCTGCCATTGCTTGAATCCAGTCGCCTCGCGAATCTTAAAATGCCACAATTGTCAAAGAGTTCCGGTGCATGGGGAACCAGGAACCCCATAATGTCAAAATGGGGGTCTGGGCCTTCCACTGGGGTCCTTACATTACACACCTGAACATTGCCAAAAGTGAATGGTGGTTTCCAACTTGATTTTGGTCTTGAAAAAGCCATGTTTCAGGTTTCCAACTTGACTTTGGTCTTGAGAAAGCCATCCATGTTTCAAATGGTCGCAAAGCAAAACGGCCATTTCTTTTAAGGAGCCCTGGTCCATCGGCGACGGATCCCCCTGCCTTCGTCTCCAGCGTCTCCCTCCGCACCTCCGCCGCCCAGGACAGCGCCGCCGGCGCGCAGAACCGTCCGCCCGCCACCGCCGCCTCGGGGCAGCGGCAAGTCGTGGGGACCGAGTCTGCCGGTTCTGCGCAGAACTTCCAATCGCTTTTTCGCCCCCTGGAAAAAAAACGAAAAAGAGACAGTAGTGATAGATTCCCTCTAAAACCAAGAGGGGTTTTATTTGAACAAAAATCAATTTGCTTCTTCGGCCCCTGGAAAAGACCGCCTAACCGCCAATTAGAGGAAAGGTGACTTCGATTTGATTAAGACCCCCTGGAAAAAAACGAAATATTTGCAGTAGTGATATATTATCTTTGCTTCTTCGCCCTGGAACAAATAAAGATAGTTCCAGTAGTGGCATATTCCCTTTCAAACCAACAGGGGGTTTATTAAAACAAAAAATGTTATTAAGCAAACGGAAGCAGACCAAACCTCCATTTGCTTAAGCCCCCTTGAAAGAAAACAAACAATCCAGTTGTGATGAATCCCCTTTATCACCAACGAGGGAAACTCACACATATTTTGTTCAGCAAATGGAAGCTAACCAAAACCCCCGTTCAAAAGCCCAAACGCCAACAAACAACCAGGAGGCCCACAAGCACGTCTTTGGACCGGCAACTCTTTGGCCTCCTCCGACTCCGCCGATATCTCTGGCAACTCCTCCTCGGAGAGGAGGCAGGGCCCAGCAAGCTCCAGATCATCGGAAGCGGGGATGTGGAAGACCCAGACTCTGCAGGACGGCTCTGCCTGCTTCGTTGGCGCTTGACCCCTCCGCAAAAAGTTGACCCTTCCTCCAACTCACATGGCACTTGTGGGGAGGTACCTGGAAGATGTCCTTTTGAAGGGATTAGTTGGAGGGAGGCCAACTGTTTGTGGGTCAAATGGAAGATCTGACCTGTTTCAACCCAAAAGTCAAAAGTCAAGGATCCAACCAACTAGCCATTAAGCCTGTCGGACTCCCATGTTAATGCTACTTTTCGGGGTTGGAGGTTTCGTTTTGAGGTGTTCATTGCATCTGGGGGGTGGCTTCCCTTGACCATTAGTTGCGTAGATGTCACTTATATGGCTTAACCCTCCACAAGGTGAATGAATGACTTCCCCTCAAACTTGCCCTACAAGGGGAACCCAACAGCTTGACCCATCCGGGCGTCTTGCTTAAGGACCCCCCCCCCGGGAGAAAAAAACAAGAAGTGTGGTTTCCCTTTTGGTCTCTCTTTACCACCAAACCAGGGGTACCCCTCAAAAACGAGGGACCCCTATGTAGGGGGGAGGGGGGACCCCCCACATATACCCTCAAAATAACACGCCCATACCAGGACCCTTGATGCAACCGCATCGGATCGCGAACTCCGCTCCTGGCAGAGGTAGCGGCAGGCCACGCCGCTGTGGGCCCAGTGCCTCGGCATGGGACTCGATCGAGGCTCGAGGCTCCAGGGGGACTCGGAGCCCCAAAGCTCAGCTTATCCAGTACTACAAGCAGGGACCCGTTCAATCACCAAAACTCCTCACTTCCAATCGAGTGGACTGGCCAAAAAACAAGTCTGAAAACTTCAGGATTTCAGGAAGTGAGAACCAACAAGCCACCAAAATGCTAGACTAAAAAATGAGAGTGTATCTTTTTCACGGCTGGAACCCCCGAAATGGTGGTTGGTTCCTTTTAGCTGCCCCTTGCCCCTTAAAGCCACAAACAAGGGACACCCTCAAACAACGCAAGCCCGAGTATGGCTTATCCTCAGCCACCAGAATGAGAGTCTCAGAATGCTAAGAGCCGTTTAATTGCTTGCATTTGCTTAAGCCCTCTGAAAAATATATATAACTATTTCCAGTAGTGATAGATTCCCTTTAAAACCAACAAGGGCAAGCATAAACTATTATTAAGCAAATGGAAGCTTGTGTTGTATTTTCTTGCTCTGCCAGGAGTGCCTTTGACAGCTTCAAAGTGTTGGAGTAAGTCAAGTTTATGGGTGCTAGTTCGGGGGTCTGGATAAAGAAACAGTCCCTTTGAGTCGCGCTTTGGGTGAATTCACAATTCCGGGCTACTTCGCACTGTGGCGAATTTACTTCTGCCGATCCAACTGCCAGCCTTGTTCAACCAAACGGCCTGGAGTTCAGAAGGGTCTGGACAAAGGAGAAAATTGCAGGTCTCGGGAGGAAAACAAGAACGCTGGACAATTGCTCCTGCCCTAAATCCTCCAACCAAACTGAGACAAGGGGGAAGTCCGCGAACTCAGGACGTGAGTCTAATTCTGACCGTTTCAGGAATCGATCCGTCCACGTCGAGCGTCTGCTTCGCCTTTGCAACTTGGGGCTCAGTCAAAGACCGGCCCCAAAGGAAGCAAGGAGACTCCACGCAGCAGTAGCCTCGGAACGCACGCGGCGAGTTGCTCGATTCGGGGTGCGGGTGTGTCTCAAAATTGGGGACCCCATTTCTGGGTGGGTTTTACAAGGAAGCTAGAGGAAACCGGCCATTTTGGGGTTGCCTATTTTGAGACGCGCTGTGTTCTCCCTGGCACCAGAAACTGGAACAGCTCAGGGCTGCCGAACCGCCCAGCGTGAACTCGTTTCAGGGGAGCCGGATCACTGGAGGGAACGCCCTGCCGGAGTTCATTAATCCCAAATCGAACGAACGAATCCAGGTCTCTGAGCACTGAGTGCGCGACCTTTAGGGAGTTTGGGGGTGGCCATCCCAAATCCTGAAATAAGGGATCCCCCAAGTAAAGGACTTACATCATGCTAGACTTGTTTTATCGGTGGAACCACCTATCCAAGGATCATAAGTCAGCAACGGCTGGACAATCACAGGATCCAACTCCTTCCCCTCACCCACTCAAAAATCAGGTTTCCTCCAAAAACAGCCCTAACTTAGGTCTAGATCCTCCAGTCCACCTTTTTTTCTGTAGTCTATTTTAGTGGAACCCTCCCAACCAAAAAAAGTTGGGAGAGAAAGGGCGCCTAGCTGGGGACCTAACTTCGGGCCTTTGGAGACCTAACTTCGGGCCTTTGCAGGAAATCAACCGGGGAACCGCGGTTTAGGGTACCCGAAGACAAGCCCAGCAGCTGTGGGTGAAGACATTGCTCCAGCAGTCCTTCCTCACGGGTGAGGCTTTTGGGAAGCCTGAACCCAACAGGCCCCTGCACCCTCTGGTGCTCGATTCGCCGGGTTAGCAAGTGGTTAGTTAGTAAGTCTTGGTTGACGTTGGGTTTGGGGAGCAACAATTCAAATTTGAGCAGTTAAGTGGTTGGATTTCAACCACTAAGCCACCATGAGCAAAAATGCAAAATGTCTCCCAACGACAACCTTGAAGTTGCTACTAGGTCCCCCAGTAGTGCCCTTTCACCAACTTTAAGACTACAGAAATTACACCAGCGTAGACCCCAGAGAGCACATCACGGCTACGAACCATTATGCAGCATCATAATGGTTCCCGAGGCATCATGATGATGTTGACAGCATCATGCTGATGTTGAAAGCATCATGATGATACCACAGCCGCGCTAAATAGACACGAAGACAGCGTCCTAATGAGTTCAGCAGCAAAAATGATGATGTTGACAGCATCATGCTGATGCACCAGCAACGAACGATTCCGCGCCACATATCTAGCAGAAAAAAGGCAGAGACGACGTCCTGATGAGTTCGACAGCATCATGATGATGCGGACAGCATCACGATCATGCGGACAGCACCACCATGATGCGGACAGCATCATGGTGATGCGAACAGCATCATGGTAATGGTAAAATTGAAAAGGCAGCATCATGATGATACCACAGCCACGAATCTTCTCGCGACAGCGTAATGAAATTCAGCATCATCCTGATGTTGGCAGCAATCATGGCGCCACCACACCCACGAACCATAACGCAGCATCGCAGCATCGCAGTGACAGCAGCATCATGACGCGGGTGACAACATCATGATGACACACCAGCCACGAACCACGCACCATGACAAACGACTGTTAGACTACTAGAGCAGCAAGAACGTCCGAACCGGTTCAACGGCATCATGAAACAGCACCCGCCCTAGCACCCTGCCGTCCATATGCGCCCACACCGTCACCAACACCTCAAGACAGCAGCCCCAACAGCACCCCAACGCAGCACCCGCACCAGCATTGGACAGGTCCCCGAGCACCGAGCACCTTGCCGTCACGTACTGTCACCAGCCCGAACAGCACCTCAAAACTGTACCTGCGCCAGCACCCCAAAGTGCATGCCCCCTAGCTCCAACCGTCGATCTTGCAAAACAATCCCACTTCTTCATTAGAAGTTAGAACCCCGGCAACCCAACGCAGCAGTTGCACCACCACCCCAAACTGCGTCAAGCTCGCAAAACAGCACCAGCACCCCGAACTACATCTGGCACCCGGCCGTCAATCTCGCAAAACAGCACCTCCACCAACACCCGAAACCGCATGCCCCCTAGCACCCGGCCATCACTCTCGCAAAACAGGCAAACACTCTCGCAAAACAGCACCTCCACCAACACCCCAAACTGAATGCCTTTAGCGCCGGCCAACTCTCGCAAAACAGCACCTCCACTAGCACCCCAAACTGCATGCCCCCTAGCACCCGGCCATCACTCTCGCAAAGCAACACCTCCACCAGCACCCACTGCATGCCCCGTAGCGCTCGGCCATCAATCTCGCAAAGCACCTTCACCAGCACGTCACACCTGGCACCCGGCCGTCAATCAGCACCTCCACCATCACTGTCGCAGAACAGCACCTCCACTAGCACCCCAAACTGCATGCCCCCTAGCACCCGGCCATGCAAAACAGCACCTCCACCAACACCCCAAACTGCCTGCCCCCTAGCACCCGGCCATCACTCTCGCAAAACAGCACCTCCACCAACACCCCAAACTGCATGCCCCCTAGCACCCGGCCATCACTCTCGCAAAACAGCACCTCCACCAACACCCCAAACTGCATGCCCCCTAGCGCCCGGCCGTCAAGCTCGCAAAACAGCACCTCCACCAGCACCCCAAACTGCATGCCCCCTAGCACCCTGCCATCACTCTCGCAAAACAGCACCTCCGCCAGCACCGCAAACTGCATGCCACCCGGCCGTCAATCTTGCAAAACAGCACCTCCACCAACACCCCAAACTGCATGCCCCCTAGCACCCGACCATCACTCTCGCAAAACAGCACCTCCACTACTAGCACCCCAAGCTGCATGCCCCCTGGCACCCGGCCGTCAAGCTCGCAAAGCAGCACCTCCACCAGCACCCCAAACTGCATGCCCCCTAGCACCCGGCCCTCAATCTCGCAAATCACTTTTCCTTCTTTATTAGAAGTTAGAACCCCTATAGCTTTCAGCTATCTGGGGAAAAAAAGGGTACCCTTATTCTATCCTCTCTACTGGAGGACCTAGGCTATGGATCTATTTTCAACCACAAAGGTAAAATCTATGCAGAACCGATTTTGGGGACAGCGACGCACTTTCTGAACTGTCAGTGGACTGCTGGCAGGAAACCCATCCCAAATGAACTTGCTTTGATGACTTTCAAAGGGGAACACCGAGCCATGGTTGTTTTGTAGGGGGAGCTAACGTATGCCCGTAACTTTTAGTCAAAACAGAACATGGCATAGAGGCATAACTGAAAAACATATTCATGTGTAGTGTGGCTCCTTTGCAGCGAGTTCCGGGTTACTTTGGCATACCAACTCCAGCAAACGGATTGGATGCGCTTTCTGTGGTTTCCCATGTTGTTTGGCTAGTTGTTCCTCTTTTAATACTCTTTTAGTACTCTTTTGCAATCCTACAAGGGTGGATCCACAAAAACCGCATCCAAACCGTTTCCTAGACCAACAAGAATCCGACGCCAATAAGCCATGCCTGAATTACCCCCTTTCAAATTAGGTTCGCCCCAGTGGTCACAAAACTGGCTTCCTGAGTGGATTGGCCAAAAACGTCTGAACTGTTTATTTACCCCCCCCCCAAAAAAAAAGAAGAAACAAACACCAAAAAGAAAGAAAGAAAAAAAACATGATCAAAGTGCAAAACAGAGCGCACTTTCGAGTGAGACCAGGTGGGTAAGCAAAGTCTGACAATTGGTCACCCTCTGCCGGGCATCCTGCATGGGTCCTCTTGGCATCCAACGTGTTGCGCCGCTGACGCCAGACATCGCAGATCCACCGCAGCTGGCAGCGGTAGGATGGCCATGGCCCCAAGCAAGGCCGCCATGGCGCGCAAGATGCTTGAGTTCCACGGAGTTCTACTAGGTCCCCCAAAAACCTTCCATTTGCTTCTTTGTCGGAACTGAAAAAAGCCTAGAGGGAAAAACAAACGCAGTTTTCCAGTGGTGAAATCGATTCCCTTTGACTTGGTTGCTGTTGACCCCCCCTGCAAAAGGTGTTTAACTTCTTGGGGGTTTAGTGGAAAACACCTTTAGTTCAGCCAAAAAGTTAAAGTCTAAAGATCCAACCCAGTAGCAGTCAAGCCACGGAGTTCTACTAGGTCCTCCAGTAGAGGGGTTAGAATAAGGGTAACTTTTTGCAGTAGTCTAGTTAGGGGAACCCTCCCCAAAAAAGGGGAGAGACGGGCACTACTGGGGGACCTAGTCTACTTGATCAAACGATGTTTACTATCGAAAAGAAGTCAACATACAAAATATTATCCACGGACCTTGTTGTTTGTAAACAGTGGATCTGCCTCGGTTGAAAGCCTTTCTTTGGTGTGGCATGTTCTATGTGTGTTTGACACCATACCATCTTGGACAATGAGTGCCCGAGTCACTCTTTTTGTATATAATTTCCGCTTTTTAACTTTCCTGCGGGGACCCCATTAGACCGCCCCTACGCTCAAAATGAGAAAAGGCGTGTGCAACATAACCCTCGCACCCCCACGTATTCGAAATAGTTTGGATGCTGAATCCACCTCTGGATTCGGCAAATTCTTGTACTTGCCTTGCACTAGGAAACGCACAGGAGCCATGAACTACCAGGCGCGGCAGTGGGCCAGCAAAATGAATTATCCCGAAGAGCGCAACCACGCGCCTGGAGCTTGATTGTGAGGGGAGCCTTCGAGGGGGTTGGTGTCTCTTTGCCTCCCTTTCAATCCATCCAAGCGGCTCCCAATTTTCTGGACCAAACTTTGACACCCTGCAAAAAGTTAAGCCTATTGCTTACCGACAGGAAACATGAAGGTCGGCATACCAGGAAACGGTTCTTAAGTTACAGAGCTACTGCAGGTGTTTTCTTCAACTCCTGGAATGTTGTAGCACAGCGCGTTTCTTCTTAGCAGCTCCCAACTAAAAATGCCAAGAACCCAAACAAGCAGAAACAACAAAGAAAATGAACCCCATATGGGTATGTGCTAAAACCATGCTAAACACGGCATTGATAGCAAAACGGCTGAACCCCCCGAGCCAGTAGAGCGGTTGTTTCCCAAATGTTATGGTTGCACATGGCGGTGGGTCAAAACCAATGGGATCCCATTTTGGGGTAGGTGCACCACCCATTTTAGTCTATTTGAGTGGGCATTGGGATGTTCACTGGGGGTACGATTTGGATTTTGACCCATGGCCACATGTGCGTTCCTTCCACTCCGAGCGCCAACCCCCAAGGCCCGGTGGCTTCTCACGTGGCTCTGCTGTACAAGTGGTCCCCAGTCAGGCATGTTCCCAGATCCCCTGCTGAAAGCTAGCTCTACTTGGTTGACTTTGGAAGGGGAGCAAAAAATCTCAAATTTTAGCAGTTAAGCGGTTGGAGTTCCCTCTAAACCACAATAAGCAAAAATGGAGAACATGTTTCCCAACAACAACCATGCAAAGCCAGGCAAAAAAAAAGGTGAACAAAGCGGCTGCACCCATGGCCCGGGTTTCCCCTGGTTGTACAATACTTGGGGAATACTTTGGGTAGCACTGTATGTATATTGTTCTATATATGTATGCTACCCTCCCATTTGCGCCCGGTTTTGCTTGCGACTCAAACGGCTGTGGCTCAAAAACATGTACCAAACTAGCAAATAAGTGCCTCACCAGAGGCTGAAACCCGCGTTTCAGCCTGGCTCTTTCATTGTGGTTGCCACACCCAAATTTGCGACAGCGGCCTGGCGAAAGCGGCGAAAGCGGCGAATGCGAAGGCGACAGCGGCGCGTGGCGCGGTTCGCGGCGCCGCTTTTCTCCGGCGCTTTCGCCCAGCGAGGAGGCCAGGAAGGTCTCGGCGATGGAGGTGGCTGCGGAGGTCATGAGGAGACCTCGCGTGGAGCAAACCCTCGGGAGGGAGGGGGGGGAGGGGAGGGGGAGGGGGCAACTGGGGTAAGGATTGCAACTGGGGTAAGTACAAATCACCTTGACGGAAACCCCTGGCAGCTGGGCGAAAAGTAAGAAACTGTGAGTGGGCGAAATAGAAACCCAAGCCCTAAACCAATTAAAAACCTCCCTCCGTTTGCTTCTTCGCCCCCTGGAAAAAATGTCCAGTCGGGCTAAGTCAGCTACCCTAGTGGTCAAGGGAAGCCAGCCCAAGCAGTACTTCCATTTGCTTTTTCGCCCCCTGGGAAAAAATATATGTCCAGTAGTGAAATCGATTCCCTTTAAAACCAACAGGGGGAAAACAACAATAATAATACAAGCACACATCTTAACCAAATGGAAGCCTGGGGCTTGGGGGATGCAGCTCAGCCGCTTAAAGGGATGCCTTGATCTTCATGGTTGCTCGGTCGAGAAAAAAACAGAAGTGGACTGCATGAAAAAGACAGCTCGGCCACTTAAAGGAATGCGGCATGCCCGGATCCTCATTGGCTCAAGGTTGGTCGTTGGGTTGGTTGGCAGGCTGGCTGGTGCGTGGTCACCACTTGGGGCATATGCCCCGATACCTCCCACCTTCAGAAGTAAGGGAACCAAATATGAGCTCGTTTTACAGCGAGCTGACTCAAGGAACTATAACAATTGTGGTTGCTGTTTAGCACCCAGTTTGCTGAACGCACGTGCTTCAGGATGTGCATTCGGGCTTTGGAACAGTGACAAAACATGTGAAGAGTTACTGGGAGAAGCCAGGAGGGGAAACCAAAAACAGAAACAGACGGCGCGAAATAATTCTCCCCATAACTATCCAGTGTTCATGGCTCAATTTTGTTGAAGTGCCCCCACACCCCATTCTATTTATTTGGTAGACCAATATTTTTTGTGACCCTCAATGGGTTCTAGCAAGTGGGTAGCAGTAGGAGATCGAAACATGATGGTGCTTTGGTGCAAGTTGTAGCCCCTTTTTAATCCCCCCCCTCCAGCCATTCTCCCGTACCTTAAGGGACCTCTCGGCGCATATGCTTCATGCTGGTTACCATTCCCTTTTGTTTGCTTCCAGGGTCCTTACCCTCACCTATCGCACTAGCAAGTCTTCGGGTTCCCTGACTGACTCTCCATGTTTCACCTTGCTGATTAACACACCTCCACCGAATATCTGCAAATCCTCCCAACACACACCTAGGTTCTCCAGTAGAGAGGTTAGATTAAGGGTCCCCTTTTTTTTCTGTTGTGTATTTTAGGGGAACCCTCCAAACCAAAAAAGGTGAGAAAGGGCACCAAGCTGGGGGACCTAGACACAGCCCGAAACGCGCCCAACCCGCTTTTCGCGCAGGTCCGAGGCGCTGTCGGTGTAGGAGCCCATGGCGTGGGCGAACCTTGGCTGGACTTAGGACCCCAGCCAAAAAAAGAAGAAGCCTGTTTTTTGCCTGAGTACAAAACTAGGCTGGAATTAGGACCCCAGCAAAAAATAATCTTTTTTGCCCGGTGAGTGGAAAACAAAGCGCCCCCCCCCCCCAAAAAAAAAGCAACAAGGGGAGCTAATTCTGGGGAAGAAAGCAAAACAGATCCCAAAAAAGCGGAGACAACATATGGCAAAAAAAAACGGGTATCCTTACACCCGAACAAATTCTGGGGCGGGAACATGGTGCTGGCCGCCGAGCAGATCTGCGGCTCCACCGGGTTCTCCGGCACCGCGCCGTGCAGCTCCGGGCACCTGGGGCTGAGAGGATTCGGCCCCCACCGCCCCAACCAAAAAAAAGAAAAAACACGAAAAAACACACACGGGGGTTTAAGCCGGTGTCCTAATCTGCCCCCCCCCCCCCCCAAAAAAAAAAAAGAGAGAAAAGAAAAACACATACACCAAAAGAAGGGGGGGCTCTAATGCTTAACATATATATCTATATATGTGCGCATTATACGCACAATGAGGCCTATACTCAACTTCCCTGTGATCGGTGGTTTGGGGTCTTCCGGGGTGGTCTCCCACGCAAACCCTCTACAAGAACGGACCCATTCAAACCCAAATCCAAACCTTCCATTTGGTTAAGACCCCTGGATTTGTTTTTTTAAGAATAAGTGGCATACAACCTCCCCAAAACCTTGAAGTCCCATAATCAAAAGCAAAGCGGCGCTTCCAGCACCGCACGCACCAGCGCGCTGGTGAGCGCGTCCTCACTCTTGACCTCCACGGGGATGTTCAGGGGGGCACTTCCTCCGTTGGCCAGGAGAGACCGCAATCATAGGGACGACCGTTATGAGCAAATTCCCAAAGTCAACTACCACTACCCTAAGGGTCATGACCTCTCCAATGCACACCCTCGGACCTTTAAAAGAACCAGTTTTGAGGGCCCAAAAACAATCAAGACCCTCAGGGTACTAAAAAACATGGCCACTGGGGGCAGACTTGGAAGAAGGCAGTCTTCCAAACCCTCCTGTGAGCTTCCATGCACGGGGGCTCATTGGGCTCATTCTGCTCGACCCCCCAGCTTGCCTTTTGGCCCATGAACCAAATGGCTAAATGGCCATGGGTCAAAATCCCGTACCCCCAGTGACTTCCCCAATCCGCACTAACATAGACTAAAATGGGTGGTGCACCTGCCCCATTGGTGTTGACATGTGTTGACCCACGGCCAAATGGCTAAATGGAGGTCAACTTCGGAAAAACTGGGCATTAAAAAAGACAAAGGAACAACTAGCAAAACGAACAGTGCGGCTCGCTTCCCGAGCGGATGGGCCTAATAAAGCCAACTTTCCGAGTGCCGCTAACATGGCAACCAAACCCAAAAAGGTATTCAGTTGTTCAGACGGAACTCAGGAAGTGAGTCTGACCGAAACAGGACACCGGTACTGGCATGATATGTTTAGGGTAAACCCCTGTACACTTCGGCAGACCCCATCTAGTTCTAGCCTAAACAGATCATTTCAGTGGCACTCTCTGGAAGTGATACTGTGGATGGACGAAATCCATTTCGCACCACCTAAGAAACCCTGGCGTGATGAATCCCCTGTAAATACCAATGAACAAATGGTTTCAACCATGGGTTCCTAGTGGTGCGAAATGGATTTCGCAACCATCCACAGCAGGGCTGTGGGGAATGGAACCCACTTCTGTGATACAACAGAAAGGTCTTCCCAAAGACCATTCTGTTCATAGAAAGGGGGATTTTCCTTGTATCAGAGAAGTGGTTGGAGAAACCCCGAGCGATCAACCACAACCCCGATCCACAGCATCGTGTGCTTACAGATCTCATCCCTCCGGAACGGCGCCCTGCCACCAGCCGGAAGAACCCGCTGGACCAAAACTCGCAACTTTGCGAGCTAAGGACCCAGGCGTTTTCCCGGCGATTTTTTGGGGGGCCGTGAAAAATGGAGGTCCGACAAAAACAGAAAACACGTTTCGAAGAAGCACGGTGCGTTTTTTTCGCCCCTGGGCATGGGAAAGGATGTCGCAGTAGTAAAGCCGGGCAAGATGAAACACATCTATGTCCACCAGTTAGAGAGGCCAGAAGAAGGGTAGCATGTTTTCTGTAGTCTATTTTAGCGGAACCCTTTGCTGTAGGCGATTTTCGTAGTGCACTACTTGCCCCCCCGGCCCAATTTCGGACGCCGAGCTGCGCACCAACTCTTCCAGGCTCGTGGCGAACTGCGCAGACTCCGCCGCGGCGGTCCACTCCTCGGGGCGCCGGCGCCAAGTGAGTGGCGGCGCTGGTTATGTCGGGGCAACTCGCTTCTTGAGTGGACTGGCGAACAAAAATGCTCGAAACTTTACATGGCGAAATTGGACTGACTTCTTCAGTGGACTGACTTCTTCAGTGGACTGGCCAAAAAAAAAGGTCCAAGCCCTATTATTTGCCACTAAAATGCTCTTCCCAAAGAGTCTAAAGTCCAGGAACTCAGGAAGCGAGATACGCTTGTTATGTTGGTGTAAAAGGGGCCAACATGAAAATCATGTTGGAGGCCTCCTGATGTGGGTGGACGAAATTCTGCACCACCTACATGATGATTCCCCTGTAAATGACAGCAAACAATGGTTTCTAATGGTTTCAAAGTGGTGCAGGATGTCGTCCATCCACAGTATTTGCTCGTTACTTGCCGGACACATCTCGAGTTATATCAGTCGCTCATCTGGTGCTCTTTGTGCAGCGAGCGAACTTCCCAAACGTTCTTATAGCAAACAATTCGTTGTTAACATGCAGGCACCCCACCAAACAAAATGAACGAGCCGAGACAACTTAGCTGGCAAAAACCACGTGCCAAAAACTGGTGAAGCCGAGGCTCCGGATTCGTGGTCTTTGGCCCCTCCTCCCCTCCGCCCGTGGGTATCACCATCTCGGGGCTTTGCGGCACCAAAGGCGCTCGCGCGAAGGGCGCGCGCGGCGGCGGCGACTGCGGGTCCGGGGCCGTGAGCGGCGGCGTGCGCGGCGCCGCGCGGTTCGCCGCGGCGCTCGTCGTGCGCGGCGGTGTGGCGGGGGCAGCCAGGAGCGACTCCGGCGGCACGCCCAAAGTCTTGCCCACCTGCGGGTCGTAGTATGTGTGAAAATGGGGTGGGGTGGGGGGGGGACCCAAGACACAGGTGGTTCGAAAGCGCCAAAAAGGGGAAACCCTCAAACAAGTAGACAAAAGGACATTCATGGCGTGCACAAATTGAGGTAATTCAATTGTCTTTGTGGACAATGACGTCTATGATACTGCAGCGGCCATTTCCATGACAGGCTTATCACTTCAGAAACGCTGTTTGTTTCTTTTCGGACAAAGGAAAGTGGCGTTGTTAGCAAAGCTTCGAATTTTGGAAGTGGTGCCACTTCTGGTCGAACAGGGCTGCTTCAGGCCCTGCAACAGGGCTGCTTCAGGCCCTGCAACACCTTCGAAAAGAGGGAGGAAGCCAAACCAAATTTCCATGGTTAGTAAATGGCACCTTTCCCCTCGTGGTAGATTGGATGACGGAACTGGCTTCCATTTGCTTAAGCCCCCTGGGAAAAAATAAAACAATATTTCCAGTAGTGATAGATTCCCTCTAACAAACCAACAGGGGAACATTACAAAACATATTCTTAAGCAGATGGATGCTGGGAATTGACTTCACCCCTGTGAGTTTGTCTTCCCTTCAACGCTCCGAGCCCGGGGAGCCTTTGAGGTGGTTTCGCTGGTGGACATCGAGTCACCATCCCTCATCCTTTTGGCCCCAAGACTTGCTGACGCTCAGCATGGAATGAGGGAATGACTCCTAACAATCTGTTGGGGCTTGCGAAGAGGCTAGAGAAGGGCATCCTTTTGCTTTCTGCAGTCTATTTTAGCCCTCCCCCAAACAAGAAACGGCAAAAGGGCAGCTAGCTGGGGGACCTAGGAGGGAATGCCAGCACCTGGAAGGGTTATTCCCCGCCTACCGGCAAGAAAAGCCAGAAGCTGTGAGGCATGGGCCTTCGCCATCAACAGAGGTGTGGAATGAGTAACGCCGCGAGTGCCTCCCAAAAAGCACACCTGAAAAGGCCCCTTAGGAGGAAAACCTGGAAGACGCATGGCGAGGGCGGAAGGGCTTGAAGGGGGCGTGGGCTTGCAAACTCGCAAGCCGGTTTGTTCAGCGCCCTTTTTTCATCTCCCCCTTCATCCCTCTACCTCAAGGAAGAAGAACGCTGTTGTGACAATGGGAAAAGCCAGAACAGTGAAACGGAATCCCGGGGCTGGTTGCATCTGTTTTTGCACCAGGGTTTGTTTGCTGACCCATCTTGTAAACCAGTAGTGTAGAGTGTTGTCGCTTGTTTTGTTTTTGTTTTTTTTGGGGGGGGGCCTTCATGTTCCACACAACGCCCAGCTGTCCAGTGACCCTAGTAGAAACAGCATTAAGCTCTCGTGGGGCCGACTGCTTCTGACCAGCCAAAAGGGTTCTGAATGATGCCGCGCTTGAAGAAAAAAACAAGAGAGGGTTGCCCCAAAAGACACACAACAGAGACTCCCCGGAAACAAGTACACAAACACATGCAAACACACTCACACACGCACAGAACACACCAAAGAAACGGGAACAAGCTCTTGCCCACCCCCACCACTCCCTTGCCTCGTGGGCGACTCCCACCTCCTCCGCCTGTGGGTGGGAATTACAAGGGCTAAAATGAACGAGGGATCTACTGTGCCTATTGTTCTGGTATAGGTGTTTATGTTTTTTGTTTGCTTGTCGTTTTGCTGTTGTTGATTGTTTTTTTGTTTTGTTTTTTTGCGGGGAAGCCCTTGAAACTCAACTAAGTAACTAACTAACATGAAACATGGGATCTACCTTCAAGAAACCCGGTCACTCCCTGAGTCCCGTCCTCAAGCATCTCGGCAAATTTGCGGTCACAAAGGGCCGGCTCGTCGTTTATGGGGGGGCCAACGAAAATGATGGTCTTCCTCTTGGCTTCCCGTAGAAGCAACCCTAAGTAGGGTATCCTCAAAAAAGGCACCCCCAAATAAGGAATGCCCGGCCCAACTAAGGGAATTTCATGCGTGAGCTCGTTACCAGCAAACCGATTGTTCAGCCCCCGGAAAAAGAGAAAGATTGGATGTGCACTGGTCGACACCGGCAAAAAAACAACAAACAACTACAACCGGTTCCTTGTAAAGTTGACCCCCAAGTAATCAACCACACTATATGAATTTGGGGGAGTTCGGAATCATCACTTTTGGAGCGGCCCCGACCTCCCTATTGATAAACTGGGGTGGGTTCATGTACGGGGTCAACATTACCTCCCAATTTGCTGGTTATCTTGCAACAGCTCGATCTGGTGGCTCCCTCAATCAACTGAGCCCAAAAGAAAGGGCCGAGTTGGTTTCAGCCCCAAAAGCCAAACCCGAACTGTTGACTTCGACTGTTGGACGAAAATCCAATTCGCACCACCGTCTCGAAATCTGAAATGATTCGACCCCCCCTAAATACCAACGCAGAATGCTTTCAATCATTAACACCACATTAAAGCTCACCTGAAACCGACCCGAACCCGGTCTAACCCGCCTGAAACCGACCCTATCACCACCTTAAAAACCAACCTGAAACAGACCCTACTGTGGATGGACGAAATCCTGCACTGCACGCACCACTTTGCAACCACCGCAAACCATTGTTGGTTGGTATTTACAGGGGAATCGTCAGGTTGAGTAGGTGGTGCGCACGGATTTTGTCCACAGCATCACCACCTGAAAACCCACCTGAAACAGACCCCAGCCCCCGCCCCGGCGCCAACTTGGCGCCCCAATTTGGCGCCTCGGTGTCCTCCTCCGTATCCTCCGCGTCCGCGTCACCGGCCTCACCGGCGTCACCGGCGTCACCGGCCGCGTGGCCCGTCTCCAGCTGGCGCTCCAGGCGCGCCACGCGCAGCGCCTCGAAGGAGACCTGGGCCTCCAAGGCGTCCAAGGCGTCCAAGGCCTCCAAGGCCTCCAAGGTCTCCCCCACCGACCTCGTCCCCAAAAACTAGGCTGGAATTAGGACCCCAGCAAAAAAGTATTTTTGTTGCTGGGTATTGGAAGCAAACAAATAAAAAGGGGAACTAATTCTGGGGAAGAAAAAACGTCGTCGAGTCGAGTCGTTTTTGCTTGGCTCGAAACCCTAGGAGCCCAGGACCTCATATATGAAGGTCTCAGCCAAAGCCTCTAATTTCAGGGTCTCGGGGTCGGGACCTTAAAATATAGGGTCTCAGAAAATTGGGAAGAGTTGACAGCGGCATGCCCCACGAGGACGTGTTGTTTTTTTCTTTTTTTTTCGTCGTGGCTTTGTCAGGCCCAAATGTCGCAGACAACTGTGATCAGGCAGCCCGTACATGAAGATCTCGAATGGACTTAATCCTAGGAACCACTGACACATTGTATTGCACACAAGCAAGCTATGCAGTTCATGCAAGTTTGCACTAGGTTCAGCTCTGTGCAATTGTCCTCGCACCTGTTCAGGCATTGTGTTGGAATGTTATGATCTGAGTTACGTGGCTTAAGGCATTTTAACTCGTTTTAACGCATTTTAACTCGTTTTAACGTGTTTTAACGCGTTTTAACGCGATTTAACTCGAGGCCCTCGTTATATTAGGCCTCGGGGGGGTCATTTTAACGCATTTAACGCGCTTTAATTTTGGCCTGCGCTCCTATCGAAAAGCCATTCTTCAGCCCAGGAAATGTTGTTGTCTTCGTTTTTGCTTTGGCTGGCATCGAATCAGTGTTGCAGTGGGAAACTTGTCTGGAAAGTGGTTTAGTGTCAAGCCTGGCTGTCTTCATGGGGAAAAGTACAAAGTCTGGTTTGCCAATCTTGCGGTTTTGCATGATCAACAAATACTCATATCTCATTCTTTGCTCTGAACACAGGCAGGGAGAGGGCACCTGACCTACCAGTGGATCCCTCAACCTGAGGCCTTTATATTCAGGCCTTGGCCTTCTCTGAGCTATCTAATTCCGAGACCTTATTTTTCAAGGTCTTGTCTAGAGGTGCCTCCCAGCGCAGGTCTCGAACAGAAAGCCTTCATATATGAGGTCTTGGGGCTCCTAGGGAAAGGCCTCGAGCCAAAAACGGATGATATTTTTTTCGAGCCGAGTCGAAAAAAGAAAAAAGAGACAAACAAAACGCGGGAAAAGATGGAGTGGAGTCGATTTTTGTTTGGGTCGAAACGGGTCAGAAAAAAGGTGATATTGTTCGAGTCAAATCGAAACCAAAAAAACAAGTGGAAACACAAAACAACGGGACGACACGTGGCGGCAAACACCTCTAAGGGACGGTTTTCGAGTCGAGTCGAGTCGAACATGTTCGAGTCGAAACGGGCGAGAAACAACAAACTGACTCGATGTTCGAGTCGAGCCGAAACTCGATTTCGGTTGGGGTGCCCAAATGACCCAGAAATGAAAGTTAAACCGTTTGGGGAGACAAACAGTTCTGCCAAAAAGTTTTGTAGCTGAAAGGTCAGCTCCAGCCGATTCACTTGCAATGATTCTAACAGCCTCTAGGATACCCTCCGATCCACTAGCATGGAACTTGGAAGTTGACAGAGGGCCGCTAAAATTGCCCCTCTGGTGGGTGCCATGTTAGTGGACAGGAGGGTACCACTTTTGGGCTCGGTCAAACAAACGGAAACCACCCGTTTGGATTGTAGCCATCAGCACTCATGACTCATGACCATTTTGAGGCTCCGTGTGGCTCTCGAAGTCAATGCAACCGAGGGACTCTTCGGGAGCCTCAGCCATCTCCTCGTTTTCGGCCTCCTAGAGAGCGCAACAAAAACGGGAGTCACGAATTGAGAGATGAACTGCCCAGGGAACAAAACAAATGGCACTCTGGTGGATCTATTTTCGAGGTCACCAAGGGCTTGCCACCTGATGCAAAAGCCAAAAAACACGGATCGAAGGGTTACCGACTATAAGAGTTTGCAACTGGGACACTGGTAGTTGATCCTAAAGCGAAATCCCTGTACGAAAAAGCAGGCATTCCGTATCAAATCTGTTTTGGCATCTTTCGGAGGGAAGAGAATCGAATTCAGCTCACGTCCTCGTGATCCTGCTTTACCATCTCCTCATCGCTCTTGTCTAAGCCCAGGTCTTCCTGCGCTTCGACAGTTTTTGCAGCCCCGTTCGATTCTAGCATTTCGCCCATGACTCGGAATGTACCTGATGCCCAATTCGATCGAGTGGATTGGCAAAAAAAAACAAGTTGCCCAAAGGACTCAGGAATCAAAGGTTCACCTTTTGGGGCCATGACTTAAAATGGGAACCCAAACAGGGTCAAAAGGTGTTCTTTGGACAAGCAAGCAACAAGTGACATAAGTTATAATAAACCAAAGGGAGTTCATACCAATGTCTTCGATTGGCGACGACTAAATTCCAAGGATATCACACGAAATGGACTTCCATTTCAAAACCCACAAGCGCCCATTCTGGATTTACGCTAAACTTTATGGTTGCTTGTGTTTTCTGGACAATGTATTTCCAGTAGTGAAAGATTCCGTAGGGAACAAATATTCATATAAGCAAATGAATATGTCGCTTCGGCCATCCTCGTCACTGCAGGGCGCTTCCGCCTGGCGATGCCTTCTCCCCACTCCCCAGTCGAATCGTCGAATCGGAGGCCTGGAAGGACCACTCCTGCGGCTCCACTGGTGCTGCCAAGTCCATCTCCTCCTGACCCCCAACACCCAAGACCCGGGTAATTATGATGCCAAGCCTCTACTGACAAAGGGGGAGTGTTTGCCCTGAAAAACAAGGGTTGTCCTTGAAAACACCCCGGCAAGGGGGGGGGGGGCGGGTGCCCATTCCCCAAAGAACGACTAAAGTCCCGAAGTGGAACGCAGGGAGTGAGAAAAGGAACTCCATCCTTTTGCTCTGCCTATGACACATGCCCACATGTTTGGGCCAAGACCTTCTTTCCCAGCTGAAGCGTGGCTCTGGGCCGTTTGGGCTGTTCCGGGGTTGGGGATACCTGGGTAACATGTTGACCTCAAAACCTAAGGGCACGTCTGGGAACTGCCAGGTTGTTCACACCAACTCTGAAAAGCCAGCCCTGCTCCTCCGGCACTGCGGCGAACAAAAACTCCGCCGCCACCTGCGCGCGTGAGACACACGCGCGGCCAATGGGCAGTTGGAAGCACAATGCGTCTCCAAATGTGGTACAGTTTCCTTCTGTCTGGTAAAGTTCTCGAAAGGGGCGAGTTGGCTCCTTCCAGGTGTGGTTCTCAATGAATCCTGCACCAAGAGTTGCTGAAAACTTCGGAGCGCTCAAAGGAATCAGATATCTTCCGCCCAAAAGAATCCCCAAAAAAGGACGAGCGCCCGGAATTCTTCAGAGTAACCTCTGTTCTCAAGGCGTGTTCAAAAAAAAAAAGAACCCGCTGGGGGTGGACGACATCCGTCCGCACCTAAGAAACTTTGGAATGACTCGATGCCCCTGTAAATACCAACCCACAAGGTCGTTTCAATTTGGGTATGGGTCAAATTAAAGCACCAGGGGACTGCAGGTTTTAGTCATTGGTTCCATTTACTGGGGTTCCAAAATGGATACCCATTTTTGACTCACAGCCAAGTAAGGACTTCCAAGTGGCGAAGGTGGCAACAACCTTTTCAACTGGTGCTTCCCATTCGGAGGCATCCAAGGTCCCCCATGATTTGTGTGGACGCTTGTGGCCCTTTCAAGACTCTGGTCTTAACGCCCCCTTGTCAGCTTCCAGCCATGGGAGGGAGTGTTCAAAGTTAGCCCCATCTCCCTGTCGGCAAAAGGAAGCGTCTGTGCCTCGTTTGTTAGCCCCATCTCCCTTGGGGAAAAAAGAAGTGTCTTGCCTCTTTTTTTTGGGGTTTGAAACTTTGAATGAGCATTCTAGTGTTGTGTTTTGTCATCGTGTTGTTCATGCAGCCGTTTTCTGAGGGTGTCTAATTGTTTCGAAAAGATTCCCTGGCAAAAAAAAAGCCAAGTTGCCCCTAGAAGCTTCAGTCTGTTTGCCTTAAGGATTGAAGGGCTTTACTCCTCAGATTCAAACTTACCTCTTTAGCCACAGAAAATCCGCGGCCTGCTGTTGTTGCTGGTGCCACCATTCCTCCTCAGGCAAGGGCAGAAGGCGCATCTAAGTGGGAATTTTGAGGGCCCCTGGATATACAAATACAAATGCCCTGTCATGACCACTCCAATGCATACCACCGGACCTTCCAATCGAGAACTCCGACCCCTCAGCGGCCCTTGAGAAGAACCAGCTTTGAGGGCCCAAAAAACCATCGAGACCCTTAGGGTATATAAGTAAATATGCCGCCTGTACATGAATATTTTTTCTCTTGCTGAGCGGGTCGGCAATTTGCTTGCACTAGTGCTTCCCACGTGTAAAGTTCATGGAACTCGGGGAGTGAGTTGTCCAGCTCCCCGCCAAGGGAAACCGATGAAATTCGAGGGCTGGGATGCGAAAAACTGCGCATCCTGTGCATCAATTTTTCGGTGGCGTTGTTTCGGGCCTTAGGGTTTAGGGTCCGGCCAGAAGAGAATACATTCGAAATCCACCTGCTTTATACCAGAAATCCCTTTTGATCAACGATGAGTAATACTCTTCCGGCTAGTCCCCATGTATCCTTTACGGGACCATGCATAGACTTTTAAGGGTTCCCAACACCTAGGCGGATCTAAAGAGCTGGCCCCACCTTAACGTGCGTTGAACTTCAAACGGGAGGCAAACTCAACCAACGCAAGAAAAATGAACAACCTTGGATGCATCAAATTGATCTGGGCCTGCGATCAAAGCTTGATGTTTGACAGCGATCATGTGCACAACAAACCGCTTGATGGATCTTCACTGGCGTCTGCTGCAATGGGCGAGACGCCTGATTACCTTGCTCACTGAGCCCAAACCCCTGAACATGACAGCTTGCCCATATTTTTTAGAAGTTTCTATACGTATTTCTGACTTCTTTCAGTTTAGCATTCATCAAGCATTGACATTGTTTGGCAATCGCGCAGCTGCAGTTGTTCAATATATTTTGGTGCAACCTCTCCTGCAGCGCATCTTCCGTCTCTGGGTGGCTGATGGGCTCCTGCCGACACGGAAACCTCCAATTGCTGAAGTCGTCCCCAGATAGGAGTGAGAAGCATGTTTTCCAGTAGTGAAGCCCCTTGAACACCAGAAGCTATCAAAACCTAATGTTGCCCCCATATTATTCAACCCCAGTTTACTAATAGGGGGTGTCCATGAGTTTAATGGGGAATCATCACGAGAATCACGAGGGCCCGCACCCCCCTATTAATAAACTGGGGTTGACTAATCTGGATTTGTTCATTTCAGAAAATGCAAGAAAATGTCCCCCCCCCCCCGTTCAAAAGGCCGCCAGCTTGGCCAAAATCACCAATCGCTGCCCTGGCCTTCATGTTCCAAAAGATCGGAGAGCGGTATCCTGTTTTCGCGCTTCCAATCGAGCGGGTGGGCCAAAACACGTCCACAAATTGACTCAAGTCCAGGAACTCAGGGAGTGAGAAAACAAAACACCAAGGAACCCCAAAAGCGCCCAAAAGTGGGAAACCATGCGGTCTGGGCGGTCTGGGCGGTCTGCCTTGTTTTGTTTGATACCTTTGAAACTGGGCGCTTCGTCTGCCCTCGCCCGGGACAAAGCCGCCTCCGTCGCCTCCGGCGCCAGCCGCGCCCATTTCCGGCGCGGCGGCGGCACCACGCCTCGGTTGCTTTCTGCTCCCCTACTAAGAGTCTAACTTTTAGTGGTTCAATGGAAAACCCATGAGTTGGCAAAAAGTTAAAGTCCTAACATCCCTTGGCAACATGCGACAAAGACGCGCGGCGCCGGGCGCTTGCGCTCGAACTTCACGGGGAGCTCGGCGCCGGCGTCCGCGTCGACAAACGCCGCGTCGACGGACGCCGCCGCGCTCGTGGCGGCCTGCGGGTTTATGGGAAGGGAAGCGTGCGAGTGTCCTCTGTGAGAATGTGGATCCCAAATTATTCAACCTCACCTGGAGCGCCAGCTGCTGCTTTTTTCCATGCACTTTACCCCAAAACCAGCAAGAGTGACTGAACAAAGAAGCAACTTGGCTATCTAAGAAGGTTATTAAATAGGGAGGATTGTCTTGGTGAAATGTGGGGATTCATCACTTTTGCAGGGCAACACGCCCATATTTGTAAACTGGGGTTTATTAATCCGGGGTCAACGTTTATGAGCCAATCGAGTTTAATCAATCCAGCGGAATTGTCTTTCCGCCCTTAGTTGAGCATTCCCGAACCCACCCATTAGGGGCCAGGTGAGAAGTTGCACAAGTTACGTTATTGCAGTCTTGCCCCCCAAGCTTGCCAATGGTGCTTTTCTAAATGAGTTTTAACAGGCTGTCTATTAGCGAGCTTCCCCCTCATTGGCGGCTTTGGGCTGGTTTCCATTTGCCTTCTTCAAGAACGGGTGCAAACCCCCAAGCCACGAATCCAAAGCACCAACTAGAGTTAGGCCAAACACGTCAAAATGTGTGTGAAATTTAACTATAGAGACCTTTTGGTGGACATCATTTACATTGGTATTCAGGTCCATCAGTAAGGTTCGAGAGGTTTCCTTCAAAATTACAACCAGCGGACCCATTTATCCATATAGTAGGTAGTGACTGGGATCGAAGCTGGGATCGTAACTAGGTAACCTTGCCAGCCGGGGGAGGAACAAACAAAACGAAACAAAACATGAAGAATAGCTGGTGGGCTACCTCGGTTGCTTTCTGCTCCCCCGCGAAAAGTTTCACTTTCAGTGGCTTAATGGTAAACCGAGTAGTTGGCAAAAAGTTAAAAGTCCTAACATCCAAGCAAAATGCACCAAATCTACCATGGGGCTTGCAAACTGAGATCCTTTGAATACAGAAAGAAGCATCTAGCCTCGCCTTGGGCGTGGCCACGCGCAAAGACTCCTCCGCCCAGAGTCGGGCCTCGCTGGGCACGGTGGGCGAAGCCCCCCGAACCAAGGGCGTGTCTCCAAATCCGAATGAACCCGCCCAATTTGAGTGGTTTCCGCTTGGTGGCCAAACTAACACCAACAAGAAGGGTGACAATTCAAGAAAACGTGCGGATCCTTTCAGTGCAGATATGCTACAGCGATATTAATCCTCACAGGCATTAGTGATGCAAAAGATGCATTAGCTGAGATTTGAGTCGATTCCCCTGTAATTTCTAACCAATGGTTTCGCATGGTTTCCAGGTGCGAAATGGTTTTCGTCCACAGTACCACACCTATTGGCCGAAAATATGGAGAGGGTTTTGGGGGGTATGCTCACTTGCCCGGCTTGGACCTGGAAATGCAAGGTGATCACCAGTTGGGGTTTCTCGACTACTCTCATTTGCCTCTTCGCCCCCTGGAAAAAAGAGAAACAATCCAGTAGTGAATTCGATTCCCGTTAAAACCAAGAGGGAAATATACAAACATATTCATCAGCAAATGGAACACTGTGGGCCAAATTGCCGAAACCAAACAGCAGATCCGGTCGCCGGTCGACTCGCTTTGGGCCGAGCTGAGACGACCTAAAGTCTTGGCCTCCCACGTCTTTGGAGCCGCGAGTTGGCGGCTGGCCCTTTTCCCATTCGTTGGCTTTCTCGTCGCCAAACAAAAAATAATAATAATGTCCAACCCTGAGGGTCTCGATGGCTTTTTGCTGCCCTCAAAACTGGTTGAGGAATTGGTCGGGTTTCTCTATTGGGTCCGGGGGTGTGCATTGGAGGGGCGATCCTTAGGGAAGGGTGATTCCCCTGCAAACCAGGGGGGAACTAACATTTCCCCCCACCCACCTTTCCCCCAGCCACGAAACCTGGGAGCCTCCCCAAATTTTTTGCTTCCCGCCTTTTCCTTCGCCCGGAAGGCCGCAGGCACACGAGCCTCACCGAGGTTTGGGCTCCAAAGTCTGAAAACTGTCACGTGACTCAAAGCCCAAAGTAGCCTTGGTCTTCCCTTGGGGCCCGCAAAAATAGGGTCCTTCTTGATTTTGCTCTTGGTTGAAAAAAACATCAGCCAAAGGCCTGCTTTTTCAGGATCCTGGAATATTAAGGTAGTTTCTGCCCAAAGTATCTGACTACAATTGTCAAAGCCCAACGTGACTCGACGTGTCAGAACGCAAATGGAAGCTAGGCCAAGCCGGACGCCCCGCCCCAGCCTTCTCCTTCCCCCGGAAGGCTGCCGGCACCTTGGCGTCGCCATCCTTCGCCGGAGGCTTTGCTTTCGGTGAAGCTGACGTCACGAGCTTCGGCCTAGGCTTGGGCTCAGGCGCTTTCAGCAAAGTTGTCCCACCCTAAGGGTCACCCCTCCAATGCATATTTCCGGACCCTCTAATGGAGTTTCCTCTCGGGGCAAGCAGGTGATTTGGAGACGAATCGCAGCAGACTCGGGGGACTGAAATGATTTTTTCCAGCCAAAATCAGCCATCTCCAACCCGGCCGTAAGAACTTGCTTTGATGGCCCTCCTTGGCACCGTGGAGGTCCATGAACGAGCTATGGCTGCAGCAAAACATGGTGGCGATGCTGATGATGTCCATTAAGCCCCCTGGAACAAATGCAGTAGTGATAGATGAGCTTGAAAACCGAAAAGGGGAACTAAGACATATTCGGGAGAAAATTGTAGATTAGAACAATGCGTCTCAAATTGCCGTTCCAACAACATGTGAGATCCTCTTTTAGCGAAATCCTCAAGAGTGAAGGCTCAGCCAATTCCAATCGGAAACAACCGAATACCAAGAAACAACTGAATCGCAAGCTTCGCCCCCGCAATGCGGTGTTTTGTGTCGGGTGGCCGTATTTGGCGCACGCCCAGTACGCAGTACGTTTAAACAACATGTTGACAACATATGGCCTTTCTTTTTGCGGCCAGCCCGTATGGACAGAAAGTCTCCACGACCCTGCCAAAAATAAATGGGGGTCATTACCCAAAACCAAGGGGCCATGCCCCCTTTTTCTTGGGGTCATGAAGACCCTAGGCAGGTGGAAAGTGATTCGGAGAACCCTTTCAACATGGGGTGTCATTCCATGCCATTCCTCAAAATTCAGTATCCCCAAGTGGAAACCATTGTTGGAACCCTTGTTTGTTGTTCTTACAGAGAATCATCATTCCAGGCTTTCTTAGGTGCAAGATTTGGTGCTATGTCGTCCATTCACGTAATGGAAGCTGTCTTCATGCACCGAACAGGGCTCCTTCTCACCCTTTCAACATGGGGGGTCATCCCCAAAATTCAGGGCTTACCCCCAAAAACCTATGGGGTCAGAAGCCCTTTTAAACATGGGTCCATTACCCAGAATTCAGGGCCGGAGACTCTAGGTAGCCCCCCTCACCCCCCGACTTTCCACCAACCGGGGCCCCGACACGGGCGGCTGTTGTGGCAGCTCCGGGCTCGGCTTCTCCTGAACCTTCGGCTCCGTTTCCGGCGAGACGGGGTTTGCGTCCAGCTCCGGCGTGGAGGGCTGGGCAAGCAGGACCTCGCCAGCCAAGCGATGCCAGGAATCCCCTTTTCTTACTAGTGCGATAGGCAGGGAATGAGGGAATGACCCCGAAAAAGACACTCGTTTGTGGTGTCCTTTTAAGGGACTCCCCAGGTTCATTCCCACATTCCCTCCTAAGTAAGCACCAGCCACATTTGAAAAGCTTCCCTTAGCTCCAGGTACCCTGTTGTAATACCCATGTCCGATCGAGTGTTGGAGACAACGATATAAGGTATCTAAGACCAAGGCGTACGATGAAAAAAACACCCGGAAGGTCCTCCATTTACCTGTGTAGCAGGGAATCGGCGGACTGTAAAAACAGACAAAGCATAGCTAGTTACCTACGGGTCAACTGGCGACCTTATAAAGGTATGTAAGCATAGGTATTTTGGTAAAATAGATGGCATTGGTAAATGGGGCATATATACCAATCTAAACCAGTGCCATCTATTTCCAGCCAAGCCAACCTAGAAAGGACACCTACCGTGCGTGGCCGAAATCCTGCGACGCTTGGAAATCCCGGTTGAAACCATTGCTGGCATTTGCAGAGAGATCGAATCATTCCAGGGTTTCTGAACGGCGCTGCGAAATGGCGTCTGGTATATTCCTAGAAAACCCATGTTTGACCCAGTGGAACCCATCAACCCCTCTAAAACCCAGTGGGATCTATCCAGTTCCGGCCTGAAACGACCTAGTTAACCACGCCTATCGGCACCTATGGATGCACCCAGGCGCCAAGTGCGGCGCATTGCTGGGTCGGCTCTTGGGCGAGGCCGGGGCCGCCGGCGCTTCGGGCCGGGCCGAGGGTCGCACCAGGCAGCTGGGCCGCGCTCTGGGCACCTCGTGGTATGGGGCAGTTACAGGTATTCCTACAGTGGATGGACGAAATCCGAATCCGTGACCACAAAAGGAAAGCATGGTAACCATGGTTGGAAGCATAACGTTTGTTGGCATGAACAGGGGAATTCATCATTTCGGGGTTTCTGAACAGTGGTGCGAAATGAATCTCGTCCATCCACAGTATGGGGAGTGAGGGCCCCTGCAAACTTAGATGGGCAGGGGCACCTCACGCAAGTGGGCAAAAAGCCATGGTCGTAAGACTCCCACGCGCTGGTCGTTTCCCACTTACTAACTACCCTGCCCCTTGACCGGGTTTTGGAGGGATGCTTGTCTCACTTCCGATCGAGATATGGAGTCCAGGGCCGTGAGCTGTATACCGTATGTCCACAACCCACCCCCATCCCCAGGTCAAGCGCATTTTCGGGTATGGCTTTCGGAGGGACTCAAGCCGAAGCTGAGATTTGCCTCAGAAGTCGAAACTTTCTGTTTACCATTCAGAAAGCTTAAAGGCCAGAAGCTCAGAGCAGGGGACTGGGGGGACCCATCCATCATTCTCTTTCTGCTTCCCACATCCTGCTTCTTCGCAAACAAAGGGAGCGAGAGGATGTGGAGGAAGGATGTGACAAAGAACAGAGATGAGGCGGCCAGCCAAGAAGAGACACATGGCTTCTGGTTATAGGCGGTTCTGTGAAATCCTGGACCAGAAGTTTACCCTCATCCCTTTCCTACGTCCGGGCTAGCGGTGAACCTTTCCTTTTCCTTTCGTACACCATCAATCTCAGAGATGAACCGCTATGACAGAAAGAGTCTTTTCGTTTCCTCATTCCTCCTCCATCTCTTCATGCCTTGATGTCAAAAGTAGATTCAAAGGACGACACATAACGCCAGAAAGGCCCGAACTCAGGACCAGGGTTAAAGACTTGATATGGCCTTCTCCGGACAACATCTTAGGGTTGGGCAAGATTTGTTTGAACACCTGGGCTCTGGGCTACTCCCCACACAAGATCCACAGTGTCCTCGATTTCCCCTTCCGGAACGTGGCTTCTCATTTTGAACAGCCCAACAAATCCATCTTTGGGCAAGTCTCTGCTTGGATGGCGGAATGCGATCGATGCACCGGTGTGGCCACCTCACTTCCACAGTGGACAAAAACAAAAGACAGTGGCACCACTCGACCCTTTTCTAGGGGTACCTGCCCCATTCTTTCCAGGAATCCTTCTTCCTAGAAAACCTTCAGAAACCCAGCAAAACTGCTGGTTATTGATAATAATGATGGTTGAACAGAATGGGAATCAACCCCTAGAAAGGAACGAGCAGCATGTTTGGTAGATGAACTGGCACTTTCCTTCCTCGCTGTTCAACAACCCATCCCGGGTTTAGCTCACTTCCGATCGAGTGCATTGTCCAAAAAGTAACCAAACTTTCACTACCGAAATTGATCCAAACCCAAAATGGAGGAACTTCTGGGCAATGAAGACTTGTTGGTTGGCTTAAGGCCCAGCAACCTTGATGCCTGAAGAATGACCTCCATTTGTGATAGATTCCTTTCTAAACTAATGGGGACATAAAAGAAATTATTGAGCAACTGGAAGTAATCCACTCTCAAACCATCGACCCGAATAGCCTAAATGGCTCTTTGGTGTCAAAATGGCAAGCGCTAGGCAACCAAACACAAACCCAAGCACATAGCGCACAACCAAAACAAATAATAGACGACAAGTCGGAACAGGGGGAACCATCCTGTATTCGTTTTTGTTTTGCGGGGGCCCTTTTCTCCTCGTGTTGCTTGCCCTTTTTTAAAGTCCACCATCTTGAGCTTAAGTCAGACCTCGCCTTAGGGGAATGCCAAACAACCTACCCCGCACCCCCCAAACAATGCCCCAACTAAGCCCCATTAAAGAAGACAAAACATACACGAAAACTAGAGGTGCAATGGGAACGTCGGATTAATAAACCCCTGGTTGATTTCCAGGAGGGTGTCCCTTTTAGTGGGAATTCATCACATGGGTAAACCCTGCTATCAATAGGGCGGGAGGGTAGTTAAATCTATCCATGTCGGTAGGGGGCCGTTGCTCACCTTTTTTTCTTTTAGTTTGTGGTTTGGATTGGATTTGGATTTGAACCCCTGGTTCTTGCGGAAAACAAGTCCCGAAACTCCAAACTTAGGAAGAACCTGACTCTCTTTGGTAGCTGACTTTAATCAGGCAACCCTTGGTTGGTGGTTTGGATTGGTCTGGGTTTGGTTTTGAACTTCTGGTTATTGTGGATTTTGTTGGTAACCCAATAACCACCAATAGGTTTGGGAAACGGCCAGGCTGGTTCTTGCAGCGGAGCCACCGCTTCATCCAGCGCGATCACAGAGCTCACCTCCAACAAACCAACGACCTAATTGTGAGGGTTCTTGTATGGTTCCCACCCACAGACCGAAGCTACCCCCAAAAGTTACACAGCCACTACATGAAGGGTACATACCTCAGATTAGCCTGGGGGTAATGAGTGGTTTGGGGGTAGTGGAAGCCTTGAAAGAAGATACCTCCACTGTGCTCACCACAAGTGAACTGGCTTGCTATTTATCTAGACGTACTAATCAATAAGTACATACGCGCCAGGCCATTAGGAAGTGTCATGTCCGAACACATGTGGCATTCGCTGCTCGAATCCGTTGCTATGACAGGCATTCCCAATCACCCATTTGCCTATAAGCCCCCTGGAACAAATGACAACAAATGAAATCGGGTTTTCGAGGGTCCCCCTTTGTTGATGGTTTTAAAAGGGAAGCCAAAAGGACAATAGGTTCAATTCCTAAAACAAAACTTCGCGCTCATCTCTTCCATTTGCTTAAGCCCCTTGGAAACAATTATACTACTTCCAGTAAGTATAAAATGTTGTTAAATTAATCAAATGGAAGATCTTAAGCAAATGCGTACCCCCAGCGAACATCCCAATCCCCACTAAAATAGGTTCTAAAATGGGTGGTGCACCGAAAACCCCCAAAATGGGATCCCATTGGTTTTGACCCACAGCCAAATGGAAGCACTTAAACTCCCCCGGCCATCTGACCCCCGCCTTCTGAACTTCAGCCCGTCCCTCGGGTGGTGCTTTCGATGCCGGAGCCTGGAAAAGCACCTGCGGGGAGTTGCCCGTTCTGGTCACCAGCAAGTCGTCTTTCGGGTTTTTAATCGGGTGGCGGCAAGCCCTTGGTTGCCTACGAAGCTTCCATTTGCTTTCACGCAAAAAAATGAGATGATCTTTCCAGACGTGAAAGATCTTTCCAGACCTCGCATGGATTCCCTTTACATCCAACTAGGGAAAGTGCGAAATAGTAAAATAGTCATTTCAGCAAACAGCAGCTTGGTTACCTACAAACCAATGGACTCACTTCCTCAGTGGATGGGCCCAAAAAGGTAAGCAGACTTTTGCATTTACTTCCCAAAACGATCTTCCCCAAACAGTACAAAAGTCCAGAAACTGATGAAGAGAGTAAACCAAAAATAGGTCAGCCTTGGCCATTTTGCAAAACCAACAGGGGAAAGTAACAAATACTAGGTCCTCCAGTAGAAAAGTTAGAATAAGAGTACCCTTTATTCTGTAGTCTATTGTAGTAGGGGAACCGAAAAACCAAAAATATAGGTCAACCATGGCAATTTTGCAAAACCAACAGGAGAAAGTAACAAATATCATTTAGCAAAATAGAAGAAAACCATGCAAAAAAAAGAAAGACAATCAGGTAAATGGGTCTGGCCCAGTTTTGCCCGCCTTCTGAACTTCAGCTTTTTCGCCCGGTGCAGCCTTGAACGCCGGAGCCTGGAAGAGCAAGGCCTGCAGGAGTGCCAGAAAAAAAAGAAAACACTCTTCCATTTGCTTATTCTTCCCATTTGTTTTTTCGTCCATTTGCGTTTCCTTTTATTTGCATTTTTCCCAGGTGTGAATCTTACTCCTCCATTTGCTTTGTGTGCCGCGCCCCCTGGGATAAATGAGGCGACATATCTTCCAGCCGTGAAAGCGATCTCCTCAACAGGGACAAAATTAGTAGTAGCTTGGTTGCTGTTGGCTCCCCTGCAAAAAGCTTAACTTTTTGGGGGTTTAGCGGAAAACCCCTTGATTTCAACCAAAAAGTCAAAGTCTAAAGATCCAACCCAATAGCAGTCAAGAAAAGAAGACAGTCAAGAATAAGGGTGCCCTTTTTTCTGTAGGGCCCCCAAAAAAGAACGGTGAGAAAGGGCACCTAGCTGGGGGACCTAGCCTTACTAAGGCCGTATTAAGGCTTATTTGTGCTCCCGCACCAGGTTCCACGATCCGACCCAATAGCAGTCGAGGTAAATTCCCTTGCCTTGGGCGACTTCTCCCCGAAGAGCAGCGGCTTCGCATCCTTCGGCTCCGTCCACCTCAGCGGCGGCGTCTTGGGCTGCGCCCCCAGCGGTGGCGCAAAGGGCACCGCCGCCGCGGAAACGGGCGAAGCGGGCGGCTTCAGCTCGCCTCGCGGGCTTCGGGGGACACAGTTTTGTTCAATGTGCTAAGAAACGAACCAATCAAGCAACGAAGCAAGCAGGCAAGCAAGCAAGCAGGCAAGCAAGCAAGCAAGCAAGCGCCAGCCAAACCAGCCCTAGCTTCTTTACAATGAACTCTCATTGGTGTTGCGAGAAATCTCCCAAAATTGGCAGATTGTTCGGCGAATTGCGACCAGGCTCTGGCGTATTGTCTCCAACGTTAGAGAAGGCTTTGCTGGTTTTGTTTGCGTTTAGGTATGTTCACACAGCCAAGACAAGCCAACAACCCCTCCCAAAGTCAAGCCCTCTTATAAGGGTGCACTTGCAAAACTTCCATGTTTCTTGGTGGGAAGGCAAACATCTGCAATGTCTCTCCCAGACTTCCAACCTTCCATGTCCGATAGTGAGAAAATAGGAAACAAACCGCAAACGGCATCTACATAGCGAGCTCACCACTACCCCCGAACCGGTGAGCTGAGATCAACTCTAACCTCAAGTCCTACATCTCGAAGAACTCAGGGAGTGAGCCCCCGGGAAAAAATGAGCAACATGTCCAGTGAAAGCGATTGCCTTCAAACCGACAAGGGAAGCTGACAAACCTATTCTCAGCAAATGGGAGAGCAATCCGCACTGAAGATTCGAGCTCACAAGCAAAGCCACAAGTAAACCACGTTTCAGCAAATGGAACTAGTTGCTTTGGATTTGAACCCTTGAGGTGTTGTGGGTGTTGGGAACCGAAAAAAAAAACAAAACCAATCTAAGCAAATGGAGTGAGACTGGAAACCCACTTGCCCACCTGGGCTTGCTGCGCAATCGGACCCAACCCTCGTCGCCTGTTGCGCGCGGCTCGCGCTCCGCTCGATCCACGCGGATCACCGGCGCCCGGTTGCGGGGCGGTGGGCCTGGTGGGTCTGCGAGTATGAGGGGTCTTTGTGCCTTTAAATGATTTTTCTTTCTCTTCTGTGTCTCTTCTCTTTCTCTTCTCTTTTTCTTCTCTGTTTTCCCAAATGCCCTATCAGGTGTTCAAAAGGGAATCCACGGAGTGTCCCGTGTTGCTTTCGTCCGGGACATCAACTGAAACCCAATGAGACCTGCATATTTTAGTGATCCTGTTCCATATCTAGCCTACCCAAAACGCCCAAACCCGCATGTGAATAAAGCGCCCAGGCGCCTCTTCTTGTTGCTTGATTGTAAATCCAAGACCTTGACCCAAGGAGGCCAAAGCCGAAAAATAGACAAACAACCGATCAACAAAAAACAATCCTGTCGCAAATGGAAGTGGTTGGTTGGTTTGGATTTGAACCCCTGGTTCTTGTGGGTGTACTCGCAATGGAATCTTTTCACGCCTCAGCAAACGGAAGTACCTGGAGCCTCAATCCTGTTGACTAAAAATGGTTGGTCACATTGCCCAAAGTCAAGGGGTTCTGACCCCTTTCGGAAGGAGACGCTGTGGGTTCCAGAGACTCTTCAGCAAGTGGAAGTACCCCTAGCTTTCGGTTCGCGCCGGCCGCCTGTGTTCCTTTTCGGCGGCGTCCGTGGCGCCGCCTGGGGCGGGGTCCTCGGCGCGGCGGGAACCGCCGCTTTGGCCGCGCTGTCCGCCCCCTTGCGCCCGACCTGCGATGCGATCCGCTGGAACCGGGTCGTTAAGGCGGACAGCGGGAAAAAACCCAACGGGCTAACTAGGGGTCCCGGGAGACAAGATAGAACCCATCCCCGTTTGTCTGCGGGAAATTCAAAACAGATGCTCTTCAGAGACCGATGACCAAACTCGTTTTCAAGCCATCCCCTGTTGTCTTCTAAGAAAAATTCGAAAACATATGCTGTTTAGAGACCAATGAGACCAGGGTGAAAGTACACTTCTCCTTTTATTTCCGAAAGTAAGCAAGGGTGTCCCACCACTACCCTCCACACCTCTCCCCCCTGTTTCTTCAACAAGGCCTTGAAGCCTTATGAAGCCATATTTTCAGGTTCCTCTTGGTTGGTAGATTGGATTGGTGGCTTGAGGATTTGAACCTGGTTCTTGTAGGGGGTAAATGGGAAGCCACCCCGTAACCACACGACCGGGCTCCCAACCAATCAGTAAGAAGCTAACACTTGGAGAAATCAATGAAGCGCCGCCTTTTTTCCATCCGCGAGTCGCCGCCCACAGGGGCTTCCCCAAGCGGTGAAACGCAGTTCAATGCGAACCGGACGATGTCAATTGAACACAACCATGATCAAACACTGACAAGGCATACGCAGCCATCCTGCAATTGCTTCAGACTACCCGCAAACTTCAGTCCGTCCAAGGTTTGGTTGAAGTCAAGCCCAAAAGTCACACTCTGCAGGCTTTCTGGGAATGTCACCCCTTCCAAGCTTTGGTTGAATCCACGACCAAAAGTCAGGCTCTGCAGACTGGCTGGCAAAGCCACTCCGACCAAGCTTTGGTTGAATTTGTCCCCCATTCTCAGGCTCTGTAGGCTTTTTGGCAGAGTAACTCCGTCCAGGTGTTGGTTGAAAGCCCATCCAAAAGTCAGGCTCTGCAGGTTCTCTGGAAGAGTCACTCCGTCCAAGCTTTGATTGAATGACGCGCCGAAAGTCAGGCTCTGCAGGTTCGCTGGCAAAGTCACTCCGTCCAAGCATTGGTTGAAGTCCACCCCAAAAGTGAGGTTCTGCAGCTTGCCTGGCATAGTCACTCCGTCCAACCTTTGGTTGAATTCTTCGCCGAAAGTCAGGCTCTGCAGGCTGCCTGGCATAGTCACGCTGTCCAAGCTGCGGTTGTATCTGCTCCCGAAAGTCAAGCTCTGCAGGCTTTCTGGCAAAGTAACTCCGTCCAAGTTTTGGTTGAACCCCAAAAAAAGGCTCTTCAGGCTACCTGGCATAGTCACTCCATCCAACCTTTGGCTAAACTCTTCGCTGAAAGTCAGGCTCTGCAGGCTTTCTGGAAAAGTCACTCCGTCCAATCTTTGGTTGAATCTGTTCCCGAAAGACAGGGTCTCCAAGCTGCCCGGAAAAATCATTCCGTCCAAGCTTTGGTTGAATTCAAACCCAAAAGTCAAGCTCTGAAGACTTGCAGGCAAAGTCACTCCGTCCAAGCTTGTGTGGAAATTCTGTCCAAGAGTCAGGCTTTGCAGGCTACCTGGAAAAGTCACTCCGCTGAATCCACGACCGAAAGTCAGGCTCTGCATGCTTTCTGGCAAAGTCACTCCGTCCAAGCTTTGGTTAAAAGCCCATCCAAAAGTCAGGCTCTGCAGGTTCTCTGGAAAAGTCACTCCGTCCAACCTTTGATTAAATGCATCGCCAAAAGTCAGGCTTTGCAGGCCTTGTGGCAAAGTCACTCCGTCCAAGCTTTGGTTGAATTCAGCGCCAAATGTCAGGTTGCGCAGATTCTCTGGCAAGGTCCCTCCGCTGAATCGACGACCAAAACTCAGGCTCTGCAGGCCTTCTGGCCAAGTCACTCCGTCCAAGCTTTGGTCGAATTTGTTCCCAAAAGTCACACTCTGCAGGCTTTCTGGCAAAGTCACCCCTTCTAAGCTTTGGTTGAACTCACGACCAACAGACAGGCTCTGCAGACTGGCTGGCAAAGTCACTCCGTGCAAGCTTTGATTGAATTTGTTCCCAAAACATAGGCTCCGGATGCCTTCCGGTAAAGTCGATCCGTGCAAGCTTTGGTCGAACATGTCCCCAAAAGATAGGCTCCGCAGGCTTTCAGGTAAAGTCAATCCATCCAAGCTTTGGTCGAAGCTGTTGCCAAAAGTCAAGCAGTGGAGCGTGCCTGGCAAAATAGCTTCCAAGTGCCGGCCCGAATCCCAAGTCAGCTTCGTGACGCCTTCCAGGTCCGGACTGTTTCTCCCAGCCGGAAACTTCAGCGCGCTGTACACCTTTGTCAGGCAGGTCTGCGTGTAGGTAAACATGCCGGCCGAGCTCGAAAGGCCCTGCTCTTGCAGAGTTTGCTCGGGTAGCAGCCGGACACCACCGAAGCTCAGGCACAACCCGCAGCCGGGCTTCGGCGGCAGCTGGGGCCGCAACCGCCGAAGCAGCTCACTGCCGAGGATGTTGGCTGGCACAGACAAGCAAACCTCCTGGCCATTGGCGCCCGACAGGGTCAACTTCAATGGAGCTTCCATGGCCATTTTCGCCGCGGAAAGAAACGGAGCTCTTCCTGTGATCCTGATATGGAAATCCCGAGAGGTTCTCGCATACAAAACGGGTCCCGGGCCCGAGTTTGACTGGCAGATCGGCGGTGCACGCAAAGCCACGTTGCAACTTGCATCGGGCGGAAGTGCAACCCTTTGGTTTCCTTCAACTCTCAAGCCAAAAGGGCCAAAAGGTTTCCCATGTTTCATGTGCTTCTGAAGACCTGTGGGTCAAGGTCATGGTTCGCGGGGCCCAGAATTTTTCGGGTCAAGCCGGGGTCCGGGGCGCCTGGAGCCGCTGGCGGAGACGCTGAATCAGCTCCACCAGGCTCTGAGCGGAGGACTGGTCCATGGCGCGGAGGTTCAGCATGCCTCGGATCCAGTGGGCGCCGGTGGGGGGGCTACTTCAGTCCTCACTCCCTGAGTGCTTGGACTTTCATTTTTGGGGTTGGTTGCCATTTAGAGGTAAACAGCAAGCCCTAAGGGTCTCGATGGTTTTTCATTGGGCCCCGGGTTCTCCATTTGCGGTGCAATTGGAGGGGTCATGACCCTCAGGGCTGGTGAATATGCGGCTTATTTTTTGAAGAAACAAAAAAGGCCCAGGAACTTGCCACCAAATGGTCTAAACCCAAAAAGTTGACGGTCCAGGAACTCAGGAAGTGAGGTGGTGAAACACCGGCGTCAACCCTGCCTGAGCAAGGGAGCCGGAGCAACGCGCGTCAATTCGCAGAGGGGTGTGGTTTTCGTGTGGTTGATTTTTGATTGAAAGGGCATCCCAAATGGACACCACCCTTTTGATGATTCCTGCAAAACAAGGCGACCCCATGTCGGATGACCCGTTTCGTGGGTTCGAACAGCAAGCTGGATCCCGCCTTTTGAATCGGTCTCTCAGTCCCAATCAAGAGCTTCAAATCCCAATCCAGACCAATCCAAAGGACCAACTCATCGCTTTCCTTACGAATTCAACCTCGGCCTATTCATTGGAAAACTTCATTTTACAAACCAACCGCTTCCTCTAGTAATAGAACATCGGCCTATTGGTCATAAGGCTTTTAACCCTTTGGCCCCCACACCGCGGGGTGTTGTTTTCCTCACTTGCCCAAAGGACCTGCAAATAAAAGGTGATCACCTTTTGGCACCTCTACTAAAACTAGTTCCCGAAAAGGGGGAAAACCGTTTCAGGCCAGATCCGGTCGATTCGCTTTGAACCACTGAGTTTCCCGTCGCCTCTATAGAACATCGGCCTATTGGCTATAAAGCTTTTAACTACTTGGCCCACACCGCGGGGTGTTTTCACGTCGAGGCGCGGAGGGACTTCAGGGAGTTCTCCAAGAACGTCTCCAGCTCCGGGCTGGAGGACTCCCCCAAGGCGCGCTCCAACCACAGCACCTCACTCGCGGCCAGGCGCTGGCCGCTGGATCCACGCGAGGAAAAAAATATATCCAGAGATGAATCCCTAAGACCAACAGGGGAAGCTCAAATAGATTCCAAAGCGAATGGAAGGAGGGGTTCATGTTTTCTAGATGGCTCATACTGTGGATGGTGGCGAAACCCGCGAGTCTTGCACCACCATTCAGAAACCCAATGATTCGATTCCCCTGTAAATGCCAACAGACAACTATGCCCCATGGTTTCTAAGTGGTGCAGGATTTTGTCCATCCACAGTAGGCGTCTGTTTTCAAGCAAACAACCCAAAAGGACACCTATGACGAACCTGGGCGGGAGGCCGGGAGCAACGGTGGAAAGACCCACACTTTGCACATAAAATAAGTTGAAGTCAATTCATCTTCTAGATTCTGGCGGGTGTCGATTTCCGAGACGTCTGCCTCACAAACTCGAGTTGTGAGCGCCCTTTGTCAAATGCCATGATTCACGGGAAACGTCTCGCTTGCGTGGTGCGGAAAGACCAGAGGGTCCCTTGGTACCTCATATGTCCTTTCGAACTTGTGGGTCATCTATAACTGACGAATCCCCGAGAAGGCACCAAACCCAAAGCCGTAAAATTTGGGGTAACGTTGACCCCCTATTCGTCAACCGTTCATTCATAGGGGGTGGGGGCCCCTCAACAAGCGATTGCCCACATTTCACCCAGGGACACCGGGACAACTATTGACAACCTGGCAGGGTTGACAACAAACAAACAGGTCAACATATTACGCCACATATATTCACCAGAGCCCCCCATCCACCCCCACATTACCCAGACCAGGTCAACCATTTTGTTTTTTGGCCATGGAGCCCCTCGCCAGAGCCCACATCTCAGGTCAACAGAAAAAAAAAAAAAACACGGAGCCTTCTGAACATGTCGCCTCTGCCGCCTCTGGGCTCGCCGAAACCTCTGAGCTCTGCGCCACCCTGGTGACGCCCCCGTGCTTCACGAAGCGCAGTAAGCGCTTGGGGCTGATCGTCAGCCTCAAGGCCTGGCTGCGCCCGCGGAGGCCGCCGGAGGCCGCCGAGGCCGCGCGGGACACGCAAAAAGCCCCGCAAGCCAGGGCTGGGGCCCGGGAATTTTTTGGTGATGTTCACCTTTAAACAAACTGGGGCCGCTCAAAATGCCGGAAGGGGCAACCAAAACGTCAACAGGTCGGCAAAAAAGGAGCCACTCAAATGAAGCAAGGGGAAACTAAAAGGTGAAAAGGTCGGCAAGTGAGGTTAGTAGATGGCACCGTTCCCGGTGAATGTGTCCTGAGTAAAAGGGATGACTGAGCCAAACTTGAGGAAAATGTTCATGCGGCATCTCTCAAAAACTGTACCTTTGTGTGTTGGCCATCCTTCTGGCTTGCTAGCCCTGAGCAAAAGGCCGATCACCCGTTGTGCTGTTGGTGGACGAAAAATCCGGCACCAGTCTGAATTTATGGGAAACCGCAATTGTGTGTATCTGCAGGGGAATTATCATTTCACGTTTGTTTTGTTTTTTTCAAGGAGGTGCAGGATTTGGTCCACCCACAGTCTGGAAAAGCCATGAACCCTTGCAAACAACATGGTTCAGCCACGAGCCACGAAAAGGAGCTCCGTGCACTCGGCTTCAGACTGGATGTCTGACATGTAAACAACGACTGTTCCATATTTAGTTTAACATATAAAACTCGGTTGCTTTCGAAAGGCTCCCCTGCTAAAAGTTTAACTTTAAGTGGTTTAATGGGAAAACCATGAGTTGGCAAACAATTAAAGCCCTAACATCCAGGCAAAATGCACCAAATAAATATTTTTAGAGGAGACCCCAATCAAACAAGAATGCAAAAGGGCGCTCAGTTCAATACTCGATGGGTTGATTTCGGGCTCCGAAATGTCGCCGTTCCGAATTGTGTCGCGGGTCAAAATGGAACTAACAACCTGGCCCTGCATAGAAAATATAGTATTTTAACTGACTCTGCCACACCATGGGTGCGCCACTTGGAAACCATGGGAAGTCAGTGTTTGTTGGCATGTCCAGGGAAATCATGCTTCCCTAGTGGCGCCGACAAGCGGATTTCGCATCCACAGTATGGCCTTGTCTCAACATCGAAAATTCCCGGCCCCAAAGGCTTGGTGTTGGTGGTTATATAGGGAATACAAGAACCAGGGCTTCAAACCCAAATTGAAACCAATCCAACCCCACCAATAGTAAGGGTGACCCGAAGAAAGGCACTTTCTTTTTGGGCGGCAACTCACCAGACGTTCAGGAAGCCATAGAGATCAAAAGATGTGCCTGCAAAACATCACCGAAAGGACGCACCCTTCGAACAAGTCTCCTTTCCGAACCATTTGCTTTTTTTCGTGCCCTAGCCATTGAAGATTGAAGATTGAAGGAGGCTGAGACAAACTGGGTCCATTCTAGCGAGACACTCTCAAAATGTTCTCCAAAACCTCCATTTGCCTCTATCGTCCCCTGGATTTCATCTACAAACACAACAGTAGTGATAGATTCCCCGCAAAAGCGGCATCCCAAAAATTGTGTTGCTTCAACCACCCCTTAAAGCGGGAGTAGAAATATGGAGCCCACGCCCCAGGGGCGTGGCGCAAAATTCCATCGCGAGCTAAGATGGTCGCGGCCCGCGCCTCCATGAACCCGTTCCTCGTGCAAGCCAATGCGCAAAAAAAACGAAAACCAAACCAGCTACCACCCCTGAAACTGGGTTGCTCAAAGCCCCGAGCAAAAGGTCGATCACCTGTTGTACATTTCTCGGTTGCTTTCTGCTCCCCTGCTATTTTTTAACTTTTAGTGGTATTTAATGGCTGGCAAAAAGTTAAAGTCCTAACATCCAAGCAAAATGCACCAAAGATTTATTGGAGAAGCCATGTGTGAAACCAAAAGCTCTGCGAGGCGATTCAGTCAACAAGATCAATTGCAGCCCCATAGTGTGAGCATTATGATGTTCGGCCAAAGTACCCAGCTGGGTTGTAACTCGCCAATACCAGATTAACCTCACTGAACGTGGGACTTACAAGTGGGGCATCAACTAGGTTTGCCACAACTTTCTGGCCGAACACCCAAGTAGTGACTGTTTGGGGCCATTGACCATTAAAGACGCCCTTATATAAGTGCTTCTCAAAGTCCCTGCGTAGTTTTCAGACGAAG